GATCCATTGATTCTCCCTCCATTACAACCCTAACCCTGGGTTATGTAATACTGTCTGTTGTCCAACACTGGGTTGCAACACCTGGTTCCTTGTTAGCAGGGCCTTTCCCGTGACCTGCATGCTGGATGAGTCATAACAGCTATACTTATTACATCCTTATCATTTAAGCTCTCTGAATAGATCAGAAGCAGATTTTGCACTCTATTCTTATGCTTATATAGCTTTAGTTTTCCTATTATTATTTATATGAGCATGCTTGAGCTGTATAAGCTCTTGCTTGCTGCTGAGCTATCTATTATTTCTTCCGAAGAGCAATAGCGCTCTGAGCTGAGTTTAGCTAGCAATAGAATTCTGCTTGATAGAAGCTGCTGAGAAAGGGGAGAATCTGAGCATGAGCTGGAAGTACAGGGATTGGTTACAGATCTCTGCTCCCCGTTTCGGAGCCGGAACCTCGGGACTTATTAGCTTAGCAGGGAAAGAAGCAGCAGTGGAGGGAGTTGATCCCAGCCCTACAATTCAACCCCGAGCAGTTATAGCTGAATCCTAGGTAAAAGGATGCAACCTGATTGGATAGGCAGGGATAGCTTATGCGCTAACAGAGGTTGGTTACAGTGAGTGGGGCTCTCGGAAAGGAGCTGGTAAGGAAGGCTGAGGCGTACAACAGGGGTTGATCACGAGAGTGAAGCTGAGCGGAGCTAGAGTAAGAGCGGGATGGGCGGGCTAGGCGAGAAATACCAAACCGAAGCCTAGCAGAGAGGAACGCGTTGAATGCAGCTGCTCAGCGGCTCAGAGCACTTAGGAGAGGAGAAAAATATGTAAGACTGGTCGCTGAGCAGCAGCGGATCCGCTGGTGTCTTTTTTTTTTCCCGATTCCGGTGAGCGGCGGCGGGGAGACGGCAGGGGAGCGCCACGGCCGCCTGTTGTTGCCCAGCCCTCGCTGGCAGGGCCTAGCCCGAGCCCGGATGCTGACCGAGTTAATGATCCAAATGATCTATCCTTGTTATAATCCTAACTCTTGATTACGTAATCCTGATTGGTTGGCTGTTGTGATGTTTCAATGCTCGGATCCTGTTGCTGGAGCCTGTTTCGTAACCTGCAAGCTGGGCGGGTTATAACACATATTCAGTGAATTCTACTTTGATACTGCTCTTGTTAGCATAAACTCTTTATATACTTCAGATCTTCAAATATTGCAGTGCATTCATTACAAGCAGTAAGCCTCAGTAAGCATTACTGAGCAATAGTAAGCTATACTAAAAAGCTAGATATATAAGAATACATTCATTATCATTAGATAAACTACTAGAATATAGATCTTCAGTTATCAATCTAAGTATTCATTTGTTATGCACTTGAATAGCTCCAAAGGCGAATGATCAGCACTTGCACGGATTATTCAGTAATATTTCTGTATTCAGTGAATTCTACTTCGATACTACTCTTGTTAGCATAAACTCTTTATATACTTCAGATCTTCGGATATTGCAGTGCATTCATTATATGTGATGGCCAGGGTGATAATCCATAGGACATGGAGTGCAGTGGGTTAAGGGTTCTTATACATATAAAGGATATCACTCACTTTTCAAATTCTTTAGCTATAGGCAACAATCAAGCATCCTTTTCCCTTCTTTTTGATTTTGAACCTCTTGAACAGATCTAAGACAGATTTTTCACTCTATTCTTGTGCTCGTATAGCCATAGTTTGCTGTTCTCATCTGTACAGGCACGCTTGGGTTGCACAAGCTCTTGCTCATTGCTTCAGCAGCTGTTCGTTCCTTTTTTTTTTTCGAGGGCGACAGCGCCCTAGTTCTGATTCAATACTTTACAAATACAACCCTACAGCTTATTACAAAGCATTGCTAGAAGCAAATGCAGAAGCAGCTAATTAAAAAGCAAAAAGAATTAAGAAGATCAGAGAAGAACTCCAAGCAGAACTCACCTTCGTACAAGAACAGATAACAAAATATGCTAACTCCAAGAGAATTGAGAAACCAATCCTACAGAAGGGAGATAAAGTCTATTTGCTTCGCAAAAACATCAAAATAACAAAGCTCAGCAACAAACTTAACTACAAAAAATTGGAACTCTTCAAAATTTTGCAGCAAATCTCTCCAGTTAACTACAAACTCGCACTTTCATACAGAATAAGAATATACCCTATCTTCCACATCTCACTCCTTGAACTAGCAATACTGAATACTACCTCAGAAAACACTATTGAAATTCAGAATAAAGAACCTAAGTACAAAGTAGAAAAGATACTCAAAGCTAGAAATGCTAATGCAGGAACGGAATTCCCAATTAAATGAAAAGATTACCCCAGCAGCGAAAATACATGAGAACTACAATCAAATTTGCAAAACGCGCAAGAAAAAATTGCACAATGGAAAAAGAAATACCCGCCAACGATTGCTAGATCCACGGGATCACTCGCACCAAAGAAACCAGAACCCAAGTCAAAAACCCGAAGGCTCTCCACCCCCAACAACATCCCCATCGCCTAGAAACCCAGACCAATCCACCACAGAATCCCTCACATCCACAGAATTCCAATCAAAACCCTCAAAGGAAGGATCTGCACCAGCAACCGCAGACTCCTCAGCCACTACAGCCTGCATCTCGGCAGCAGCACGAACTCGCTCAGCCTCAGCCTCCTCAACCTCCTCCTTCTCAAGATCTTCGAGATTTTTAAGGCCCCAACGGATAGCCCTAGACATTCTCTCACGCCACATCTTCTTTTGCTAACGCAACCGAGTCAACTTCAATTCCAGCTCTTCTATCTCATCCTCCAGTTTTCAGTATTGAGTGGAAGTAAGCAAGAGCTCAGCAGCATTGGTAGGCTCCAAAACATCGCATCATGCGCAATTTTGAGCAATGCACTCAGAACAACAGAAAGAATCGTAAGAAGAAACAGTATACGAGGCTAGACCATAACGCATGTCGAACCCGTTGGAAAGAATGGACTGAAGAAGAAAATTTTTCTGCTTCTTTTTGTTAGAACAAAGATTAGAAGATTTCAGTTTCGCGATTCTGTTCTTCATAACGAATTAGGAAGGCATAATCACAAGCATAGAGAGCTTGCTAGGATACTTACGAAAGATCGTTAGGAATACCGATCGATAGGAGGGAGATGATGTTATAACCCATCCAACATGCAGGTCACGAACAAGAACACCCGGAACAACTGTCCGGAAGACAAGGGACGGGTTCAACACCCTGAGGACCAAAAGGCTTACATAAGCAAGGGTTAGGGTTATGATGGAGGGAGGATTGTTGGGATCAGTAGCGATCCAAATGATCCTCATACCATGAATCGGTGAGCTTGCCAGCGAGCTAACAGAGCCAACACTACCAACAGGTCTGAAGAGCTGAATATATAAGGACACGTTCATTCCCATCAGATAGATCTTGTACATAGCTCTTCAGTCATCAATCTAAGTATCAGATCCCCCTCTATTCTGATAGCCCCAAAGGCAGTGAATACTTGTACGAGACTACCCAGCGCATTTCCGTATTCAAGGCTTTGATACTTGGCACCGCTCTTGTTAGCATAAACCCTATCAGTACTTAGGAATCTGTGGATTACTGCAGTGCTCATTACAATATCAACGAACTGTTATTAATAGTTTTCTTATTTTTATTCTTTTTTTTTTCAACTACTTAGAAAAGAATTAGTTTGTTATAGCTTGAAGAGTATATTATAACTCATTCAATATGCAGATCACAAGACAAGCTATAAGCATAAGTAAATTCAGGAGCTAGTTTTCAGATCTAATACCTAAGCTAAGCAGATACAAAGAAGTCTCACCTTGAGCTAAATCTTAGTCACTGGGGAAGAACTTGAAACTAGCCTGCAGCTCTACAACGTCTATAGTTTCAACAGTTCTCAACTGCACCCGTTTCTGGTGCTTTTCCCGTCCAGGACTTGATTCCAGCGTGATTAGTTCCCTTTCTCATACTTGGTATACAAAGCACTGCCGGAAGCTTCCACATTAAATACGTCATCTCTATCTCTGAACCACCACATTACCACGACACCATACCCCTCCAACGTTTACATCCAGAGACATCATGACTTCCTACAATCGCAGCTCAAGACATCATATTGCCAGGACTTTCGCTGCAGACTATTATTATCTCTCCACATCTACTGGTATTGCAGCTAAGAACAATGATTCATTTCATGACCCAGCTCCGCTCTCACCAGACTATAAAATATTTCCTTCTCTTCTGCCTTCCCCTCCTCAATTCCAAGATCATAACACACACCTATGCGAGCCTACTTCAAAGAGATAATCACCAACTGCTTTCATCAAGCTTCCTTCCACCCCTTCAATATAGTCATCCAAAGTCAGCCGTCATCTCTAACACAAGTCCACATAGGCTTCCTCGACATCATAAATCTCCACAACGCCCCAATCTTTTCATCTTCTCGTGGGACGGCAGAGATCACAAGCAGTGCAACCGCTTTCCAGAGACGCCACCGTGCTGGGTGGGATAAGAGCTGATATGCCTATCATATTAGATTGCAAAGGCTAATCTTCGACATTGCAACACCTGAAGAATCCAAAGGAATTCTAACACTAGATGAAGCTGGATAGAGCAACAGATGATCTTCTGGAGCAGCACTTATTTTTCCAGCCAGCTGCAACAGTTCTCGTCAAGTAGAAATTGATACACTCAACTCGAGCCTCGAAGTCTGTCTCCTGTGCGTAAAACAATCTGCGAGAATGACGGAGAGAACTGTGATTCATCTCATCGTCACCTCGTAAGGTCCAGGCCCAGCAGGCCTGACATCGAGTTGTTTTCCCTTCCATGCGAGTTCTTTTCACATACCCACTCTATCCTCTTTGCTTCTGGTCGGGATCGCGTGCTAACGTCGACTTTTATCCTCATTACTTCTCAAGACACGAAGCTATTACCACTGTCGACTCATCGGGTAGCAACACTGAAGAGTGGTTTGTCCGATTTCGTCCACGAGCAAGTCTTGATGGTTTTCAACTCCCTTCCGGTAATTTCTTGATCAACCACGCGCCAGCCAAAGCCGACAAGCCTCCAGCCCTCAATAGCCATACCTCCAAGCCATTGTTTTGCCCAGCCCCGTGGGGACCTTGAGAACTGACGAGGAGGAATAAAAGGCTACTCCCCAGAGCTGCAGCAATCTGAGGCGCACTTATCGCGGCATTGTGAATGCCGACGACCGTGGCGGCCAGGTCCTCGGCGTCGTCTCCATCGACTGCCCCCAGCATGTCGCCATGCGCGCGACGGATATCTTGCGAGATCAAGGTGAAAGGAATCCATGTGCCAGCCGCCCAAGGTATTCCTGTCAGAGCTGCCAGGACATATGCTGACTCCAGACTATCGAAGATGAATGTGGACATCATACCGATGCAGAAGATGATCTGACAAGCCAGCCATATACGACGAAGAGATCCGAAGCCTTTTCGAAAACTCCAGGTGCGATGCTTCCGTCGCGTTTCGTCTGGAAACTCTGACGAAGCTGGCGTTACAACTAGCCGAGGAAGAATTACAGACGCGACCAGGGACACCGAAGCGAAAATCAGCATGGCGAAGGAGCCGGCTCGGGTCATGTCTCCTTTGTGCGAAGCCACGCCTCCGACGTTTGAGCGTAAATTGCTGTCCCTTTGGAGACCTCCGACGTATCTGGCTGTCATGTTAACTAAAGTTGGCACACAGGAATTAAGATACTGGGGCCCTCACTTTGAAATATCGTACAGGAAGGGAAACCACGCCAACCAGCAGAAGACCTGCGCAACGCAGACCCGCCTCACCACAGTCAGCTCTCTCAAGCGTACGAGAAGAGGTCTTTGAGGCTTCTTGGGCGACAGAAGCGGGGTTTGTCTTCTTTCTTGAACAAGAGAGCAGGTGATCGAAACGCAGATTGCCAGGTTTATCGACACCAGGCTGCATAAAATCTGGAACTGAGAGTGACCAAGAAAAGGTAGCTTTCCGGCAAGATCGGCTGAGCCGATGCCGTACCCAACGAGACTGCCCATCAAGTTCAGCCTCGCTATCCACGCCTGCGCTTGTGCTTGCTGGTGTATTGGAACAAGGTCAGTAGCCATAGCGCGGAGGCCCAGCTGCACAGGCTGTATGGCAAAGTTCGCCACCAGAATGCTTGCCGTCACAAGGGTAGACAGACCCCATGACGAGGCATGGTGATCTTGCTCTCTGGCGCTTATTTCCCACCTTGGAGCCGGTGAGAAGGCCGTGGTGATTTCCTCGGCCCATGCTAGCGATAGCATAGCGCAGATCAGGACGAGAGTGCCAATGACAACAAAAGGGCGTCGTTGACCCCAGGGATGAGTACAGCTGTCGCTCATGGCGCCGATCACCGGTTGGAAGAATAGACCGGCGCTGGGGCCGGACAGCCACATGAGAGATATCGTGGTGTCTCGAAACCCCAGCGAGGCCAGGTAGAAATAGCCGCTTCCGAAGAATACGGTGAATATTTGTTGCAGACCGAACCATCCTGCACTTAGACTCAAGATGAATCCCAGGCTCTTGCGTTTTGATTCTTCCGGGTCATGACGGAGGCGATCCATCTTTTGTGGATTCAGATTACTTCTCGAGTTCTCCTCGAGTTCTCGCTCTTTAGGAAAGCACGTATCGGTGATCTGTTGACTTTCGCAAGTGTGACGAACTCAATGGAGTTCCGAAAGTCTAACGAGGCTAGATGGTCAGGTGTTTGCTCACCAGTAGAATCACTGGTAGTCGCACGTCTTGGGTCGCGGCAGGCCTTGTGGTCAGAGAAATATCAACAATACAATGGAAAGGAGTCCGTGTGCCACGCCACATCAAATCATCGCAAGGATTCTTAGCGCCTCGTTTGGCACGGGCTTGATGAGGTCGAGTTCATGTGGCAAAATCAACACTTCGCCAAGGTAGCCATACAACACTGTACTGGCACTTGGCTCCGTCCTTCTATTCATTCGTGTAAAATATGGTGTAAGCCCTAGCCCTAGCCCTCCATTCATTCCTGTTCAATATCGTGTACGTCTTACTCCACGGGTTGGTATCTTACTTTTGTGTGTGAAGCCAACCGAGAAGGGGATCCATGTGGCACAGAACCGAGCCAAGGCCAGGAGGAGGGGGGGGGGGGGGATTCCAGCCGCAGCGGAATTCAGCAAAAGTTTGGAAGTGTTCAGAGTCCGAGGGTATTCATCAGAGTCGGAAAGCAGTCCGCTCTCTGGGAATCCGAGTAAGCTTGCGGACCGAGGCGGTAAATTTTGTCGAGGTCGGAATTGCTTTGCCGCAACTTAGCTTCTACCTTAGCACCAAACGGACCGGCGTAGGCTCGTGCAGCAATCCGGATGCCGGGATTTTCGGGACGGTGCAACAATTGCTACTCATCTCACTTTGTCAACCTACAAGTGCATGCATGATCCTTGAGGAAGAGCTCATGATGGTGTACACTAGGAGCTTGAGAGCAACCTGGTGGACGGGGCTGGGAATCAGCGCAGTCGGGATTTTAGCTATAGGCTTGGAAAGGGGCCGGAACTCTGTTAGACGCTGCATACTGAAGAACAGCAGCACACTTACAGTATTTCCATAGTTCAATTCAATCTGCACTGAGACACCATCAAAAGACCAATAATCCTTTGGGCCCCAACTAAGTGTGCAACGTCCATTAAGTCGAGGCTGTAGTGGCATTCGAGTTGGTTCTTCCCGGGGGATCGCCACATCACGAAGGGACACAGCGGGTATCTAGTTAAGCGCGAAGGGCGTCAACTCCCTGGGCCTCGACCTCTCAGGTGGCCCGGCTGTTCGGTGCTCTTCTTGAACTACTGGACGAAGTAGGGCAAAAACGACGAGAAGATCTTTACGGTGATGAGAGACACATTAGAGGCCATCCGTGCTCGGGCCGTGCAGAAGGACAGTCTCGTCGACCTCGTGTACCTCCCTTACGCGGCTGAGGTCGAAGACTCGATTTCCTTGTACGATTCGGAGAAAAGCAGAAGCTACAGGCAGCGAGTAGAAAGTATGACCCAGACGAGCTTTTTCAGAAGGGTGTCCTGGGTGAGTTCACGCTTTTCTACAGATTTCAAGACCTTGGGACTCGCTTTACACCATGACTACGGCATCAGAATTTAGGATACAAAACAATAAATGTACAAATTCTCACAGTCGATATACAACTTTGCCAGCAATGGTCATCTCGAAAGGCAAACGGCAGACATGACATGGAGCGGCTAACCCGAGACTATTCGGGCAGAACTAAGAGAGAACAGGATACCATAAAGCAGTCTTACTCTTTGATGCCGAGCCAATGTAATCACCAAGTAGTCCTATGACAACGGTAGAAGCCAAGCACAACCTCCTGGCCAAGCCCGGTCTGGGGTTCCCGCCCTTCCTGCAGCGCGTCTGCACAATGCTTCGAATGCTGGTAATTGGACGTCTTGGTGTCGATGTACTTCATTTTCTTCTCGAAGGCGTACTGCAGCTTTCTCCACTGGAAAAGGCAGTGTTCGTCGTGGTACCTAGCGGGCCGGCGAGTCAGCACGAGACCTTCCATGAGGCGAAAGTTGCAGTTCTTACCGCATTGTGTAGACACTCGGGAACTCTCCGTCGTACAGCTGCTGCACTGTGATCTCCTGGGTCATGTTGACGTCGCTGTAGTACTGTCGGTTCTCGAAGATGGGCGGCAGCGACGACGTGAGCTCGTGGAAGTAACACTGCGGGGGCATCCATGAGTTGAGCGGCGGGTCCATCACACAACCAAGCTCCATGGCCTCGCGGCTGGAATGTCCGCAATTGTTCCACTCTTGTGCCTCGAGCTCCTCGGCTGTCTTGGGCCGATGGAGCGACCTCGCCGTCAGAAAGAGGACGCTCGTGATCAGAGCCGCCGTCACGCATCCCACGCCAAACGAGGCAAGATTCCATTGCCATCGCCGCCGTGGACTTGGCGTTGTGTTTGTGTCTTCGCCCGGCAGCGTCTCGTACTCGACATCTTGAAATGCTTCTGGTTCGTTCTTCATAATTAGACGTGGAAGCAGGAAGCTTGCGGAAACGTGAAGGCGTGCTGTGTCGAGATGAATGGGTCACAAGGTTGCACCGTGATATAGCGTCCGAAGACTGAGAGAGCCATCAAGATCAAGGCACTGGTTGAAAGCTCTCCGAGCTATAGGATGCCTGGCTGCAAAGCTAATAACTAGAGGGAACTCGGAAATGTGGGGACGAGAGCCTGGTTATCTGCTCGGACCGGACAGGGAGCTAGACTACTTGCCAGAAGAGGTTGTCTTGTACAAGACTTAGACTAGTGGGTCCTCGTCTGATCCTGATATCAGCTAGGCCTATTCATCTTCCTACTAGTCGCCTCGTTGACACCGCATAGGGTTTCCGTTGAGAGAATACAGGCGCTCCTGAGACCTGTGGATATCGTACAATCATGCTTGATAACACACACAGCTCTCCGCATTTTCGCGGAAATGCATTGGCAAGATGCGCTACAATGTATGCCAGTCCAAACAGTATCGTACAAAGTCAAGTGTTTCTATGCGACACAGAAAGAAGCCATAGCGTGGTGTGCGGGAGCTTCAGTATTTGCTAAAAGAGCCTTTGGTCAAAGGCCTCCTATAGAGGTAGTTGCTTCACAACAGCTATTTATCATTCCCAGCTCCCTATATCATCTCTGCGCCTCTGTGCCCTACAGATATCTGCCAAGAGTGACCATTAAATACCTATTTACTTGGTCTCGGCAACGAGGCTGTACTTGGTGCCGTCAGCGGCGATGAGCGTGTCGCCAGCCTTGGCACGTCTCTCCAGAGTGGCGGGCTCCTCGTCCGCGCTGACAATGAGGTATGAGCGCTTCTCGGCAGTGGCGGGCTCCTCATCCGCCGCCACAATGAGGTAAGAGCGTTCATCGACGTCACGGCGAGCTTTTCTAATCATCAGGTTAGACTCCCCCATCGCAGGAACAGGACTGAGGACAAGATTTACTCAGTCTCAGCAACGAGGCTGTACTTGGTGCCGTCAGCGGCGATGAGTGTGTCGCCAGCCTGGGCACGTCTCTCCACAGTGGCGGGCTCCTCATCCGCGCTGACAATGAGGTACGAGCGCTTCTCGACAGTGGAGGGCTCCTCGTCCGCCGCCACAATGAGGTAGGAGCGCTCAGCGAGCTCCGTAGGGGCAATGGCACTGGATACGAGTATTGTTAGCTATACCGGCCATTATAGGCACCGTCCACCAACTTAGGAATTTGTGTTCTCACCGCTCGTCGACAGGGAGAGCAAGGCCGGGGGCAGCCATAGCAATGGCGAAAGCCAGGTACTTAGCGAACTGCATTGTAAATGGTGTGTTTGAGATTGAAGACTCAAAGTGGTAAACTCAAAGTTGTAAATAGACTAGGAATCCGAGTAGTAGACACTGAAGGATGATGAGAGATAGAAAATTCAAGGTTCCTAGAAGGCAGTCTGGTCTTTAAACACTGGGCTGAGATTGGGTGCCGGTGGCATGCTGTTTTCTCGGACCGGCCAGGAAATCCTACCCGTTGGCCAGCGGCGTAGATGCTGCAAACGCCCGGTCGCCAGAGGAGCAGTGCTCGTGCGTACTCTGTACGAGTGAGCTTTCTTGTCTCTAGCCAGAGCGCCTCATCGGTAAGCTGGAGACGGAAAGGAGAGTGTTCGCCTTCCGGTCCGGTGGTTTTAGAACCAACTGCCTCATCAAGTATGGTCTCGGTCTCCACGCCACCAAAAGTTACGAATGCTTAGGCAGAATATCTCTCGGTCCATGATTCCTTCCATACCTTCGATAAGGGCTGATCCTAAAAAGGTCCCCAAGCTTGGCTTCGTTGTTGCTCAGTTGACTCGATAGGAGGTGACAGCTATACGAATCACAGTTTGGTTCCCTCCGCTAGCAGCGTTACAACACTTCGAAGATCAATCATAACACCCTCCTTGCCGTCTTCTAGGAAGGTATTAGCCGTATAATGAGCCAGCCGACGAGTGAAGCCGCCTAAATGCCATCAAACTCTATAGCCAGCAACCCGCTGTTGCGGGAGGGGTACTCGACGCCTACGGTGAGGCTCCGCAGGAAGAGCCGTGCGATACAAAAAAGAGTCGCCTGTGGTCTCTCATCTGGCCGAGAACACATAGTTTTGACTATCGTCCTTGTCATGGCCATCGTGCAGTGGGCCCTCGTCGTGTCCTTCTGGCGAGCTGGTCCGTCGGAAGGGCCGCTTGGCGAAGCTCATGGCTTGGTGCCAGACTGTATGTAACAACTCACACGCAAGAAGAACGCATATCTCCCTGCTAACCAAGAATATCCACAAAGTTGGCACTACGGTCGTCCGTTTCAACTCTACCAGAGAAGATGGGGCGCGTGCCATGGACGATTCAGACCCGGCATGGACAAACCTGATGCCTGGTAAGTGTAGAATTTTTGCACCCCAAGACTAGATGGTTGTGATGCTCGTTTCAACTAACTCATCTCATCACAATAAGTGGGAAGTGGATTCGTGGTTGTCGATGGGTGGGACAAATTCACAGATACTTTGCCGCCGCCAATACAGTTGAATGGCGACGATATCTTTTCAGTGTCCATCTTTCATCAGCTGCATTGTCTTCATTATATCTTGAAGGAGTTCAACAAGTTATTGCATCCGAATGAGACAAGCGACCACAACCACACAGCAGAGCAGGAACACGATCACAGTGGAGAGAGCCAGGAAGAGGCGCTCAAGCATGTCGGGCACTGCTTCGACTATGTGCGGAATTCGCTGATGTGCTGCGGGGATGTTGCCTTTGAAGGCCAGGGGAGTGATATCGAAGACCCAGGGACTCTCGGGGAGGCCTCATATCATGTGTGCAAAAACTACGACGCGATCAAGGCTTGGGCCCAAGCTTCGCGCGCCACGAACATGAAGGGCTTCAGTGACTAGATGAATTTGAGCACCTTCTCCATGAGCCGTAGCTTTGAGCATGGCTCTATTCAAAACCGAAGGAACATTGTTTACACCAAACATCAGAACATTCCTGTGGTTCTTGGTCAAGTATTCGATTATGACGAAGAGCTATAGACCAAAGAACTGATTTCACTCCTAAAGCCGCGTAACGTCGACTAGTGACAGCCTTCTTGCCCAAACCAATGCCACACGTAATCTGCTGCACCTTGTTGACAAGGTGTAGGGCTAGAGCGGCTGGGGCGACGAGATGTTGTGTAAAATGTTTGCCTTGCTCGAGCCCAGCAGACATTCTCCTTCAAGCGAGAAGAGGGCGGTTCCAGGCGCGCCAGACAATGCTCATACAGGCTACCCAGCTAGACGCGTACAAGCCAAAGACAACAATGTAGATGCAGATCCAAAGCCGTGAAAGAGGTGATTGACGCCATAAAGCCGGCCTGACCTTGGATGCGACGGCCAGGGTATCATCGCTGCTATCGGTATCGCTCAACTCATCCATGTCGTATGCATCGTATGGGGTGATCTTTTTGTACTGAGTCTGGGATTCGGCATCTTTATCGAGCGGCATCGTAACTGGATGGAGGGCTAAAAAGCGATGAAGGTCGCTATGTAGCCAGCCGAACAAGCGAAACCCGCGACAGCGTGAAGGCGACGCTTTGGGCTTCTGGGAGGGCAATGCAAGGTGCATTTCGCCTGTTTTGAGAGTACTGACGGGCCCAAGACAACGAACACGCTCGCAGCCTCCCTCAGGACTATAATGTGAACCTTTCGCGCAGGCAGTGAGCTTACCTGGTCCAGGGAGCCGGGCATGTTCTCTTACCCCGGTGCGAGCACTCGGACCGAGCCGGGCCAGATCCGAACCACACAACTCCCTCGCGGGCGGCCCCTAAGGCGGATGGATGCCTTTGGGCTTTCGGAATTGAATCATGTTCCCAAAGGGAAATAGGGAGCCGTCAGATTCTCTTTCTGGGGGGCATCTTTCAACTACTCAATCATCAACTGCTCATTGTAAATCGCCGCTTTACTTCGTCTCTCGGCCATCTTTCGTTCTGTCGAACAGCCAGAATATTTGCTACGACGCTTCATAGCCCAGACAAAACAACAAAGATGGACAGACCCAACGCTGACGATGAGGTCGACCTCCTCAAGCGGTACTCGCATGATTCGGAGAGCCTGGAGAGCTCCGAAATCGACCGGCGCCACTACGCCGCTCAACAGCAGCATCTGTCGAAAAGTCGACGGCTACATGTTGTCAGAATTGGCTTGGATCTGGTTGTTCTGGCGTGCTTAGGCGTGGCCATCTACTTCCTGATCCAGATTCAGGCCCAGACAGCCCACAGACATTCCGACTCCGCTGACGGCTCCGTCATGCACCGGGCGCCAGCTGGATCGGATCTCAGCGGGGTGGTGCCGTTGGGTAAGTAAAAAAAAAACCCAAACCATAGGACTCGGGTTGAAATGCCTTCATATTGTAACGGCCAAGAGAAGCTGACGAATTAACTCTGTGTTCCTTAGGCGAGGTAGGCGGAAGGACAAAGTACAAATCCTGGATGCCACGCAAAGGCCTATGGGCAACTCCGCAGGACTTCCATGAAGCGACGGCGTTAAATGGGACGCTCGAGGCCTGGAACCGGGTTATCAAGCGTAAGCAGGAACCATTACGCTCCGCAGACTTCCTCCTGCTCCGACCAGTTCATAGCTGACTTGCTCGTCGTGGCAGCCTTTGTTAAGGCCGATGACTCCTGGGACCATCGAGGTCCCGAGATCCCGCTTATTTACGACCTATTTGAGGTGTCCGCATTCCATCAGGTCCATTGTCTGGTGAGTCTGATTTGGTCCCTTGGCAGGATATTGCCTGGTTCACTGACACTTTCACAAGGCCGGCATTCTGGAGGATTTCAGTTACATGGCCATGGGAATCCCTCAGGCCAAGCTTCCCAGCGTGACCAGACTGGAACGTCTCGACTGGGCAGACCACAATGCGCACTGTTTCAATTATATTCTTGAGGCAATCATGTGCTTCGCCGACACCACGACTGAGGGAGCGACTCCGGGGAACCCCCCTGCTGTGCACAAGGAGGCGACTCACGTCTGCAATGACTGGGATGCTCTGTTCGAATGGTCCGAGAAGCCAGAGCATAGAATGCCTGAGGTTGATGGGCTCCGGGCTGTGAATTAAACGGGGATTCTACGCCAGTTTGAACCTGGATTTTCTCCTGATCAAATCATCGAGCACCTCGTTTGCATGGGCGCTATGGATTTTGTGTGCATATACATGTCCTCAGCCCTATGTTTCATTAAATAACTGATGCTTCTAAAGTTGAAGCTGAACCAATCAAGTATTAGGTTCCAAATAGTAGCTTGGCTGCAACCAAGAAGGTTGTGCTTGAAATAGTTGAGACATTCGACAAGGGGAAACGCGACCCAACACTTTAGACACGAGAGCTTGTATCTACTAGCATCACCGAAGGAATCAGTCCATGTTGAAGCGTTCGGCATCTCCCAAGCATTTTACTCTATATCAACTCAGGTGTGTAGATCAAGGTAGGTAGATACATGCTAATTACTATGTATTCTTCACCTAACATAGCGCATCGCCACAACACAAGCTCTTGTCTCGCTAGAGGAGCATGAATACTTTGCTTGATGCAAGTATTACTTGGTACAATTACTCCCATTTCTTGTCTACCTCTACCTGATTAAGGCACCGGGGTAATCATTTACTTCAGCCCCTTGAGCTGGTCTGGGAAGTAGTCATTTGCCGCGGCATACTTCATCACCACATCCCAATTGCGACACTGATGCTCTACCCCCAAGCCGTCGCTTCTGGTGTAGCCTGGATCCAAGGGCTCAACAGTCGCGTCTGCCCCACAAAGGATGTCCTGCTTTTGATCAGTGTCTTTGAACAAGAAGAGTAAGAGAGGCTGAAGGCACGCACCCCACGGATGAAGTCAAAACAATGCTTGATGTGCATTCTACGGGTAATGGACTCTGCCGTCTTGTCGTTGAAGAACACCCGTCGGTTCTTGTCCGTCGCCATCATCGTGAACTCCTCCCGGATGGAGACGAGGCAGTGTAGCTTATGGAGCATGTCGATGCCTTGCGTCAGGTGGGCGCCGCTCGGGTCTCTCCATTCCATGCTCCACCAATGGTCCCGGCCCCATGGGAGCCAGATGTCCGACGTCTCTTGGTCGAACGGACGCATCTCTGGATGGTCGGTAAAGGTGTACTGCAGCGGAGGGAGGTCGATGGGGTCGCCCGAGATGCCGCGATACCACCGCATGTTGAAGGAGACGGCGGATGCGGCAAGCAGGAGGGTGCAGGCCAAGGGCAACCACGGCCAGGTCGTCTTCTGCTTCTTCTCGAAGGACAGAGGCAGAGAGTCTTCGTCCTCATCTTCCGTTTTCAGGGCCTGCATGCCTCTATACTTCCGCAGCCAAGTATCCATCTTCATCGTCGACATCGGATGCGTGAACAAAAAGGTTTGGGGAACTGTTTGGCGTGCTCGTTTGGCAACGATATCGACGGACTGGATTGCAAGCTAGGCTTTGGCTGAGAGAGGGCATGTCTTCACACCCACTTCTAGGCGTAAAATGTCGACAGTCTCGGAGCGCCGGGGGTCACCGCATGCCCGGCCGGTCCGAAGCGCCACCTCGGAAAACAGCCGCCCCACCCCCTCCATCCGGCCATGCAGTTCCCCTCCAGAAGGCTAGTTTTCCTGGCTTGATTTCCAACATGGCCCTGCGATAGAATCGAGCTGTCTCACCACCAGCCCTCAGAACCCACACAATCATCATGGTCTCCTTTGGTCTTGTTTACACGAGCGTCGCCGTCGTGACAAGCGTCGTCCTCATCGGGCTCCCCTTCGCGGGGAGAGCCTCTCCGCCCGTCATCCGTGGGACAAATCTCCCCGAGCAGGCCGTCTTCGACGAGATGCACATGGACAACGCGTCCTACACGTCCTGGAGCGAGGAAGCCGATCGTCTCTGGGACGCCCTGCTCCCGGACAACGGCGGTTCCGTGCTCGCCACCAACCTCACCAGCGGATACCACTTTTGGGGCAGGGTGTCCATGTTCCACCAGCTGCAGTGCCTGAGAGACATTCGGAAGCAGCTCAAGGCCATGTCCGGCTCGTGGGACGCGTCTCGGGCCTTGATGGGCAACAGAGGCTGGGGTTCCGACTACGAGCAGTTTGGGCTCTGTTTCGACTACCTTCGGCAGGGCATCCTGTGCCACGCCGACACCACGCTGAACCCGGTTGCTTTCAACAGCGAGTGGGCCGACGGCAAAGTGGTGGACGGCAACATCCTCTGGCACAAATGCAAAGACAGGAATGTGTTGTACGGCTGGGCCGAATTGTCTGGTTTGCCTCGAAACGTAGGTCTTCCTGAACATGCGCAGCTGATTGACTGACTACTAGTTGGCAGACGAAACTTGCTAATCCGGCTATCCATCAGTCTCCCCTCATCAAGGAACAACCGATCGAAGAGTAACAACGTTGGTAGTAGACGGGGGACTACAAGAGCATCAGGACTGCCAATGGATTAGAATATCTGTGTTGCAACCGCTAGGCTTCACTTGTCCAGCACAGTAATTACTTTAGGTAACTAAGAAGGGCATGCAGTAGGCACTGTAATACACCCAATTACCTCACTAGGAGAGAAAATGAAAGAGCATCCATGGTTTGAGACTTGCAAGCATTTGTTACACCCCCCCCCCCCCCTCTCTCTCTCTTTTGTGTGTGTGTGTGTGTTTTGCTTCCTTTGCTCAGCAGCTTAAATTCTATCTAGTGAGGAGGAGCCTGGACTGAGTGAAGACCCTTGCATTTTAAATGTGAGTGGAGGTGAACGGAAGAGAGGAAATCCAATCACAGCCCAGTAATCTTGATGAACGTAGCCTCTGGGAAGAGCATCCTTAAAGCCATCGGTTCGGAAAGAGATCGGATCTGGAGGTCTAGATGTACTATAGTATAGTACTAGTCGGAATCATGTGGGTCTTAGTTGCTCAAAATAAGCCAGTCGGTAATTGTTTGCCTCTGGCCTCGCCTCAAGGGTCCGAGAATCCCTCCACCCGCCGGGCGCATGGCATCACAGGCCCCTGGACTCGTACTAACCTAAGACACCTGGCAGTCACACATCACTCAGGTTCTCTCCTCCCAACGATGGGATCGAAAAGAGCGTCCAACATGTCTCGACGGGCGTCGAGTAGCGAAGAGGCGGCACCTTTTCTTGATGACCCGGAAGCACCGCTGGCGCCGGGTTGTCACAAAGAAGCAGCTGCACTCGGCTCGCTCAAAGGAAGACTCTTGGTGCGCGGCATCGCCATCTCCAAATCAATCCTGTGGCTTAACATTCTCCTCTCGATTGCAAACGCTGCATGGACCATTGTCAACCTTCAGCCGAGACACGGCTCTCGATCAAGCTCAGGGCGCCCGCGCGGAGGCATATATGGTGAGTCTTGAAGCGCAAAAGAGACTCTCAGAGTGATAAGCGTATATACTAAATGAGCCTATTCGCTATAGAGGCGACGGGAGCGCCGATGTCGTTGGTGAACTCAACATGGAATCTCCCCATCGGCACTCGATCGCCTTTTACCGACTTGGATCCAGCTGTGGCGGATGCGGCCTGGGCGACGGTCAACATGGGAGGCAAGCGTAAGCTTCTGGATTTAATCTAGGCACAGTGCTGTTGTGATGCTGACCCGGGATGCGACTTACAGAGGGCTGGCTCAAGGTGCCCAAGGCTAAGGTGGATCTCATGGACCAAAGCTCGATCGAGTTCGCCGACGGCTCCGGCTACTTGTTTGGCATGGATGTGTTCCATCAGCTGCACTGTCTGGACTTTCTTCGCAAGAAGACCGTCCTGTACCACCCCTTCTACCCTGTGGTTGAAGAAGACGAAGATATACCAGTGGCGTATCACATCGGTGAGTAGACCATATTTCAGCCACGAGCCGTCTTGAGTTTGCGCCTCGAGAGCAGCTCCAGACATCGTTGGAAGACAAACACCTTGGACAGATCAGCTAATTCGAAATGCGGCACGCAGCTCACTGCATAGACTCCATCCGCCTCTCTCTCCAATGCCACGCAGACCTGACGTTGATCCCACAGCGCTGGGCCGATGGATGGATCGAGCCCTGGGCCGTCTGGACCAACCGTCATCAATGCCGTGATTTCGACTCGGTAGCCCTCTGGGCTCGTGATAATTTTCCGAATTTGAAGAACACCTTGGTGCACCCGGAGCTGGGAGTCTTTGTTTCGGGGCACTTGAACCACTCGGCATTGCCCATTTGGGAAGAACCACATGATGACCTGCCCAACTTTTTAAATACAGTACCTACCTAAGCAAGTAGTCGAGCCAGAAGATGGAATAGAGTCAAGTTCAAACTCGGAAATGTCGGACCTCTCGGCTCGTGAATGCACATCATGATCTGGTCTCCTGTTCAATAGATAAACATATGTATTAGCACCATAATTATTTTTGCTTAACTCAACTAAGCTAAGTTGCATCGCAGCACCAGGTGCGAATAATTGTTGCACAATAACACAAGCCAGCCACCCTCCGTTCGATGTGGTCGACAGAGAGACCAATGAGTATCCCTGCCTGCAGAATGAAACGCCGGACAGGAGCTTAGATGCTTGCTCCTCTGGTGTTCCGGACCGGGTTCCTTTTGTGCTATTTTCGATCCGAACAACCCGCCAATCGGTGACCAGAACACGGTCGACGCTAGGACTTGATAGAGGAGGGTGCACCTAGACTTGTACATAATAGGAAACACACCTCGTCTGAAGCAGCACAACGCTTTGCACATGAGCCATCTTCGGACGGGGCAATGTTCTCAAGAGACACCTCGTGACTTCGTGATGGATCGCCTGAGCCGCCACTTGCGAGAGTCTTGGCCATATGTAGGTCCTCCATCTCGTCCCCACCCTTTCCTTTGTGCGTCACTCACGCGTGGGGCGATCTTAGAGAGCTATTCTCAACCACAGACTACGATACGAGGCCATCCCGCCACCGCCGCTCAGCGCGGATGGTGGCCATGATGACGGCCGAAAATGTTCCGCGGCGGGAACGTCCACAGTCGTCGCACCCCACAAGAGGAGAGTGGTGATTTCATTTTTACTTGGCTTCGCATTGGCCTCTGCTATCGCTGGGATGCTAGCTTTCGTTGTGGCAACCAATGCACAGGTTGCAGGCCGACAAGACGTCCAGCCAGATCCCTCCAGCTCCCGGTTCACGTTCACGCCCGACTGGGCCGGCGTTGTCCTGTCTACGCCACCCCCGAACCAGCGATTCGCCGCAGTCAAAGCCAGCTTGACGATACCGCACACGACAGCTGCGGAGGAGAGCAGCGGGCTTGCAGAAGCGCAAGCGGTCTCGGTGTGGCTAGGGATCGACGCCAACAGCAGAGACTCTCCGGGCCTGCGAACAGGCCTCACGCTCAGAGCTTTTCCCCACGGAGAAACGATGCTCGAGGCTACGTATCAGTGGGGCTCGGACGGCCCGCACACCTACGCCAAGCTGGGCCCTTTATTGCCGGGCGACGCGCTGCAGCTAGAGTTAGTCATGTTCAACGAGACATTTGCCAAGGCCGAGATGCAGAACACGGCGACAGGCAGCAAGGCGACCAAGTACTGGGCACAGCCGCCGCAGCCCCAGGCGGTGCTCTCTGGCCAGAGCGTTGGGTGGATCTTGGAGGATGCCTCGTCACGGCCGGGGACGAACCGGATGGGCAAGAGCAGCTCTCTGCTGGACTTTGGGCGCGTGGTCCTGGAGCACTGCATTGTGTGGACGGACAAGGATGAGCTGCTGACGGCCGACCAGGGCGACGTGTACAGGATCCGCCAGAGCGGCGTAGCACGCACTGGGGTCCATGTCGAGGAGGAGGCGGTCTTCTTCACCTTTATCGAATGAACAACAACCGACGGCACAAAAGCGGCAAGGAGGAGGCGCGTAGCTGCTCAGCTCAACCGCCCGTCAAGTCTACACTACGCTCTTGTGGGCCCTGACAGCTATGTCGACCAGCTCGGTCACGCGGTCGAAGAACTCGGTCGTGGGCAGCACCGACGACATTCGTGCGAAGAAGCCGTGTGCGACGGCGAGCACGGCTCGGGCGTCTTCGAAATCGGCACTTCCGTGCGTCGAGACTTGCGTGGCCATTTTGCACAGACTGAGCGACGGCAGAAACAGAAGAATCCTAATTATTTTTGTCCATCAGGGCTGGTCAGTCACGCGTCGCTAGGTAAATAGCCAGAAGTATGGGAGATCATGAGAGCAGCCACGGTGCCTTACCGATCATAGACAATGTCATCGGGCTCGATTCGGTTGCTGAACTTGAAGATGTCTCGACTGAGAGGTATCACCGGCGACCGAAGCGGTGGGTTCTTTGTAGTGTCCATCCATGTGTCATCAACATCGAGCAGTGCAAGCTTTGCTTCGCAGTACTGATAGAGCATGCATATAGCCAGCTGTCTGGCGAGACTCCTACTCGTTGTGTTTTTGTCATGCAACCGGCCGTCGTCGGGAAGCGACCCGTACCAGTCCTCAAGCTCTGCGGCGATGCTTGTTGCCTTGCTCTCGGAAGATCGAGACTGGTCTTCACGGGCATGCGATGTTTCGTTATAGATCTGCCCACATAGCTTGCTGTACCTGCATTGAGCCAGGAGCCAGTCCTGGTTGCTATTGCAATCTTCCATGGGCGGCGGTGTGTACTGCAGACATGGTTCTGGAAGCAACTAGGAAAGGCGTCAGTGGCGCTGTGCTCGCAGACGCCTGCCCGGCCCCCGCGGCAGAGGAATGCGAGTACACGGAGATTCGAGCTGACAACGCACCGAGAAAGACTTCCAACGTAGAGCATTGACCTTGTCGACGCAGAATACTATCCAGCACGCCCGTTTGACTCTGGCGGCCAGTCCCGGCGATTCGGCACACAGGCTCTGCAACGCCGCAGCGGAATGTAGACTGAGAGCCTGGATGATGGACACAGCAGTCGCTAAGAGCTTGGGCAAGTGTTTCAAGCCCAGCTTGTGGACGAGTTGGAGCTAGAAAAGGTGAGCTTTTGCTCAACAAGAAAATTAGGAGGCGAGGAAAATCTACCTACAACTGCTACAATAGCCTGCACCTACGGTCAGGCACCAGTGGCAACGATACACGGAAGAAAGAGAAGAAGAAAAGAAAGAAAAGATTGCTACAGTGCCTTGGAACGTACCAGGAATTTATCCACCGAGTCCGGCTCGGCATTTAAGCCGTCGTAGGCCTCGCCCATGCGAGCTATCAGCTCAACAGTGTCCGGCTTGCGCTGGTCTGGTTTCAACAGAGACCCCCAAGCCGCAAGAGTGACCACGATGCACCTGCCGACGGCGGCTGCTTGAGACCTAAAAGAGGGTTGGAGGAAGTTGACCGCGGCGAGAACCTCGCGCTGCTCTAGATATAGCTTGACACTGGCGAGCACTATGATCAGCAGAGGGAGCAGTGGGCAGCTATGTCGACGAAGAACAATAACTTCTCACCCTAATGGCTCCTCAAAGCAACCTATAGAACTAATTAAGATCTGACTCGTAAGAGGATGGGGCAAGACGGAGATGCGGCAAGAAGGACAGTGCCTGTATTTTCCCTCTCGCGTGTAGGCGTACTTACTGCGAATAAGCGATTGGATGGGCAGGTCTGCCCAGCCGATGTCACGTGCAGTCTGCTGCCCAAGGCCGGACAACCACCAGGCTCCTGGGAGACTGCGTTGGCATTCCTGGGACATGATGAAGCTGATAGCCTCGACTGCCGTCTGCCGCGCAGCTTCGTCAACCCTGGCCTTGGAAAACTGCGCAATAAGAGGCGAGACGCAGGGGTCGAAGCGGGGCCGCGACCGCTCAGCATCTCGATCCAGTTGTGTTAACGCCGGGAACAGCAGTTGCCTGCGTTCTCCGTCATAATCTTGCCCTCTGGCCTCCTTGTCTTTGTACCGATTTGACAGGTCCAATGCTAGGCTTACTGGGGTTTGCGGCCTATCCCCAGCATCTTGCCCTCGCTGGAGTGCTACCGGCGTTGGGAGAGCGTTGACCGAGAGTGGCCCCGGCACGGCTGTCGTTATTACCTGCAGCATGGGATCTACTGCGTCGAGGCCTCGGATGCTGGAGACCGAGTCCTGGCGGGTTCGAGAGGCTTGTGATGCACTCCCGATCTCCAAGGCTGGCAGATTGGTTAGCACAGCTTCTCGACCGTCTCGGCGGCTTTCAATGTCGAAGCCCCGTGTAAAGTACACACCTTGCGGATAGGTACCCGCCCAAGCACGCTCTGGTAGCGGCATCTCTTTCGGGGTGGCGCCTTGCGAGATCTCATGTGCCAGCTCGGAGGTAGGCAAGCTAAACAAGTCCTCACCGAGGTTGTCAAACGTGGGGGTGGAAGGTGTGGTGAGGTTCATGAACCAGTCCATGGAATCGACCTCTGGGGATACCAGACTGTGAGAGGAGACGGAACCGCTGGTGTCCGGCTCGGGACTTCCCATCGAAAACCCCGTGCTGCTGGTTGTCGACAGCCCCCGCTGGTGGGGAGCCCTCGGTGGCCGTCGACCGGCCTCTGATGTCTCGGCCGTCGTAGAGAGATACGAGCAGGTGATACCATGCCGCTGAAGATAATAGGACGTGATTAGGTAAAGTCTCCCCATCTGGCCCAGGCACTTTGAAGCTCACCTGGCACAGCCGGCATGGCCGTTCTCCATTGCCTTGGTCCACATCGATGTCAGAGTCCTTCTAGACACTGCTGAAAGCCTTTCTGAGCCTTTCTGAGCCCTCCTGAGCTGCGAGATGCGGGATGAGGGATGTACCTACAGCGGATTTTTTTCCGCCTACAGTATGTGCAAGCACCGCGTCTTCTGGTGATTCTTGGTCGGTCTCGGTCTAACGAGTCGGTCGGCATGCTTGGCCCAGAGTTCCAGACAAACCCGAGAGCTTGGACAAATGTAGCAAGCAGGCCTCTTGCTGTTTTCTTCTTTTTTTTTTCTTCCCCTTTCCTTCCTTTCTTTTCTTTCCCTCTTCTTTTCCCTTTCTACTTGGGGGACAAACTCAAAAATAAAGGATTCAGAATATCTAAGCAACAAGAGATAAGAAAACCCTTCTAGGCAAAAAGAAGAGTGATCAGGCAAGGCTATTTTTTCAGCATATAAATCCTCAGCTGCAGAAGAGAGACGAATGTAAGCACACTGGCCACTTATGCGCCACCCATGCTCTCGTGACGGAACTTTGTAGGCTGTATCTTCCTTCGCTTGTCCGGGGTCACTGTACACCAACTTGCATCTATGATTGGTCTGCTAGGCTGATTTGTATCTTCCTTCCGATGGTCTGTGACAGCTTACACCGGCGGTGAGCGCATATTTTCCGCGTAGTCTTCCGCACATTTGCCCCGCCGCCCATAATCGCTAGAACAGCGCATCAGCACTACCTTGAACATCATCCCCTTCCAACAGATGCAGCTGCGCCGGCACCCCCGAATGAATCCTTTGCAATCAAAGACTTTCATCCTTGTACATACATACATACATACATACATATCTATATATACATTTTATAACTACAGCTAACCCTGGCGACCTTACCTAAAGTCGTTAGGCTGCTGTGCATACTTGATAACCGAGTCTTAGCGTGAAGCAGCGAGATTTTTCTCAACGGCGGGCGAATTTACTTGCGGGGCTTTGCGGAACCTTAGGCTGACGTTAGATACCGAATAGGACTTATCTTATTTTACCTAGTAGTAATGGGGTAGGTAGTATTCTCGGGCTTGGCTTGCAGCTGCAACAGCTTTCATCGTACCTACAACGTATCAGCTTAGAGCTATGGGCAGCCTGAAGCGAGATCTCAACTGAATCCTCCGGGAGGACGTGGTCCAGGACCGCGGTGGTCAAGTCAAGATAGGATAAATCTTCACTTCATGGAATATCCTCTGCCACGGCCCGACTTTTTCTTGTGCTCGCTGAATGTGCTCGAGATACGATACTGTCGACCGTAACCTGAGCTACGTAGTATTTGAGTTTTTGTACTTCCTTTCGACAGCATTGACGACAACATTGACGCCAGTGACCAAAAAAAAAAAAAATTTTCCAAGAAAAAAACAAAGCATTGGACCTAACTGAAAGTAACTAGACACACCGCCAGAGAGCGTCTGACTGCCTCACAAAGAGTCCCTACTACGTACAGAGTGATAGTCGGCGGCCGCCCCCCTCCCCCCCCCCCCCAGCTTCTGGCCCACTACTCTGTTCCTTTATAGCAGGTGCCTAAAACCTCTCTAACAGCCTAAAGCTTCTAGAGTGTGAGAGGTTTTAGGCAGTAAGAGGTCTTAAGCATCCACTATGGTGGAAGAGAGTAGTGGGCCAGGGAGGGCTAGCGCCCACGGGGACAGTAGTCTCCGTAGTAAAGCGATTCCTCCTCGGGAAATGAGCGGCGCAGTGCATTACTTATCTTCTCTGCTATCAACGGTCCTGCAAACCCCAGCCTGCAGTTGCCAGCGTTCAGAATCTTGTGGAATCCAGCCAGCATTGTCGATACAGTCAGACGACAGAAGGCCCTAACTGCTGGCAGCTACACGGGAGTTCTTCGGATAGGCTAACAGCAGAAAGTAGCTCATAGGCCACCCAGAACGACACTAGAAAGGCAGGATACCTGCGCCGCCCACAACCTTGCCCACATCAGCATCTTTGCCGCCCTCTATCAAGGTGGTGATCAGCTCTCCCCCAGTCGATGCAGGCCCGGCTCCCCGCCGGGCCATACTTGCTCTCTGGCCACCCAGGCCGGTGGCGAGAAAGCCTGGCGAGACGCTCCACACCTTGACCCCGTCCTCCTTCAGCACCCAGTGCCAGGAGAGCATCATCATGTTCAGCGCCGTCTTGCTGGCGCGGTAAGCACTCGGCAGCACTGCAGCCTTTTTAGGCCACCCGGCCGGGATGGGTGGCGGGACGGGGTAGTGCGCCTCGCTCATCCTCTCCACGCTCGCCAGCCCGCTGGTGACAAAGAGCAGTCGAGGATCCGAGGATTTGAGAAGCAGCGGCACGAACGTGTGTGTCATAATGTTGGCCCCAGACACGTTGACATCGTACGCCTTGTTCCAGGCCTCACGCATGCTGATGTCGCCGTAGACACAAGCCGCGTCCAACGCAATGCCTAGGTAAAGCATACGACATTAATCAATGCTCAGTGCTGCAGCTTCAGACAAAGGGCAGCCGTGCATGAGCTCACCTGCGTTGTTCACCAGCGTATCGATACGCCCGTGGGTGGCCTGGACTTTGTCGAAGGCATCAGATATCGAGTCGTCGCTGGCGACGTCGACCTGGAGCAGCTCCACAGTGCTATTTGTCTCAGCGACATCCTTCTTCAGCGCCTCCAATGCTGCTTCGCCCTTTTCTAGAGATCGGGTGCCCATAAGAATGTGGTATGTCCGTGTCGACCGGAGGAGCGCCTTGACCGTCTCCCAGCCAATGCCAGAGTTCGCTCCGGTCACAAGGACGACGGTTTTGCTTGCAGCAGCCATGTTCACAGTCGTGATAGGCTGGAGAATAAGATGTGACGAGCTTCTGCAAGGCCGCCGTCCGTAATTGAACTATGTTATATACCTTTTCTATGCGACAGCTAAAAGGAGTGACCACTCCCAGCTGACTGGAAGGGTGTGTGAGTCCGACCCTACGCAGCTATATAGGCCACAGCCGTTTCCAGTCAGTTGGGAGTGAGTGGTCACTTCTTTTAGCTGTCACACAAAGGGACTATCGATTTAGCGGTTCCGCATTTGTCTTCTGGCCCCATTTGTCTGCAAGGCCCCACTCATATCACACTGAAACCTACTGTACTATAGGGTTCTGAAACCTACTAGCCCCCATCTATATCCCCTTGAATGCTTTTGTATGTACAATTGAATATGCAGCTGGAGCATACCGGAGGCATTGCTCCCTCTTAGGAGAGCACAAGCGAGGCAAAACGAAGGGACAAACATGTACTTCAGACTGTCTCTCTCTGACAACATAGATGCAGAGGTGGCTATGTCTCTGGTCTAATGGATGACCAAGGACTCCCCTATATTCATTTAGGATTCAAATAGCCCCCTCTTAGTCCAATCAGGGTTGATAAAAGAAAAGAGCCTTAGAACAGTCGCAGCCGAGGCGCATCATATGTAGAAGCTCGCTCTACAGACATTGATTCTGCCTAGCACAACGCATTTTTGAATGTCACAATCCCAAAGTCTAATTTACAAAACCCAGTTCCCTCCACGCATCTATATATTTCACAGCCAGTTCAGGACTGACCGGCCCCTCGCGGGCCATAGTCAGGCTATGTTCCTTGGCCCTCCCAACATCCAGGATCAGGCCGCCGCACGACATGCGCTCAAAGTGGCCGCCCAAAAACTCGACCATGCCTGGCCGCCCCGCTGGGTTCTCCGCCTCGGTCAGTGGGGACGTGCGCACGCGCTTGATCCAGCTCTGGAACGGGATAATGTTGGCTGCAGGGATGTTGAGCGCGCGTGCAAGCACGGGCGACATGAGCTTCCACGGCTGGCCGACCGGGTTGTCGATGTGGTAGACGGGGTGGACGGCGTCCGGGTTCAGCACGAGCTCCGCTGCGATGGCGCCACAGTGGTCGACGGGGACCCACTGCAGGATCCCGTCGAGGTCGGGCCAGGCGCGCAGGGCCTGGCTCGACTTGACCAGGAAGGCGAAATGTTCGGTAGGGTTCCAGTAGCCGCTCTTGGAGGACCCGGCGATCTGGCCTGGACGCACTACCATGGCGCGGAAGAGTTCTGGGTGCCGGTGGAGGGTCTCGTCGAGCATGCGCTCGCACACCCATTTTGCCTGGGGGTAGCCGCTTGGTAGGGTGGCCTCGAGGGCGACGCGGCGCTCGAGCACGCGCTTCTCGCCGCAGAAACCGACCACACCAATAGACGAGACGAACTGGAAGCCGACTTGGACGTTGGCACGCGCGGTGGCTACCACGCGCGCCAGGTCCAGCAGGTTCCGCATGGCCTGGAACTGTGACTCGAAGGCGCCGATGGGCCGTGTCGCGCTCATGGGCCAGGCATTGTGCACAATATGAGTGACGTTTTGCACAAGCCATGCGTATTCCTGGGGCGGCAGACCTAGCTGTTGCGCCTTGGATATATCCGTCTCTATGATACGTAGCTTGGCGCGCGCTCCGGGGGCCAAGGTGATTCCCCTGGACAGGAAGGCATCTTGCTGGCGCTTCTCGACGGACACGCTGCTGCTGCGGCGGTTGATGCACACGACCTGGAAGACTGTGGGGTTCTCGGCCAGCTTCTGTACAATGTGTGAACCCAGGCTACCCGTCGTGCCCGTTACCAGGACCACGGCGCCGAGGCTGGGCGCCCTGCCACTGCTTGCTTTGGTCCTCGTCTGCGCCCGCTGTGCGTTGAGGGCGTGTAGTCTTGGTGAGGCCCATCCATTGGAGTACTTAGCCACCAGCCGCTCTGCCTCAGCCGTGCGCGCAGCTACGTCACCCTTGTCCATGGCATCTTCTTCGGGCGCTGGCATCGGGAGCCGCTCTCCCTGGTCACCAGAGGCCATGGCCATAATGACCTTTTGGTAAGCAGCTTCTGGCAGGTGGCCATCGGTCCAGTCGACGTGGCCAAAGCCGGCCGCATGGAATTCTCGTTCCCAGTGTTCTTCATTCACGACGGCATGCTTACGCCCGTCATCAAAGAGCCACCAGCCCTTGAGCAAGCCAAAGACAAAGTCGACAAAAGGTACAACCTCTGTCATTTCCACAAGCATAACAAACCCATCAGGCCGCAAGGCTTTGCGCATGTTGGTCAGAGAAGCGACGAGGTCGTGAGTGGCATGAACAGCGTTGCTGGCCAGTACTATGTGAGCCCCTCTCAGTCCTTCCTCGGGAGCCAGCTCAATATCATGCGTGAAAAAGCGCATGAATGGATATACCTTTCCCCAGAGCCGCCGGGCATTAGCCACCATGGAGTGGGAAAGGTCGGTGAAGGTGTACTCGACCGGAATGCCCAGGGATGCCAGGAAGGGCAGCAGAACCCTCGTGGTACCCCCAGTGCCTGCCCCCATTTCGAGGATCTTGAGAGTCTCTCCTTTCTGAAGGACCCCAGCGCGCTCACAGACCTTCCTTATCACTTCGCGCATCTGAGCGTAGCACATGCAGTTGACTGTGTACTCGCAATACATGGCTGCCGTCCGCTCCCTGCCTTCGGGGCTGCCAAAGAGGACGCGTATTCCGTCTGTCTTGCCACTCAACACACCTGCCAGGTGCTTGCAGGCATAGTAGCACAGGCGGCTTGGCACAGAAAACTCGGGGTGCTGAGTTAGCAGCTCTTCCAAGATGACACTGCTTGGCTTTGACGGGACAGGCACGTGGGTGCGCGTCAGCTGCCCACTTGCGGGGTCGATATCGACGAGGCGGGCGTCGCGCTCGAGGAACTGGTACACGGCTTCCACTAGGCGGCCATGTTGTGGCAGGAATGGCACGCGGTCAACTGGCTGCCCTGCAGCAGCGTCCAGGGGACAGCCAAGCTCATTGAAGACCTCAACAACAAGGGCGGCAGTCAGACGGCCGTTACCAACCAGGGTGGCCTTTTCGATGTTGTCGAGTTTCCACTCGCGCAGATAGGCATCGGTGGCCATCTTGACCTCGGCAAAGGACGAAAGAACATCCATGGGCGATAGAGACAGGTTGCTGGGGGCTGACGATGGCGTCGTCGCCGCCTTGGCTGGTTCCTCAGCTTTCGCAGGCTCCTTCTTCTGATGTTGCGGCGTCTGATTATCCATGTCCGCACCTGGTGTCAAAATAGGCTCAAAACCCGAAGATATGTCAGTAGATGACGAGGAATCTAGATCATGGTCCATGCCGACGACCAACGACGAGTCCTCCGAGGAGTCGTCGTCGAAGGAATCCTCGCTGCCCTCATCTGTGGGAGGGAGAGGTGCATCTGCGTCCGCACCAAACAGCGCATGTTCGACGCAACGTATAAACAGGCGCAGGGTAATTGCTTCCATCTGTTCAGCCTGGTCCAGCGTGCACTTGAAGGCCCTCTCGACCTCGCGCCCAAGCTCCATGCCCATCAGTGAGTCGATACCGAAGTCGGCCATTTCTGCGTCTAGAGTCATGTCTTCAACATCAATGCCCGAAAGCTCAGACACGAGGTTACGCACTTCGTCAGTGATGTCCCGTCTGCCTGAAGCCGAAGCAGAAGAGGTTGTCTTGTTCTTCTTTGCTTTGGCTGAACCCTTCATCTTCTTCTTGCTTGTTTTCGGGTCAGGCCTGGGTATGGCATCTGCTGCACTTGCGCCAATTGTTGCAGCAGGAGAAGAAGCAGCAGCGGTCGGAGGTGCTGCGGATGGGGCTTTATGATTGCGCAACACCGACTGATCCTTGGTCATGCGAGCCAGCATCTTGCTCATCGACACCTTGGCTACTCGCTGATATGCGATGCCCAACATGACCTCAACGAGCTGCCCTGTGGCAGCATCAAACACGAACACGTCCGTCGTGTAGGCCGCTTCATTCTGGCGTAGGTGGCGCGCATACACATGCCACACGTCCGTTTTGACACGGTCGGCGATCTTGTGTCTGGGCGAGCGCATGGAGAACTGGCAGCCGGTGGCGATGTACATGTCCTCGGGGGGGCAGTCCGTCATGACGTTCACCCACAGGCCGCCCACCTGGCTGAAAGAGTCGCTCAGCGGCGTGTCGAGCCATGTATCGACTTGCCGATGGCGCCTATCCAGCTGTACACGTCCGGCACACTCTCCCCCGCGGCCAACGACGTAGCGAACGCCGCGATAGAGCTCGCTGTAGTCGACGACGGGCTCAAAGGCGCGGTATACCTGGCGGCCTTGCAGGCTCTCTACGCCATCCTCGTCAAGGCTGAGTTTAAGGAGTTCCTGGCACCGCGCGTGGCTGGCAAGGCGCTCGAAGTGAGCATACTCCTGCACGTAGGCGGCATCGGTAGGTGACCGCATGTCCACGCGCGCCTCAGCGTGGGTCTGGGGCTGCTCAACTACTGTGTCCGCCTCAACACTGAAGATACGCACTCCCCATTGCATAGACTTCTTGTCAAGGGCACATAGTTCAATATAGACGATCCGAGACGGATCGGCACAGATGGGAGCTTCGTTGACCACTATAGAAAAACCGTCAGTATATTTCAGCCTTGTGAAAGGATTTCCATAAAGGCTAGTAGATGCCACGTGGGAAATTCATGGACCAGACAAGCAGTGAAATAAGCGAACTCTAGGATAGATGGGAGGACCTTTGTCCCAAATTCCGTTCCACCTCAAAATTCGTTTATCAAGAAAAGAGAAGGGAAAAACCAGAAAGAAAAGAGAAAGAAGGAAAACCTCCCCAGAATAAACTGCAATAAGGATCCAACGGCCAGGTGGCTAGTTTTGAGGCTGCGGTGGCACAAAGCAAAATCAAAGCACAATAAAAAGAAGAAGAAAAAAAGGAACAAGATGACAAAAGTTACAAGTTTCGGTTAGTACTTACAGTCACGCATAACGGGCAGCATGCCCTGCTCAGCCCAGTCCGGGTGCAGGCTGAACAGGGCCTCGATGGCAATGTCGCACTCGAGGGTGCCGGGGCAGATGGGTGCCGTCTGGGCGATGAGATGGCCTGTGAAGAAGCTCTGGTACTTGTCCGATCCCGTGTTAATGCGGAACCGGGCCTTTTTCCGATCCTTGTCTTGGTATCCGACAAAGTCCCACAGGGACAGTGGCTTTGCCTCGGGACCTTGGGCTTGGCGATGCCCGGACACACCACCTCGCTGTTCCAGGAGCGCCTCGGCGGCCTTTTCTACTGCCTCGAGCGGAGACTTGACCGGCAGCCAGTGACGAGAGGCCGGTGACTTGTCGAACTGGTACGGTGGCAGGAGTAAGGGTGCGTACTCGAGCGTTTGTTGCGGGTGGTGGGCCCAAAACGACACGCGCAGACCCTGGTTCCAGAGGGCGACGGTGGCATCTGTCAGGCTGTCGAAGCCAGCGTTGATGTTCGTGATGGACACGGCTTGGAAATGATGGTCTGGAGTGGCAGCTTTGCTCTGGGCAAGAGCTCGGGCCGCCATGACGGTGATGGTGGAGTTGGAGCCGGCCTCGAGGAATATAGCTTGGGGGTGTCTCTTGGCGAGCCGCTGCACGGCGTGGTCGAAGAAGACGGGCTCGCGCATGTGCCTGGGGACAAACGTCCAGTCCAGCGTGTCGTTGCCTTGTTCTGTAGAGCGTTCAACCGAGATGACTGGCTTGTGGAAAGTGAGGCCCTTTCCAACATGACCCAGATCATCGACCAGCTTCTCGACGAGCGCCGAGTGGAAGGCATTGGTCACGCTGAGACGCTTGCTCTTGACGGCCGAGAACTTGCCGAACGAAGCGAGAGCTTTCTCAACGGCCTCCACAGCAGCCGTCGAGCCAGCCAGTGTGAAGCTGCGCGGGCCGTTGTAGCACGCTATGCTGGCCGAGCTGTCCGAGCCCTGAGCACTGTTTGCATCCTGCAAGAGCTCTCGAACCAAGGCTTCATCCGACTCCACTGCCACCATGGCGCCGGGATCGGCACCCCAGACATCACGTACAAGCTTGGCTCTCGCCACCACAAGCTTGACCGTGTCCTGGAGGCTCAGGGCGCCAGCGACACACAGTGCCGTGATCTCCCCAAAGCTGTGGCCCACGACGGCGGCAGTCTTGTTCTCGAGACCACAGTCCATCCAAGCCTTGGCACATGCGTACTGCATGGCAAACAACATGGTCTGCAGCTTGACTGTGTCTCGGGCCGGCTGTTGTGAGAAGATGTCGGGATAAATGCTCTCCAGGCCCAGAGACGTCACGACGGCGTCGCAGCTGTCGAGATGCCGGCGGAGAATGGCCACATCGTCATACAGCTTGCGGTCGAGGCCAACGAACAGGGAAACCTGGCCGCCAAAGCAGAGCACCACGGGCCGCTCGGTCTTGACAGACGTGGATCCAACCCGTGCAGCCGCGTCCTTGTCAGAACCTGCCGACGCCGCCTGCCCCAGTTTCTCCTCCAGCTCGGCCATGGACCGGCAGCTGAACACGAGGCCCTGGGCCAGGCCACGGTTGGACTGCCGGTTTACGGCGAACGAGAGATCGGCAAGCGTGTTGGAGTCTTTGAGCAATGAGCGGCAGTACGAAGCCATCTTGGCACTGTACGCAGAAACTGCTCGGGCATCGAGTCCTGTGATCCAGAAAGGATACGAAGAACTTCCGGTGGCCACGTTGCGGCTCAAGGCCAATGACCTGGGAGGCTGCGCGACGATCAGGCTCGCATTGGACCCGGACGCGCCGTAGTTGTTGAGTAGGGCAATCTTGTACTCTTCCTCCCAGGCCCGCAGCCTCGTGACGACCTCCATCATGTCGTCGGGCCGTACGTCGATGCGGTCGTTCATTTTGTTGAAGCTGGCCTGGGGCGGGACAAAGGCGCCCCGCATCATCATGATGACCTTGATGAGCGCAAGGACACCTGACGCACCTTCAGTGTGGCCTATGTGGCCCTTGACCGATCCGATCGGCAGCTTCTTGTGCCGGCCAGATGTCGGGCCCCCGAGAACCCTCCGAATGCTTTCGTACTCGGCTGGGTCCCCGACTGGTGTGCCCGTGCCGTGGGCTTCGACTAGTGAAACGTCGCGCGGTACTACATGTGCTGTGCGCAACACGTCTGTGAACAGTGTAGAGAGCGATGGAGCGTTGGGTACAAACAATGGAGTCGAGTTCTGGTTCTGGTGGACGGCTGTACTGGGGATGATGGCCAGGACGGGGTTCCCGTCGCGCACCGCGTCTGAGAGCTTCTTCAAAAAGACCCAGCCGTAACCCTCGGCACGACAGTACCCATCGGCATTCGTATCTTCCGCCAGGTTGTTCGAAGTCAGTAAACTTTCCTAATCGGCCGGGAGGGAATCAGGAGTTAACAGACCAAAGGGTTTGCACTGGCCTGTCGGACTGACGAAGCTTCCTGCAGCCAGGTTTTGAAACCACGTCATGTTCTATGTAGTATTCCCAAGAGAAGATTAGAATGGAGAGAACGTTCAGCAGTTTGACCAGGATGATACCATGTACTCACGTTCACGCCTTGGGAACCTCCAGCCAAGGCCGCCGTGCACTCGCCCGACAGGAGGCTGCGACAGGCCGTGTGGATGGCGACAGCGGACGACGAGCACGCCGTGTCGAAAGTCATGGAAGGGCCCGTCCAGCCAAAGTAATGCGATATTCTGCCGGCGATGAAGCTCTTGAGCACTCCGGTCGCCGTGAAGGCGCTTGGCTCGTGGGCGGCCGTGTTGGTATCGTAGTCGACGCCGCACGAGCCCACGTAGACGCCAACATGTTTTGTTCCCGGTCTATTTTCGCTGCTGCTCTGGCCCATCCCCTGGCCGTGTTCATGGATCAGCTCTTGGAAGTATCCTGACTGCTCAATGGCCTGATAGGCAGCCTCGAGGGCCTGACGGCCCTGCGGATCCATGGCGGCGGCCTCGCGCGGGCTGCGCTTGAAGAATTTGTGGTCAAAGGCATCTGGATCGCGGACGAAGCAGCCGTACCACTTGCGCTTGGGGTCGCTGCCTGGCCCGTCACGGAACAGCGTGTCGAACATCATGCGGTCCTGGGTGATGGCAACGTGCTGCGACTGGCCTGTCTTGATCATCTCGGCGTACTCGGCCAGGTCGTCGGCACCGGCCGTCTTTACCGACATGCCAATGACAGCAATGCTGTTTTTGTTATTTCCGAGGACAAGTTCGGCAGCGGATCTTGCTGATGCTGATCCTGTTGATACTGATCTTGCCGCTGCTGCTGCTGCTTCTGCTGGCGGTGGTGGTAGTGTGGTCGTATTACTGGTAAGCACAGTGGGAGTATTATCAATAGGACGCCCTACCAGCCCTCGCAGCCTTTTTTGCACATCCTCAAAATGCACCTGTCGAGTCCCGAGCTTCCCCATCCATGTCGGTGGCGCGCAGCGCTCTGGGCCGAAATTAACTACAAACGGCGTCGGCTGCTGGGAGACGACGGCAGAGAAGGTCCCGTACCACTGGCACTGCTGGACGAATATCTCACGGAGCACCAATTCGGTCAGGCCATAAGGATAGCCTGCTAACACGCGTCTCCCCCTGCCGCGGTTATCATACGTCGGAAGCGCGAGCTTGTCCAGGTCGGCATACTGCAGGCCAGGCATCGAGTTTGCGAGTTCGACGAGTGCATCGGTGGTTTTCTGTATGTCGGGGTGGGGGCTGTGAACATGGCTTCCGATATCCATCTCGATGGCGATGATACCGGCGGCGCGGAGCCGCTTCTGCAGGAGGGGGGCCGTCTGCTCCGTGGTCTTCAACGTCGCTCGCGCCTCATCGTAGATGATTGCGACGTAGGCATCTGGAGACAGACCCTCGGTGATGCGCACCACGTCCTCGGCCTGCTCTGGACCGACCCAGGCCGTTGCCAACGACACGGAGCCGCCCTTGCCTAGTGCCTTGTCCCACTCCTCACGCGCGTCGACCAGCCCACCGATGATTACAGATACACGCATCGCTACGGCTGCGTACTTTTCGAACTCGTGCCGGTTATGGGCGCTGGCTGCAGCGGCCGTCGGTATCAAGCCGGCGCAGAACCCCAGCGACACAAAGTTGGCGGTGCCGGACGCCACTCGGCTCGCCAGTACGTCTGCCGTGGGCTCTCCCTCGTGTGTCAGCTCAAGGTACTGCCAGTACTGCGCAAGCTGCGTCAGCACCACCACCGGCCCCAGCACGGGGCGCGGCAGGGTGGCGCCAATGTCGGCTGCAGGTGGCCCATGTCGGAACCAGGTGGCGAGATCGGCGAGACCCTTGGGGACATCAGGCAGCACCTCGGCGACTTGGGGGATCTTTGCAATCAAGGCGTCCCAGTAGCTTGGTAACCCGGCGATCGCCTCAAGGATCCACTCTCTGTGTTGGCCTTGTGCGAGAGGCCGGATCATCTTCTCTATATGTTCCTTGGTAAAGGTCGTGCCGACATGTGGTCCGAATACCAGTATTGTCGACTCGCAGGAGCCATTGTTGAGCGGTTCCAACTCGGGTAAGGTGCTGCTGCTTGACATTGTAACTTTACGCCGGAAAAAGAAGAAACGTAATATGAGTGGAGGCAGAGACAAAAAGTGTTGAAAAGAAGTTACAAGCTATTGCTATGTTGAAAGAGCAGCTGCAGACTGGTGGTATCTTGTGTAATCAATTTATGAGGCACATTGAGAAACAGCTGTGCTTAGAACGAGAGATATGCCAGCATCAGGAAGAGAATTAGGCGCCTATAGAGCATGCATATGAACGAGCGATCTCTAAAGAAAGACACAACCTGCAATGAAAAAGATTGAAAAAAAAAAAAAAAAAAAAAAAAAAAAAAAACCCCTCCTCAGCCTCTGCGCAATTTTTGTATGACACAACTATCAGCCAGGTATTCTTGGCCTTGCTAACATTGTCAGCTTTGGTAGGACTGGAGTTTTCGAACCTGTCTAGACTTGGCCGATACAGGTTCGCTGCGGACAGAGCCTCGTCGCATTCTCCGCGGGTTCATGTCAGTCCTCATGGGTCTGGTCTCGACAGTCCAAAGTATAGGCGGACTTTCCGGACTGAGCAGGTCCGCGGGTCCGCCTCGGTAACCGCTTGTCACTACCCTCTGTACCCATCGGCTCCCACCCAGGTCATTTTGTTAGCTTTGTTGGTTTCTTTTCTTTTTTTTTTAAAAAAAAAAAGAAAAAAGATACAGAGCCACCTGTTGACATGCCTGGTCGTATACCAGTTATGAGAAAATTTCACACCGCAGTAAACATCTACCTCAGTTCTGACAGATATTACATTTCGGTTGTTGGATATTTCAGGGCATTTGTACGAGAGCTTTAGGCAAGCTTACGGGTTTGACCTGACCCGAGACTGTTACAGATAGACCCTCATGGAGTAAACACGAATGCTTTTCAGCTTACACAGGTTGTTTGCATTGTTCGTAAAATAGAAGCAACGGGTCGCTGTAATGGAACCTATGATAAGACACACAAAGACCCAAAAGGTTCCCGTTCCCAGCAAACGGCACAATCCAAAAGAAAAGAGAAAAAAAGATCAAAATTTATCTCTCAGCCTTGCACTCGTTGATGATTAACCAATATAGGTCGCGTACCGGTTCCACTGCTCATCCTCTTTTAATGCCGCCAAGTCCTCCTCGGGCAAACAGAAGGCGATAGGGTGGACGCCATCCTCAGCCTCTTGGAGGCGGAGACTGCCTGGGATGGGAGCGGCATCCGGGCGGCGATACCAGCGGCATGGCCCCAGAGACCCCCACGGCCCCTTAGGAACCAACGCCCTCGACACGTTGGTGCAGCCTATGTCTGTCGCTGCGTTGTGGGTTCCCGTGTACAGCAGACGGGCGCGGCCTGCGGGCGGCTCTCGTGCGACAGTGGTGGCCAAGCTGCGGATGGCCCACGCTGTGGTGGCCTCGACCAGCTCCTCGCGCAGGAAGCGGGCGACCTGAGCCACACTCATCTCATCGACTCGGCCCATTGGCAGGCGTACGATGCACGGCGCGACGTGGGCGCCCAGATAAGATGAGGGGATGCCGAGGGGGTTACGGGCGTTGATGGCGCGCGAGAGCTTAGACATGGTCTCGGCTGGCATGCCTCGTGCGATGCGCAGGCCACAGAGGCGCTTCCACAAGAAGGCGCTGAGGACGTCGTCCTTGGAAAGCCGCTGCTTGGGGTCACTAGGGTCGCTGCTGGATAGTAGCCCGGCGTCGGCGCGGACCGTCTCGGCGAGGTTGGAGAGAGAGTCCTCAGGCATCAGGAAGTAGCACCACTTTGGCCAGCTCGTGGGCATCGTGAACTTCCAGCCCGGCGGCGGATATAGGCAGGAGTAGTCCTTGACGGGCTCGCCATGTGGGATCAACGACACGACCCGATCCCGGGGGCGGTTCGCCTGCTCCAGATCGGCGGCCGGGATTTTGCCGCCATTGAGCACAATGGCGAGCAGCTTGAGGAATTGAAAGTCGGCCGTGCCATCCATGAAGGTGTGATGCGCGCTGAGGTTGAGGATGAGACCGCCGCGTATAAAGCTGGCCTGGAGATGGACAATCGGGACGGGGCCCTTGATACCGTGCGGAAACGGGAAGGCCGGCCACGGACACAGCAGCTTGCCGTCTAGCTTGCTGACAGGTACCTTGTCCACGAGGAGCTGCTGCATGGAGGGAAGGCCGTCATCGCAGATTCTGATGCGCACACCTTCCCGTGCCACGTCCTGGGGCCATGGGGTCGCCTTACGTACACCGTCCGACTCGCGCGTGTCAACCTGATAACCGAGAAAAGGAATCTGCTCGACTAATTTGTCGAAGCTGGCCCGGAGAGCAGAGGCAACGGCATCACGATCCACGTCAAGCGGGAGCTCAAAACCATATGCGAGCACGCTAAAGGCGTTCAGGACGGGGAACTGGCCCATGATGTCGGCCTCAGCGTAGGGCCCATCGTGGCTGGTAGTATCAGCCCCTGCTAAACCCATCGTATCGCGCTAATAACCGGATGTTTTGATGAAAAGCTTGTACATTCATTCAGATCGGGGACATGGGCCGGGGCTTTGGTTTCTAGTTTTACCTGAATTAGCAACATCCAACCGTTCCAAGCACAAAGTCAAGGTCAGCGGCGCTCAATATACCAAGAAGCTGGCAAACGCTCCCAAAGGAGCGCTCACATACGAGTTCAGAGAGTTTGTTGAGATGCATTTGATGTCTCGTTCCAGCCTCAGCGGACTTCGGACTTGCTGATGACTGCAAACTCCCTCTGACCCTTGCATGTCCGTTCAACGTCTTTCTGCAGCTAAACTAGCACGACAGAAAGACTACACGTCTGCAGTACCAAAAGGACAGTAGGCAGTATTCTGTACTTCCCAATCAGGCCAGGTTTGAGCGTTAGCTCAGCCTTGCGATATTCCACGACTCCGCTTTTATCTCCGGAGAGGCCGGCTTTACATGATTGGCTGGGGAGAGTCGCTGCAGGGAACAAGGGGATGGCCAAAGAAGGGCCGGCCCGTCGAGTGGAAAACTGGGTTGAGGGATCTAAAAGCCGAGTAACCCCGCGTTCCACTTCTAACCACGTCAATCCCGTCTGGCAAATGAAAGCAAGTCTTTTGGTCGGGCACAGGGAATATGAGAGAACAACATGTAGGAAACGGGATTCACGACTGACGACTGCGTCCGGTCCAAGGTGATTGGCGGGCAGTGGGCAAAGGGCGGCATGTAAGAAGAGCAGGCGCGCAAATGTTTTCTTTTTCTGCTCTGGCTCCAATTTGGCTCAATTTTTTAACGTCTTTTGGGGGATTTTGTTCTTTCTATTCGAACTCCATCCGATTTCGTCAAATCGTCAAACCGACCTCTAAACTTTGACTCCCCTCTCTTACTTTGCAACCACGCGCCAATGATGGAGGTCGAAAAGACTTCGACGGCCTTGGCCGGGGCCCCTGAGCTTGAGGAGGGACATGTGTCTAGTTCTTCGCAGACAGAGACAGGATTGGCCCTAGGGCAAGATCAAGAACAAGGGAACGCCGCAACTACCCAAGAGTTCGTCCATGAGTTCCCCACGGGCTTCAAGCTCATCTCCATCCTGGCATCTCTCGTCGTGTCTTATTTCCTCGTCTTCCTCGACGGGTCCATCATGTCCACCGTGTCGCCCGCCATCACTACCGAGTTCGACTCGCTGGTAGATATCGGTTGGTACGGCAGCGCGTACCAGGTTGGCGCCACGGCATTTCAGCCGTTGAGCGGCAAGATATATAGATACTTCTCTGTCAAGGCAGGTAGCCCCAAGAGCAGAGCCCTCTGGTGCAATTTGCGTGGGCTAACTCTTGCCTCTTCCTCCCTCAGTGGTCCTTTGTCGGCTTCTTTCTCATCTTCGAGATCGGGTCGGTGCTGTGCGCCGCGGCACAATCGTCGCGCATGCTCATCGTGGGCCGTGCTATCGCCGGCGTGGGGTCAGCAGGAATTTTCGCCGGCACAATGACCACTGTTGCCAACATTCTCCCGCTGCAGAAACGGCCGGCAATCATGGGAATCAACACGGGCATCGGCCAGCTGGGCGTTGCGTTTGGTCCGATCATAGGAGGTGCCTTTACGTCGAATGCGTCCTGGCGCTGGGCTTTCTACCTCAACCTGTTCCTGGGAGTCCTAGTAGCCGCCGGCTTCCTCTTCAACACGATCCCCGAGTCCCATGCCAAGCAGCCGGCGCGTGAAGTATTCGGTACCGCCCTCAAGTCACTAGACCTGGTCGGAATGATGCTCGTGGCCCCCGCTGTTATCATGTTCCTTTTGGCCCTGGAATACGGCGGCAACGAGTACGCCTGGAACAGCTCAGTGGTGATCGGTCTGCTCGTCGGAGCCGCCGTCACATTTGCCATCTTTCTGGTGTGGGAGCACCGCCAGGGCGACGGGGCTATGATCCCGTTCGCCATGATGAGAAGCCTCGTCATTGCATCGGCCACTCTCACCCTGTTCTTCCGTATGGGTGTTATCCTTGTGGCTGATTACTACCTTGCCATATTCTTCCAGGCCATTAGCAATGATTCGCCTTTGATGAGTGGAGTGCACATGCTGCCTGCAACGCTCGGCCTGGTCGTCGCCGCCGTGACTACGGGCTTTCTAACCCAAGCCACTGGCTATTATCTTCCATGGATTATCGCAGGCATTTCCATCGCAACCTCCGGGTACGGAGCCCTATCAACACTCAGTCCCACCACCCCTACTGCGCGGTGGATTGGCTTCCAAATCCTCTACGGCATTGGCTCCGGTACAGGTGCTGCGGGTGTAAGTTTACCTTTCGCCTCGTCCGTTTTTCCTCCCTTTGATTCCTTCCTTTCCGTACCAATCCTACTCGTCCCATTGCTTACCAGCTGACTCTCCTGTCATTTTAGCCATTCATCGCGATCCAGAACCTTGTTCCTCTCAAGCAGATCCCTACAGCTATGGCTATGGTCCTCTTTGGCCAAAATCTGGGCGGTTCCGTCTTTCTAGTCGTCGCCAACGCCATCTTCAACAACAGCCTCCGAAAGCAGCTGCAGGAGCACGCATCTCGCATCGGCATCGACCCGAACGTCATCATGGATGCCGGCGCCCGCTCTGTGCGCAACCTGGGCCTGCCTGCCACCGGGGTGGCCGCCGTGGTGCAGTCCTACGCCAATGCCGTAGATCGGGTCATGTATCTCGGAATTGCTGCAGGTCTCGCTGGGGTCATCGTTAGCTGGGGCATGGGCAATAGCAATATTATGGAGGTTAAGAAGCTCAAGGAACTTACTAATGAAGCGAAGCCCGCAGCCTCAGAGGCAGACAAGCAGGATACAGAGAAACAAGCTGCGAAGAATATCAATGGCGAAATCTAGGAATTCGTTGGTTGGCTTAACTGTTGCTTACGCAGCTGTGCATGGTGAACGTGGCTGTGCAAGTACCTAGGCTTGAGACCTGCAGTAAAAGGGGTGACTGGCATTTTCGCTGGTCTTGGGATCTTTTCTACTTCTACACGCTTCTTTACGTACTTCTTCATAGAAAACTTCTTGTTATTATGAGTCCTCACTTGATTCCTTTTTGCTTGATATGGTTTGATTCAACTTTTCTTGATCACACGCACACATACACACACACACACACACACAGAGAGAGAGAGAGAGAGAGAGAGAGAGAGAATGTGTGTGTATTTGTTACGATGTACGTAATCGTCTCCTACCTCCCTTCCATCAATGACATCCCGGAGCTAAGATTTGCCAGCGAGGCACCCCTAGTGCTTATGGGAACAGGCAATTGGGTTTTGAATGAGCATTCACATCCTGACCGCCCTTCTCCGTCCCTCAACACTTCCAGTGAGGATCTGTGCGAGTCTGACCGAGCCTGACCGAGTCTAACCGACCGTTACCTATATAGACTATTGTTCTTTCCGAGCCTTATAAATCGAGGGGGGGTGGGCTGAACGGGAGGGGGGTGGCAGTTTTCCCCGGCTGGCTCCTTTATCTGTATTTCTCTATTTGGTGGACCAATGGGACCTTATCATTTGAAACAGCGACTTTTAGGGGGTTGGGTCAGATCAATCCTTTGCGCGAGGAGGTCTGGTCAGATACAGGATAACGGTGGAGGAGGGAGCACCACACGAGGCGGCGGTGTCGTTCTGGCCAAGCTTCCCTGCTCCGTACTCATTTGACTAACTAGGGATTTCCTCTTTCAATCAGCTCGATGGTGCTGATCGCTGCATGCTGATTAAAAGCTAGCGGATTTATGCTGTTGCTCCGGCCAGCCGGCTCCGTATTTACGGTGGTCAGCTTTATTCATAATCGATATGGCCCATTGCAGTAATCCGAGGACACCAAGGCACTTGAAGAGGAACTCATGCTAGCAAGAGCCGTGCCAAGTACGGGACTTAAATAAGTGCAATGCAAGTGTTCACTAGCGGTGATGCTGTCATTGTAAGAGTGTGAAGAAAGTGATACCTAGACGGACTACTGGGAGGAGCTATCTACAAGTGACCTATCTAGTAGTAATAAACATGAGGTTGTATATCCAGCTCTTCAGACTGGATAGTTTGGATGAATATCGAGTCTGTTGATGGACTGGATCGATATTAATCTTGCCGATCTATCCTTATATCTGTAACTCTGAATCCCGTAAGCGCCAGGTTGTGTCTGAGTTGAATACCGACAGTTGGGGCGTTCCGAGTCTATTATTCTGCGTAACCAGTTCAGTGACTCGCATGTTGAATGCATAATAAGTGGCATTTGGCAGTTTTGCTTCGTTTGTACGGTCGAAAAAACTCGAAATCATTCATGTGTCTAGACGTAACCCCTGGAAGTACCCCCGTGCCAGGATGTTTATGCCCTCCATATCTCCCAGAACGCGCAGCAGCTGCTGAGCGCCACCATCCCTAGAGAAGGCTGCATTGCCGCTCCTTGACGTCAAATAGCTGGCCGCGCACGCGAGAAGGTCGGGCAGGAAAGGGTGCGCTTTGAAGTAGCCAAACGACGGGATCTGCTTCGCGAGCCGCACCATCTCGGCCGCGGCGCTCGAAGCCTCCTGCTCGAAAGCGGCAGCCGCGTGGAGCTGCTCGACGGTGTGCGATGCCGAAGACACCGCCCCCTGCACCATGTGGCAGAGTTTGATGACGGCGCTGTGGGCCAGCATGTGGACCAAGAAAAGCATCGGATCGTTGCCGACGTGCACAGAGCCGGCGCCCTCCAGCGTCTGCAAGCGCCTCTCGACGGCCGACGCGAGCCACCTCTGTCGGTTCCAAAAGTCGTCACCACCGCTAGCCTCACCCATGTCCATACTACCGCCACCACCACCGCCGCCCCCATGGGATTCCTTGGTCGTGTAGGAGCGACGATACGTCATGCAGCGCCCGTGCAGCGTCGCCAGCACGACGCACTCGGCGAACGGCGATAGGGACGGCGGCTTTTGCGACGATGATGATGACGACAACGAAGACGACGAGGAGGAAGAGGAGGACATGATGGCCTCGGGCAGGAGGCTAGTGCGAACAGGCTGATTGTTCTGAAAGTTGGCCTCGGGGGCGGGGAGGCGTGTGCAGATCTGGGAAGAAAGATCTTTGAAGTCAGCAGTGACATCCATACTTGTTTGAGCTCCGAAAGCTGCACTTGCCATTTCCTCCTGGAGGCTGAGCGGGTACTCGTTGCGCGAGCAGAGGAGGCGGTCCAGACAAAAGGCGACCCAGAATGTCCGCCTCCGCTCCTCGACGTCAGAAAAGCTGTCCCCAAAGCCTGAGACGTTGGTGGCTTCGCTGGCCATTCCGACCGAGGAAGCCTGTTGAGGATTCCTCCTTTCAGAGCCGGGCGCATCGATATCGAACAAACGCGCCATCAGAGCCAGGCGGCAGGACCGGCCTGCGGTGAGCATGGCCTGGTGCTCGCCCACTCTCAGGAGCTCGTAATGGCCCAGGAGCAGCCACGCCTGGATGTACTCGATGGCGATGTTGTCTTTGGATCCGACCGTGAAGGCTTGGAGCAGGCGGCACGTCTCGGCGTACAGTTGATCGCAGAAGCGGCTGCTGAGCGCCGACATGGAGGCCGCCATGGTGCGCATAGCCGACCGGAGGCACGCGCGCGCCGCTCCGGGGTTCTTCTGGTCTGCCCACGAGAGGTAGCGCCTCCAGTATATGAATGGAAGAACGGCGTGAACACGTTCCATATATATTTGATCCAGGTCCGCGCGCATGTCCTCTGTAATGGCGGCGTCTCTGCTGCCGTAGTCAGCTAGTATCATAGGCTCGGCTGAGGGAAACCTTTTTTCATCCTTCATGTTCGAGTCCTGTGGGAGCAATGGCAGATCCAGGCCGCCGCCTATTTCCAGAGCAAGTCCGAGCGCGCTAGAGTCCGGTGTCCAGTCTACCCAGCCGAGGTTCAAAGATGAGGTTTCCGAAGCTGCTGCCGAGGAAGACATCGCCGCAGTCAACGAGCCGCGTTTCATTGCTGTCGGCGAAGTGTAGTTGGCGATAGAGAGATCCATATCTGCTACTGCAGAGTCGTTGACGCCGTTGAAGCTCGGATCTCCATGCTCGGTCTCGACGACTCGTTGGGGGGCCGCCCGTTCCATATCATGATCTGGCTCGGATGATGCGACATCCGCTTCCTCGTAGCCCAGCTGGGTGAGCTGCTGGTTCAGCTGCCACTGCAGGTTTGCTGCGATCAAATAGTCGTTGGTAAGGCTTCTAAATAGTCGGGCATGGTGCGGACAAATGAGACATGTCCACTGAGCCCCCAGTACTACATGAGAGACACGGTGCTACTTGGGGTGGTAAAGCTAAGATTGACAAACCAATCTGTAACCGCATCGCATTGAGCTGGCCTTTCTTCGGGCCTCTCTGTGCTATTTTGTCGCGAATGACGCACACCCTCCCTGTTTCCATGCAAAGGCCGCAGGTCGGCCGTACCCGGTCGCACCGGGCCTTGCGCCTCCGGCACTCCTCGCAGGCAAATCCGGGCTGCTGCCGACTGCCTTTCTCGGTCATTTTGCAAGACAAACAAAGGAAGTACAGTAGCAGGAAATGTGGAGCAGGACGAGTACGACCCAGCTGTGAGCAAGTGGAATCAGACGTGACCCGCGTCATCTCTTTATGCGCCGCAACACCAGGCCTATTGATAAGCTGCACCAGACGATATACGCCCTATCGACATGATAATTCCCACATTACTCACAGTCCTGGTGTCAACGTCAGCGTCAGAGACTTATGTATCCTTTAGACTTGACGCCGCAAGGAATCGGAGCACGTCGGATCAATCGCCGGAAATGGTCGCCGTTCCTCCAGTAAGGACACGAGTTGTCACACGCAGGCTCCGCACTACTAGTAGTCTGTGTCAGCCGCTGGATACCTGTAGCCAGAGTAAAGATATGAAAGGTCTTTGGTCAAATAAGTCCACCCACATGCATATGATGCCATTGGTCTTTTGGTCCCTCAGCCAGGATACAGGATCCATGACACAAAATCTAACCGAATAAGAACCGTGACTAAAGAGAGAAAAGGTTAGTCTACGTTGACTGATATCAACTGACTTAAAAACACAATTCAATATTATCCCAGCAGTTCTTTGATTCATTGAGAAAACTACTCTGCTTTTCATTGTCATGGATAATGTTTTCCCTACGTCAAATCGCGCTAATAGAATCGATTGAATATTGATCTATTTATCTTGTTAGCACTATGTTAGTACCAAGTTAGGATAAATTCAATGCTCAAATAGCAAAAAAGTACTAAATAAAAGCTGAAGCAAAAATTCCGTAAAACCAATCGATAAACTGGCTGATATACAAGCACGTTGGAATAAATACCCCCTCTTAATATGTAAACGGCTCGGCCAGGCTGGGGCTTTGAACAAGGGGGCATTTCTCAGGCGGGGAAAACAGCTATTCAGGCCACTCCAGCCACTTGACCCCAGGGCCCTTCACCAGGTTTCAGATTTCCCGGCCTTTTGCTGTACATTGTTTATAGACCTGGGCGTTCTGTTATCTCGGAAGAACGCAGCTACCTACTCAAGTACTTGAATAGATACAAGGAATTTGTAAGGAAACACCCATCTAAGCTCTGCCACTACCAACCTTTACCCACATGAATGCAGATCCTGCCAACAATACTACTTACTTCACTTGTGTGCGACATGGTCTATCAACCAAGAGTACCGAGAGCGTAGTTTGGTATGAAGCGACCTGATGTAATTAAAATCTTTTGGTCGTATAGCCTTTTGCGCATGGACCATTTTCTTTCCATGCTCAAGGAGGAACCGGTGCGCGGATCTCGCTCTTGGTCACACGACCGTAGGGGGATAACGGCTAATCGAGCTATGCACTCTTGTGGTACTTCTCTCGGATACTTAGGCCCAGGCTGGCGCAGCAGCTGCAGGCCCCTTTGTCGATTGGTCACCTTGCAGGCGGAGTGATTCCATTCTATCGGATTGGGCAACTAGACGTGTCAATTCTGAACACAATGTTGCATTGACATCCAGCCTGCTTCAGACTCCTATGTAACGGCGGGTTGAGTGATTAGAACGACTTATGTGCCGCATACGGGCATGATCCTTTTCATAAATTAGTGAGCCTAGGCTTACCGCAGCCTGCCGCACAATCCTTCCGGAACACCAAACTCCGGCACAAACCGGAGCTTATACTGGATGCTGTTCATTCAGGCGAAATATGATCGCAGTAGGAAAAGGCTCTCCTTACAGCGTTTCCAGCCGGGTTAGAAGATGATTATAGTATGCTAATAAGCACGGCCATAAACCGGAGAAAACGGAGTAAGCCAAAACCTCATGTTGGCGAGAGGGATAGGCAAGTGTAATACCGATAACAAGGAAATGAAGCCTGAGGATTGCGTTGCAAGTGAGTTGACTGCCTTTGACACTTAGGTGCTATTTGAGTGGAGAAGAAATGAACACGTGGATTAACCATTCGAGAGCTATATACAATAATCTATGTATTGGTAAGACACAAAAGATTTATAACTATTCCCAGCTCTTCGGACGGGATCATCGGCATACTTAATAATCCCCGATTATAGTCAGAAACAGCTGCACGAGGACAACTGTTCCGTGTAACCCGTCTCTTGATCTGTAACTGTTGGATGTGTCACGACAGCCGGCCAGATAGCGTTAGACATCGTAAATAGAACTATGGCATTTCGGCTCGTAGATTGTAGGAATAAGAACGCCCTTCGGCATAAGTCATTTATTACAACATCTCCGTAGGAGCGGACTTTTTAAAAACTACTCTCATTTCGAGAATGTGTGGAGGCAGGGTGGTTCGACAACACCAGGAGTAGATAGTTCTGGTTCAAGTCCAAAAAGCTTCAAAAAGCTGACGAACGGTGCGCTTGAGTAGCCTGAGCCCAAACAGCTGTGTGTTTCGGGCTCGGTTAGCTATGGACGAACCAAATCCGGCAGAAGCCATGGCCAAGCCTTCTCTAGACGTCGCGGTGGTGGGCGGAGGCATCATCGGCGTCATGGTGGCCCTCGGCCTCCTGCGCCGCGGGATGCGGGTGACAATCTACGAGCGCGCCGCCGACTGGCCCGATACAGGGGCTGCCTTTGCTTTCACTGCCGTGGCGCGCCAAAGTCTGCAGCGGTTGGACCCCAGGGTTCTTGAAGCCCTGATGCGGGTGGGGGTCAAGGACACAGACCTGAACTCCCAATTCTGGGATGGCTTTGGGCCTCGCACCAAGGAGGCCGCTGAGAACCCCGAGACGGGGCTCATGTTTGAGTCGTACGATAATCTGGCTTTCGTCGCTTGCTTGCGGTCGCAACTTCTTTTGGAGATGGTGAATGAACTGCCTGATGCCGGAGGCGTGGTGCATTTCAAGAAGCAGCTCGTAGGCTTCACTGATCGGTTGGCAGACGGTGACGACAAGGTCGTGCTGAGCTTTGCCGACGGGACTACGGCCAATACTGACGTCGGTCTGTTTACTCCCCTGCCATGTAACTCGTTATGATTGCCGTGTGTTTTAACGTTCGATGTTTCGGAACCAAGTCCTCGGCTGTGACGGAGTCCACTCTTCTACGCGCAGGTCGCTCCTCGGAGATCATCCTGCATCCAAGGCCAGATATGCCCACAAGACGGTCTACGGCGCCTTCTTGCCTCTCGATGGTGCAGCTGCCGCATTTGGGCCCTCCAAGGCCGGCCGCGGGAGCTTCCATTCCGGGCCCGGTGCCCATATGGTGTCGTACCCGTTGCCGGTGAGTGCATTCACCATTCCAGACCTGAACCCCCTCCTGAACCCCCCATACATTAACACAGGAGAGAGGAAGCTGACAAAAATGCAAGATGAACAATGTCTACCACATGTTCCTATTCGTCCACGACGACAATGAGTGGCCCTTTGATCGCAGCAGCGTCGTCCCCAGCTCGCGCGACGAGGCGCTGAAGGCGTTGGAGGGCTGGGGCCCGCACATTCGCGAGCTGGTCGCGCTCTTGCCAGAGCAGATCAGCAAGTATGCCATCTTCGACATGTACGACCACCCAGCCCCGACGTACGCCAAGGGCCGCGTGTGCATCGCCGGTGACGCTGCCCACGCAAGCAGTCCCTTTCATGGCTCCGGCACCACCATGGGCGCAGAGGACGCTCTCGTCCTGGCCGAACTGCTGGCATGCGTCCAATCTAGCCCGCTTGAGGGACGGCCGCGCCGGTTGGAGGCCGCGCTGCGGGCGTACAGCGAAGTGCGCATGAGCCGTAGTCAGTGGCTCGTGCATAGCTCGCGCGAGATCGGCGAGATGTATGAGTTCCGCTATGCGCCGGCCGGCCGGGATAAGGCCAAGTTTAAGGCCGAGTTCGAGACACGGACGAGGAAGATCTGGGACTATGATGTGAATGCAATGGTAGATCAGGCTAGGAAGGGGTATGAGAAGAAATTGGGAGAGTATTCTTGACTTGGATTTGATGCACTTTGACTTGAGAGCTAAAGAGATGTATTACTGCATATTTTAGAACCCTGATCCTGTTTTAGACGTATAGTCATGGATTTAGATTTGACCATATCGTTCTATTATCTGGCTCATATTGCATTTCACTACTCTGGCTGTTTACCTCAGAAGATGTGCGTCTATTTGGTGGTTATTTTCTGGCTTGGGTTTTCTTCTTCTTAATCTTTGGGCGTGACTCGATGACTTTACAGCTGAGTTTGATTTAGATGGAACACCTTTTAGCTAGAGACTTTTAAGAAGCAAGAAAAAATAAAAGGAAAGAAAGAAAGTGTAAATAAGACTTTAGCAATGATGTGAATGAACAAAAGCTAATAATCCAAACATATCGGCCTTTATCGCCCCTGAAACACGGGCCCACGCTTCTCCAAGAACGCTTGCAAAGCTTCATTCCGGTCTTGGGTGCTAAGAACAACTTCATAAGCCGCGTTTTCCAGCGCATCGTGCGCTCCGTGCAGGACACCAAGCGCAGCGCGCACGGCAGCAGGCCCGCCCGCGGCGACCTGGTTTGCCAGGGCAATGCCAGCGTCTAGCGACTCCAGCCGCTGGGTCTCACTCTCGAGACTTGAGCCAGCTTCCCGGTCTGCTGCCGGTACCAGACGGTTACACAAGCCCATTGTGTGGGCCTCGTCGGCGTAGACGCGTCGCCCGGTCAGAATCATATCCAGGGCGCGCGACGTGCCGACAATCTGGGGCAGGCGGTAGGTGCCTCCGGCGCCGGGGATGATGGCGAGGCGCGTTTCGGGCAGGCCGACGGCGGCGTTGCGCGCGAAGACGCGGAGGTGGCACGCCAGTGCGAGCTCGAAACCGCCGCCAAGCGCCACGCCCGACACGCAGGCGACAGTGGGAACGGGCAGCGTCGACAGCCGGTACAGGAGGCTTCGCAGGGAGGAGAGGAAGGCCTTTGTCTCGGGCAGGGACATGGTGGCGCGTTCCTTGAGGTCTGCGCCGCTGCAAAAGACATTGTCGACAGCGCTGGCGAGGATGAGCGCCCTCGTGCTGCTGGCACTGCTGTCATTTGTCTGTCGATGGATCTCCTCGATCTCGCTGCCCAGCTCGCGCACCATCTGTCGCGAGAGGGCGTTCTTGGTCTGTGGCCGCCGTAGCTGGATGATTTTGATGGTCCCTGTGTGTGGTGCCTCTACTTGGCCGACTAGGATAGTGTCCAGGATGTTTGTGTTCTCCAAGTCGATTGGCGTGGATAACACTGGTGGGAACCCGGCAGCATCTTTGTTGCTGTTCCTGTTGACGCCGTTCGTAGTCTTTTGGGACAACTTGGCACAGTTTGGGCCGGCTATCGGCTCCTTGTGGAAGCCGTTAGATTTGATGCCCGATTTTGAGTTGGCGGTGTCGGTGCCATCAGTGAGGAATGGAGAGAAGTGTATAGTGCTCGGTTTGTCCATTCTCATTTGCCGTTGTGCAAACAAGTTGACGGCACTATGCAGAAGCAAGACAAACACTGCGGACGAGGTGATATTCTCAGTTCTAACAATTCATGCTTCACTCAGATTCGGCGAATGCAGCACACGGAAGCAGTCTGGAGTACCGAGAGGGAAAAGAAAAATGAACTTTACTCCGCCTGCGGGAACTGAAGTCCGAGTCGAGAGTCCGCAAAGTCCGGCATAGAGGCAGAGAAACAAAGGGCCGAACGATTGCCGTGTCAAGAATCAGAGAGAGGGAAAAAAAGTCGTATATACATGATGGCGAACTTTTACAGTGAGTCGGTGAATGTTCATAGTGTCTAGGTTGAAAGCTTTCCAGGTGTCTCTGTTCCCGCTCCTGGTGGCGAGACTGACCTTGCAAATACAACGTGCTGTGATTCTTCTCTAACAAATGGCCTCAATGACACGACCTCAAAACATTGGCATTAAGGCCGTAGAGCTGTATTTTCCCAGCCAGGTATGTCCCTGGTTCCGGGGCTAAAGAAGGGGCCATGGTGTAGTAACGCTTTTGCAGTGTGTTGAACAGAAAGAACTCGAGAAGTTTGATGGAGTCTCTGAGGGAAAGTACACCATCGGCTTGGGCCAAACCAAGATGAGCTTCTGTGACGATAGGGAGGGTGAGTTGGACTCGATGGTCTGCGTGAAACGCAAACCTGAACAAGCTGACACGTGTCTGCACCACACATCAAGATATCTACTCGATAGCCTTGACGGCCGTTGCGTCCCTCATGCGCAAATACAGCGTCAACCCAAAATCCATTGGCCGGCTTGAAGTCGGCACAGAAACATTGCTTGACAAGTCTAAATCGGTCAAGTCGGTCCTCATGCAGCTGTTCGAGGACTCCAACCCAAACATTGAGGGAGTCGACACCGTAAATGCTTGCTATGGAGGCACTAATTCTCTCTTCAATGCTGTCAACTGGGTTGAAGCCTCGGCATGGGACGGCCGGGATGCCATCGTCGTGGCGGGCGACATTGCACTCTATGGCAAAGGAAATGCTCGGCCGACCGGCGGAGCGGGCTGCGTGGCTATGTTGGTCGGTGCGGATGCGCCTCTAGTCTTGGACCCTGGGCTGAGAGGCACCTACATGCGCCATTCATACGACTTCTACAAGCCAGATTTGACGAGTGAGTATCCGCATGTCGACGGACAACTCTCGCTGCAGTGCTACGCTGAGGCGGTGGATAAGTGCTACGAGGCATATCTCGAACGTGAGGCGAGCCTCAGAGACGAGGGTCATAAGATCACCAATGGACACTCGACTACTAACGCACACTCTCCTATGCGTTCGGGCATCAACGGGTCTCACAAAGTCCACAACGGAAGCCCGCACACCCGCGCCCTTGGGTTTGACTACATGTGCTTCCACGCACCCACCTGCAAGACGGTTGCAAAGTCGTACGCCCGCCTCTTCTACAACGATTTCCAGAAGGATCCGGACAACACCTTCTTCAAGGATATACCGCCCGAGCTCGGTACGCTGGCCTCGGCGGGAGGCCTGGCAGACAAGCGAGTAGAAAAAGAATTCCTGCTTCTCAGCAAGAAACATTTCACACAGCGGGTCCAACCAGCGACCTTTGTTCCCACTCAGTGCGGAAACATGTACTCAGCCAGTCTGTACTCGGCACTATGTGGATTGCTGTCGCTGGTTGACAGCCAGGACCTGCAAGGGAAACGCATCGGCATGTTCAGCTACGGGAGCGGCCTGGCCAGTTCCTTGTTCAGTATAAAGGTAGTAGGGGATACCGAGGATATCAGGGCCAACTTGGACTTGGTGAGAAGGCTTGAGGAGAGACAAGTCGTTGCGCCCGAGACATATGATAAGGTGAGTGTTGCACCCATTGAACTGGTACAGACCTTCATACAGAAACTATTATTTTTTCTAATTGCTTTTCTTCAATCTTGGAAAAACAGATGTGCCATTTGCGGGAGCGTGCACACCTGCAAAAGAACTTCAACCCGGCCGGCACAATCGATAGCATTGTCAAAGGCACATACTATCTTCGCGAGATTGATAATGCTTTCCGCCGGCTTTATGATGTTAAGGCATGAGTGGATAATTACACAGTCATGTAACGTGGGGGATAGAGAAGCGAGTCACTAGGATTAATGGCATAAACTTATATACTAGGCATTCTTGTATTCAAAAAAGACCCACCTGAGAGATAGTTGCGAAGTTGAGAGGTTGGTAGTCAATACTGAATTTTCCCGAGCAACATAGCTTATCTCTACGCCACAAACCTCGCACCAGACCCCGTCTCTGAAGAACCACGTAGTGAAGCTTACCATGCTTGAACTATAACTGGACCTATAAAACACTTTGTTAATCGGTGATAGTAATAATACTAAATCTAGTGATATACTGCTTTTATTAGCATAGACCCTCTTGATATACTTTGCAATGCTTGTTATATTACTGCAAATCCTCGGAGGCTAAAGTGCAGCTTGGGCTCGGAGCCAACATAGGTTTTCTACATATATTAACGTAGGTAGTCTGAAAATCTTCCTCACACGTTAGCTCAGAGTCTTGTCCAATCTACCAGCGAGGAAGCGAAAAGTTGGAGCTGGTTTACTTGTAGCGTCAATCCTTCTGTTCTGGCTTCCACTCCTGCATAGATCCTTACGGAGTAAGCCGGAGTTTTTTTTTTCCAGGAGTTTTTAAGATCTCCTATTTTCTTATCTGATTCCTTTTCAAATAGGGAACAAAAAGAACCAAACCTAGGCAGGGGTACAATACGACTAGTGCTCCCCGTGTCCGCCTCAGGGGCTGATGAAGCGGAACCCGGACCCGGACCTTGAAGTTCTCAAGAGTCTCCTCCGTGCAGGCGGGCCGCCACTTCCCCCTGGTGTTCTCCGGGTGTGCCAAACAAGACAAAGAACAAGGAGTTCAAGGCCGAAACTCTTACCTCATGTATATAGAGCGACCTCAAAGGGGCTACTTCGTTCTCGAAGAGTGAACGAAGCCACGGGGTTTTCAAAGGCCAGATTTGGTAATACAAGCAGAGCGGGGCATGCCCAAGCCAAGTAGATTAAAGTACTGCTCTCTAAGCCTATAGCGGTGACTTCACGATCCTATCGAGGCTTCTATATCCTAGGTTTTCAAGACATTCATTGTTCAGCATATAAAGAAGCTGAAATATATGACAGCCTGGCTTTCTTGCCCAAACGGACCCCAACCTCAGCCTTGTCTCGCTGCCTTTTGCTCTTTTTTGTTGTATCCTTTTTTTTTTTTTTAAAAAAAAAAAAAAGCCTCCCGTTTTAGCCCTGTGTGGTTTTCTAGTTCTATCCACGCACTATGGGAAGCACCACCAACGGCCATGGCCCCTCGGGTGCCGAAGAAGCGGTCACGGAGCCCATCGCCATAATCGGGCTGAGCTGCAAGTTTGCAGGCGACGCGAACAACGCCCAAGGCTTCTGGAAGATGATGGCCGAGGGGCGCAACGCCTGGTCCGAGCCTCCGCTCTCGCGATGGAACGCCAAGGGCGCGTACCATCCGGACCAAGACAAGCTGAGCACGACCAGCGTCAAGGGCGCGCATTTTCTGCAGGAGGACGTGGGATGCTTTGACGCCGCCTTCTTCAGCTACTCGGGCAACCTGGCGGCGGCTGTCGACCCGCAGTACCGTATGCAGCTCGAGTCGACCTACGAAGCGCTCGAGAACGCCGGTCTTTCACTCGCCCAAGTGGCCGGCTCCAGGACGTCCTGCTATACTGCTGTCTTTACCCACGACTATCATGACGGCCTTATCCGTGACGAGGATAACCTACCGCGCTTCCTGCACATCGGCACGCCGGCGGCCATGTCAGCGAACCGAATCTCGCACTTTTTTGACCTCCGCGGTACCAGCTGTAAGTATTGTATCGGCTCATAAATTTTTCTTTTCTTCTTCATTCTTGTTCAAAAAGACTCATGATGTTACAACAGTCACGCTCGACACGGGCTGCTCGGGCGGCATTGTGGCGCTGCACCAGGCAGTACTAGGCCTCCGAGCAGGCGAGGCCGACATGGCGGTCGTGAGCGGGTGCAACCTCATGTTGTCCCCAGACCAATTCAAGACCTTTTCGTCCATGGGCATGGTCTCGCCTGACGGTATCTCGTATACATTTGACTCACGTGCAAACGGGTATGGTCGTGGCGAGGGCGTTGGGACTCTTGTTCTCAAACGTCTCAGGTATGGTGGTGTTTCTCTTTCCTTTATTCTCTCCCTCCCTCCTTTCCCTTCCTCCACGTCCACATATTTGGGGCCTTTGCAAAAAAAAACCTAACAAGAAGATGGCGTGCGACAGAGATGCTCTCAAGGAAGGCGACCCAGTGCGAGCCGTCATTCGCGAGACGTATCTGAACCAGGACGGCAAAACCGACACGATCACGCTGCCGTCGCAGTCAGCACAGATCGAGCTCGCGCGCGAGTGCTACCGACGCGCAGGACTCGACCCAAGAGGCACACAATACTTTGAGGCACACGGGACCGGGACGCCCACCGGCGACCCCATCGAGGCGCGGTCCATCGCGGCGGTGTTTGGGCCCCATGTTACAGGAAGAACCCAGCCGCTGCTTATCGGGTCGGTCAAGACAAATATTGGCCATACCGAGGCGGCCTCTGGTCTGGCGGCTGTAATCAAGGTGGTGCTGGCCCTGGAGAAGGGCCAGATCCCGCCCAGCATCAACTATAAGAAACCCAACCCCGAAATGCGGTTCCAAGAGTGGGGGCTACAGGTGGCTACCGAGCTGGAGCCGTGGCCGGCAGCGGAGGATGAGGCACGCCGTGCTTCCATCAACAACTTTGGCTTGTCAGTAGAATATCCATGACAACTATCACCTTTTTCCCAGATTTGTAGGTTACTAACTCCTCGACGTGGGAAACAGCGGAGGGACCAACAGCCATGTTATCCTCGAGGATGCCAAATCTTTTCTTCCCAGCCCATCACGAACAAACAATGCCAACGGCCATACCAGCGGCCACACCAATGGCCACACCAATGGCCACACCAATGGCCATACTAATGGCCACACCGAACAGGAGGACCAGAGCAGCCAGGATGAAGAGGACAGCGAGGTGCTCGTATTCTACGGCCGCGACGAGCAGGCCTGCCAGCGCATGGTCTCGGGCGTCAAGGAATACCTGGAGGAACACCGCAGCACCCCAGACCCAGCCGGGCTGATGCGAGACCTGAGCTTCACCCTCAACTCCCGCCGCACACGGTTCCCCTCGGGATGGGTGTCGGCTCACGTGGTGCCGTACTCAGGCTCGGACCTCCACCTGGCCATCGAGAGCCTGGAAGCGCCACAGTTCAAGCCGGTGCGCCTAGAATCAAGGCCGCCTCGCATCGGCATGGTCTTCACCGGCCAGGGAGCTCAGTGGTACGGCATGGCACGGGAGCTCATCAGCACGTATGCCGTCTTCCGGGCGTCGCTCGATGAGGCCCAAGGCTACCTTGAAGAGTTCGGCGCCGAGTGGTCCTTGGTTGAGGAGCTGATGCGCGACGCGGCTACGACGCGGGTCAACACCACGGCGCTCAGCATCCCCATCTGTGTAGCTGTCCAGATCGCACTGGTGCGCCTGCTCAAGACGTGGGGGGTCGAGCCAGCCGCCGTGACGTCGCACTCGTCAGGCGAGATAGCAGCCGCATACGCGGTTGGGGCACTGAGTGCGCGCCAGGCCATGGCTGCCGGCTACTACCGTGCTGCCCTTGCTGCCGACATGAGCCTGAGGAGCGAGGGGCCCAAGGGCGCCATGGCGGCTGTCGGCGTTGGAAAGGACAGTGCCACGTCCTACCTGGACAATCTAACGCCTGCCAACGGCAAGGCAGTGGTGGCGTGCATCAACAGCCCCAACAGCGTCACTATCGCTGGCGACGAGGCCGCGGTGCAGCAAGTCCTGGACGAGGCCGCCAAGAATGGTGTGTTTGCGCGCCGTCTCAAGGTTGACACGGGCTACCATTCTCACCACATGATGCCTATTGCGGAGCCCTACAGAAAAGCCCTCGGTGCGGCTCTGGCGCCGCAGGGTGAGGACGCCAACAAGAGACTCGAGGCCATATTCTCATCGCCAGTCACGGGCGGCCGCGTTACGCACTCCAAGCAGCTCGCTGACCCGGACCACTGGGTCGGCAGCCTGCTCCAGCCTGTGCAGTTCGTCAGCGCCTTTACCGACATGGTCCTCGGTGGCTTGGACGGGTCATCGAGTCGTAGTAACATCGATCTAGTCCTCGAGGTCGGACCACACACGGCGCTGGGTGGGCCCATCAAGGAGATCCTCTCGCTGCCTGAGTTTGAAGGCTTGGACGTGCCGTACACAGGCTGTCTCAGGCGCGAGGAAAATGCTCGGGCATGCATGCTCACCATGGCTGCCAGCCTCATCCGCAAAGGCTATCAGGTCATCAATTTGGATCAGCGGAGCGTAACCCCGCCTGGGCAGGGCCTGGAAGCCAAACCAAGCGTCCTGACCGACCTGCCTACGTACCCATGGAACCACACCATCAGGCACTGGGCCGAGGCCCGCATCCACACGGCCTACCGACAGCGGAATCAAGAGCCGCACCACCTGCTCGGCATGCCGGTTCCGGGGGCCAACCCCGACGCAGCCACATGGAGGCAGAGAGTGCGCGTCTCGGAGAACCGCTGGCTGGAGGATCATGTCATACAAGGCGCCATCCTGTACCCGGGTGCTGGTTTTGTATGCTTGGCCATCGAGGCGATAAAACAGCAGCTTGCGGCATCAGACCAGCAGGCGCCGGCGGGTTATAAGCTGCGTCAGGTCGAGATACACCAGGCGCTGGTGGTCCCGAGCAGTGCTGACGGCATCGAGGTGCAGACGGTGCTCCGGTCTGTCAGTGACAAGGTGATTGGCGCTCGTGGCTGGAAAGAGTTTGAGATCTCGTCTGTGACGGCGGAAAGCCGCTGGACGCAACATGCTAGGGGGTTGATCATGGCCGACCTCACAGTGCCAGGCCACAAAACGACGCCGAACGCCTTGGGCAGCTCGGCCTTTATACGGCGCATCGACCCTCAAGATATGTGGGCCAGCCTACGCCGGCTCGGCCTGAACCACGGGCCCTCGTTCCAGAACACCAAGAGCATTGTGCAGGACGGCAGCGCCAGGGACGGGGTCCGGCTCGGCGTGACCACCATTGGCGTTGCCGATTGCGACACCCAGCAGGCCCAGAGCAGGCACGTGCTTCACCCGACCACGCTGGATTCTGTCATTGTCTCGACGTACGCAGCACTGCCCTCGGCCGGCGCCAACGACGATGCTGCCAAGGTGCCGCGGTCGATTCAGAACCTCTGGGTCTCGGCTGCCATGCCCACTGCTGCTGGGCACGTCTTCACCTGCAACGCCAGGCTGGGCCATGTCAGCTCGCAGAGCATCCAGGCCGATATTTCTGTTGTCGACGGGGGACTTGGAGCGGGCCAGACCGTGCTGGAGGTGCAAGGGCTTGTGTGCCAGTCCCTGGGCCGCAGCGCCGCAGCCTCTGATCAGGAGCAGCAGCAGCAACAGCAGCAGCAGGGACAGTGGGATAAGGAGCTGGCCACCAAGATTGAGTGGGCGCCCGACCTCCAGCTCTCCATGAGCCTGCCTGGCGCGTCGCAGGCCGCCAGGACCAGGCTCAGTCCATGCAGTGCGATGGACTCCAAGGACAAGGCAGTGCTGATGGGTCTGCGGCGGATGTGCGTCTACTTCTGCCACGACGCGGTGCAGGCCCTCACAGACAAGAATGTGGCCAACCTCGAGCCACATCACGTCAAGTATTACAACTGGATGAGGAGTGTGCTCAGCCTCGCAGCATCATGCCGTCTGGGGCCCGACAGCGACACGTGGACGCGCGACTCGCAGCTCGTGCGGGACAGGAATATCGCCCTGGCCGAGGCGCAGAGCGTCGATGGCGAGCTCATTGGCCGTCTGGGCCCGTTGCTCGTGCCTTTGCTCTCTGGCGAGCAGGCGCCGCTCGAGGTCATGACGCAGGACAATCTGCTGTCCAGGTACTGCTCTGACGCCCTCAGGACCGCCCCAGGCTTTGCGCAGTTCACCCAGCTGCTGCGCACCGTCGTGCACAAGAACCCTCGCGCCCGAGTCCTCCAGATCGGTGCCGGTGCTGGAGAAGCCACACGCCACGCGCTCAAGGCGCTGGGAACCGACAGCGAGGGCGGCCCGTTTGTGGACAGCTGGCACTTTACCGATGTGGACTCGACCTCTTTCGAGGCCGTACGCGCCGAGCATGCAACCCAGAGCAGATTCTTGGAGATACAGTTTGACCAGCTCGACATTGACCAGGACCCAGCGGCGCAGGGCTTCCAGCTGGCAAGCTACGATGTTGTGGTGGCCTGCCAGGCGCTGTACGCGGCCAAGAACGTCGCCCGCGCCATGGCTCACGTCTACAGCCTGATGAAGCCTGGGGCCCAGCTCCTGCTCATGGAGACGACACAGGACCATGTCGATGTCCAGTTCATACGTGGCCTGCTCCCTGGCTGGTGGCTGGGCAGAGAGGAGCCTGAGCGCGACTCCAGCCCTGCCCTGCCCACGTCGTCATGGCAAGAGGTGCTCAAGAGTGCCGGCTTCAACGGCATCGACGTCGAGCTCCGCGACCACGAAACCGACCAAGACATGCACTCGGTCAGCAGCATGTTGGCATCAGTGCCCATGCCGCCGCTGGAGCTGCCAGAGAACAGCGGCGTCGTCGTCGTCGCCAGCAACAAGGCGCCGCTCCCGGCTAGGTGGCTCCAGCTCCTGCGAGCATCCATCGCAGGCGTCACCGGAGGGTCTCTTCCTGCCGTGCAAACACTTGAGTCTCCAGAGATGTCGTACAGAGACAAGTTCTGCGTATTTGTCGGCGAGATTGACCGGCCCCTGCTGGTCGACCTCGATGCTGCGGCCCTGGAGGGCATCAAGATGATGGCGACAACCTGCAGCGGCCTCCTTTGGGTGACACGAGGAGGCGCCGTCGAGTGCACAGAACCCAAGATGGCCCTGGTAAACGGATTTGCCCGCGTTATCCGCAACGAATATGTGGGCCGCAGGTTCCTCACGCTGGACCTCGACCCCGAGCAGAACGCATGGTCGCAGTCAGACGCCTCGACCATCGCCCACGTCATGCAGACGGGCCTGGGAAGCCCTGTCGGTGCTGCCTCGTCCTTGACCGCCGAGGAGACCGAGCTGGCCCTGCGCAGCGGCCTCCTCATGGTCCCGCGCATCTACAAGGACGTGCGCCGCAACAAGATGCTGTCGCTTAACACTCCAGACTGGGCGAACCTGCACCTGATTCCCGATGCGCCACTCTACCAGGAGGACCGCCCGCTGCGCCTCCACGTTGGCATGCCGGGCATGCTAGACTCCTTGGTGTTTGACGATGACGAGGCGTACGAGGACTACGCCGATGCCGACACCATTGAGATTGACCCTCGCGCGTACGGCGTCAACTTTCGCGATGTCATGGTGGCTCTGGACCAGCTACGCGAGCGCGTCAGTAAGTAAACTTGGCAAATCCACCCCTCCAAAAAAAAACAAAAAAAAAAAGAGAGAAAGACAAATAGGGATATTTACTAATACTAAAACCGTTTTACCATAGTGGGGGTGGAGGTCGCCGGCATCATCTCGCGCCTGGGCAGCGAGGCTGCCGCGCAGGGCTTTGCAGTGGGCGATCGCGTCTTTGGCTTCCTGCGTGGGCCCTTTGCCAGCATAGCCCGCATCGGCTGGCAGGCTATGGCGCACATGCCTGAGGGGATGTCGTTCGAGGACGCGGCGTCTCTCCCCATCGTCTTTGGCACCGCCTATGAGTGCCTCGTGAACGTGGCCCGCATCCAGCCCGGCCAGTCAGTCCTGATCCACGCTGCCGCCGGAGGCGTGGGCCAAGCAGCCATCATATTGGCAAAGGACTACCTTGGGGCCGAGGTCTACGCCACGTGCGGCTCCCAGGAGAAACGTGAGCTTCTGATGCGCGAGTATAACCTGCCGGCTGAGCGCATCTTCAACAGCCGCAACGACTCCTTTGCGCCAGGCATTCTGGCCGCCACAGGTGGGCGCGGCGTCGATATGGTGCTCAACTCGCTGGCAGGACCGCTGCTGCAGGCCAGCTTCGATGTTTTGGCGCCCTTTGGCCACATGGTGGAGATTGGCAAGCGGGATCTGGAGGGCAGCAGCCTCCTTGACATGGCCACCTTCTCACGGGTCGCATCCTACACATCTGTAGACGTTCTTCGCACGTTCCGTGAGCGTCGTGCCCAGTGCTACCGCCTCATCAGCGAGGTGGCCCGTCTCGCCGGCCAAGGCGTCGTCAGGCCTGTCCACCCTGTTACTGTCTACCCTATGGGCCAGATCGCCAAGGCCTTCCGTCTCCTACAGACAGGAAAGCATATGGGCAAGGTTGTGCTGTCGACCTCGCCCGACCAGCAGGTCAAGGTGCTCCCGCGCGTGCCCAGGGCAAAGCTCAGGGCTGACGCGTCGTACCTGATCATCGGCGGTGTCGGTGGTATCGGTCGGTCGGCGGCGTTCTGGATGGCTTCCCACGGTGCCAAGAACATTATCGTCCTCTCTCGGAGTGCCGGCAACGTCCAGAAGAACGCCTCCTTCGTGGCCGGGCTTCGCGAGGCTGGGTGTCGGGTGGTGGCCCTCAGCTGCGATGTCACCGACAGAGACGACCTGGCGAGGGCGCTTCGCACGTGCGAGAGCCATGAGCAGCTGCCGCCCATCCGCGGCATCGTGCAGGGCGCCATGGTCCTGCAGGACTCGATCCTCGAGAACATGACGATAGACGACTGGCAGGCGACCATCCGGCCCAAGGTCGCGGCCACCTGGAACCTGCACTCGTACTTCTCGCGGCCTGGCTCGCTCGACTTCTTCGTCATGCTCTCGTCGCTCTCGGCCATCTTCGGCTGGGCCAGCCAGTCGAGCTACGCCGCCGGCGGGACCTATGAGGATGCGCTGGCACGCTTCCGCGTTGCCCGAGGCCTGCCAGCCGTGTCGCTGGACCTCGGCGTGGTCGTCAACGTCGGCAATGAAGCCATGACCGTGACAGACAGGCTGGCCAAGTCTGGCCAGTCACTGCGCTTGTCCGACGAGCTGGTGATGCAGGCCCTTCGGATCGCCATCCTCGAGCCTTTCCAACAGCCCCAGATTCTGTACGGCTTGAACCCGGGTCCGGGCCCGCATTGGGACGCGACAAACAAGTCGCCCATGGGCCGTGAAGCCCGTTTCATGCCTCTACGGTACCGCCAGCCGACCGGGGCACGAGGCCAGACACAGCAGCAGGACGAGTCGGATGCTAGTGCAAAGCCGCTCTCGACACGGCTGCAGGAGGCTGACTCCCCTGTCGAGGCAGAGCGGCTGGTGGGCGACGCCATCGCCGCCAAGCTGGCTGAGATCTTCATGATCCCCACCGGGGACATTGACATGACACAGCCGCCAGCCTCGTTCGGTGTCGACTCGCTCGTTGCCGTGGAGCTCAGGAACATGCTCATGCTGAAAGCCGCCGCCGATATGCCCATCTTTAATATTCTGCAAAGCGCCTCCCTAGCTACCCTGGCCGGCGACGTGGCCGCCAAGAGTGCCTATGTGACGCCCATTCTAGAGGTGGCTGTTTAACAATAGACGCCCCCCCCCCCCGCCCTTCCCTCCCCCTCATCTTTTTTCTTTCTTTTTCGTCTTACTCTGTTTTCTCTTGGTTTCTTTGCGATTTCGTACTATATAGAAAAGAAACAGATATGGTTTGTCACAGCATAGAAAAGAAGAGGGCAAAAAGTCAAGACTTTACCTGTAACTGTTACGTGAACAGGAACACAGATATTAAAGAGAGGAGGGTTTTATGCCTGTCTTCTTGCACATAGCCAAGAGAATATCACCCGTCGCCCGATAAATCCAGCCGGATGGATCTCTGCAAAGTCGGTGTCTCCTATTATACAGGCCCTCTTGAACTGCTTTTCAAACCACAATCTTCTGCCTAGTGTCTACCGCTACGGTGTAGGAGCGGACATTGGGATATGAGATGATTCAAAGATATGTGGATGCTGTAGTTCATAATATTAACCCTACTCTCAATATTCTTGAGATAGGTGCCGGCACTGGGTCTATTTTCCTACGATTTCCAATATATTGTTGCTCCTCAAGACCTGGCTGTGGTCTTTCTATGCTCAAGTGATTCGTAAATGAACTGAGCACGTTTTTGTTGAGTTTGCAATGTCAGACATGATTCGGAAACTAGGAACTAGCTTGTGACATCCCTTATCGTCTCCCCGCGACCCCACACCCACTTCTGATTATCACTCTGGTTTGACATGCTGCGCGAGGCTCGCGGCGATGTCTCGCGTGGTAGCACTGTCTATAAACTCCATAACCTCCTTGATCTGCGTTCCATCGTCCGTCATCTTGAGAACTATCATGTACTCGTTGGCGTAGGGGCCAAAGTCTGTCTCGCCGGTAGACGTGAGATGCAGCAGGACTTTGCGCGACACCTCATCGACAAGCATGTCCTCTCCTTTAGCGAGGCTGATCTTAACGTTCCGCAGCATCTTGAATCCAGGCACAGTGAACTCTTGGTATTCCTCGTTGCTTCGAGGTGGGCTGGCCCATGGCGGAGGGACGCTGGACGGATGAATGACTTGTTTGCAGTCTGCTGTGCGGCAGGCTATGACTCCTTCGGCAGTGTTGGTATTGAAGCCTGCTATGTAGCTATTGGCTGTTTGGACCAGGGTGTCACGAATCGAAGGCATCTTAAAGGAGATACGGTAGGACTGATGTGTGTCAAAGGCAGAAGAAAACAAACTTGTCCGATCGGTGCAGAAGACTGGGCAGAAATGGGGGGAAGCTCTCACTTAAGTAAATTTGTGAGCATGAGCGTGCGCAAGCCTGCATGCGGTTGGATGATGCACAGCGCGATAAACTCGGCTGATCCACGTTAATGAGAAAAGAGAAGGTGGAAGAAAGGATGCATGTACTTCTTTGTACTTCCTGCTGACGGAAGTACATAACATTCACTTACTAATTATAACAAGAGTTGGGAGCTAAGGATAACGGTTGGAACAGCCTGGAATAGCTACACAGAAAATAGTAAGTACATAGGTACTTAAGTAGCAACGAGGCTGGCCCCTGCACGATCGCACTCACCGTTTTCTGCATAATATATGCGATAGCTAAAAGGAGTAACCACTCACAGCTGACTGGAAATAGCTGTGGCCTATATAGCTACATAGAACGATCGGACTCACACCCCCCCCCCCTCCCGCCCTTCTACTCTGGATATGATCAAGCTCTAGTGTAGACTAGAGAGGCCGAACTGGATACAAAGTATGAGACTATCAATCTATCTCTAGAATAAGTCTGTTATCCACTTAAGCATACCCAGAGTCCAAGGCAAGGCAAGTAGTAGCCTCTGAAAATGGGCTTGTAGTGACTATATCTAGGTTTGTATGAGTGGGCTTTTTAGTGACTATACCCAGATCTGCGTGATTGAATGGTACTTCTGATGAAGCTATTCCTAAGTGGAGCTGAGTTGTCTCTCACTGAAGTAGGAATTCGCTGTGGAGTTGCTTATATATTAGGGAACAAGCGAAAGAACTCGTACCGTATGTGAGGGCAAAAAGGCCCATGTTTCTATTCGCTGAGGAGAAAAGAGAAAGGGAGGGAAGAGCCACGAGGGCAGCTGACCGAGGCTATCAACAGGTCTGGCTGTTGGCTGGCTGGCGGGCCTTGCACGGCCCTGAACCAGTGACTCGCCGGCTCTCGCACACTATCACGTCTGTTCGGGATGCTTCATCAGCGAAAATACAAGACAGGAGAATACTTACTCATTTACATGTACTAACCCTGACGCCCATACCACTTGATCATATATGAAAATTGCCAATGAACATTTCTTGTTCAAAGCGAGTGGCTAGTGTCTGTAGTGGAGGTGATATTTTCTTTTTCGACATCTGGCACACTTATTGGTAACTCTATTCAAACCTCTCGAAGTGCCTTCATTTTTTGCAGTGCTTCCTCTTTGTATGCAGCCAAGTCTATGCCGGCAATTAATCCCCATCTAGGAGCCAAGAGGTCTCTTATCTTGTCTGGATCCAAGCCAGCGTCTTGTCCACAGAGAATCAGCCCCGTTCCTCGGCCAGAGTCAATGACCCTTTGGCATCTGTTCCTCAGAAATAGCACCATAGGCCTGGAAAGCGCGGGAAATCTCAGAGGAGACCTTGGTCTCCCCGAGTAGTGTGACAAGAATGATAGCATCCTCAAAAGCCTGGCCAGTTCCGGCACCTTGCCACGGGTTAGTGGCATGGGCGCGTCGCCAACAATACATACTCGACCATTTGAAAAGGTCCTGGTATATTTGTGTTCCCACTAGGAGTATGCTTGAGGCTCAGGTTGATCCATGATAAGCTGGCACGCCGTCAGTTCAAGCTCAAAGCAATTAGGGACAGAGAATCTTCTATCGATTATTCCTTTGCCAACAGGTCCATCCATCCAGTCGAGCAAAGTCTCTTCCATAAATTCTCGTGTCAAAGGCCGCCTACGGTCTTTTGGTGGGTCCTTCTCGATAGTCGATATCACACATTGAACTTTCGTCCTGTTCTCAAGAACATCATGCATAACAAAGGCCCTATTTCCCACCCATCCGTATTGTCGATCTTGCTCAAAGTATTGGGCACCAAGGGTGTCTCTCGCCTTATTGATGGGAACCACGTTCCTGCAGTCCCAGCAGCCAGCAGGAAACGGCCCATCATCATCAGCACTTTCTTGCAAAACGTAACGTCTCACAGCGCCGAAAATTCCATCCGCACCAATCACCGCGTGGAAAGTCTCATTCTGTCCATCACAGAAAGTGACCTGAACATCACCAGCAGCAGTACCAGTGATTTCAGATAGTGCCTTCCTTGTGTGAAGCCGCTTAGCGGGGAGGGGCGTAAGGAGTTCGCGAAGAAGCGAAGCCCGATGCACTACTCTGGTGCTGCCCTCTGGGTCATCGCCAAGGTCCACAATCACAGCTTCTGCGTGCGTGCCTGACCCCTGATTCATTATTCAGAGTCGTGACGTGTCAATTCGGGCTTTAGACCTTCCCTCACAATGCAGGTTCGCGTCGATGCTTGAAGTACCGCACCCGGCCTCTGAAGCATTGCACTAGCCTCTGACACCCCGACCACTTTCTGTAGAGCCCTTTGCGCATCACCAGAGAGTCCGATAGCTGCACCGCGTTCAGAGAACTCGGGTGCCGACTCATAGACATGAACTTCGAGGTGGGCATATCTAAGGAGAGCATTCGCGATGGAGGCACCCGCCAAGCCCCCACCAATGACCGCAATCTTGATAGTTGAAGACGATTCTGCCATGCTGCGTCAATCAATGTGGAAATAATGAAGAGTGGCGGGGGAGCTTGGTGTTTCGGGGAGACCTGGAGGAGGATTGTGACGCACTTATTTATAATTGAGTGGTGCTAGAGTGGCTGTGTGGCTAGCCAGGAATGGGGAAATCGGAATATGGCATAGCTAGTGACGATCCTACTGCATATTGCATAAGTAACAAAACGTGCTATCTCGGGTATGATGCATGGGGAGGCACATATTCAGTATGAGAAGACATAAATGGTTAGATAGCAATCCAGGTGGAGTTAAGACTGCCCCCTTGAATTCGCATTCTCTCTTCCTTTCGCCGCTTTGGATTAGATTGTGATGAACGTTGCATACTTATGCTGCACTAACCTACTAACTCGTCACTGAGTTCCGATGAAAGCTTAGCCCCCGCTTGGAATATGTTCTCAGGCGAGGAAGTACAACGTGTTACCTTATTTAGTTCCATAGGTTTATTCAACATGGTAGAAATGGTAAAGTGACTTACAGCTGGTACGAGGCTCCTTCACCTTCACCAAGATACCAATTCCGCTTACAAAAATGGAGTTTACAGCGCAATCCCCGATAGATCCACACATAGAGACACTACAATACTTACAATGACAGATACTGCATTCTGCCTATAAATATTCCGTGCTGAGTTAAGATGACTATCGAGGCTGTCGTGGTTTCAACACTTATAATGCTCATTACTTTAGGCGTAGCAAGGATCAGGACATCCGTAAAGAAGTCTGAAATGGCTAATCCGTAATCGTAACTATCAGAAACAAGGCAGTACGTCTCCAACACCACAGCCGACTGCCACATGGCTGAGACATGCCTTCTGGAAGAGAGTAGAAAGCAGAAGCCAATCATCATTGCACAATTATGATGATGCTTGCAACGAATAGACCATAGGATCCCGACCGCTTGGTCGTGGTGAAGATGCGCAAGTAGTAAGATAGAATGCGAGCTTTGCTACAGCCTAGCCCAAAAGGCAGCATCAATAAGATAGCGACTTGCGTCTGCTCATACGTGATAGATCTGGCACAATATGGACATTGTAATCAAATACTTTCGCGGCCATGACTATCTGTGGCGTAACTAACAGTAGAGATTCTCCCTCATAATCCGCTGGAACAGCCAGAGGATAGGCGAAAGCATGTTGTAAAACAGCGTGAATCACAAGGAACTCTATTACCACGGCCTACATCTGATAGATAGGTCAGCGGTCACATATGCTGGCTCCTCATAGCAATCCTGTCGGGAAGTCAAGATTATCGTAGAACGAGGCGAGAACCTTTTTCGACGTCTAATTGTGGAAGAAAAACAGTCTCTTTGCACCTTCCGAGCTGGAGATCGAGTATATTTTTCACAAATATAATTTCAATTTGGGAAAAATTGATTTTCCATTTCCAAAGGATTATGAGGCAATATTTAGTAACATACATCAAAACCGAGGGCTGTCCCTATGCTTCTACGCGAGCATTGCAATTAAGCTGGAATCAAACGTTGCACCCGCTCCAGTTGGTGCTCATCCAAATCTAAAGCAGAGTAGAATCCTGCTCGTTGACTTGCCAATTCCAGAGCAGAGTGCCAGTTGAATCTATGAGCCAACAGCATATTGGGACCAAATAACTTGAACCAACAGCCTGTTGGGGGCCATATGTAACTGTGAGCCAACAACATAGTGGGGGCCAAATATCCCTTGATTATTGTTTGTGTCTCTTCGTTTATTAATCCTAAAGTTGACTCTATTGAAAGATCTCCCAGAGTCTTAGTGTCATGCGACTCCCAGAGGTTGGATGCTTCCATAGTCCATGTACCTCGTTACAGGCTAGCTAATTAGCGGCACCTGGTTGAAGACCTGAATTCTAACACCAAGTACGAAATGACAAGTCCTAGTCATCTACTGATCCGGAGAATGCATCCGCAATCTCGGTCAAGTTTTTTCCATGTGCAAGAAGCAGACCTAGCAAAATTCTTGACTTTTGCGGGTTCAGGTATCCACTAGCAATGTGGCTTGCTGTCGTGCTGCTAATGTCACTCAGAGGGACCTCTCCACTGGCGGTCCGGAAGCTTTGGACCACTGGAATCTCGAATCTGTTTAAAACATCCTCGATGGCATAATTGAAGCTGGTGCTCACACCACCGGCTCCCGCTCCAGCAATCTAGAAGAAGGTCAGCGTGTATTCAAGGTTAAGAAGATCAGTTTGTTGCTCACTACAATGCCTTTAGCGCCGGCCTCAATAGCGTTGTAGAGAGTATCATTGTGCATGTCCTCGTAGAAAAAGAGGATGTCGACTCTTGGAATCGAAGTAACATTGCTGATATCGTATGCCGCCTTGCCTGTCGGCTTCATTGGCGGATAGTAGAAGTAAGGTTTATCCGAGATCAGTTCGCCCAGATAACCCATCTCGACGGATTTGAAGGTATCGAGAGTGTTGGCGTTCATTTTGGTCATATAGTAGGCCGATGCTATTCTGTCATTCATTACTAGCATGGTGCCTCTGTCCTTAGCACTTGGGTCAGCTGCCACTGTGACAGATTCCAACAGGTTGAAAGGGCCATCAGCGGAGACAGCGGTAGCGGGTCGCATAGCACCGACCATGATGACCGGCTTGCCGCAGTTCACAGTGGCGTCCACGAAGAATGCACTCTCCTCCATTGTGTCAGTGCCATGGGTGATAACAGCGCCACTCATGGTCGGGTCTTCGCAAACGTATTTGTGGATCATTTTCGAAAGACTGAGAAGGATGGTCGAAGTTATATCCTCGCTGCCGACATTCGCGACCTGCACGCCCGCCACATTGGCGACATCGAGTACTGCAGGAACAGCGTCGATTAAGTTCAACACGGTCACACTACCCTCCGAGTAGCCAGTTGTGGCTGTGGTATCACCACTAGAACCCGCAATTGTTCCACCTGCATGTATGTTAGATTATTCCTCGGATATACTTGTAGATGTATCTCTCACCCGTGGCAAAGATGGTCACATTGGGGAGGCTCATATTCATCTGAGTGAAGTTGAGGCCATTTTGATTGGTGAAGACGAAGGTCTCATTTGTGCTGCTACTCGTCACCCGAGGATGCAGCACGGGCGAGGTGTATGCAATTCCTGCAAAAGCCGACAAAGCAAAGAGAATCGTAGCCATGATAACTAGCAATTATAGTATTAAGCATAGAAACAATCGATGAAAATCACCTATAGGGAGTCAGTGAGAACAAACAAGAGGGAGAATTCTAAATGAACAGTGATTCGATTCTCCGTCTTTGCTGCATTATATATGTCTGCCATGCTGAGCACTCGGTGGGTGTTCCGTTTGTCTATGCTTCGCTTAAGCTCTGGTCTACCCTAGACAATTTTGGCCCCATGGCGGTAAATCGGGGGGCCGCCGGTACGGTGTTTCCTTATCTCTACCGCAGCGCCCGCTAATGCTCTAACGCATTGGGTGAGAGACTGGCGACGTTTTTTGAGTATCCTAAAATTCGCGCATAACTAGGCTATACTATGACTTTATCTCTCTAACCATGCCGATATCGGGGTTCTTTATCTCGTTCCGGCGCCATTGCCCGAGCCGGGGCGGCAGCTATGCCGGCCCTGCCGAGCATTGCGCGGGAGAGTTGTTTGTATTATTCTAGCCCTGCTGTTCTGGGTGATCTACTTCCCGACACGCACGTGAAATAAGTAGCAAATATGTCTCTTGGTGCTATAATATCGGGTTGATCACCTGGAACAGACTCTATACTTAAGCAGCGTGCTCGAGTGTCAGGACAATAATGTCAGTCTTTCCAACACAGTCGAGTCAATCAACAGTATTCTGTGCTTCATTATATCCAAACGAGCTCAAGCAGCTGGCTAGAGATGTCCTTAAGGCGGGGTAGTTCATAAGGTGGTGCTTTGATTTAGCTTAGGAGAGAAAAAACAGGAGAATTATTTAGCTTCAACAGAACGCTAAATGTACTACCCTAATAAGCACTTATGATAGATAATATTACTAAGCAGTTCATTATGTTTGATAAAATACTGTCTTCAATTGTAGCTATAAAGCAGAAGCTCAAGTTTCGGACTTATTGTATACTATAAACCCTAGATTCTACCGATGTGATATTGTGATTCTCTGAGCTGAAAGAACATTATTGAATGCTGATACAGGGTCCCCCATCATACCGCATATGGCTTCAAACTCTACTCCTTCAACAGCATCCGCTTGAGGTAGTTCTGGTACCAGAATTGCTGCGAAAGCGGTCAGTCCTCCAAGGATCGCCTCTCAGTCAAAACCATTATCAGTCTTATCTGATATAACACCGATATCGAGGTGCAGGTGGTTTCCGTAAGGGTCATCGCTAGTGCCAGCAACAGGAGCATTGCACATGTGTGCGCTATAGTGACAGACCACGGACTTCCGCGGGTGTCCTCGCAGCGTTCGTTGGGGTATGGGTTTATTCCTCAACTAGCCCGTCACGCTTCCAGAAGATGATATCATCATCACGGCCAACTTTGCGCCGGAGGCGCCTGGTCGGGATAAGGCCCGAGCCACGACCGGAACCTGTCTCGTCGGCATCAGCCCTGTACATCTCGTTGCTACTTTCAAGCCGCCACTGTCGCCATTGTCCGCGTTTCCGATGTCGATCGTGCCGACATTGGCCACTCAAGCAACAATAGTGGACGTCGCCGCAACCGTCGTGGGTGTGCAGTCGGACACCGTGATACAAGTCTCTTGGCTTCCAAAGATGCCGCCAACCATCTTGCAGGCAATGCAACTGGAGATCCAGGTCGATATGTCGGTTTTAGCACCTGCTTGAGCGCTGGTACCGGGCACGCTGGAGTATGCACAGCAATCGCAGCAGCCTTCATCCGCATCCGTACCGGGGGATAAGCCTGCCACTATATACTTAATAGATGACGGTGAAGTAATCATACTTGTTGCCTCTGCGGTGATGTGTAAGGTCGATGGCACAGACATTTTGGCTGGTGGGGCTGTTATTGCACCTGAACACTCACTAATACCAGCGCTGCGCTTCATATTGTTGCAGGATGGTGCCACAAAATCTTTGAACCGGGTAGCTTAGTTACTAGTGAAGCACTGGTTTGAGATCCAGGCAATTCGAGTACCAAGCCAGTGCTGTGAAGGGTACTGGTGGAAGAAAGATAAGGATTTTCTTTTTTCCCCGGGACACCCAAAGGGTGAACCTTGGGCGTGCGTGTTGCCACTACACGGTAAACCCAGGCATATGAAGGCAGTGTTGCTCAACTGATCGACTTGATCACTAGAGTCTTTAGGGCAGTTACTTTTCTTTGGGCATTCTTTTTGTTCATTTGTTTGAATAAGTACTTTCACTCTCTCCTTCTCTCTTCTGCTCTCTCCCTCATTCTCATTTTTTTCATTGTTTTCCAACAGGCTTGGCTTTGTTTTTGAATCAACATATACTCATAAATTGTCCAATAAATAATGCAGTTATGAACTCGCTGTGATAACTTACACGCTATGTCATTCATTTAGCATTTTTGCTCTCTTCCTCCCCACTATAAGGGAGATTTCTTTCTTTCTCTTCCTTCTTTGAAGATACAAAAGTCCCTTGACTCAGCTCCACTCGAATGGACATGCACTATCCTGCAAGGGCTAAGGTAGCAAAATGGAGCTTTGTTTGATCCTTTTGTCAGCTTTGCTAGTTTAAAATTATCACATACTCCTTCCATTAGGAAGTTGTGGGGCCGCACACAGGCCAACGAACGCACCTCGTTGGTGCATCCACTCGCTTAGATGAACATTGCTAGTTTTGCTCCATACAACAATCATCAATTGAAGTCCGTTGCCTGACCGTTTTGTCCCCATTTGTCTGACTCGTTTCTCTGAGGGTAGCGATCCTACCTTCAAAGCATAGTTAGTAGTACTGACTACAGACATGGGAGCCCTGCTGAGGTATCTGCCCCTGGTGCATGCCTGGCTGGACGAAAATATACCATAGTATGCACCCTAGTACATGGCAGAGTTGCTGGCCCCCTTGTTGCAGTAGCACAGATCCTTTCAGGGCGTGCCGGGGTAGTCCTCCGTACCAGTAGAACCCTCTACCTTTGGACAGGGTTTCCCAAAGTCTGTTGCAGCTCTAGAGTTGCGTTCCCTTTCCTTCATCCTCTCTCCAACATGTTCTCCCGACACCACCAACCTCTGCAGTCATCGCAAGCTGCATCAACTCAGTACTACTCTGGTAGCTCTCTCACGCCAGCGTTTACCTCGTTGTAATACACTCGCATGGCTATTCTCTCAGCAATCTTGAGTGGCGTCCTGTTGCTCATACTCGGCACAGTCCTGCATTCAGGATTTTGTCTATTTCAAAACTACTGGGCAGCCCGCAAAATCGGCGTCCCGGTCCGCATCATCCTTATCGACCACGTCAATCCGTTATGGCTGGTCTGCGACCGCGCTGTCTTGTCAGTAGTCCGGCGCCTCCCTTTCGGACTCGGCAACAACAGCTTCACTCGATACAACTATCGCGGCTGGGAAGTTCCTGATAGGTATTATACGCATCGTGAGCTTGGTGATGCGTATATCCTGGTGTCCCCAAAGAATGTATGGCTATACGTGGCCGATCCCGATACTGTTCAAGATATCTGGCGGAGAGACAAGGACTTCCCTCGTGACACCTCTGTAACAGGTCAGTATTCATATGCTCCAAAACGTCCTGAAGCATTATAGAGCTAACGAAACAAAAGAAATGCTTGATATTTTCGGCCCTAGTATATCAACAGTAAGAATCTTCTTGGAATCTTGTCTACCTGTTTTACGATACTCTACAAGTGCTTAGCAGAGCTAACGATAGATTCGTAGGCACAAGGAGATCAGTGGCTGAAACACCGCAGGATCACCGCTTCCTCGTTCAACGACCAAAATAATAGCATCGTATGGTCTGAAGCTGTGAGGGTAGCACATGATATGCTCCATTACTGGACCGCAAAGGATTCTATCGAAACAGCTGCCGATGACCTCCGCACATTGTCACTCCATATCATGTCACGAGCTGGTTTCGGCCAGTCTTTCAAGTTTCAAGGCCATGACGAGAAACAAAACGCTGCCTTGAACGAGGCTTCCATGGATTTCAAGGAATCTCTGAAGATGATCCTTGAAAACTGCGTCCTCATTTTCGCTTTGGGTAGAAAGACGCTTGCTAAACCCTGGCTGCCACGGAAGCTACGCTTGCTTAACGAAGCATGCAATTCCTTCCAAAAGCACATGACGCAAGTTTACGAGGAGGAGAAACGCGCTTTCATCGAGCACAGATCCGCCGACCGCAATTTACTCACTCAGCTCGTCCGCGCATCGCAGGACGAAGCGATCAAATCCTCCCTTGGTGGCCTTACCGAAAGCGAGATCTACGGCGATATGTTCAGTTTCAACTTTGCGGGCCACGATACTACTGCTCACACTTTCACCTTCGCCATCTATTTTCTAGCCGCAAATCCGGCTGTGCAAGATTGGATATCTGAAGAAATTCAATATGTTCTTGATGGTCGTCAGCCGGAAGATTCATCCTACTCGGACTTTCCTCGTTTGAAGCGTTGTCTGGCGGTTATGTACGAAACGCTCCGCTTGTATACGCCAGTGCCTACAGGCAAAATCGTGAACGGACAAGCGCCCCAGTCTCTTACAATTGGCAACAAGGAGTATCTTCTACCGGCGAAGACGATGGTTGTGCCGAGTTACGCGTCTTTGCAAACCGATCCGAAGTACTGGGGCCAGGATTCGCTGCAGTGGCGGCCTTCGCGGTTCGTCAAGTCGTCCGAGTCATCTGAGCTGGACGACGAACAGTTCATCACCCCTGGGCGCGGTACGTTTCTCGCGTGGTCTGGAGGCCCACGTGACTGCGTAGGGAGAAAGTTTTCCCATGTTGAATTTGTGTCTGTCATGGCTTCGTTATTTCGGGATTGGCGGGTGTATCCGGTGATGAAGGATGGCGAAGAGACTCCGGAGCAGGCGCATACAAGGATTCTGCGACAGATTGAAGTGGACTCGGCACCCGTCCTCCTTTTGCAGATGCTGCATCCTGAACGCTCACCACTGGTCTGGAAACGGCGATAGTGGGGTTGAACGAAATGAGAGTCCACGCTCATGTGCAATGGAGGCTTAGGTTTACACTATTGCTTTCATACAATGTCAGTGTTGCAGTCAGGAGTGAGTGGTAAATGAGAATTTGGCCTGTTGAATGTAGCTAGATGATGCAAGTACAAAGCTCCACAGCAGGCAGGTTGGGAACTTCAACATCGTAGACATTGTGAGGTCATTACCGAAGCGCATACAATCTTTACTCGGGCAACCTGATCAATAAACAATCGATAACGTAGCAAAGGATAAGGTGTCTATACTTTATTATAGTAGATACCTAAGCGCATTGCAAGTCTAAAACGGTATTCGATCTAATGCAACATTGAGGATATCCGCATCTTCAAATACCCCTTGATAGATCGTAGGAGATACTTGAAGGATATACGAATCAACCCGTGAACGAAGCATGTGTAATTAGGCACCCACTCTACGGAGGGAAGACACATGGTCAACTGACTCATCTGAAAAGGAGAAACTTTTTTTTTAAATTTTTCAATCCCATTTGCAGTTGCCACTGCAATGCTTGCTCTTGTTCTTTTGCTCTGTTTCCGCTGAAGGTGGGGCAATACCGGAAAATGAAGAACGAAACAACAACATTTGCGAAGTCAGAATGGCCCGCGTTGCACGTCCAAATAACGTAGGGGCCTAGTGAGTCGCGACCTTGGTCGGCACAGAAACGGCGTTGTGTACATGCGCAATGTAATTTTTGAAGAATACCTGGATATTTGGACGAAATTAATCGTGCTCCGAAGGTGTGACCTTCTTTCCTTTCTGAAATCCTTGCAACACTGTCTTTGGCGTGAGGTAGACCAATTGTGTATTCATCTTGCGAAACTTTGCGCCACATGTTCAGTATAGGCTTCACAACCTTAAGTCTCCCGCCCCCCCGCGCCGGGGGGGCGGCTACCATCATAGTCATTAATGTAGACAGTCAACAGAGCTGAAGTCGAAGCCGTAAACAAGTTCTGAATTCGCAGATCTTCTAGAACTGGAGTTACTGAAGGAAACATCACAGAGCCCCGCTAAGGACAAGAATTGCCCTAGATACGTTCTGATTGTAGGTTGAGAAATAGCAATTAACATCGCCTTTACCAGAATCAAATCTTTGTATAATGACTATCAGTCGAACCAGTGCAGTATTCTATGTACATGGTGCCAGAGCAGAGCATTCGTCAGGCTGTGAAATTATTCCCACAGTCTCTGGGCTATCCCTAATCTACTCAGGTAAGACCCCCTCTTTGTCTCAGAGCCAGATTATTCGAAATGCTGCCTTGGCCCTATGTTGACTAATAAGCTACTTGTTCGGCCATATAAGAACCGAAACGAGATGCAATGAACTTTTTTCGTCTCCCGATGAGGTTAATCAATACTTTAGTACTTACTCTTTTGAGTTGAAAAGTGCGTATTCGGGCAAGTCATGTTTGTAGTAATACTGTGACTTCGGGCTTCGAGCGTTGCAGTTTGAGCGTCAACTGCAGGCTGCCATACACATCAGAAACATGTACCATGGCACTCATGGCATATTTTCTTCGTTTCAATCGGCCCACATGCAGGGCGCAGAGGCCTGGCTAGCGTCTGTCTTCGGCGACATGCAGTCATGGGTGGCGGCTTCGCTACCATCTGCGCTTATCATGGTCGCTTCCTTTAAGCCCACCACCCGCACCCTGAGGATCTCCGTCTGTCTCTGAGGGCACATCCACCACCCCCCCCCCCCTTTCAAACCCCTTTGGCTTATAAACCTAAATTCAAGTGCGCCAAGGGGAAGATTCAAGGAGAGAAAACTATGATCACGCTTAGATACTACTGATCACTCAGTAGCTGTGTCTCAAAGGGGATCGTAAGCGAAGAATCAACAGGACCCGGCCTCTCGCCACCCGGGCAGTATATACTAGCCAAGTTGAATTATGATTTCTTCTCCAATGTTTACGTAATTTTTTTTTTTTTTTCAACAAAGAAGAAGAGAACCCTATCACAGACAGGTCTCGTTCACATCCTAGTATGCATTCGCGGAGTTGACATATTCTTTTATATCAAGGTCTGATTTCAGCCTGGATCCTTTGTGGTACGTCATGTACTTTCGAGACGGGGGAAGTGATGAAATCGTATACCGAGGGGTTTTTATAAGCTCTAGTGATTCAGAATTCAGAAAAAGGTTTATTTAAAGTTTTTCCTTAATGCTGTTGTTGTTATCATATACCCTTCACGTACTCCAGGGACTTCGAATTATTACTGCAGTGATTGTTCCAGTCTCTCCTTTGTCAGCTCCCCGCCCGGCCCCGACTTCCCCGTCTCATAATAAACTCGACCTACCCCTCAGTGTCCACGTGGACCGCACTATCCTGGCTGTAGCGATAGACAGGTAAGTCTCGACTCTACATCTAAGGAGAAACGTATGAGCTGAGCACGTGGAAGTGGCTGAATGAGTGTTGAGATTGAATCTATCTAATACAAAAGGAAGATCTTCTAAGTAACTAAACCAGGCTCTGAGATGGTTTATGAGGAGACCAAAACAGAGGGTTAGGGTTAAATATGCCCCATTTTTCACAACATCCTACGGTTCTATGGCAAGTCTTTGCTTTTGTCACATTGCAAATTTATCCAGGCAGAGTCTGTCACAGTGACATCAAAATCATCCTTTGTCCAAATCTTTGTACATCACAATTCATTTCCACATCACCCCCCGCCCCCATAGCTCCCTCACAAAAGAGAAAAAGGGTCACAATTTTCGATAGACGATGGATCAACTCAGTGGGCAAGTTCGTGGAGTGACTTCCCATCACAAACCAGAAGGCGATACGGTAAAGGAGTCATCCACCTCTCTCACGATAACGTGCCACTGTGGAGCGCATCGACAAAGTCTTCAATTACGTCTGATAGAGTCAGAAGGCGGTATGAAGCCAGTCATCGAGTTTTGCGACTGTGAATCCTGCCGCCACATCTCAGGCACTCTGGTTGTCTCGTATCTCACCGTCCTCCGACCACGCATCACTGATGGGCTCCGATGTTTTGACTGTGTTTGTGCCAATGGACCCGAGGCGTCTCGGCGATGGTTCTGTGCGATTTGTGGCTGTCACCTCTTCAAGCAGACATATAAGACCTTTGGTACTTCCGAGAGCACAACCGACCGCATTCACCAAGCATTCGAGGGGAATGAGTGTCAATGGTCGGTCGCTACAGGAAGCATCATTGACTCACCACCAGAATCTCAGGTTATTTCGGCGACGCCGACCAGATCTTACGCCAATGATGGCGGGCTCCTCAAGTATTTATTCCCTGGGCCGTTCGGGAACGCAATCTCAGCAACTACTCCTATACAACCGAGTGACTTGCAAGGTCATTGTGCTTGTGGTCAACTGCAGCTCAGAGTCTGCCAGGCAAGTCAATCTGACCTTGAAGGAGATCGAGCCCCGTGGTCGCCATATGCAGACCTGCTTGAGCCCTTTGCAAGAACTCCGAATTCCGTTCTGGCGAATCCAGACAACGAAAAGTGGTGGATACGGACAGCATCTGGTCGATTTAGATACCTTGCTGGCACCTGCGCATGTCGGTCATGCAGACTAATAACTGGCTTCGAGATCCAGACCTGGGCCTTCATCCCGCGCAAGAACATCTTCATTTGTCTAAATCTGCCAACAGGTCAAGAGTGGCATGAACTTGACGCCAACCAACTCGGCGGTGGAATAGGCTCAGGTGTCAGTCTTGTTTCTCAATACGAGTCTTCGCGTGATGTCTTCCGTCATTTCTGCTCTCGTTGCGGAGCTACAGCATTCTGGAGAAACCTGGAGCGTCCCGATCTCATCGATGTAAGCGCTGGTTTGTTCGATCCCAAAGGCGGCGGGGCACTAGCCGAAACACATTTGGAATGGTGGAGAAAAAGAGTGAGCTTTATTGAGGACAGCAAGAACGGCCGAGATGGTTGGATAGCCCGTTGGGCGCAAACTATTACTACCAATCTTCAGGAAGGCCTTGGAAAGGAACACGAGTCTCTAATGTCTTTGGAGTAAGCGCGAACATTGAATAAAACAATCTTCGTTTACAGCAACCCTGAAATTAGGACGCAAAGTCGTTGAAAAGTTCACGATTGATAGCGCACTAAAGGGGGAATAGCTGATGGAATAATCGTGTGATGGGAGGGAAAACTCAGTTCGTTGAGCATACAAGTGGAAAGATTTAGGTTGGGGACTGTTGGACAAATGATGATTTATTTAGCGACAGCGAAAGAATACGACGTCGGAATAGGATTTGTAACCGCCGCTGTGTATGGATCTGACAACTCGTCGAAGCCGGCGTGGCGAAGGGGGGGGGGGGGGAATCCAATGGGTATCCTGGCGGAACAACATCAATGTAGGAGAAGACTCTCTTACTAACGAACCCCACCTCATTATGTGCAGACTGACAAACTTGAACAGGGTGGACGACTCTAATCGATTGGAACGGTGCGGCTGATGATGACACGGTTCGCAACGTGTCGATTTCCACGACGGCGAAGTGGAAGGAGCTGGGTGAAAAACGCGGGCTATATCTTGACTACTTCGACACGAAGGACGCATCAAGAGACCAAGACCCTCTGGCCACGTATGGTGCCGAAAACATTGCAAAGCTTAAGAATATTGCGGACAAATACGACTCTGACCAAGTCTTCCAAAAGCTTCAGAATGATGGATTCTTGTTTCGAAAACTTTAGCTAGAACGAAAACGCCGAGTCCGGACAGGTTATAGAACTAAAGTCCTCCCAGCAATGTCACAACCGGCATTGCAGTAGATTTGAGGCCCTCGAGAGTATCTTATTCAATCAAGGAACCCAGCGCTGTGTCTTGCGACGTGATGCCTACCCATTTCGCGGTTCTCGTCCACAAAGCCTCTTGCGTCGCCTCGTCCCGGCTGTCGTCCGAGCCCTGGTCCGGTTTGAGAAGCGTGAAATAGCCACGGTGGCCAGGGTGAGCCTTGTTGGTGGCTAGGCGGGCAACGTCGACTGCGGCTGCATTGGCGGTGCGTGCGGTAGGATCCACAGCTTCGCAGACGCGTTAGAGTTTTCTAAGGTGAATGTCCCCGGTTGGTCTCCACGGGGACGACGAGAAAGAAGGAGGGTCTTCTTGGACGAGAATAACGTACTCATATTCAGCAAGGGCCGCAAGGGCCGTACTACAAAATTAGACAGGATGACCAGCTTGAGAGGGGTGTTCACCCGCAACGCACGCGAATCTGATAGATTTCCGGGGTTCATGACGACAGCGGTGATGTTCTTCAGCTTGTCATCGCGCTGAAGGCGGCGGTTCAGCGCATGTGTCCACATGACCAGAGCGAGCTTGGCGTTCGCATAGCGATGAAAACCATGGCCGAGTGCATCAGCCGATGAGTCGTCAGCGCCGGGCTTGACGAGAAGGTCGAGTTGGGCTGCCTCGGCGGACATCGACGGCGGTATTTGCTCCAGCTGGTTCTTGCCCGACTCGTGACCATCACTTGTGAACAAGATGATCCGGCCCCCGGCTTGGGCGCGAAAGCTGCCGAGCAGGCGGAGGACAAGTGCCACGTGCGAGAGGTACGAGACCTGTACTGTCATCTCATAGCCATCGCTGGTCAGCTGCATCGGGCCAACAAGGTTCCAATGATAGGCGGCGCATATGATGCTGGCGAGCCGGGGAATGGAATTTTCGGCGACCTCAGTTGCAATGCGGTGGCTAAAGTTATGCACTGTGGAAAGGGAACTAAGGTCGAGCTCTCTGACAAAAACTTGGGCTTCAGGAGAGTTGGCAATGGCTTTGCGTAACGTGGCGGTGTTTGCATCGCCGTCCCCGGCGTTGCGAACCGTGGAGCACGAGCGTCAAGTCAGGCAAATGCTTGAGCAGATAATCGACGAGAGGGAAAGGTAGCGAGCTGTTGGCTCCTGTGATAAGAATGGTGGCTGCCATGTCAATACTGGGGTTGGATTTTCAGAGTAATTACTGTAGCCAAACCGCTTTGGCGTGCCGGGCAGAATGGATACTGAATATTTGACGGTGACACCTGCAGTGTGACCTGATGTGGGGTGCAACTCAGGAAGAATCAAGCGGGAAATGGATGTAGATGGGGCAAGCAAGGGGAACGTATGACGAGATACTAGTTGGGAACAGCAGTTCCTTCGTTCACAGAGCTAGAGGCGTTTTTATGAAATATGGATGCTACAAGTAATGAGCGGCCGTCTTAGGCACCAACCGGTATATCCAGATTTCCCCTAGCGCTTTTTTGATCACTCTAGTGCTGTAGTTGGTGTACTTCTGGCTTGATGTGCCTCTACGCTACTGCAGTACGTGGGACATAACATACCATATTGCTTGCATTTGCAGACCTGTGCCGCAGAGATGCAGAATCAATGGGCCGTTTAACGATGTAGCGGCCGCCCCCTATATGCGACCCACTATCGCTGAATCGTTCTAACGGGCTTGAAAGGCTATGATTAAGCTCTGGAAGTACGAGGGTCTGCCACCTGAGATCACTAAATGAGCGGATACTTGAGGTAGCAGCAGACAATATTGCTTACGAAACATTAAGCTCGGCGGAGAGAAGTGGAAGGCTATGCTCGATAGGTTCGTTGCAACTGAACAACAAGTAAGCAATTACACCATTCACACCCTCTCACCTCACTTATGTGCCTGTTTCCCCTGACAATTACATTACACTACTTGAGGAAGTCTTTATGGAGTCAAACAGCGCCAGAAACGCTGAAATTTCGACGTGGACTTGTGGGCACGTTCTTGCTCGGTTTAAGATAAGTGCAGGTCACCGTCTTGGGTTTCCCCAGCCTGACCTGCCTCTCAGCAAGCCCCTCCATCGCCGAATGCTGCTCGCTGAATGACCTGGCCATAGTAGGATCAATTTAATGGCTAAGGCTATACAGAACAAGCAGACCGAGTTCGCAAATACGGTCGCCGCAAACACTGAGCTCGTGAAAAGAGAGCAACCGCGTGCACAGATCGTAGCTGACCAGGCTCAGTTTGAGTCGATGTTGAGACAGCACTGAAGCGAGTCTTCAAGCCTCCCAGAGTAGGAGAAGAAACGATACATCCATTTGAAGAAGGCTAGTGACCACAAGAACAAGGTACTGTCTGAATACGACAGCACCGCGGTCAGCATCACCAGTGTCTGCCAAGCGACGCACAAGCAGGAGACGCCAATGGTCAGGCCAACCTCGGAAAAATCAAACTTCAACGACGAAGAGCTCCAGTCCGCGGCGTTGGCCATGGGCGGGCCAGAGTAGGGGTAGCGTCAATACAGTGACGATGATCCGAGTTGAGGCCAGCCACCCGATCCGCTTTCACCAAGCTACAGAGAAACACCTTATCATATTCAACATCGACTGGGGCATGATGTGCTCCAGCCTTTGGAGATAAAAAGACCAAATACAGTAACTAAGCTGATTAGATACCCAAAAACTGTAGAAGAGTCTTCAGTGACGTTCATGTAAGCGAGCGTCGTGAACAGACTGGTTAGGCCAATGCCCCAAAGCGGCACACCCTTGGTGTTGGTGCACTGAAAGATACGAGGGGCCTGTCCATCGCGTGCCAGGCCGTAAAGTGTCCGCGAGCCGACGTATATGTCGCTGTCTGCTGCGCTGATCACGAAGACTAGCAGACAAGCGTTTACTACGTCTGGAAAGACCGAAATGTGTGCCAGCTGCACGGCAATGACGAAGGGGCTAGCAGCTGCCGAGGTGCTAGATTTGGTCGCGCCGATCAGCTCTGTGTTGGTATAAGGCACACTCATACCAAGAACCCATTTTGTGGTTGATCGTACCAAGACCAATTTGTTGTTGCTGCCGCACCTTGAATGTCTCTTCGGGCTTGCGTGTTGCGTCGACGTGGGGCCATGGAGTTTGAACTCCGTGAACATGCTAAAACACGATAAGGTGGGCTTTATCTAGACTCACGCCCAAATTTATACAATCATTTGGATGGATTTGATAAATGGAGGTTCAACTCCGAGCTCTAATCAGCGTCTCGCTTGATAAAGCTGTATTTTACAAAATGTTTCAAGGTTTAGCGAGTATATGCATGAAGTCAATGAGAGTTTATCATGATCAGATAATGTAATTCTGGAGACTAAGCACCTGAGCGAGAAGCATCTGTGTTGCTGTGGTTCAAAATCTATATATTGGTCAGACTTGTCGAGGCTTGGTGCAACTTTTCAGCAATAGACATCCACCAGAGTCGAAATTCAATTGCTCGTCAATAACCTTGCAATGGCTACAGCGCAGATCCTGGATACCGGCAGGATGGCCGTAGACCCTATTGATAGTGCTTCAAGTTCGACGACCAATGTGTCACTTCTTACTGCGAAATTCTTCTACTATCGCCGGCTTGTACCATTGGTTTCCCAACCCGATGTCGTATACCTCAATTCGTCATTCGCACCACCCTCCAACCTGATCGTCCATGAGGCACTGGCAAAGTACTCTCACGAGTCACTCCACGACCCTCACCCAAAGCCGGGGTGGCAGGCTGCGGCCGAAGACGCCCGTGTGCTGCTGGCAAAGTACATCAATGCAACCCCTTCATCCATTGCCTTCACCAGGGACACCACGGAAGCCCTGGGAAACTTCATCCGCTCCGTATCTTTTCAGCCTGGAGACAACGTCGTCATCCTCGATACCGAGCATCCCAACCACGCTTATGGATGGATGGCCCTACGAGGAGCTGGGCTGGAAGTACGGCAGGTCCTGACTGCGGATGAGGCGCTGCGAACGGGCCGAGTCACCGCTGCAACTGCCGAGACCTTCGCGCCCTTTGTGGACAAACGAACGCGAGCCATAGGACTGAGCTCCATTATGTTCCACAGCGGACAGAAAAACGACGTTGCGAGCATTTGTGCGGCTTTCAGGCCACGCGGCATCCACGTTTTGGCCGATCTTACCCAACAGGTCGGCTTCGCCGCGGTGGATGTCCAGGCTTTGGGGGTATCGGCGGCCGCCTTCAGCTTGCACAAGGGCCTCCACTGTCCGACTGGCATTGCCTGCATGTATGTGGATGCAGACGTCTTGAAGGCGCTTGACCCTGTTCCTCCGGTTGTTGGCTACGGCGCCGTCAGCAATGCACGCAGCGACTTGCTGGTCCCGAACGACCCTATTGTCTTCCATCCGAGCGCAAAGAGATTCGAGCACCTTAACCTTTGCCTCATCGGTACCTCCGCGGCTAAAGCTTACTTGAGTTTCTATCTGGACTATCTTGACCCCTCAGACGTTGAAGAATATTTGTACAGCCTCGGAGACAAACTACGTATCGAATGCAAGAAGCTGGGTATCAGGATTGTTGGCCCCTCGGATCGAGAGGGACATGCACCGCATTTGTATGTCCTGGACTTGTTAGATGGCGCATGGGCGCTTCACCTAAATGGTTGCGGAATCCATGTAACCGCATATCGATTGGGCGTCCGAGTGTCGTTGGGGTTTTACAATAATGTTATTGATATTGAGCGACTAGCTGGTGCGTTGAAAATGGGGTTGGACAAAGGCATACCCATGTCATAGCCAGCATGGCTATTTCGGAGCAACTTAGTGAAAGGCTATTTTCCGATAACACGCGCGCGCACATACCATCACAAATGTATATATATGTGTGTGTGTGTGTGCGCGCGCGCCTCGGCATCCTTAGTGGGTACTGATCATGCGCTCGCTTGCCGGGTGCTTTGTCCAATACCCCTTCTCCGTATGCAGGTATAGACAACTTTCTCCGATGAAGAAGAGCGCAAACTCCCGTACTCGCTGCCATTGTCGTAGGTCCTGGAAGTGACGTCTATCTTTCGCTTGCGTCTCACTTATAAGCCTGCTAGAATCAGTCAGCATGTAGTATGAATGCACTTTCCCGCTCCCCTGTACTTTCCGGCGGGGCTGTGACTGAGCTTATCTATGTTCTTGGGCTGTGCTGAGCAAAGTGCCCAAGGATCAATATGTGTGAACAACTTGGGATGACTTCGCAATGTGGTAATTAGACACAAAGCTATGTACATGACTAGTTGCATGCCGGTCATTCGAGCGGTGTATTGCGTAGAGTACTATACAAACTGGAATATATGAAACTCATAAAACTGCACGTAGCTCTGAGCTCTATCAATTCTATACATCAAATCGATCCGCGTTCATCACTTTGCTCCAAGCAGCCACAAAGTGTTGGACAAACATCTCTCCCGAGTCAGCCATTGCATAAACTTCTGACAGAGCACGAAGCTCGTCATGAGAGCTGAAGATAAGATCATTCCGAGTGGCAGTCCATTTCTGCGCTCCAGTTGATCGATCGGTTCCTTGAAAGACCTCGTCTCCATCGATACCAGACCATTTCGTCCTGATATCGAGGAGATTCACGAAGAAATCTGTTGTCAAATGTCCCGGGGTATCCGTGAGGACGCCATGGCTCGACCCGTCATAGTTCGTGTTCAGGACACGCAAGCCCCCAATGAGGACTGTCAATTCTGGAGGCGTCAAGCCGATGAGGTTCGCTCTGTCCACCAAGACTGCTTCAGTCCTAGCGCGAGCTGTCCCCTGGCCGTAGTTGCGGAACCCGTCTACCTGTGGCTCCAAATATCCAAATGCGTCGATATCTGTTTGGTCCTGAGTGGCATCCACTCGACCCGGGAGGAACGGTACCGTGACATTGGCAAAGCCGGCGTCGTGAGCGGCCTGCTCGACAGCTGCGCTCCCACCCAGAACAATCAAGTCTGCCAAAGAGACCTGTTTCGAACTGGTGCTGTAAGAGCTCTGGATCGCCTCAAGTGTGCTCAGAACCTTGGACAGGTTTGTGCCAGAGCCGGTATTGACGGCCCAGCTTACTTGAGGCTCCAAGCGGATACGTGCACCGTTGGCACCGCCGCGCTTGTCTGTGTGGCGAAATGTGGACGCTGATGCCCAGGACACAGAAATCAACTCCGACCGGCTCAAGCCGGAGTCCAAGATTTGCTGTTTCAGAGACGAGATATCGGAATCGCTGAGTGTTGTACCGTTCGATTCGGGCAAAGGGTCTTGCCAGATAAGTTTTTCAGCCGGAACCTCGGGGCCCAAGTAGCGAGATCGCGGGCCCATGTCGCGGTGAGTCAGTTTGAACCTATCAGAAACGTCAGTTACATGCCACATAATGCTATGCCGGTTGTGATTTATGATCTGATGGGGCCCCAGAATGAATCCTCCGAGCCGGGAACGATGGGCACTTACCAAGCTCTGGAGAAGTCCTCCGTGAGTTGCGTGAAATTGTTCATGTACATCAAAGAGATGTTATAGTAAATCGGATCTTCCCTTAAAGCGAGATCGGAAGTCAACATCCTTGGAAGGTTGAACGTAGTGTTAGAGAAGGGGCTTGGGTAATCCTTCGTGCCGTTCAGCGCGATCCACTGCCATGCACCACCAGGGCCCGTCTGGAGAGTCCATGTGTTTTGCAGCAGACTGTGCAGGTAGTCATTGCTCCATTTTGTTGGCGTCTTGGTCCACACAACTTCTAGGCCAGAAGTTATAGCGTCAGGGCCGACACCAGATTTGTAACTGTTGGCCCAACCAAGCAGCTGGTCTTCGATACCAGCAGCATCCGGTGCTGGACCGACGTAATCAGTGCTACTCGCGGCCCCGTGTGTCTTGCCTGTGTAGACTGTTAGTGTACTGTGTGGCTTACTTCATCCTCAAACATGCGTCCCTAGACAACGTACCAAATGCGTGCCCGCCGGCGATCAAGGCAACTGTCTCTTGATCATCCATTCCCATGCGGCCAAACGTGGTGCGAATATCCACGGCCGATGCCTTGGGATCTGGAATACCATGAGGTCCAACAGGGTCCACGTAGATTAACCCCATGTTCGTGTTGGCCAGCGGCACCTCAAGCTCGTCTGCTCGAGCGTAGATGTCGGTGCTGCCATTGTACCGTTGGTCATCCCCCTCGGGAAACCAAGCTGTTTCGGAGCCCCAATAGATGGCCTCATCCGCTTGCCAAGTATCAACGCGGCCTCCAGCGTACCCAAATGTCGGAAACTCGAAGGACTCCAGGGCTACGTTTCCGGCGAGTACGATCAGGTCACCCCACGAGATCTTCCTGCCGTATTTTTGTTTGATGGGCCACACTAGGCGTCGCGCCTTGTCCAAGTTTGCATTGTCAGGCCACGACTCGAGAGGCGCATAGCGTTGTTGGCCCTAAAGGAAACCGAGTCAGCACAAAGCAGCCCCTAGGCGTACGATTGAAGAGAATCTACATACCATTCCTGCGCCGCCTCGACCATCGAAAGCACGATAGGTCCCAGCGCTATGCCAGGCCATGCGTATGAACAATCCGCCATAGGAACCAAAATCAGCGGGCCACCAGTCTTGCGATTCTGTTAACAACGCCCGCAGGTCAGACTTGACTGCATCAACTATTGAGGAGTACTATCGTCAGCGACCCAGGATTTCCGTTGTTATATTATAGTAAGCAGAGGAGACTTACAGTCTAGTGAGCTGAACGCTGATGCATAATCAAAGCCACCGCCATAGGGGTTAGACTCGGCAGTATCCTGGCGGAGAACATGGAGATTGAGCTTGCACGGCCACCAGTCCCAAGTCCTTGTTCCACCGCCTGCAACGTCACTTTTGACCGGACATGTACCAAAGGGAGTGCTTGTAGAATTGTCGGCACGACGGCTCAATCCGTGGTGACTCCTCGGCACAGCTGAGTTTGCTTGCTGCTGCCCGGCAAAGGGACAAGATGCTGCATCGACAGCAGTCGACGCAGCAAGAGCCTGGAGCCAATACCATCCGGAGAGTGACCGCATCTTGGAAATAACAAGTTTGTCCTGTAAGATGAATTTAGATGACTGGAAAAGATGTAAGTAGTGGGAGAACGGCTGCTGATATATCTGACGCCTGCTGTGTGTCCTTGTTCGTCGTGCATGTGTTATATGTACTATAGTAGAAGAAGACCTGCCAAGAGCTGCATAATCCCTTCATAAATTAACTTTTTTGGGGGGGGGGGATTAAAGTCAAATTGGATCGAGTGGGTCTTGACCCTCGATCGGCGAAGTAGATGGTGAGTTTGACATCTTGTTCTTCGTAAACCCTAGGCAACGGTAATCTACAAGGATAGTCGAAAGAGCATCGAAAGCTTTAAGCTCGTCAAACATACGACCCTTATAAACTGGTTACACCCCCGTTGATAAGACCTACCTTTATAATATGATCTCATTGATGACAATACTTCTGTCTGACATGTTGGCATCCGTGCATGGTGGGCTACTTGAATGTTCTGCTTCGGTCCACAATCACGGATTGTCATCCGGACCTGGCTCTGCCAGCAATCTAGACACGACAGATCAGCAAAGTGATCTTTACTTCACACCGTCGGCTATTTCCGCCGGGCTCTGGGCTCAATGTCGGAGCACTGGTTCGAGCCCTATCACACCAGGGACCTATGTTCGGTACTTGTTGTACAATAGTACTCCGTACAACGTCACCCACGCTGGGCGGAGCCCCACTTGCCGGAACCACGGTAGCCGGCGGAACCCCCACCTGGCAGACCCGGTGGGTAGGAACGGATGAACCACACCGATTGGTCCTTAAGCACGGCCATAGTACAAGTCATAATTTATAACAACAAGCCGGCATGGCAGCACGGTAGTTACTTGCGTAAAAATAGTAATTAGCAAGTATATTCAGGGGAAACCGAGTGGAACGATTGTATGCCAAGACGCTACAAAGTTTATTAATGCGCGCGCGCCTCTGGGCATCACATTCCCAGCTGCCTAACCAGGCCAATTTGATTGGTGATCACCATTATCACTGAACCAACAGCGAGTGTACAGCCCTGTCTTCATGGTCTCCCATACACCTCAATTCGCCCCGCGATTCTAGCTTGACATTGCCTCGTTGCCAGCTGCCTCTCGACCTCATCGCTTGGCATTAGGGCGGATGATAAAGGTGCGCAAAGGATCCAGTACAGCGGATGGGTTACGGACAGCAGCGCTGTCCGGCTGTCGGCGTGTCTGGTGTTGGCACTGTTGGCACGTCGATGGTGACGAACTACTGCAACTTTCACTCGTGTGAACCAAGCCCGGAAGAGCGGTTGTGCCCCAGCAAAGAAGACCACAGATATGGGCTCTTAACCGCCTGGACGCGTTCAAGGATGACATCAAGACGCGGACTCAAGCAAAGGGAGAAGTGCAAGACGATTATCAGTGCCTTCATCGCGATCGGCCTTCTAATCGTTCCCCATATTCAAAAGGAAACCAGGCCTGCAGATTGACGGCACAGGCTGGGATTAGCTTGGGCACCCAGTCTAGGTCAGCTTCCGAATCTACCACGCATTCAAGTCCAAATGGGTCGTTTGACTGAATATTCGGTCGAGGTCGAACACTACATCCCACTCCACAACCAAACGGTCATCGACGATAGGTAGCTTAGACTATCATTGTTGAGCGCTCCAGGTCCATAGTCAAATGCCAATGAAAACAAATGTCTATTTTTCCGAAAGACTGAAAATTTCGCATAGTGGCTGTGTATATAATGGGGATTAGGATGATGACTGTCGCCCCGCAAGTGTAAGGGAGGGACCGTTGGTGGCGAGACTTCTGAGCAACGATGGGATTATCAATGTTGAAGATGGTATATGCTTAACCTCCATCATGGCTGCATGCATGCATACGCGCACCCTGCGATGTCGCTCATAGATGAGAACATGACCTGTCTCGCAAGAAGCCAAAATTGGAAGCTGTGACGTTTTGCGGCCTCCCGATTAATACCTGGGAAGCATCCACACGAGTATATAGCATGACGCACCGCATTTGTTTTTTCTTGGCTAAACGTAAGATCTGGGCCATTTGGATGGAATTGAAGCCGAGAAAGACAGTACTCCTATTACCAAAGGCCTGTTCTGCACTCGGCATATAGCTAGCGTACGTCAGCCACGGCTCAGAAGGAGACACCGCGGGCTTCCCATGGGTGGTCAGATGGCAAGCCAGTCCCATCCTGAATACTGTTCCAGGGCGTACTTCCCTCAAGAAGCGTTGCAATTCAGGACCATAAGCGAGGATGACATGATGAGAAAGTCGAGTTCGCCGCCAAGGTGTCTGTCAAGACCTATGACATCCTACACCTTTAGTTCTATGGCAGCCTACCAATGCGAGTAAGACATCCTCTCCAGGACAGGGATGACCAGGACCACGAATTATCATCTCGTGGATGGGTGGAGTGATTTTCAACATGCAGCGGCTAGGATCGGAAGTTTCTCTCATCCCCACTGTTGCACATCACATCATGTTCCGGAGTATCTAACATCCGGTCGACTATGAGGATATATAGGAGGAGAGTTTCTTACTACAAGCTCGAACTCAATATAGTATGATCTGGCTCCAGCATCAATGCCCGCGTGTGAAGCATGGCCATAACGTCAGTCGGCTCCAGGCATGAAGGGTGTATCGTCCGCTATTACCTGATCAATTGAAAGACTTCAAGAGATCATAATATGTAGCATGATTCAAACCTCAAGCAGAAAGCTCTTAACACTAAGGCTTTATAGTCCTTAAGACTATAAAATCCTGTCTGATGAAGGTAATAGAATTTCTCTTGTAACATCATCTGATACCATCGGTGGGATAGCAATTTACCACATAATAGTACCGCTGAACTGCTTAATCTCCTTGACGTTGATGCTTTCCCACATGAAGGTGCTGGCCCAAGTGATGGTATAAAGGCAAGCAGCGGTGATCAGCATCAACTTTTGGGTCGCCCCATAGGCGTTCATAATACCGGTACGAGTGGCACTGCCAATCGGATACGAGGACTGGACATCAATGCTACCATAGATCTCAGTCAAGGACGACTGAGCATCAGCGGGAAGATATTGGGCAAGCTTCTCGGGGAAGATACCAGTCCACATAGCTGCGGCCACAGTCGATCCGATAGCTTGTCCCATATTAGCTACCATGCCCTCCATAGCAATAACAGCAGGAATGTCCTCATGCTTTGAGACTGCCATAACAGTCATCTGCTCGCAGATTACGAGCGTACCGCCGCCGAATGCGATGAAGATCAAGCACATGACGACGTAACCAACGTTGACATTCGGCTGACGGAAATGAATCATCAAGCCGACACCGAGGATGGTCATGGGAACGCCGAAATATACGGCAGGCCATTTGATGCGACCATTGTAACGGATGAAAAGACCGAAGAGGAGGGCCCAAAAGACACTTCCTATGGTGTAGACGTTGCCCATGTAGGTAGCGTTTGTCACGCTCAGATTGAAGACAACAATGCAGAAAGAGTAGAAGTAGTTGTCCCACAAGTACCAGGCAGTGTAAAGTGAGGCCACCATAGTATAGGTGAAGAAGACGGTGCGATTCTTGATCAGGGACCAGGGGACAAATGTGACAGGGGCGAGGAACCTCTCCCAGAGGACAAAGGTGATAATCAGAAGACCACCAAAAACGAAGAAGCAGATGATCAAGGAGGAGCGCCACTGGTCCGTCTGATACGCGTACAAGCTGAACGACAGCAGAAATAGGCCAAAGCCGACGGCAGCGAGAAGGATACCGATTATATCGAACTCCCTTCCGTAGAAGACAATGTTCTGAAGAACGCCACGATCATGGGGCTTAGTGTGGACGAGTCCCATTTTGATGGCCTTGCGCTGATTGAAGTAGAACAGAGCCCAAAGAGGAGCACAGATGATAGGAACAACGATGGCAAGGGTACCGTATCCCCAACGCCAGCCGATGCCACCATCAGCAGTGATCCTATCGCAGGCAAGACCATACACCCAGGTAGTGATGAGCCACGGGGATGAGACGTAAGCGATCGAGAATGCCCGGTTCCTGAGCTTGGATGTATCGGCGATGAAGATTGTGATTGAGAAATCAATCCAGGAGTAGCCAGTGTAGTAGAAGACGGCGGCGGCGCAATAAGTCTCGACGTTGTTGCAGGCGGCGAGCATAATCAAGCCAAGAGTCATGACACCAACGGCAAGCATGAAACCCTGAGGCCGTCCAAAGTTGTCGATGAACTTGGCAAACGCGAGTTTGGTAAGACCGGGAATGAGACCGGCCAAGATACTCGTAGTGGAAACCAACGAGTGCATGGAAAATTCACTGACTGCGTAGGTGGTCAGAGTACCAGCAACACCAGATGTGAAAGCATTGATGAAGTTGATCAGCCACATACTGCGCAGATGGAGTGAATTAGTCATCATGGTCTGTGAGAGATGTTGGCCGTAGGGAATTCGACCACTGTAGCATAGATTCCAGCAAGGCACAGAATAAATGACGACTTACAAGATATAGGCAGTGATCAAATGATTCTTAGACCATACCTGGAGTGTGGCTTCTGCGGCCTGCACCCCAAACTGCAGTTCCTTTTTTCCCTCGACCGAATGCGTTGAAGGGGCGGCGGCATCGGTGGTGTCTACGATCGGGTCGAGCTCTTTGCCGGAGGCGTCTTGCTGCTGCTGCTGCTCGGGATCGTTCTGTTTGCTTTGAACAACTTCCACACCACTGCCAATGTTTCTAAGGCCAATGAGACCTCCTCGGAACTTGAGACCCATTGTGCGAAGCTGGGAGGAGGGCTTGATTGTCCTGATTGCGCTCAAGTATGAGAAATCGACCAAGCCAAGGCGAGGAAAAGAGATACACAGCTCATGATAGGAAGGGAAACACGCGGATCAGACTGAAGCGCTCAGTAAGACTATATACTCGCCTGGCACCCCTTTTGTGAGCTTGGCATGCATGCCAAATTTTCTGCCCTCCTCGACCATAGGCGTAACTTCCGATTCTACACGAGACTATGCTGGGCCGAACAGAAATCGGAACGAAAAAGAGGGCCAAACCCGCTTGGCATGTCTCTAAATTAACCTTGAATGCGAGATACGATTTCTTCTGGACTGTCTAGCTTGTCCAGCCCATTTTGTTGGGTCAGGTATGGCCAGAGACTTCCAATGGAATGCTGCTAAGTCTTATTTTAAGTGGATATGCTTCCCTATATCGTGGGCTAGCTTCTTGTCATGGATTATCTTATCAGATCATCAGATGTCTTTATGGATCTACCTAACCTCTCTTGGTGAGCCATTAGTCATTAAAACCAACGATCTATCAATCCAACGATCCACAAGCACAGTTCTGGCTCGCTCTGGCTTACAAACTCGGGGTCAGTGTAAGCTGGAATGTGCAATGTTGGGTTCTGACACCTGGTTCTTGTTACACGGAACTTGCCTCGCTACCTCATATTAAATGGTTTGTAATATCATGAACGTTGATCACTTGCGTATTATTGTATCATTTTCTTATTCGAAGTCATTACTACCCAATACTGATGGAAACATAACTGTTTTCGATATCCTAGAATTCTTGACCAATTGCGGAGTCCATGAGATTCTCAAAGGGATGGAGATTCTGGGGTGCAGGTTTTTTGGTCCAAGTCTCCTTTGAATATAACAGAACAGTAAGCGAAGTGTCGTTGAATTAGAATAATTGGATATATTAGGTCTTCGCACATCATGTGTTCAACTAGAGTACGTTTAGCATACGAATATACACTGAAGTGAATATCGAGGTCTAAAATATATTGGCTTGAATTGGTTTTATCTAAGTACTTTTATGAAAAGCTCAACTGCTAGACGACAAACCGTGCACTTTGCCATGCCTAAGAACTAGCAGGAGCAGTGATTTTCTCAATGTACCACTTGAAGTAAGACTCATTAGCAGACGAACAGGCAAAGAAAGATTACGAAGCACAACTTACAGTCTTGCCACCGTCGCTAGTGGTAGGCGTCGTGTGGGTGCAGCCGTTCTGGGTGTACATCATGTCGCCATAGCCAGCATCGGCGGGGTCGAGAGTAATAGTCGTATTCAAATAATACTGGTCCTCTGTAAGGCCTGTGGGGGAGTTGCCGTCTTGATCTTGCAACTCCACCGCCGTATTCCACAACGAGAAGGCGCCCGATGTCTTTTGGTAAGTAGAAAGGAGAGTGCCAGTGACTGCGTCGTGCATGGTCTGATTCCATAGGTACGTCTCTTTGTCGACCAGAGTGTACTTGATGATAATTCCGTTCTCATAGTTGGCGTCGGCCGTCGTCTTGGTGCCCACAAACTGGGTGGTCTGGTCTTGAGCGTTCAGTCCGTAAACCTCGGATGAGACGCACCAGGCTGTGTCGGCAGCGGCCTGTCCCTCGCACTCGCTCAGGCCGGAGGGATAGCTGCCAACGACGCTTTGGACTAGGTCACCTGTGGTGTTTGTGATGCCGATCCAGTTGAACATGTACCCCTTCTGGCCCGAGGGCATTTTCCCAGGGAAAATGGTGCTGGTAGTACCGGTGATCTCGCTTGTAGTCTGGTAGAAGCCACAGATAGGACCCCATGCAAGGTCCTCTTGTCTCTTGTCAACGAGGGGCTTGGCCGTGGCGGCGGAGGCCAGTAGAGCCAAGATCGAAAGGTTGAGGTTGGAATGCATGATGTGCAAGAATATAAGTGAGTTGAAAAAAGCGGGTCCAGCCAGTCTCATGAGGCGAAACAAACGTTGTTGGTGTTGTCTGTCTCGCCATTAGGAGTATGTCTCTATAAGTCTCTTTTTATGTTTCCTGGTCCTTGTTGGTGTGGGTCGTGTCAACGAGTCGAAACAAATGAAATTCTCCGCCTGCCCCCTCGGTACTTGTCCCTCAATTTCCGCATAAACTTTCGATGAAACATCATTCATGTCGCTAATATGGCAATAATGGAGCTGCAAACCTTAAATTTGACACTGAATGCGGGTTTCCTTCTCTTTCTCTTTCTCTTTCTCTTTCTCTTTCTCTTTCTCTTTCTCTTTCTCTCTCTCCCTCCTCGTGCAAATTGCAATTGCAGCCTTTTCCCTCCTTCGATATCCGCTGATCGTAGCACTAAAAAGAGAAAACATTACGCAACGTTCCTTTTTCTTGGAATCATGCAACCCTTTAGATGACCGGCCCCTTCTCTCGGCAGCGATCCGAGCAGTAGATCAACAATACAGCTCAATAGTATAAAGCAAGCGTCCCAGTCGTGTTGGTAGCCGCTGTCGGAATCATAATTGTCCAGGCCTTCTTCTGCACTGCTTTGGCTACGACAATCGTGTCGCTGATCCTTAGTCTATGCTTTGCAGAGCGCTATAGGCAGTATGTAGATGTCGAGTAGATCATAAGACAACGCATTAACAACGCATAGATATTATGTGCATCTCTGTCGTCGATCCTACAAAACTCAAGAGTCGTCCAACGGGTCTCTCGGCTCAATCATCAAAAGTGTTTGAACCCGTCGACTCCCAGTGAGCAAGACACCCTTGAGAGAAGGATCACCCCAATACACTACTGGAGAGGATCTAGGTTCACCTTGTCACCGTTGGCCAGGACAATAATGTCATCTTGGCGGCTGTAGTATTTGTAGAGATCTGGCTTCGTAGGGTGTTAAGTAAAGAGGTATTTGGTATAATGAGGATTGTCGCCGGGCAAGGCGTAGATTACGGGCACCGTAGCCCGACTTTCTTCCGTCGCAGGAATGACTACTTCGAAGGTGCCTGTATGGTCGCTGCTGGACTGTATTTCATGCTTCAGATTTGGAGTAAATTCGTGGTATTATGCGGCCTAGCAATGAGCGATAGGTAAGACATTCGTTTATAGCGAGTGGCAAATGATGTACATCTTGGAGAAGGCTTTTTGGGTTATAAGTAAAAGAACGCACTCATGATGGTTTTAGAAGTTTATAGTAAGGTTTTCAGAATCTTTAAAACCTTATTAATTTAATATGAATGAGTTAAGTAGTCACCGGTAGCATTTTCACTGAAAGTTAAGATATGGAACGTTTTGAATTTCAAGATGTGTTAAATATATTTGCTAGCTCATAAAAGGTAAATGAATCGTCTGTTTGGTTACATTGTTGAAAGTTTATTGTTTTGGTTTCTTATACTTGAAGCCATTATTTAATATATTGAATATGTAGCCTGCATTAATCCAGCTATTGTTCCTTGCAAGTATATCTGCGGTTCCCAGACTCTAGGATCTATGAACCAACCGCAACAAGCCGGTTTGCCTCGAAACCGTACTGCACGGTCTGATTGACGTTTCTAGAGCTGAAAGACGACATACTGTGCTGATCCACTCGGCCTGCAGAGGTGTAGGCATCTGGTCAACTCGATCATGTAAGGGGAAAATAATGGCTTCAGTGAGCATTTAAAGATTGGATTGGATTGCCCTCTAGAAAAATGAACAAAAGAAAAACACTCGAAAGGAGTGTTTTTATACGTGTGAATGGTCAGGGTCAGGGGTCTTTCTCCCCACATCATGGACGGACTTAGTATTAAATGCCAACACTCTGAATAGCTTCACTGATGGTGTATGCCCGCAATATATATTGGAAGAAATGATTTCTATTGAAGGCCTGTAATACCTAGCGCCGTTGTTGCCATCATGAATGCAGTCAATACTGTACGAATTTTGGAATATTTCCTTGAGTGCTTCTTATATATGTCCACTAACACGACGCCACCTCCGACTCTTTCCTGGTGAAGACTTGTTGCACAATACTGCCGACATTTTCAATATTTGGGCTTTGCATAATGCTGAAGTGATCACCATGAACAGAATGGCAGGCTACCCCAGCCCCTGGCAACAGAACATCCCACGAGTTTGGGCCATAGTTGCTCCGAGAATTCATAACCCAGTCACTCGTCGGATTTGATGGCACTTGCCCTTGCTGCCCTTGCAGCTCGCGGAACTCCACCCCCACCGTCTCCCATACCCCATGGCGCGCCCAAATAGCAGTTACACGCGGAACTTTTCGAGCCACTCCTCTGCCGGTGATGGATAACCATGGCTTTGGAGTGTACTGCTTGAGTGCGCGTAGGGATCCCTCAAAATGTCCCAGATTTGCATTAGTGACACCCCTTTGTTTTCTACCGCCAAGGACTCCCATCCTCTCTAGAAGCTGTGCCGTCTCACTAGGGAGTGGTGGCAGCGCAGCCGGGCAGGGTGCGTCGATGAGTATGAGGTCCGCCACGACCTCCCCATAATTCTCAGCGAGTTGCATAGCCACCTCGAACGCATAAACACCGCCGATAGACCACCCACCCAGGTAGTATGGCCCATGTGGTTGGATTGAGCGAATACTCTCGACAAAAATGCTGGCAATCTCGTGGACAGAAGCATCCCCATCCCGGAATGCATCTGGATCGTCAAGGAACGGGCTATTGAGCCCATATACTGCAGTCAGCTCGCAGTCGTATTTCTCAAACCCTGGCAGGAGTCCCATGTAGCTCGCTGCACTGCCAGATCCATCGGGTAAGAGGAACAGATTCATTTTGCGGTACCCAGCACCAGCATGGCGGCTGAAAAGGAGAACTGGCTGAGAGTGAAGTTCAATCTGATCACTGTTGTCCTCAGGGATCGTAGAAACGTTCTGTATCTCTTTCTCCGCCTTTGGCTCCATGTCCGATTGAATGTACTCAGGAGGAAATTTGTCTTTTACCACATTTGTAGGCGGTGCTTGCTTCAGTCCCAAGGTTTCCTCCATGGCAGCCATCGTGGGGTTTTCTGTGAGGAAGAAGCTTGAAGGGAGGCTCAACCCAGTCTGCTTCTTGATAGTTGCCACGATAGACAGAGCAAGCAAACTGTCGACGCCAATGTCGTTAAGCGGTGTGTTGTTGTCAATCTCCGCAATATTCTTGAGACCAATTTCGTTCACGACAATACGCCACACCTGGTCTCTCACCTGAGCTTTGATATCATCTTGCTTAGGAACTGCGGACACCACATTCCTAGAAGACACCAAATACTCTCCAGTCTGCGTACTGCTGGCCGGGGTTTGTTGTGGGCCGGTGCCTGGACTATCTGGAGTGTCGGTGTCAAGGCTTGACAGAAGCATGTGGTCAAGCAGCGATCGATTGACCCGCTGGAATCGAACATTGCGACACAGTGCAATGGTCTCCTCGTCGGTGAAAACGTAAACATCTCCCATTATCTGACCGGGGTATTTGCGCACTTCTCGCATGCGGACGTGCGTATGATAAGTTTTATCCTCTTCTAGAGGCACAGAAAGCCGTATGCTATCCCAGCCGTGAGAGATGTATACCACGTCAGGAGGCGTTTCATCTGAGCCGTTCAGAATGAAACCTGACAGGTGTGCCATGCCATCGATCCAGTACGGGTTACAGGTGAAAGACGTTTGAGAAGCAGACGGTGTGTCGAGCCGGACTCGGGCTGTGGCTTCCTGAAGCTTGCTGTCGAGAAATACTTCCTGGATGGCCTGGTATGACGCGGAATAGTCGACTAAAGCACCAAATAACTTGTAGACCATTGGTTTCAGGATACGGTGCACGGGACCTGTGATGGAGCTGGCGATGAGCTGGTCCATGCGCGCCTGGACGAGGTACCTATGCTGATCCCACTCGGACCGCCATGAATCTGCATCTCCAAATTCTACCAAGCATGTTGCATGCATCTGCACATGCCTCGGGCTCTTTCTTTCGGAGCTGATCTCGATCTGAACCGCTTCAGATGGCGACCTTTGATAAGCGACCGTGCGGATTATTTGCTCGGTGTTGCTAGGTTGAACAATCAGAGGTGATTGCACCTGCATCTTTTGAACATCCCAGCCTACAAATGTCTTAGATGCTGCCGAACCTGAGGGGTCTCTGATTGTTTGAATGTACCGTGCAGCTGTCAAGGCCATCTCTGCATAGAGTGAACTGGGACAAAGCTGAACTCCGTTAACGCGATGGCCGCAGATGATTGCGTTGAGATTAGGCTCGAACGGGTCGCTGGTAAACGTGACAGTCATGCTCTCGGCGTCGTAAGTATGATTCTCCATATGGTGGAGACATGTGGTGCTGAAAACCGGTTCCGCTTGGACAACCTGACGATGAACGCCACCTTTCTTCATGGACCAGTCCCCTTCGTACTGAAGCCAATAGTTCTCCAGGTCAAATGCATAGCTGGGAAGATCCAGTAAGCGTAGAGCGGGTTCAAATGGTCGATGATACTCCCGCCAATCGACCTGTAGACCAAATTGGTGGGCCGAGCCTAAAGAGCTGGACAGCACCTTCCAGTCGCTCTCACCTCGCTTGAGGGACGGGAGGAAAAGGTCTTCGTTATGCGCAGTAACAATTGTGCGAACCATCCCTAGACATGTCGGCTGGGGTCCCATCTCGATCCAAACACGAGGCCCAGTCACTGTAAATGCCTTTACTGACTGCAAAAACTGGACGCTACCGCGCGTCTGCTGCTTGAGATATGCAGCATCAATACAGTTGTCGCCAGGATGGATGATCCGGCCGCGCGCGGTCGACAGAACGGTGACTTTCGGAGCTGAGAAGGTGGCCTTGCGCGCAATCTCGCAATATTCCTCGAGAATTGGATTCATCTGTGAGGAATGGAAAGCAAAGGATACATCCAGGCTGGTGATCTTGACATCTTGAATTGTCTTGAGCCGCTGCTGTAGCGCCATCATTTCATCGCGGGGACCCGCAACTACTGTTGATGTCTGACTATTCATGCATGCGATCGCACAACGCTGAAGTCCTGAGCCTCGCAAGCATTGATCTACTTGCTCGGCTGATAACGAAACGGCCACCATAGCATGTGTGTCTGCCGAGCATTTCTTCATCATGAGGGATGCGCGGTACCCAACGAGGTACAAACATGTGCTGATGGAAAACACGCCAGCCATGCACAGCGCTGGAAGCTCTCCCAGGCTGTGGCCGATGACAGCGGCTGGCGTAATGCCAAGGCTTTTCCAAAGAGAGGCGATTGCGAGCTCCATAGCCACGAGAGCCAGCTGCGTCTGAACAGGTGTGAATGGGACACTTGGATTCTTATCGATGATGACTGGTAGAAACGAAGGGAACCCTTGCGATACGCTCAGGCGTTCCATCCTCAGTATCGCTTCTCGGACATGGGCACATGTGTCAAACAACATTGACGCGAGGCCAGCGTATTGTGATCCTTGACCTGTGAAGACGAAAACCACCGTCGGAGACTTAGGCGGGCACTTGGTCCAGCTCTCATCTGCGAGGCTGCGCTCAAGGTTCTGCACTAGATCCTCTGTCGAAGAAACTGTTGCGGCGTGACGCCAGGCGTGATGGGTACGTCGCGCTGATGTGGTGTATGCAACATCCTCAAGGCGGGTCTCGGTATGATACCGCAAGAATTTGATCAAGTTGATCGTATTATCGCGGACCGATTTCATTGTCCTTCCCGATAAGGTGACAGTATGATGGCACCGTGAATCAGTCCCCTCGATGGCACGGTCCGGAGCGTCCTGAAGGACTATGCTGGTATTACCGCCGGCTGCATCAAAGTTATTGATTAGAATAGTTCGCGGGCGGCCCACTTGACCACTGGTGTTGCGGTGTCGTGGGAATGGTGTCGTGCCACCGAGTGAGAGATGCGTGTTGAGCTGCGACAATGGCGGCAAATCTGGGTTGATCTGGTCCTTGATGCCAATGTGCGGCGGGAGCATGTCCTGGCGTAGAATTAAGGCCGCCTTGATGAGTGAAGTCACGCCGCTGCCTCCTTCACCATGTCCGAGATTCGGTTTGACACTGCCGATGTACAGAGGCTGGGATGGGGGACGGCCGCCCTTCGCAAGAGCATCGGTCACCGACGTTGCTTCGATCACGTCACCAGCTTGTGTGCCAGTGCCGTGCAGCTCGACGTAGTCGACGTCGATAGGCTGGAGACCGGCTTTATCAAGCACGCGATGAAACAACCGCTCCTGCGTTTTTGCATGTGGATGGGTAATGGAGACGGCCTCGGCAGAATGATTCGTCATAGCAGCCTTTATAACCCCGATGATGTTATCATGGTCCCCTACAGCATCAGCGTATCGCTTGAGTATGACGACTCCCTAAGAGATTATTAGTTTCAGAATTAGTATCTCTGTAGAAATGATAATGATCGTACTGGCAGGTTTCCCTAGAGGCTAGAGTGGGGAAAGTCTCGCAGACAGCTCGACGGGGCATCATTCACAAGGATCAAGATGAAAGAAGTTTATACGTACGACTGCGTCAGCGCGACAGTAACCATCAGCACCAGCGTCGAATGTCTTGCACCCGCCTGTCGAAGATAGAAAACCGCCGCGGCTCAGGCCCGCGAATACATCAGGTGCGCTCAGGAAATTGACGCCACCACTTACAGCCATGTCACACTCCTGGGCCAAGAGAGCCGAGACTGCGAGCTGGACAGCTGAAGCACTTGAGGAGCACGCCGTGTCGACCGAATAGCTCGGCCCGTCGAAACCAAAATGGTACTGTAGGCGCCCCGGTCCAAAAGCGCGCATCCCACCTGGAATGAAGTAGGCATCGATATTCTGGCTTGAGTTGACCTCGCGCCAATCGTCTCCAGTCTGTCCGATGAACGTGCCTATCGTTTTGGAATTCCCGAGGGCCGTACTTCCCGACATCTCCAGGGCTTCATATACGGCCAGGAGAAGCATCCTATGCTGGGGGTCTGTTTGTAAGCATTCACGTGGCGACATGTTGAATAGGTGGCGATCAAAGTAACCTGGACGATCAATGAACACCCCGAAAGGCGTTTTCGTTGAATTCGTCTTGGTTCCTGTTGGGTCGAAGTGGGATGCGAGGTCGAAGCGATCGGATGGTATTGGCCCATGTAAATCACAGCCTTTCTCAAGCAAATGCCAGAATTCTTCAAGTGTTTCGCTTCCAGGTAGACGGACTGCCATTCCAACAATGGCAACATCATTGGAGCTTGGTTTAGCAGCGAAATTGTCGTGAAAAAGGCCGGCATTACTAGACTTGACACCAGACTTTTCCAAGGCTTGCTTGATCGACTCCGCCAGGCTGACTGGGCCAATGGAAGCACAGGCCACAACTGGAGCTGCGCGCCTTTGTAGGCTTTGTATGGCAGAGTCTAGGCAGATTGGATGTTGGAAGATATCAGCCTGCACTTGGCGTAGCAGGTCCCCGAATGTCTCGGCAACATACGGCTCTCCAGAGGAGGTCGAGACAAGTGTCTTGTTCTTGACGCTCTGATGCAGCAATGAGGAGCTCACAAAGTCGGTGATTCTGTCGATTGAAACCTGATCCAAATGTTCGGCATGGTATGCTGCGATGATCGGTAAGGCGATCTTATGAGCCCTGTGAAAAGAAGGAGTCTGGCGGAACAATTTCTCAGTTGTCGAAGGCGGCCCAGAAATGGTGACACCAGATGGACTGGAGGCGCTCATATACGCCCTGCTGCAGTTACCAAGGCTGAAGGAATTATTGAAGCTCTCGATAGCCTCTGCTGTCTCTTCCCTGGTCAGGCCTTTCACGTGGAACGCCCAACTCCGGGCCGGTGTTAACGGCTCAATCAACTCGGATCTTGCTGCAGCCTCAAGGCCAATATTAAAAGCAAGCTGTATAATGTCATCGGAAATCGAGAGAAGCTCGCCCAGATCTCGAGAGCACGCGACAGCCGATGCTGTCAGGAGGCCGACACAAACGCCGAACAACACGATTTTAGGATGAGTCGCACCTCGGGTGTCGAATATTGCTGCGTTCTTCTCGGCGTGACTGCTTCGTCGACTCGAGATATTAGATACCATCTTCTATCAAACGATGACTATGTTTCTGGGTTCTCGTACACGATAAAGTAGCCAAGCTGCACAACACAGAGGAGAGCGGCGGCAAGTGCTGGAGAGCCACTGAAGCATTCTTTCTCGAGCTCCAAAGCCAACTCTAGCAACGAGGTTACCGGCGAAAGTCTCGGTTTGAAAGCAGGAGAGGTTCGCTTCAATGCCAGCTTCATCTTTCGCATGCTTCGAGTAAAGAGGAGCTGCAAGTTGTCGTGGTGTGGCACAAGTTTGTTCAGTTCCTGGAGTGCTTCGGCAATATTCCCTGTCTGATCTCCAAATAGGAGCACTATATCTGCCTTTGGAGACATGTTTGCTTTCCAATGCCAGAGAGATGAGGCTGTGAACAGGAATTCGACAGGATACTGATGATGGCCGTGGCCTATGTATCCTTAATATTCTCATTTCTTTCTCAGACAATACAATTTACTTACACATCGATTCGTTATCATGCGGCTCAAAGGTATTGATCCCGTCGAAATTTCTCCGTAATTTTCCTTCTATCGCCCCATATCTGTGCCTCTGTAATACACAAACCTCTTCTAGTGCGTACGGCATCTTAGGCGTCATCCCTACCCGCGGCCGTAGGTTGTCTCGCCCCCAAATTTGGACAGCGAGCTGGCACTGCGCCATTAGGCTCCAGCGTGATATCCGGAAAACGTCCCAATATAGAAGTGACCAGACTTTGTCTTCTGCCAAACAGTCAGCATGTATAATCGGTCCGACAAGTCGATCCACGAAACTCGCATTTTCCTTCATCTGCTTTCTGCCTTCATCTGCTTTCTGACTTTTCAAATCCCGGGTCGCCGATACCCGATGCTACAATTCGAGACTCGTCTTCCTATTCTTTTCAATCCAAGTTGTTCATTAGCAGCGGATATATATCTGACTTCCACCGTTTGAACTTTGTATAATAGTATAAGACTAGTTTGCTCGTCAAATAGAGAATTGTCTACGGTAGTTCATTAGCCTTTGATTGTCAGTATTCATTAATGTCGCTTCTGTACTCTGCCCCCAGACCCTCGTATAACCCCAACTATTTCATCTATTTGCAACTCTACAGGCACGTTGGTCGGCTCCAAGTCGTTCTCATCCATTTCACAGTTCCTACTTTGATTGTTTATTTGGTACTTGCATTGATTCATTATGAATGAATCAACGCAAAATGTCTTGGAAGGGCCCGGACCAATCCTCGGATTTGTCCAATTGACCCAATTTACGCTCCTGATGCAGTGGAACTCGGTAAGGTTTGGCACTACTGAATCATAGCAAATGTCCGTTCAGATCCAATAGCTGCATAACAGGTTAAGAGCTGTAGCCATCTCAGACCCCCCCCCCCCCCAATGGTGTACCAAAGGGACTTAAAGGTATCGAGATCGGATAATGAGAAGGGGTGTGGGACCGGAAGCAATGATTGGCGTGGTCGCATGGCGCAGGATCAGGATCAATACTACACCAAAGGTGGCTGACATGCATTATCCGACTAGCCTAGGCGATGCCCAACTCCCGGAGGCAAATTCTTTTCCAACACTTGGTCACAACCCTCATGACTCCACAATACAAGTATCCTACGTTGGGAGATTCCTCGGAGAAATCAAGTGGCCGTATCGTCTATTCTCATATTATTGATCATACACTGTCATTGGCAAAGATGCCGTCAAACGCTGCGGATGATGACCGATCTCGCATCATCGCGTCAGTCTCCGTCTGTATGACACTCGCCCTTATTGCGACTGCCATGCGATTTACTGCACGGCGTATGAGGCGGGCAAGCCTGATCGCATCAGACTACCTGTCCATCATTGGGTTGTTGTGTGCATGTGTGGTGTCGTCAATCATTATTGCGGGTGTGTCAACCTTTTCGGCCCTTCTCCTCCTCAATGGAGAGTACAATAAACGGAGAGTTGGGAATACTCTCCACTTACTGATGCTTCACATATGGAAGCTTTCTAACACATTGTTCTTCGCAGAGGCACACCTCGGTCTTGGATTGCATGTCGAGCGGGTATCAATGCCCAACATCCGGGAAATCCTCCTTACAACTTTCATCGGCGAGATATTCTACAGCATTGGTTTCACCTTTATCAAGCTATCAATCTTGGCACTCTACCGACATCTTTTTCCCACGCGCTTCATCAAAGTGAGCTCTATGGCCCTCGGTACGTTCGTCATAATGTGGGGAATTTCGCTGGTTCTGGTGACTATCTTCAGCTGCCAACCCATTCACGGATTCTGGGATATCACGACGCCTTCCAAGTGTGTGAACTCCAAGTGGTTCTTCATCGGCAATTCTATCCCCAACATCATCGCAGATGTCATATTACTGTTTCTTCCCATGCGAGATGTATGGAGACTTCAGCTCCAGCTGCGCTCAAAAATTGCTGTCAGCGTCATGTTCGTGCTGGGAAGTTTCGTCATTATCGCAAGCGGTCTCCGCATAAAATTCATGCTTTCTATGAATGAGGACGATATGACTTGTAGGTCTTCCAGGTCCCCAGCCCTTATCTTGATCTTGTGCTTACCAGATTATATTTTTAGGGTCTTATGTTGGAGTCGGGCTGTGGACTGCAGTTGAGATCGACGTGGCCGTGGTATCGTCCTGTTTGCCCACAATGCGCCCCCTCCTTGCTTGGCTGATTCCCGAAGCAATCAAGAGCAAGCGTACCCAGGAGTTCTACCCTCTACACAACAGTGAAAACGAAAGAATCGTCCGCCACGGCACAAATGATGGGAACAAGACCTCGTTCGTGGTGAGGGACTGACGGCAAGTGATTCTTCAAGTCGAACCTTGATGACGACGAGACCCAGTCATTCCCAGTGCCGCCATAAAAAAAGAATCAAAAAATTGGATCCGCTGAAGAAGGGAAGTTACATAACTTGGATACTTATGTTGAAATCTTGTATTTATATAGCTATATTATCGTTCACTATGATCCCTACTGTTGCGCCTCGTATATAATTGGACCCTACTCTATCCACACAATGAGTTTGAGATATCTCAGTGACAGAGGCATTAGCACGCAGAAGCAATGACACTTGTGTGACTCCGGGTAATTAGCTGGAGAGCCCATTCTCTAGATTTAAAAGCGCATGTGTTACCATTCAGGACATCTTCACTGGAATCAAGGCCTTCTTGGAAATTTGAGCTGACCAGGTAACCTAGGAGAGAGAAAAATATCAGGGCCAGCAACTTGGCCTCATCTCGCTCTCGAGCCCGTGTGTAAACGTCAAAAGCCCCCAAGGGACACCAGCAATCCGAGCATGAATTTCTGCGCTATTGAGCTGCTATTTGACAATGTCACTAGTCATTGGTGATCACTCTCGTAACTGTACCATGGTTCACCGGGTTCTACAAAAAAATGTGGACGGACGTTAATTACGACTGGTGGTCAGCAACAGCTCGGCGAGCGGCTCGGGTAGAATCCCACATATTCCTACCATGTATTGGAAACGTAAGATCGGCAGGCTGCATAATGGGCAGGGTCCAGAGCCTTGCCACTTTCCTGGTTTGCTGTTATGGCTTACTTCAGCCCCCAAATTGTGTACTTGTGAATGTTTAAACAGTGGCTAACCCAACACGGCATTTTTCATGAAAGACCTGGACCCCATCTCGATGAAACCCCGCTCGAACTCTGATATCTTCCGTGTCTCCCTTAAAACTACGGCTCAGATGCTGGGTCGTCATCCTGTTGTCATTCCAGTTGTTAATCAAAGCTCTTCAAGATCCCCCACTCCGGGACTGGAGATAAGTGATTTTGCATACTCTTCTCACGCCCGCTGTTGTCTGAACAGGATATGGGGTTCTTTTCCAATAATTTATTGCATTTTTGATTGATCCTTCATGGCTCCTGCATCAAAACCGAGGCTTTCTGCCTCGGAGACCTTTGGGCTGGTGGTGGCAATCGCGAAAACTCTCTCAGTAGCATCTTTTACATTCATCACTGCTCTCTTCAGAGGCCGCTCTGGGCATCGGCTCCTCTTCAGACATGTAGCGCATAGAGCTCTGCGGACCATGAATGGGCAGGCCACAGCCAGACAAATTCAGTCAGTCATTGAGTAGATTGTTCCGATCTGGTAATGGGAGATTCTGACCGTGATACTGAACAGGGCCATTAATCCTCCGACGGATGAAGCTTATGCCTCGTTCGCTAAATCACATGGCTTTGAGAAAAATATTGTGGATCTGCCGACCTCTGGTGGGAAGATATTGTGGATGGGCAATCCCAGCTCTCCAAAAGTCATGGTCTGCTTCCACGGTATGAGCCAATCTCCTTACCAAGTGCGAGAATGCCACATGAGAGGGTATACAGACTAAATGATGCTGGCGCAATCAACAGGCGGTGGATATGTTTATCCCGCGGCGGCTCAGTTCGGATGGTGCTGGGATCTCCTCAAGAAAGGGGGTATTGGCCAGGACACCGCCGTTGCGATCCTGTCCATGAGCCTTGCGCCGGCTGCTCAGTATCCTACACAACTGCGCCAGGCAGTCGAGATGCTTGAGCATCTCACCAGGAATGCTGGAAAGAGACCAGAAGATGTGAGTACATGTTCACGCAAGTAATCTGAATATCATGCCGAGTTCTGCCAAAGTACTGAACTCACGTCTCCTTAGATCATTATTGAAGGCGATTCTGGTGGGGCGCAGCTCGGCCTTGCTTTGGTGTCACACCTGTTGCACCCACACCCTCTTATCCCGGCACTAAAGCTATCCGGATCGTTGGCGGGTCTAGCTCTCATCAGTCCATGGGTCACGCCGAAGACGACATCTAACTCATTCACACGTAATGGAGGCCGAGACCTTGTGAACGGCCATGTTTTGAGTCGCTGGGCTTCGTACGCCTTGGGTAGTGCCAGTCTGGATGAATACAACGCCCCGGTCACTGCCAATGCAACATGGTGGAACGGTATCAAAAGCGCTGTCAAGAACATAATTGTTACGGCAGGCACTGAGGAGGTGCTCTTTGATGATATTCAGACACTGGTCGGCCTGCTAGAGGTATGTTCACAGCAATAAAGCAAAGTTCCGTGTAATTTAGACTGACAACATTTTCACAGCCTTCCATGCCAGATATGCAGGTTTTGTTTGTGGAGGAGACTCACGACCAGCCTTTGATGGATCCTCTGCTCGGAATGAAGGAAGACTGTGAATCATCAGAGGCTGTGAAGTCATGGATTGCTTCGAATTTTGAGTAATGGCATTTTTTTTATTTTTCTTGATAACAGCTGGAGTGATATAATATCCACATTCAGAAGATTGAAAGACAAAGAAAATGGATCTGCAGTGTGATTTGTGTCATTTTCTTTCCATTAAGTGTTGAGAATTCAGAAAGTCATAATTGCATGCCTCTACAGGACAAAATGTTTCATGTTCTTCCTCGAATCTTCTGATGATCAACCACCTACTGTTGTAAGATGGGAGCGGCCATCCAGCTTGTGGTTCAATGGTTTCCCCAACATGATTATATTGCTATTACCTAATCCAAAATGGTCATTTTCTATCTCATATTGATGTATTATCCTACCTTCCCGTCTCAGTAAGGTTTTATGGTTGTCATACTTGCCATGCACATACAATGGTGTCACGCACTGAGCGGTGCGATCCTCGGACTGGTTCATTTTACCTCCAGGATCGCTAGAATTTACTTCCCTTTTGAATTCGGTCCTTTTGTATCATGCCTGCCATGCGTACGTTACGCAACTGTGTTACATGATGTTACACACTGGAGTACTGAGCCGGGAGGTTACTCTCGGACCGTTACATTTTACAACCAGAAGTCAGCAAGATAAGCTCCCAGATGATTGACTTTTTGCCCAACCGAAACACGACCTGGGGCCCAGAACGCAGGAATGCTGTTCCCGAAGACACGAGTTCCGAGTACTACGCTGATCGTATTGTACCGTACTGAGCTGTGTGGTCTTCGTACTCTTACATGTTACATCCAAGATCAGCAATGTTGGCTAATTCTTTTTGGCTTATTGTTTCATTCAAACTATCATGCAGGGGCAGAACGCAGGAAGAGGGCTTCCGAAGACAGAAGCGCTGAGTGATACGCTGGTGTGGTGGGGGCCAAATGGTTGTACACACGACTCATTACACTGGACTAATGATTAATCCCCAAAGGCACCTGCATTACCACGGAATATGCGAAAATAGGTCCAGCTCTCTCATCAAGGCGATATCATTGAAATTGATTTAGCTTTATGCACCCACCCAAGATACGGCTCTCGACTAGTCACGAGCATGTCCAGTTGTCTATGTTGCAAACACTAAGAGTAATTACATCAACATGGCTGGGAATTCTCAACCCTCGTACCATTCTTTCACCTCTATGGCCCAAGACATTCTCAGTGTGGCAATCAAGCTGGACTCCCAACTCGCAGCCGCGAGCCGTCCCCCACCGAGTCTGGGAGTAGACTTCGCTGAGGGCCTTCCTGCCGATATCGAGGCCACGAGAGCCGACCTTGTGGACAAGCTCCATGAAGCAAAGCGCTTTGGACTTGGATCCAGGGGTACCCTCTGGGAAATGGGCTTCCAATTTACAGATGAGATGACCCTCAGAGCTATCTACGAATTTCGTCTTGCACATCACGTGCCGTTGGACAGCAGTGCAACATTTGACGAGGTTTCGAAGGCAAGCGGGTTAAGCCTAGCCCTAACCGAGCGTCTCATTCGCCAGGCCATGGCAAGTCACATATTCACTGAGGCACCGGACCAGCCCGGACACGTGATTCATACAGCTACTTCACGCCTGCTGGCTACTGATGCGGATGCTATGGACGCCATCGGGATGCTCACCGAGGATCTGTCTCCTGCATGCAATCGGTTTGATGAGGCTGTTAGGCAGTGGGGAATCGGTGCGTGCTCGGGCAATGGTGAACCACACCATGCAGCTTCAGCCTTCGTCCATGACGGTGCCGGCATGTTTGACTTTCTGGCCAAACATCCTGACCGTGGGCGCCGGTTTAGTGCTGGAATGCGGTATTTTGGCCGCGGCTCAGGTTGGGATTTGGAGCATCTCGTGAAGTCGTACCCTTGGCATGACGTTGACGTTGCCGGTGCTACCTTTGTCGATATTGGCGGAGGGTACGGCACTGTCTCGCAGGTGCTGGCAGCATCAACGAATCACATCAAATTCTTGGTTCAAGATTTGCCTCATACTGTAAAACAGGGGGCAGCAGCACTTCCCAATCCACTGAGGTCACGGATTTTCTTCGAGGAGCACGACTTCCTTACACCTCAGACACACAAAGGCACGGATGTCTTTTTTCTCCGCTGGATACTCCATAACTGGGGAGACCAAAATGCATTGCAGATTCTCAGGAGCCTCATTCCGGGTATGAAACACGGCACGCGCGTCGTCATCTACGAATTTGTCCTTTCAAATGGGCCCGAAACCAAGTTGTCCAGGAAGCAGCCTCGGTAAGTAGAATGCAAGACGGCCCCAAATCCTTGACTATTAATCATTTCGGTGATACCTCATTTATTTGTTACTAATGTGAATCTTCCCCAGCAATCTTGATCTTGTGATGCTCGCCTGTTGGAACTCCCCTGAGCGCACTGAATCCATGTGGAAGGAACTTATAGGGCGTGTAGATACCAGACTAAAATTCGTAGGAGTCCGGGGATCTGAGGGTAGCTTGATGTCTGTTATAGAGGCAGTCTGGGAGGATCAGACGGAGACTTCTTAGAAGAGTCAGGCATTTGAATCAGTATCAGGAGGACAATGAACTTGGCCGGGTATGGCCGTCCAGGATACCATGCAGAAGTGGCCTGTTTACTTATTTGTTGTCGTTTTACTTGAGCTACTCTACAAGTACCAAATCAGATTTCCTTTCTCGTTGAGGCCAAGAGCACTGATTCAGACGCTGGACTTTCTCTTTGGTTTCTCGTGTTTAATAGTAGCTCTTCTCCTATCTAGCTTCATCTGTATTAACTCATACAAAAGACACGTAAATCGTGGCACATTTATGTTGTTGCCGACCGATTGAGTCGACCAGGCTGAGCTTGCACGACAGATGACTGCGGCCCCGGGTCGACAGAAACCGCATCCACGCTCCTAGAGCCAAGCTCAACAGTCGAATCAGGCGCAGGGGTGGAGTCGAGCCTACGATACTCTTTGCAACACTTAGGTTAGCCACTTCCACCTCAGAAGAGAGTTACTACTGACTTACTTGCAACCATGTCAATGCATTGGAAAATTGTCGGCGCCAGCAAAACGACGGCAAGAATCTGACCGAATCCCCAACTATCCTCAGAGTCTCCTTCCAGAAGCGTCGCATTCCACTTTCTCAGAGTGAAGATCATGTACAGGTGCAGAGGATACTGGAGAAGTAGGGGCACAAGCACTGCCGATTGCCGCTGGTTTCTGCTCAGAGCCTTCCACCAGTCTTGATCGATAAAGGGGCGGGAAATCATCCGGGGTTGGAGGTCTGCCATGGCACAGGCCAGAACGGTCCACAACAGGACGAAAACCTCCACGGCATCCGTAAAAATGTTTTCCTTCTTGATTTCCCAGCCATCGTCCTCAAAGAGGAAGAGATTTCGTATGGTCAGAGTGGTGTACGGCAGCGTTACTATGTCCCACCATGGAGGTAAGGCAAGAAACAAGACTATAAAGACGAAGGCGCAAGTGATAGAGAGATAAACCTTGTCGACGTAAGGGTGAGAGGCCGACGGAGCAGAAACGTCTGTCGTGATATAACACTGGCCGTTTATACTGTCATTCCACCTACTGAGGGCCCATCCAAAGAGAATGGAAAACGCGAGATAGAGGGCGGCAAATGTGAGGATGGCGGCGATTCTGAAATTTCTGCCCTCTGTTTTGCGGAACAAGCTGACAAGGGAGGCGCAAAACGAAACACTTAAGTAACATCTTGTTAATCAAAGCTGAGGGCAATAGGTTGACCATAAGACCATACGCTGTGAAGTTCACCGTGTCATACACGATATGGAAGTGGTACAGGTCCAGGGTCTGGAACTGTGCAAGTGCTGCAACCAATAGGGCAATCCCTGCCAAAGTCAGGTGTTGATAGCAAGATCAATATTCGATTCTTGAATCTATAGGATCGGCTTACCATTCATGGTCTGGATATCGCTGACGGTCGAGAGAGTCTTCTCAACCAACGTCCTCTTCTGGTCTTTCACCCCTAGTCCAGGGTCATCATCATCACCACGGCAGGAACTGTCATCGTCTCCCAATAATGAAGCGCCGTCTCGCAGGTACCAAGCCCACAGCGACAGTATGAGAGAGATTCCAGCTTGAATTGCGAAGGCGATGATGATCTGATGGTTTTAGCTTCTTAGATCGCGATCGAGACGTGTTTTCATACACATGTGCAAGCATCATGATATGCTGGAAGCAATTCGGTTGATGTTAACTTACCCCTAGGCCGGCGACATCAGAATTGGTATTCCCGACGCCTCCCTCACAAGCCATGATTATTAGTTGGTTTTGAGCCAGATGACCGTTGGAGGATTGCCGGAGAAGAAAGAGATGTATAGAGTGAAGAGGATAGTAATTTTTGCCTCCAGCAAAATGACATTCTTGTGCAGAGGACGTGCTTACGTGACCACAAGTAGAAAAAATGTTGGGGGCCAAGGACAAAATTAGTGGTTTACGAGCAGGCAGTAGCTGCTTACGTGAGAACACCATGCAGATACCTATAAACCTGATCCGAGATAACTACCTGAGCACGAATTTGGGTGCTTTAGAGGATGATATAAAAAAATGGAACTAAAAAGGAGATATAACACCCCTTCTGGGAAGATAAGTAGTAGCACTAAGTAATCTTGGTTTGCCTACTTCCCCTCGTTAATAACTCTCTTCACACGACCACTTCGTTATTTATATTAAACTGTTGGACTTCAAAACGATTTATTCCTGAACTCAGAAGTTGGCGCCTGAGATCCATGCCTCGGGGTGATTTTTCACAGGGGTAGGATTAAGAATGTAGAAATTATCTTCGCTCCGCGTCGTATATACTATTTCTAGATTCTAGCCAAGTATAAACTCATAACGCGTCATGCAGCATCATTTGTTCATGTCTTCATGAGATATACCCTGCCCTCATACGGCGCAAAGTCGTCGAATCGATTCTTGGCCTCAGCCGTGGACGCAATCATAGACAGAATCGGCTCACCCTCACCATCTAAGCCCAGAATGTTTCCAGCAGGGACTTTCCATGGCTTGTAGGATGCCGTGAAATTAAGCACGACTAGGGCTCTCTCTCTGCGCGCGCTCGTCTTCACGTATGTGAACAGCTCAGTGTCCTCGACGTCGAGCAAATCGAAGCGGCCGTGGACGAACAGGTCAGCGTATTCGCGGCGGAATGCAAGCATCGACCTCCAGTAGGCCAATACGGAGCTCTTGCTTCCGAGCTGGTCGGTGACATTGATCTCCTTGGCCAGCGGGTGAGCCGCCATCCAGGTCTCTTTGCCGTCTGAGAAGCCACCATGGGGCTTGGTTCCATCCCACACCATCGGAATGCGTGCGTGGTCGCGAGCCAGGTGCTGCAGCGCCGCGACGGCTTTGTTGAACCTCTCTGGCTGGACAGCCCCACCATCCGTCTTGGGTAGGTGCTCAAGGAACAGCAGGCTGTCGATGTCTTTGTACTGAGTGATAGGATAGGACTCGAGGGAGGGGTTGACCTGGCCGATCTCCTGTCCCTGGTACACATACATGGTGCCTGAGAGCGTCGACTGCAGCATAGCCAGCAGCTTTCCGGAGGCGACGCGGTGCTCGGGCGCGTCGTTGCCGAAGCGGCTGATGCTGCGGGCCTGGTCGTGGTTTTCCATAAAGACGGTGCTCCAGCCGTCTGTGTCCCGGATGAGGGCCTGGGTGCGGTCCACGGCGCGCTTGAGGTCCGGCAGTTGCCAGCTACGGGGGACGACGTCGTACTTGTGGATGGGGCCCATGCCGACGTCCACGATATCGAACTGGAAGACCATGTTGAGCTGCCCTTCCCTGGCACTGACGTACCGAAGCACACGCTCCGTCTCGGGTGTACAAGGAAGCTCGCCGACCGTGATGGCACCGTAACGGCGCAGGATCTCGCTCATCTCGTCCAGGAACTCATGCATGCGAGGGCCGTTGCAGTACAGGGTGGACGCTGCTTGATAGAGGACGCTGGGGTCCAGTACAGGCGCGTCCGCAAGGTCTGGCGGCTTGCTGTACATGTTGACGGTGTCGATGCGGAAACCGTCGACACCACGCTTGAGCCAGAACTCCATCGAGCTCTCGTAGATGGCGCGACGCGTCTCGGGGTTCTCCCAATTCAAATCAGGCTGTTCGATGGCGAACAGGTGCAGGTAATACTCTTCCGTGGCTGGGTCCCATTCCCACACGCTGCCGCCGCCAAAATTGGACCGCCAGTTGTTGGGCGGCTGCCTCCGCCCCTGGTCGTCGTACTTGGCAGGACGCCAGATGTACCAGTCGCGCTTGGGGTTGGACTTGCTGGAGCGGGACTCCTTGAACCACATGTGCTCGCTCGAGGAGTGGTTGATGACGAGGTCTAGCATGATGCGCAGGCCGCGGTCGTGGCACTCGCGAATCAGCTGTTCCATGTCGGCAAGGGTGCCGTAGGGGCCGTAGACGTCCTCGTAGTTAGAGATATCGTAGCCCATGTCGACTTGAGGACTGTCGTACATGGGGCAGATCCATATGACGTTGACGCCCAGGGACGCAATGTAATCCAGCTTGGAGATGATGCCCTGGAGGTCACCGACGCCATCACTATTGGAGTCCTTGAAGCTGGCCGGGTATATCTGGTATACCACGGCTGACTTCCACCAAGGCTTGTCGCCAACAGTCATGATGCCCGTATAATAACAAGGTTTCTGGGAGAAAAGTCAACGATTTTTTCCTCCTTGTTTCCTTGGCCTTTCTCTGGAGCCTTTGCGCCTGGTGAACGTTCTTGACAGGAGATGATGTAGACAAGAGGGGAGGTGGAGCTTTTGCGAGTGTGAAGAGGACTGAGGAGAGCGTGAAGAACGAGTCTGGTTCTCTCTGTGCTCTTTCTCGAGATGGCATGAACAACTTTGTGTCTTTAATAAATGCCTCTCTCTCTCAATCTCTCTTTCTCTCACTCCACCTCCACCCCCACCCCCACCTTCTTTCGCCCCTCTTGAAGATCGACAGAGGTCGCGCAGGCTCACGATGGTGGCTGTGGGTCCTAGTGCGACTCCCATGCGCAGTCCATGGCGGGGAATTAGCCGTTGAAACGGAAGTCGTCCAAATGATGCGGATGTGGCACTCATTGGGCCCTTGTCGGACCGACCAGGGGATAGCGTACTTATCAGCCCATGATCAAGGCGAGTCCGTTATAGCGTGCAAATTACAGCCCGGCAAGAGCGAAGAAATGGTCGGCGTGCCTGAACTTTAGCCACATGAGCTAGTAGAACCGTTGGCGACGGTCATTGGGCAACCAGCAGCTACGACTTGCATTAGATCCCGAAGGAGTAAGGCTGGATGATGGTGGGTACAAATATTGACTAATCTCATTGGTTTATTGTCGGTCCGAGGCCAGCAATGACGCACGAATCGGCTCATGATACATGACAGCACGTGATCGTGATCGTACAAGTTATATCCAGGCACGTGCCAGGCACGTGCGAAGCTTGGTCAAGCCACTTTCGCATTAGCCACAATAGCCAGGTGAGCTATTTGCAGCGATCATTGAATGCCGGGCTACCCAGAGCTTATGATCAAATCGGGGAGGGCTGGGACAGGTTATTAAAAAAGCATACCTCTTAGAGCCTACCATTGGCCTTTTGTCGGTCCGAAATGAAGTACCCTTCGCTTTTGTCCGGACCACGCGAGGTGTGCCCCAGATTCTAGATCGCCCCACGGCGTCCCCAGACTTTTACCCCATACTTTCTTTTTCTCCGAGCTCCTCCACATGTCGTTCTCAGCTGGGGTGTATCGAATATGGTGGCATCCTACTGTGGCCATGGCAGAGCTCTGGACCTGAAATGTTGGGAAAACCACGTCCTCTCCTCACAGTATACCTTGTCAGCTTCGAGTGTATATAAAGGGACTCGTCAACTGGCGTCCCATGATGCCTTCAAGTTGCACTCCGCTATCACATTGGGATTCATAATTCAGCTACAGCAGCTGCAATAACCGCTAGGCATCTGTCATACTACATACTTGCCAATCTTGTCTTTCGAAAGGCTCATCACTGTCTGCTTTCTTTCTACACGCTCTCGGGCCACCATTCTGGCCTCACATCGTGCCTCAATACCCCTACTTCTTCCCTCTCTTCCCCCACCTCTTCCCCTCGTACCAGAATCTTTGGGACTAGCCTTTCTCTTTTTCTTTTCTTTCTCACTTCTCCTTTCCCCAGTTGCCTGCTAAGCACTGGACCTATTCAAATCTCTTCCCATCATGTCGCCTGTCAAGGACGAGCCAGCTCGCGTCCATCAGGACCAAGATGCCATTAGGAACATGAAAGTTCAAAATACGGATGTTGAGAACCTCGTACGTGAGGCGGCTGCGGCTACGCAGGCAGAGCGTGAGATGGGCCTGTGGAACGCGCTTCATCTGTATCCCAAGGCTGTCGGCTGGTCTATCCTGCTGTCGACTGCCGTCGTTATGGAGGGCTACGATGTGGTTCTTCTCAGCCAGTTTTTCGCATATGATACCTTCAACAAGCGGTTCGGCAACCTGCAGCCGGATGGCACCTACGAGCTTACCGCCGCCTGGCAGTCCGGACTTGGGAACGGCGCCCTTGTCGGCGAGATCATGGGTTTGTTCCTCAATGGCATCATTGCGGAGCGCATCGGCTATCGCAAGACCATGATCGGCTCCCTCGTGCTGGCTATCGGTTTTATCTTCATCATCTTCTTCTCCCAGAGCCTTGTCCAACTTCTGATCGGTGAGATCCTCATGGGCATCCCGTGGGGTGTCTTCCAAACCCTGACCACCACCTACGCCGCCGAGGTCTGTCCAACCCACCTCCGTGCCTATCTGACCACCTACGTCAACCTGTGCTGGGTTATGGGCCAATTCGTTGCTTCTGGTGTGCTGCGCGCTATGCTGGATCGCACTGATGAGTGGAGCTACCGCATCCCTTGGGCCCTGCAGTGGATGTGGCCCGTCCCGCTCATCACCATGGCTCCCGAATCCCCTTGGTGGTTGGTGCGCAAGGGCCGGATCCAGGAGGCCAAAGCTTCTCTGGCGCGGCTGACGAGCCACAGCAGCGACGCAACCGCGACCACCACCACTCATCACAAGTTCAGCCTTGACGAGACCGTGTCTATGATGATTCACACCAACGAGATTGAGCGTACCGCCATGGAGGGTGTGACCTACAAGGACCTCTTCCGCGGCTCCGTTACGCGTCGTCGGACGGAAATTGTGTGCATCGTTTGGGCCATCCAGACTCTGTGCGGCTCCACTTTCATGGGCTACTCGACCTACTTCTACGAGCAAGCCGGCATGGCCGTGACAAATTCCTTCAACATGTCACTCGTGCAGTATGCTGTGGGCGCTGTCGGAACCGTCTCGTCGTGGTTCCTAATGCAGCGCTTTGGCCGGCGCAGCCTGTATCTGGGCGGGCAGATCACCATGTGTATTCTTCTCTTCGCCATCGGCTGCACGTCCTTCGCTGGCCGCAGCAACGTAGCCGCCCAATGGGCTATTGGGAGCTTGCTCCTGGTCTACACTTTTACCTACGACTGCACCGTCGGCCCTGTGTGTTACTCGCTCGTGGCGGAGCTGACGTCGACCCGCCTGCGGACTAAGTCGGTGGTCCTGGCGCGCAACATTTACAACATTGTCGGCATCGCGACCAACATCATTACCCCGCGAATGCTGAATCCTACCGCCTGGAACTGGGGAGCCAAGTCGGCATTTTTCTGGGCCGGCTCGTGTCTGCTTTGTGCCGTCTGGACCTTTTTCCGCCTGCCCGAGCCCAAGGACCGCACCATCGCCGAGCTAGACATCCTGTTTGAGCAGCATGTCTCGGCGCGCAAGTTCCATAGCACTGAGGTGGCCAGCTTTGTGAGCGACCTGGATCATATCGCGGCGTCGAAAAAAAGGGCGGTCATGACACACGTGGAGGATTGCACGGCGGATGAGGACAAGTTCTGACCCAATAAAATCAAGACCACGCAAGAGACAGAGAGTTGAGACTGCGGGTGTAATCTTATGTTGTATGTCTTTTAAAGCCGGGGCGTCGTAAGAGCAGTGAAGTTAGCGTATAGAAAAAAAAGGGGAAACAGCAATGTTGAGGGCGAGGCATCAGAACACTTCCAGGCCCCTTACTTGTAGCAAAAAATCCGAGTCTCTGGACCTGATTTTAACCTCGAGCGACAGTGAACGCTTGTGCGATATCGCGCAGCCGCCAGAATGGAGCATGATAAGTAGCAAATGTTCAGTAATGTGTCTAGATAACGTCGCCACATGCGCACCTCCCGCAAATCAATGGTAAAACTTTTTTTTTGATGATCTTGTTGAGACCACGTCCTCGAATGCGAACTGACTTTGAGAAAACTTGCTGCAAACTTTGATTGTAGACCCTGTTGAGTGCTCCTTCCTGTCTTACCCATAGTGTCTCGTCCTTTCTTCATCTTGCACTCTAGTGTCTCGTTTCTTCCAGCTGGAAGGCGCTACTGCCCCGCGCTGCTGCCCCACGCTGCTGGTAGTGCATATTTGGTCCCCGCCAATGCAGTTTCCCACCCAACCCACATCCATCCAACCTCCCACTGCAAGCGCACATGCAGTCATCTTTTCCACCCCAATCTGAGACTGTTTCTTCCTTGCGCCACTCATCTCTGCTCCCACCGCTTACAAACCCACCACAACAATCCATATTGACAAGTCAAATTATGCATGGAGAAGAGGGCCTCTCGAGCCTGCACAGCATGTCGGCTACGCAAAGTCAAGTGCAACGGCCAGCAGCCTTGCGCGCAGTGTGATCACCTCAATGTCGCTTGCGCATACTCAACCCCCACCGAGAGGCATGGCCGGCGTGTACGCGGGCGCCTGATCTCGCAGCTGAGGTCCAGCCAGCAGCAGCAAGAAAAGGCGACTCGCCCCGTCGCCATCGCGAGTCTCGATGAAATATTTGTGCCTGCAGGAGGAGGTGGGGGAGGCAGAGAACTAGGGGGGGAAGAAATCCAAGCACAGTCTCCAGGAAGGGTCGGCGTGAGTGCGACCCCGCCTGCTGCTTCTGCTGCTCCTCCACTGGCCCTCCCATTTTCTTCCCTTCCATTGGATGAGGTCTACTTCACGGGCCTCATCCCGTCCTACGAGAGGTTCGCATATCCTGTCAACCCCATCATGACAAGTGCCGAGATCCTTGAGTCCATCCACCTTATGCGTGAAGATCGGACACATGCCGCCTTCGTGTACGCCTTTGCTGCCGTCACCGTCAACCTGACTGAGGTGTCATGGACGCTGCATGGCGACGTCTCGGCTCGCATGCAGGACCTAGGTGCCCGCAGCCTCGCAGCGATGCACGAAGAACCCCCTATTGGAATCAGCTCCGCGCCCACGACCTCTGTACGCCGTATCATGACCTGCGTCTTCCTCGAAATGTGCGCCATGGCCTGCAAGCAACACGAACGGGCATCCCTGCTCCTACAAGAAGCCATATCGTGCATCCACCTGCTCCGCATCGACAGACTCAAACCAGAGCTCAATGCAGCGCCCACGTCTCCCTCCTCTCCCGGCGGCGAGGTCGCTCGGCCAGAGCTAGCGCGCCTCCAGCGTATGTATTGGGAGGCCTTTGTGCACGAGCGCTTCCTTACCGTCGTCAGCGGCTACCCGTCGACTATGCCGCCCCTGCGCACGGGATTGCCCTATGCCGATCCGACCATCCCGGCTCACATCCACGTGGGCTTCACCCGTATTATCCGCCTCTTCACCATACTGGACGACGAGTTCCTCTCGTACTGGACGAGCCAGGACCTCCCTGAAGGTGAGCGGCCCCCGATGGCCGCACAGTACATCGAGCGCAAGCATACCCAGCTGGACGATGACGAGACAGACGCCGCCACCGACCACGCGGGCGAGGCGTGCGGTTTGACGGAGCTGCAGCGTGCAGACCTGTTTGTGACGCGCATGTGGCAGCGGGTGCTGGTCTGGCAGCTTGGCATGTCTAGGTGCCTGCTCTCGAGCGTGCCGCCCGCCTCGTCACATGAGGCCATGTCTCTGGTCTTTCCCGCCCGCCGGCTCGGCGCTCAGCTTCGGTCACTCGTCACCCAGCTCGACCCAATCACCTCCATTGGCATGCATGGCACCGGCATCCTGCAGAAGCTCTTCGAGATCACAAACACCATCGCTGATGTACTAGCCCTGGTCCCAGATGCCACCCACCCCGGCAGCGGCCAGACTGTCGACGACTTCATTTTCCTCGCCCGACTCCTCTTCTCATTTGACCGCATCGATAAGGTCCAGAAGGATATCTTGAGGATGAAGATCCAGAGTATGGGCGATACCTTCTCGAGTATTCACATCGAGGGTATGTAGCGTTCTGTCTGGATCAAAATTTTGGACCGGGATAAGCTTTATATGAAGTTACAACGTGAACGTATTTCACAGGCCTCTGATTCCTTCCTTTCAATGCGGTAACCTTTCTATCAACACATTGAGATTGATGTTGTGAGTTGTGAGGCGTGGTTCTGCTCGAACAATGCAGCACATATATAGAAGGACGCGATAGAGAAAAAAAGAAGAAGAAGAAGAAGAAGTAAAACAGGGGGGGGGGCCTTCACTACCACATAAATTCCGCCACTTTGACCTCTCGAAAAACATCAGCACTGTATAATGAGCACAGCTGTGCGTTCAGTGGCCAGGAAAGTCGTGTATCAGCAATGTCGCGGCAATCTCTGCAGTTTCCATGGCCGAAGTTGGGCGTTCATGAGTTACTGAGTATAGAAAGTCCACAAACCACTAGCAATGAGCCTGCATGGTGATTATTAGGTCCATGACAATAGTTCCATCACATACTCGTATTTGGTAGCTACATTACGAAATGTATCCGGCCGTATATATCTAGCTCTTCAGACTAGTCCCCACGGTCCTCGTTGTTATTCTTGTCAATTGAGGCAACATGCATGCGCAGCACATCGTGACTCCATAGCACATGTCTGCACACACGAGGCAATACCCAAGGGAAGAATTAATGGACAGCCTAGGATATCCAACAAGTTGCTTTCGCAATAAAGGGGCCAGATGTTCAAAATGCATAATCATATGCGTGCGACCGGCTTGCAACCATCAATGCGCTCTTTTTTCCGAATGCAATTAGTAATATTCCACACCCATTTCTATAACCGCCTCAGCCACTTTCACTCTCCAGGCTTGTTGCTGCAAGTAAATTAGTTGCACAGTCGAGATTTCAAACTACGACAGGGACTCACTTCTGCTCTAGCCCAAAGAGCAACTCTAGCTCCTGGTCCCAAGGCGTCCAGAAAACCTTCCCCACTGCCAGCAGCCATTGGCTCTTGAGTCTGGATATGTATTCCGGCCCTCCAGTCGACGCGATAATCATGCCATTCGCGACGAGCAGTAACTGAAAGAACGAGTTCTTAGTTAGCCAGTCGCACATGACAAAATATGGCGGGATCAATGCATATGCTCAATGTGAGTACCGAAGCTTTCAAGCCCATGCTGGATGCGATAAGGCCATCGCAGCTCGAATTCACTTACTATTATGGTGCACTTTCCAACTTGACCTTCCATCTCGCTCAACAATCGCCCAACCTCGCTCACGGAGTTCTTGTCTCGCATCTGTCGGGCTGCGGAATGTATGCGCTAGCGCCAACTCGAGGGGCTCTTCTACTACAACCTCGGCCGTGTGGTCGGCCACGGGATGTAGTATGCTGACTTCGAACCATGTGTGGCTGTTTTCATATGTTCCGTCCCCCCCAAAGCTGGCCCAGCCCTGATCAGCCGCACGCATTTGAATGGTGATCCACGAAACGTGGTGGCAAGCCGCGGGTAGCGGTTGTGTCGTCAGGTAGAGACCCGCAACTGAGGCTATCGGCCCGGGCTCCCAGAAATCATTAGCCTCATATTGTAGAACCTCCACGCGACGGTCCGTGATGCGGGTCTGGTAGGCTGCGAAAGACAAGATCAAGAGTGCGAGCTCCTCCGGCAGTTGGTGAGGAAAGACAGGAAGCCTCAACCCGCGGAGAATGGATTTGGCGATGAGTACATCTTGAAATGTTGGATTAAAATCGGTCCGTGTCAATTGCAGAGACATGGTCAATATCTTTCCTCAGCTAGGCGCCCGTTCGTCGCTTGACTTGCGATAAGGGGATAGTAAAAGAATGAGGTGTGGTACGTGTTACATGCCATTTAGGATGTGATGCAGTAAGTTCTTAATTAGGCTTTCATGGAGAACCCCGCAAACGTGACGTAAAGGGGCGTGCTTATTCGCATGCGTCGCTAAATGCGCTTACTGACGGCGCTTATGTGCGGGTACATAAGTGAAGTATCTTGCATTCCGTTCTTGGAAAGCCGAGAGTCAATTGTTCAAGTATTCTGTTACGCAAGAATTATTTGAAGCGTTACCGAACATGAGATGGTTACCTGCAAGATTAATTACCAGATTGATTCTCGGCACTCTGTTACATGTATCACGCTCACTAGTCCCCCATTCCGGTTTAAGTACTCAGCGGTGCATCACGCTCAGCAGTAGAACTATTCGTCAAACTTCAGATGGGAAGAATAGTGTGAAGGTAAGGGCAAAGGCAGGGGGGAGACAGGGGTTGGAGTGAAACTACTAGTCAGAAAGGCACGTTATCACCTGATGACAAAGGAAGGGGGCGAGTATGTCGGTATTAAGATGCTCTGAATGGTGTGGCTTTTGGGGTGTGAGCGCTTTCCGACTCACCTGACTCCACTTCTGGATGAATGCAATTGATGTGGTGATGAAGCTGATATTATGAATGGAAAATGGCCGAATCTAGAAAAGCAAAAAGGTTATGAGGAAGAAAAAAAAAATCGCATCTTGTTCTATGTATTATGAATATTTCAGCAGTGAGATTGTGTTGAGGGATAGATGACTTGCTATACATGCTATAATAGATAATATATACAGTGAACGGAGAATATTGTCTTTTCCCCTAACTCTTTCGGTTTGTTATTATAAAAAGCAAGAGATATGACGGCAGCTGGTTCGACTTGAGCCTCTTTCTTCTGTTAATCAGCGCTGCAAAGGCGACCGCTACCATCCACAGTCCAATACTCGCTACCCACAGCAAGCCAAGCATAGAGAAGATGGTCAGGGTCGTACTGGTTCTTGATGTCGAGCAGGCGGTCGTAGTTGACACCGTAGAGTTCGTTCTTCCAGCCCGTGGGTCCACCCTTCCACTGCGCATCGACTTCGTTCAGATACGTTCCGGCGCCCAACGTGGCGTTCTCGAGACCCGGCATCAAAGTGTTGGCCATCAAAGTCTTTCGAGCCTGCATCTCGGACCACTCCACATCCCATTCCCATTGGCTCGCGATGTTGCAGGTAGCCACGGAACTGCGCCACTGGGGAAGGACAGCATTGTCGTAATGCTCACTGTCCGCGACGTTGAGGGCATGACAGCCAACGATCCAGTACTCAGCATCGGTGTAAGCCTTCATGGCTGCCACAATTTCCTTATTCTGAGTGGCATCGAGCACTCCCGCACGCGGGATCAGACGCGAGGCAAGTTGGATGTTTGCAGGGCCAGCCTCGGTGATTCCGATACCGAACCACTCATTGTAATAATCGAGGTAGTTGGACGCATAAATTGGCGTGAAATCGTAGCTAACATTTCTGGCGTTGAGAGCGTCGAAGTAAGGTTGCATGACTTGGGCGACCTCCGTTTCGTTCTTATCTGGAATAGTGAGGGCAATGGTTGAAAACCCTTCAGTGCTGATTGCGAAGTCGAAAGTGTTGGGACCAGCGTCGACGAATTGTGGCAACCATGCCCACAAGTCCTCGATGGCTTCCCAGAAATTCTCTTCGGTCGAATTGAAGCTCAAGGATCCACTGCCAATGGGGCCATCCTCGAATATCTTGGTAGTCATGCTGAGTACAACGCCAAAAGTTCCGGCGCCGCCACCGGTGAGGGCCCAGTACAGGTCAGTATTGTTAAAAGGCGTTGCGATGAGATGCTCGCCATCGACAGTGACGACCTCCCACTCAAGAACTGCATCTGCAGCCATTCCATAGAGACCGTTTAGAAGGGAATGGCCACCTCCTGAGGTATAACCACCGGCAAGCCCGACTGTCTGGCACTCCCCTCCAAGCACTCGATAGCCAGCGGCAGCGACCGCCGGATAGACATATGCTCCAACCACACCAGCACCGAGCTTGACGGCAGGCCCGGTATAGTTGCCGTTGGTGTACGATTCGATGATGTCGGTCGTATTCAAGTAGTGTGTCCACAGGGCGAGGCCACCCTTGCCAGTGGACTTGCCAGTGAAGCTAGGTTCCTAGTTAGCTAACGCCCATTGCTAGTCAGGCAGTTTCATTGTGAAGGATGCATACTCATGACCGGTGTTTTTGATCACCAACCGGACGTTGTTCTCTTTTGCGAAATTGAGACCCGCTACCACGTCGTCCACGCCAGTGACGTTGATCGAATAGCTGACGTAGTTGCCCAGCTCGCATGTCACGGACTTAGAGGTGAAAGGATCGCAGCTTTGATTCTGGAAGTAGGGGTTCATGACCTCAGCTGGGTGTTCGATGCTGGCACAAAATGCATGTAAGCGACGCGTCAAGAACAATGGATGACGAAAATAGATTGCAGGGGCAGAGAAACGTACAAAACTATGTCCTGCAGCCATTCCGCCTGCACTGCTGCACACTCAGATGTCGAGTAAGTGTCATTCATAACAAGCGTGCCAAGGTAATTTGCATGACACACAGAAGGGAGTGGAACAGTCGCAATAAGACGGCCGCCCACTGTTTCGTTGAGGCTTTGCCATGTCGAGGTCGAAGGCCAGTCGGGATCGCCTGGTATGACCCTACAGGAAGCATCTGCAGAGACCAGGCCGAGGAATAAAGAAGTAAGGAGGGATCTAGTAAAGACTGCCATGGTCAACAAAAATCGCTGACTGAAGCGAAACGCCGATAAAGACAGGGTACGATCAGATAAGCGTGAGGAAAGATCCACAAGAAAAGACTGCATTTGTGATGTACGTGTATATATATGTTGATTTGACAACGTCGTAAGTGTATCGGGAAATAACCAATGATTCATCCCTTGTCTGACGATATCTCAGGCTACTGGATTCCGATGGCTCGGCAGCCTCGCATGCGCCACAAGATCTCACGATGTGGCCAAGATGCTCCAGTTAAAACAGCGATGCCGTTGACCCGAGTCAAGCCCGATTTTCAGCTCTTGTGTATTTGTTTTGAGAAATTAGGCTCCGTTTTGCTTCCTACAGATTCCTGAAGGATTACTCCGCTCAAGTAAGGAGGTGGGAGATGAGTCTGTGTCAATCTAGCAATATGTATTTTCCCACAAGCATAATGGTGCGTGACTTTCCCGATCCTTTATGCAGCTCTAGATAGGGGGTTTGTTAGTAGGCTTTGATGGTGGCAATCGCTTATGATCTACAGGGCTGCATAGAAAGCAGGGAAGGTATGCAGCCTTTTTGTGGGACTCTTGCTATAAATCACGCATGTCGTGCTATACCCCAGCTCGAGTTACAGCATTGCTCCGTGGCTTGAAGGGTAACAATGACCTTTCATGCCCTTAAAAACTTAATTCCAAATTCTTCACGGGAAATTCATACAGCTACACTAATAGTTGATTGGCGAATGAAAGGGGGGAGGAATGTTACAATGCGTAAGATGTGGTAAGGCACCATCCCCCAGGCTCCTACCGATGTTCGTAGTTCCCCATGTGCTTCTCATCATTGCGGCGTTGTGCCTATTTATGACAGTGTTGCTGCTCAAGTTCTTGCTGTACTCGAACAGGTATTCGGGGAAGTGGCACGATCCGACCGTGAATCTCTTGCTCAAAGTTGCAGTTGAGAACAACGTGTGTGCCGCCGGAGTAGCCGAAAATTACCGATTGGCTCAACGGACCTCGTCGTAAGATCTCTCTTCCTCTTCGGGAATTTTGACAAGCGCCACGGCCGTCCACGTCAGTGGAATTAGCAATTGACTGCCAGTGTATGAACGAGATGGTCGAGACGGACAGATTTTACATCAATACTCAGTAACTTGAGACCGGCGAGTAGTTCTAGGGTTGTAATTGGTCGACTGATATCGAACCATCTGCCTCGAACCACGATGAATATGGCCGAATGACTTGATTCTAAGCCCTTGCTGGATAGCCGTGTATAGATTTTCTCGATTCAAGATTGTAATGAATAACACGATCCTTCTCATGATTCCAAAGGCTTTGGAAGGAAGGAAACACTTGTTTAAACGAAGGGATGCCTCCGCATCATCAGGTCAACACAATCGCTTGATCTCCATCCTCTTCCTAGATGCATAGTCTGTGATTATGACAAACACAATTCCCATTCCTGAGCCACCCGGCTGGCCCATCCTGGGCAACTTGCTAGATCTCGACTTCCAATTGCCCCTAAGATCTTTGTGTGAATTGGCGGAGAAACATGGCAAGTTCCCACAAATGCAACGCGTTAATTTGGTGGGACATACACTGACGTTCCACGAATGCGGAAGGCGAACTGTATCGTATGCGTTTACCTGGTCAAACGATCTTGATCGCCTCAAGCCATGACCTTGTGAATGAGCTTTGCGACGAGAAACGCTTTCCCAAAACCATACAGGGCTTGAGGGTACGTGTTCGTCGGAAAGATTTACGATTACAACCATGGATCTCTCTGACAATACATGTATTCACATTTACAGGAAATGAGACACGGAGTGCATGATGGACTTCTAACTGTAAGCCCGCGAGCCCGAGAGACAGAGGAGAATCCAGCTCATACATCCTGTAGGCTCAAACGGAGGAACCCAACTGGGGCATTGCACACCGAGTTCTCATGCCAGCTTTTGGACCCTCGTCTCTTCCAGTCTGGTTTGACGGAATGTTTGACATTGCTAGTCAGCTAGCCTTGAAATGGGCAAGACACGGGAAAGACAACCCAATCACAGTCACCGAGGATTTTACCAGATTGACGCTCGACACAATCGCGCTGTGTTCCATGGATTTCCGTTTCAACAGCTTTTACAAGGAGAATCTGCATCCCTTCATCAAGGCTATGTGCGACTTCCTTGTCGAGACAGGCAATCGAGCTTCACGGATGCCGCTACCTTCGATGTTTTACAAGAGAAAGGACCGAAAGTTCTTTAGTGATATTGAGGTTCTCAGGAAGACAGCTGATGAGGTTCTTCAGGCGCGCAGAAGCGAAGGAGGCCTCGATACGCGCAAAGATCTACTCTCTGTAATGCTGAACGGCGTCGACTCCAAGACTGGCCAGAGAGTGAGCGATCAGAGCATCCTTGACAACCTCATCACATTCCTGATTGCAGGACATGAAACCACATCAGGACTGCTTTCGTTCACGTTCTATCATCTTATCACCAACCCCAAGGCATACCAAAAAGCGCAAGAAGAAGTCGACAGCGTCTGTGGCCAGGGTCCGATCAAGTTCGAGCACTTATCCAAGTTATCATATATATCAGCGGTTAGTTACGATTAAACCCGAGTGTTCGTGTTCATACAGACTCTAACAAGACCATTAGGTTTTACGAGAAGCTCTGCGTCTTAACCCAACTATCCCCGTTTTTAACGTTGCAGCTAAGAAGGATGAGATCGTCGGTGGTCGATACCATATTCCGGCCAAAGAGCTGATCCTCCTGCTCCTTACACGGTCTCATCTTGACCCCAAGGTGTACGGCGAGGACGCTATGGAATTCAATCCTGACAGGATGTTCGACGAAAACTTCGACCACCTGAACAAGGAGTTCCCCAACTGCTGGAAACCATTCGGAAATGGTGCCCGTGCCTGCATTGGCAGGCCGTTTGCATGGCAGGAAGCCACGCTAGTTGTAGCCATGCTATTGCAGAACTTCAACTTCACTCTCGACGATCCGAACTACTCGCTTTCTCTCAAACAGACATTGACAGTTAAGCCGGATGGTCTTCAAATCCGTGCTGCTCTTCGCAATGGATTGACGGCCACCCAGCTTGAGCGGAACTTGGCGGGGACGGCTGCGCCCTTGGATTCAAAGTCAGCGGCGCTCAAGGATGGGCTTCCCCGGACGACAAATATCACAGAAAAGGCCACCCATATGAGTATCTACTACGGTTCAAACAGTGGAACTTGCCAGTCCATCGCGGAGACACTTGCTGCCAATGCCTTTTCGCGCGGGTTTCACGCCAGAGTCGTGGACATTGCTGACAGCGCCACTGGAAAACTTCCTCCTAACGAGCCAGTGGTTATCATCACGGCTTCGTACGAAGGGCAGCCACCAGATAATGCAGCACGTTTCGTGGGATGGCTCGAGACTACGGAAGATGGAGATCTTACAAATGTCTCGTACGCCGTCTTCGGCTGTGGTCATCGCGACTGGGCGTCTACATTTCATCGCGTTCCCAAATTAGTAGATGCTGCCATGGAGAAACTCGGCGCATGCAGGATCGCGCCACTCGGCCTCTCTGATGTCGCAGGCGGCACCATGTTCACCGACTTCGAGACCTGGGAGGACGATGTCTTCTGGCCTGCCATGATAGCCAAGTATGGCGCTGCTGTGCCGGAAGAACCGACGTTGGCAGTTGAGGTTTCGAGCCCGCGAAAGTCGATTTTGCACTATCAAGATGTCAGAGAAGCAAGCGTGGTGGCCACTAGTGTCCTGACTGCTGATAATGCATCAGTGAAGAAGAGAAACATGGTGATTCAATTGCCTCTGGACACAGCATACCGAGCAGGAGATTATCTTGCCGTTCTTCCTGTCAACCCGAGGGAGAATGTCTACCGAGTGTTGCGGCATTTTCGATTGCCTTGGGATGCTCACTTGAAAATCTCAGCGAATACACTCACGCCGCTACCAGGCGACGTGGCAGTGCCGGCTGCCGAGGTTTTTGGTTCCTATGTGGAGTTATCGCAACCTGCAACGAAACGCAATATTCTCACCCTTGCGGACTTTGCACGAGATGAGTGCACAAAGGCTAACATCCAAGCCCTCGCGACAGATGATTGCTACACCTCCAAGGTTGTGGCCAAGCGCATCTCTGTCCTCGATCTCCTTGAGACAAACACCAATGTTCATCTATCACTCTCGTCATTTTTGCGGATGCTCCCTCCAATGCGGGTAAGGCAGTACAGCATTAGCTCCTCCCCTCTGTCCAAGGGAGACCACGCTGTCCTGACCTACTCGGTTCTGGATGAGCCCACAGGACATGTGGGCGTCGCTACTAGCTACTTGTCCAGCCTACAAGAGGGCGATATGATGCACGTCACAGTCCGTCCATCTCATGCGGCTTTCCACTTGCCTAAAGAGAATGACAGAAGTATGCCCATCATCATGGTGGCAGCTGGTACTGGCATCGCCCCCTTTCGAGGCTTCATCGAGGAGCGAGCTGCACTTCAGAAAGCTGGGAAAGAGAAGACATTGGCACCGGCAGTTCTGTTCTTTGGCTGTCGTGACGCCACTAAGGATGACCTGTATCGTGCAGAATTCGACGCATGGGAAGCTAGCGGTGCGGTGTCTTCGGTGCACAGAGCCTACAGTCGGAGGGCGGAGGAGAGCGACGGTTGTAGGCATGTTCAAGACCGATTGTGGAAGGAAAGGCAACAAGTAATGTGTCTATGGGAAAAGGGCGCAAAATTGTACATTTGCGGTGGTCGAGCAGTGGGCGAAGGCGTGAAGAACATGTTCATCAACATCTACGTTGATGCTGCCAAGAAAGAAGGCCAGGACATCAGTTGGGACAGCGCCAAGGAGTGGTTCGAGGGGCTGAAAAATGATAGGTGGGCTATGGATGTATTCAATTAAGCGGTAGATCTGGAACTTGATTCAATAAAATAAAGCTTGATACATGGCCATAGATTGATATGTTCAGATTGAAGATACGAGCAGGGTTCGTCGATTCGACCTTGGTCAGATCTGGCGAAAAAAAAAACCGGTTCAGGGATAACCTGAGGACGGAGTCTGCTTAGTGAGGGGGGGGCTTGTACCTAGGTACCAGATTGTTTCTTCCATACGCTTTAATCATGAAGAAGAAAATAAAAAATTAAAGAGTACAGAATACACATGATCTCTATGTTCTATTCTCGATTCCCATGTAGAGATGTTTAGGCAAGTTTCTCGATATACAAGGAGATGAGCCAAGACAAGAGGTTTTCTTTTCCAGATACCCTGTTTCTGACGTCAAGCCTCCCTCAGCTTCTTGTCAATCATACTCCAAACATTCTCACGCAGAGCTCCTACAAGCCAGTAGTTCCCCGCAGCATCTCTACCCATAATGGGGAGTATATCACGCAGTTGAAACCTTGGCGACCAAGCATTGAACTGGATATACGATGGGAAGCCTGGTGGAGTAGTACGTGTGGAGCGAGGGAGCCCTTCCTTGACTATGGCGGCTGACAAGTCCGTCTCGAAGAACTTGCTCTTGGTGTTGTTGGTAAAGTTGATCATGTTCATGGTGACGTCGCCAAAAATAGTTGGCAGGATAAGCCCGGTGGCCTCGGAGGCCTCCCTTTTGATGGCCGCCAGTGCTTCAATCTGTTCTGGTGTGCCTCCTTCCGTCAACGAACGCCGGATCGCGTGGGCCGTGTAGCTGAGTGGTTTGTTGAAGATGTCCCGGGCTTTGAGAAAGGTCCACACCTCGCTCACTGCGTTGGCGACGTAAGCTTTCCCGTCAGGGAGATATTTGTTTGGCACAACGCCGAGAAGTCTAAACGCCGTCATGATGCGGATCGTCCTGTTGGAATTCCGAGGCATGTCAGACATGGCAACTTGGGTAAACCAGGCAGTGAGGACATCATTGTCGCTAACGAAAGCATTTGGATCTCCCGTCTCCGCTCTGATCTCTTCAATTGCCTGCTTTCGAAGTCGGGTCAAGTAAGGCCCCGGCATACAGAGCACACGAGATTCGGTCCCGTAACGCACGCTCAAATACAATTGGCGCAGCAAAAAGAGCCATTTCCTCCATCCTGTTAAAAGTTTGTCGGCGTAGATGTACGGCTCTGTCGGGTTGGCTCCAAACCCGGCCAGAGGGTCGTGGTTGTAGCCGTGAAACTCGGCAATTTCATCATATCTTTCCTGAAGGGCAAGAGACCAGGCACGGTAGATGTGACCACCTCCTGTGCCGTCGGTGAAAGTGTGTGGGAAACTTAGAGATGCCAAAGTTGCGTCTGTGAACGAAACAATGTGCAGAGCAAGCTGGGGGACGTCCCGGGTGATGTAGTCCTCGAAGAACCTTGGCCCGTCCTCGCTGCGTGCCAAATCAAGAAACTCATTGGGGTCCGCCGCCACCGTCGGTTTCTCAGTCGCTCGAGGGATCCTCGAGGCCAAAGGATGCTCGTTGATGGAAATGTCGTAGGAAACGTGTGAGTACCCTATACCTGGCCGCTTCTCGTCGTAGCGCTCTGGCACATGGTATTCCAACTTTCCCAATTTCTATTCTGCTGTTAGCTCATGAATCAAAGTTCTTGCTTTTGCTTTCACGTACATTCAGCCTAAGCCGAGCGCCCATCTTGCGCCAGCCGGGAAGGTCCACAAGCCTTTCGAGGGCATAACGGAGTTTCTCAGGATCGAGAACATCGTCATATCTGTGCGTCACAACCAAGCAGACACTACGCAAGTAGTCGATGTCATCTAACGGACTCAGCGGGATGATCTCATCCGTAGGAATTGTTGCAGGTAACACTGGCTGTTTGCTGCCAAATAGACCCCACATCTTGATAGTCAGGGAAAAAAGAAGAACACTGCGTTGGGCATAGAGATTTTTGCACTGCAGAATACAAGGATTCCCAAGCTGTTCATAAACAAATTCCTACCTGTTTTTTACCGCCCTTCTCGAGATCCTGCCTTTAACTCCTTAAACGCAACTGGATCACCGATCAGTCTGTCGGCAGTATTAATTCAGGCATGCGCTTGCTAATGATATTGGCCGAGAAAAGCGCGATGATCCTGCCAACAAACTATCCCAGGACCCTTAGACATGAGTGTTTCTAGACCATACCGTCGCTGTATAACGAGAGAACTTTGTGGACATTGTGATTCGTTGAGTTTCTGAACTCAATACATACCTATGCATGGATCTGAAGTTCGGGAATATTCTTCCGAAACCCTCCGAATGTGGCCGCATCTGGCTGTGGGCGACATCCCCCGGTGGTGTATCCTTCTAGAAGCACAGCCAGCCGCAGCGCCAAGGAACTTGACCCTCGAGCTACCAAGCGCCAGATCCACTGCAGGTAAATAATACCGAAATCCTGTCTAATCCTTAGATGAGGCTGAGAGCTTATTGATAGAGTCTTGAGGACCACTAGCAAAGGATTCCAAATGGGGTTTGATCCTTCTTCGCAGTGATGTACCGAACACGTTTGGGAGAGTGTAGCAGGGCGGATTAACACTTGGGTGAAGACTATTGGCTGTGCCTACTTGGGCAACGCATGCTAAACACGGGCTTTTCAGTGTGGAAATACCGAATTACGCGAATGTAACTCTCCAATGTGGGGCAACTCCACCGTACAAGCGCAACCTGGATTCACTGGGACAATATACCAGGCCTCTCTGCGTACGGGATCATTCGGCCTGTGCCGGATGAATGAATACGTCTACCTGAGAATGGAAATGGATTGTAGACATTATCAGCACCTGTCAACTGCGTGGCATGGCACAGGACTGGTTTAAACAAGGACGGCTGATAGTAGCGTAGTCTCGGCCGAAATTGCTAGCTACGACCTGCTCCTCATCTCAAAACGGAGTACACCGTCTGAGGAACGGAGGGCGTGGTTGTTTGCTACATATGCAGGGTCCCATGTGCTTCCTGACCATGACACATGTTGTCACTTTACGTGCATGCTTCTCACGCAAGCAATATTGAGGCAACTGGGTTGTTCGAATTATGGATCCCACTTTATTTACAAATCGATCTTCGGGATCGATGCTCGAGGCTGCAGAAGCGGCGTCCTATGCACCAGTCATGTGGGCGACCAGCATCGTGGCTGTTGTCTTGATCTGGGTTGTTCGAAGCCGGTCTGGACTCTCTCATTTTCCTCTCGCCACAGAGAGATCACGTTGGGACATCAGTGGGACCAAAGCTAAGGAACGCTTTACAATTGACGCCCGCGGGGTGGTGGAACGTGGGCTCAAGCAAGTGTGTTCTCTCCGCAAAGAAGAAAAGTTGACTCCTTGACCCGATGAAAGCCTGACACAAATCCAGTTCGGCACATCGAGGCCGTTCCGAGTCATCTCTGAGCTTGGGGAGATGCTCATAATTCCTCCATCCATGGTCAACGATGTCCGGAACATTGAGGATTTCAGTTTTGCTGAGTATATGAAAGAGGTATGAGAATCCCGCAACATTCACCCTTGAGAAAATATTTTACCTGATACATAATAACAGTCCACATGTGCTCATTTACCTGGGTTCGAGCCTTTTCACGAAGCTACAAAAAGCAGCCTGTTGAATGATATGGTCAAATCCAAACTCACTCAATCTCTGAGTATTTCTATTCTAAACCCTGAAACTGTCTCGCCCATCCGTTTCTAATGCTCCGCAGGCAAATTGACGGATCCCCTATCCGAGGAAACAGCTTCTGCGTGCAATGAGCTATTCCCTGCTACCAAAGGTATCTATCGTGAATATTTGACCTTTTGAGTGCATATGTACTGACGTGTACAGCAGAATGGCATGAGATGACCTTGAAAGACGGGTTGCTCGACCTCGTCGCTCGTCTTTCTGCAAGAGTATTCCTCGGAGATGAAGAAATCACTCACAATGCGTCGTGGCTCGGAATTACCAAGAGCTACACAGTGGACTCATTCCTTGCATCCCATGAGCTTAGAACTTACCCAAGGTTTTTGCAAACTATCATTCATTGGTTCCTACCAAGGGCTCAAAAAGTGAGAGCGCAGCTCAAGGAAGCGGAGTCCATCATAAAGCCTGTCATGGAGAGACGACGTGCCGAGAGGGCATCTTCTACTGGACTGGCTGAAAAGTCTGATACAATCGAATGGACTGAGCAGATAGCGCGGGAAAGGAAGCTTCAATATTACCCGGCCGCCTTTCAACTCAACCTGGCTGTGTCAGCGATTCACACGACAACAGACTTGTTGGCACACACCGTGTACTGCCTTCTGCAGAATCCCGAGTTCATTCAGCCTCTTCGGGACGAGATCATCTCCGTAGTAGCAGAGGGGGGACTGAAGCATGCCTCTCTTTACAAGCTCAAGTTAATGGACAGCGTCGTCAAGGAGGCACAAAGACTAAAGCCTCCCATGTCAGGTATGCTTTGTCTACACCACACGCGTTTCACAGTTCTGAGGGCTGACAAGTTGTGTAATCGAATAGTCAACATGAATCGCGTCGCGATGCGTGACACGCGTCTGCCAGACGGGACTCTCATACCTAAAGGTACAAAGGTCGGCGTCTCTTGCCAGGCAATGTGGGATGCGAGTGTGTATCCGGAACCGGAGAAGTTCGACGGATACCGATTTTTGCGCTTGCGAGAGCAGCCGGGTAATGATAACGCGTGGCAACTGACGACAACCCGCCCCGAGCACATTGCTTTTGGACATGGCAAGCATGCTTGCCCTGGTCGATTTCTGGCTGCCAACGAGATCAAGATTGTGCTCTGCCACATGTTGCTCAAGTACGAGTGGCAGCTGAGTGCCTCTAGTCCACAGCCCAAGATTTTCACCAGTGGAATTATGATGGATTCGGATCCGACGGTGAAGGTTAGCATGCGAGGACGTAGGGCAGAGGTTGAACTATAGTAGGAAGTGATGCTGGGGAGTGTCTTGAGAAAGAAAGGCGAGGTTGGGCCGCACATGAAACAACTTTCTCGATCGCATAGCCATATTCAGCTGGCAGTGTGCAGAGTAAATGCGAATAATATTTCCTGATTATATATTATGCACGGCCTTGGGTATTTGAATGAATGCCACGAAACTGAACAGTTTCCAAACTTGAACAGTTTCTCAAAGATTCTTGTAAGTATCAATTTTTTAACAAAAGTCGATCACAGCTGTATCAAGAGAGGAAACAGGAAGGCGTACTAAATACGGCGATATCACACTTTTCAAATATGCTAACTCCCGTATCATTGTCTTGCGCGAGCCTGTACTGGGGTTTGTGACCTCCAGAGTGCTCGTATCGTGTAGCTATCATGCATGTAACTGCATTGTTCCGCGCCTTTCCTGTGAATACAGTTGTTGAGTTTGACCTTCCACGATTTGTTGTTTACTGTTACTTTCTCAAGGCGGACAGCGAATTGTTCACAAGAATGCGAATTCAAAATACTCCTAATATACTCTGATACAGATACATAAATATGTACTCATGCCAATCATGTACAGGCATGAGATTAAGCCCCCTCACGGAGCATCCTGGGGTAGCTGGGTTGACCAGGATCGTCCATAGACTCAATCAATGCAGCAACACCACGGTTTAGCCCCATTCCCACTGCGCGTGTTGCCCATCCATGGATAGGGAGGACTTCCACATTAGTGGCCCCCGTCCTCTTCTCCACAAACTCTTTCAGGTTGTCCAATGGAATCACAATGTCGCCAACTTGGTGGACATAGGTTGCACTTCCTGCCGTCTTGGGCTTATTGTCGAACACGCACTGAAGAATGCTACTCGACGCATGCTCAACCGAAACAAAGTCCAAAGCGCCTTGCAGGTTCTTCATGGCGGGCACTGCCTTAGTCTTGAGCATGTACTCGACTAGGGAGTTCATCCAGTCGAGCTGGGCCGCGGCGTTCGCAGCATCTGCGCCCTCACGGATGATGGTAGACGGGCGGTGAATCCATGTGTTGACGCCGTGACGCTGCTGAAGTTCCTCCAGGAGGCGCTCGCTGGCCCACTTGGCAGCAATGTAGCCATGCGAGCCGTCCGTGGGAGGGTAGTGCTCGGCAACTGAGACCTCAGGGAAAGACTTGTAGTCCCCGAAGAGGGCAACGCCCACAGTGGAGAGGTAGTGGATGGGAATCCTGCGGTCCATGCAGAGGCTGATGATGTACTTTGTCGAGCCCATATTGGCATCCCTGATGGCTGGGTAGAACTTGAGATGAGAAGTATCAGCGCCGTTGTGGATCACAGCATCAGCCTCGCTGAAGATGGTGACAGCGTCCGCTTCCGACAGGCCTAGGCGCGGCTGCTCGAGATCACCCTCGAAATACATAACACGCTCATCCTTCGGGAGCTCTCCGCTCTGGAGGCGCTCATTGAGGCGGCGAGTAGCAATGCAAATGACCTTCTCAACTGAGGAAGACTTGAGCAACCGAGACAGCAAAGCGCGGCCCAAAAGTCCGCTAACTCCAGTGAGAACGATGACTCGGGGTTGAGCTGCCGCATGGTTGTTGTTTGCCAACTTCACTGCTTTTGGCAAAACAATTTCTGTGTTCCAATCAATTTTCACTGGTCCACCTCGATCGTTCTCAGGTGCAGGTGTCGTGTATCCTGTTGAACCACTGCTGCTGGATGCCGAAGAGGTTGCCTGGGAGTTATCATTCTTCGGCGTAGGAGCGGGCGTCTTTGCAGCCACCGCCTCCCCATTCGTAGTCGGTGCATCAGCCGTGGCATCACCGGCAAGCAGACTTGGTGAGACCTGGGACGCGACCAGCTCTGCAATGTCAGCCATGGTGTCATTACCCATAATCTTGAGGACCGGAATGCCGACTTCGAAGTTCTTCAAGAACCACGAGCGGATGTCCACGGAAATCAGCGAGTCCAGACCAATGCCGCTGCTTCTTGCAGCCATGAGATCCTCGTCCGACGTTGTCATTTGCAGCACATTGCGCAGTTGAGCGGCAAATGACCCTGTTTTGTCCCCATGCTGTTAGCCATGTATTCTGGTTATTGTAGCGCATTCCAATTGTTTGACTCACGTTTGACAACAGCAAGAACGTCACTCTGGGACTTGCAGCCACTGAGCTGATCCTTGATGGACGTGGCAGCTTCACTGCCCGAGTCCGCTCCAGACTTCTCCACCTGGTGAGCAATGAATGATGAGAAAACGGGGTTAGCATGCCATTTCGGCGCATCGGGGCCACCGTTGGCTGGAATATCGAGAAGACCAGTGGTCAACTCAGCCTCATCATCCGAATCAGGGCGTCCAGCATCGATACCCTCAGCGAAAAGTTGGTGGTAGTCCTGCTCCGACAAATGCATCAAAGCCATCTTGGAAACAGTCAAATCCAAGGCCTTACTGGATTCTCGCTCCATGTAGCCCGCTCCAATGATAGCACCAACGTTGAGGGCCGTAGCAGCCAAGCCGCGCTTCCTTCGTTGGGCCGCCACTGCGAGGAAAAAAGTCAGTATATACGACTTTCGACAATCCATCCAAGGGGGTAATATAGGGCTGCAGTGATCACTTACGACTGCACATGAAGGTATTGGCCGCTGCATAGTTGGCCTGGCCCAGGTTGCCGATGACACAGTTGATAGACGAGAAAAGGATGAAGAAGTCCAGTTTCTGTGTCGCAAAGATGCGATCCAGATGGATACTTCCGTACACCTTGGGCCTGAAGACATCGCTCATATGGTTGAATGACATGTTCTGGATGGAGATATCTCTCAACACCATGGCTCCATTCAAGACACCAATGATTGGAGGCAAGGTCTCGCAGATCTTCTGGTGCGCCGCACGCAGTGCAGGCTCATCAGTCACGTCGCTACACACAAGAAAAAGCAGATGTCAGCCAGAATTTCGTTAAAATATGACAGTTTCTTCTCCCTGTTGCAATGACTTACCAAGGGACAATGGTGACGTTGACGCCGTTCTGCTTGTGAGCTTTGATCCAATCCGGAGAAATGTTTGGATTCCGGCTGGTCAGCACCAGATACTTGGCACCCCTCTCGATCATCCAGTCGCAAAGGGAAACTCCCAGAGCACCGGAGAGACCACACATCCAGTACGTCTTGTCACCCTTGAAGAAAGCTGCCGAGTCCAGGCGCGTCACATTGACCGCAGGAGACTCGGACAGATTCCAGTCAATGACCGTGGCGGGGTTGACAGGGTTCGATCCACGTAGGAGATCATCAACGGTGACAACATCTGCAGCAACCGAATCAGACCACTCGAGGCTCGCATCCAAGGCTCGCTGAAGCAGTCGTCCCAGCTGTGCGGTAGAGGAAGCACTGCCCTCCCAACCAACAGCCGAGTAGAGTGTCTCTGCGGTTTCCTTCCGGCAATGAGGCGCCAGCGTGGAAAGAATCGTCGATTCATTCTCTGACTTCTCAAATTCGTGGTTGGAGAGACCAACAAAGCAAGCAGTATTAGCGGGAATGACACCAGCCACTTCAGACTTGGTCATGTAAGGAGCCAGCGTGACCCATGAGGAGTCCGAAGGCTGGCGCGAAGAATCTGCCACGAACAGGGCCTTCACATCCTTGGTAGCTGCTTGAGCAGTGATAGCCTGGGCAAGGAGTTTCGATGCATTGTGGACAACTACGGTCTCTCCACCCACAAGAGGATCAACCACGGCCAACGAGACCAGGATAGCAGCCAGCGCGGTGAGTAGTTGGCTATCTGTCGATTTGGTGAGAGGACAGAGGAGAACCGACTCTTTCTTGACCGTAATGACGGACCGAAGCGAAGGTACCAAGGCCAAACAGCGTGCCTGAGTCTTGGGGTCGGTTCCCAGGACGAGGAACTTGTGACCATAGGCCGTCCGAACAGCTGACTTGATGGCATGGCTGACTGTCAGCTTGATGGTAGTCTCGTCCTCGGCAGTAATCCCCCACTTGGAAATTTCCCTCAGGGACCACACCCCAGCATCTCTCTGTAGGACAGCGGGTGACTCGGCAATGTTGATCTGGTGGGTTGTGATAGGGCGACGAGCCGAGTTGTATCTATCGTTGCGAGCAGCGATGGGTCGGAGTCGGGGTACAATCTCATGACCCTCAGCATTGAAGGCAATTTCAGGCTCCTTGGCCCAGAGAAGGTGGCTGCTCTCCGACTCAGAGACGCCAGTGATGGCTTGGAAGCGAAGCACCATCTCGACGAGCCTATGAGGATCGAAGCTGGCCAGGTCCTCGATGTCGATGTTCTGGAAGTGCAAAGCCGGAGTCTCGTGAACAGCAGTACGAGCAAACCCAACCGTCATGTTGGAGAATGGCTCCTCATGCAGACGACCGCTGGTAACCCACAGCAGTTTCGTTGGGGCCAGGAAGATCGTCTTGAACGCCAAGAACTCCTCGGGCGTCATGTCCTTGAACACAGGCTTGTCCAGCTCTGACAAGCTGACAACAGTGCTGTCGGCACTGATGAGGCTGTGGTCCACCTCCTTCAGCGTTTCGAAAGTGTGCACTTGGACCTCCTTCATGGAATCCTGGAGTGACTTGACCAGGCGACGAGTAGGCTCCGTACTGCCTCCAACGATGACAAGATTCTTGGTAGGGGCAATAAGGGAGCGCTTGGGTACCTCAGCAGCCAGGGGCTCGCGGAGGAAAGTGACACGATCGTCAAGGGCTTGTGCAGCAAACACGGTCATACCAATAACGTCCTCGAAGCCCTTCGGAGCCGTTGAGTCGATACCAGCGAAGCCGCTCACCTTGAGCAATCGTTCCCACTCAGAAGTAGACACGAATGGCGACAGAGGGCGTCCAGTCTCTGCACCGAGCCACCAACCTGGAAGTGTTCCGAAGATGAAACCTCCAGTGCCGTGAGGCTGACCGTTGTTGCTACCATCAGCAACAACCAGGTAACCACCTGGTTTCAACAGTTTGCTATAATTGTGGCAGTCAGTTAGATGTTCCATATAGGACTATCATAACGTCAACATGAATAAATGAAAAAGGCTTACCGAAGGTTTCGCATGGTAACCTCGAGGTCGGGGGTCGCATGAATGACGAGGGAGGCCACGACGACATCGTATGTTCCCTCAGTGTATCCCTGCGCAATAGGATCCTGCCCACAGTCGAGCGTCTTGAAGACCATGCGATCCTTGTAATCAGACAAGACATCAGCAGCCACCTCGAAGAAACCACTGGACACATCCGTGAAGGTGTACGTCAGGAAGTTGGAGCCGAGGTGCTTCAGGATCCTCTTGGTCGCACCACCAGTACCGGCACCTGAAAAACGTAGTTAGTTATGCTCCGGTCATTGAACGAGATGCTCGTCTTTCTCTTCTTTATCCAAGCTTACCAATTTCAAGAATGTTGAGGTGGGGGTATCTCTCAGCCAGCTGGGAGATAGTTCTGCTCATCCACAAGCCAGACTGAAGGAAACCGAAACCGCCAGCATAGTAATCATCCAAGACATTGTTGACGCGGAACTCCTCGAGCATATTCGTCTCTCCCTTGAAGACACGCGGCATCTGCTCTCCAACGAGATGCATGACGCGAGCATCGGGCAGATCAGCGAATCGAGCCGTGGCGTTGAGCATGTCCTCCTTGGTATCGTTCAACCACTCCTTTTTAGCCCATTTGTGGTTTCCACTCTGAACTAGCTCAGTAATATGGCGAGCATACCGCAGATAGTAGTTGTGAGGTGCCTCCTTTCGTAGAGGAGAGTCTTCGGGCACTTGAAGGTCGAACTGCCGCAGGTAGTAGGTTGAGATGCGCTCCAAGGCCATCAGAATATCCTCGTGATACTTGCTCACGGTGGTGTCACGAGACGCTAGCTCGCCATCAAGCTGCGTCTTGACCCAGTGGATCTTGGAGAAGACCTTGCGGTCATCTTTGGCAGTAGCTGAGCCCATAGGAACCAGCTCGACGCCCTGTAGCTGAATGGCAGCGCAGGCGGAGTCGTTCGTATACAGGCTGACATCACCCCTGAATCCCGAAGCTTTGGGCTCTCCAAGCTTCGCATCAACTGTCATGTTGGTCATGGACTCGCAAAGCGCAGGGTTGATACGGATGTTGCCCATGCCTGTGGGCAGGTGCATCGTGAGGATCTGGTCATCGCCTGGGTAGCTGAAGGCCAAGATGAGAGACTGGATAGCACCGTCGAACTCCGCAGGATGCACCAGGACAGGGTTTCCAAACGCTTCTCGGGGCGCCGAGTGGACTGCGCAGACGCTGGTTCCCAGTTTTCTCCTCAGCTTTGACAGAGACCGGAACGGTCCGTCAAAGCCGTAGCCAAGGGTTGCCAAAAGACTGTAGAATCTCTCTGAGTCCACAGAGATCATATGGGGCGGTACAGGAGCACGCTTAGGTAGCGTAGCCTTAGACGGCTCTCCCAGAGTGATTTCGATATCAGCCTGAGCAACCAATGTCAGGTCTTCATTGGTCCCGAGACCAGCAGAATATGTGAACTTGGCATGGATTCGATCATCGCTTGGGCTGTGAATATCGGAAAGGCAAGTCGAAATCTCGATGCCGGCATCATCTTGGTTGAACGTCAAAGCCTGGTGGATCACAAAGTCCTTGAGCTCAAAGAGGCGCACGCTGCGGTCGCCTGCGACAACACGTGCCCCCTCCAGGGCCGTGCAAACATAACCTGCGGCAGGGAACACAGTCTGGCTTTGGACCTGATGGCCAGAGAGCCACTCAATCTCACTGGCTCGCAGCAAATGTCCCCAGTGCAAGCGATGTGCAGCGCTGTCGGGCAGCATGGTTCCCAATAGCGGGTTGAATGTCTGATCCTGGATCCTCATCTTTCTTGTCTTGCGCGACTCGTGCCAGTGAGATGCCTCGTGGCTCCACTGGTAACTTGGGAGTCCCTTGAGAACACGAACAGCAGACTTGTCATCGTTGACTGCCAAATCATAGGCGTGCAAGTCGACGTGTTTGTCTCCAAGGTGAGACCACAGGGAGCCAAGGCACGATGCGAAGCTCAGAATGGCATCTGATCCTCTCGACAGCACGCCGTAATACGGGATAGACTTGCCCAGTACCTCCTGCATGGTCTGGCTTGCTGGGCCCTTCAGCGTAGGGTGGGGCCCAACCTCGATCGCGAGATCGTAGTCATCTGTTTCCAGAGCCACACTGAGGGCTTGGTGAAATAGTACAGGGCTGATCATGTTATCGGCCCAGTACTCGGCACCAATGTTCATATCAGGTGTGACCTGGCGGCAGTGGACACTCGAGATCCATGAGATTTTCTGTGTGGGCTCAACTGCGCGAGCACCGGAAGCCTTGATCGCCGCAACGTAAGGAGGACCACAGTTCAACATGTGATTAGAGTGATAGGCTTTATCAACGCGAAGCTTTCGGTTGAACCTCTTTTCGTCATCCAAGATGATCTTGACCTCGTCGATGGCGTCCTCATCTCCAGAAATAGTCACACTCGAGGACGAATTCACGGCTGCGACACAAACACGACCAGCAAAGACCTCATCCGTGCAGAGGGCTTGAGCATCCTCGTCTGACATGCCCGCAGCCAACATAGCACCCATGATACCACCACCGTTCGGGCTCGCGATCTTGTCAATGAAGTGGCCACGGGAGTAGGCAACGAAGATGGCATCGCGAGCCGAGAGATAACCTGCAGCGTACGCAGCAGCCACCTCTCCAGACGAGTGACCGACGACGCCGTCAAACTGGACGCCTGCAAGTCTGAGCAGGTCGACAAGCAGAATCTGGATAGCAGTAGACAGCGACGAGAACGCGCCCTTGGTAACTCGTGAGGCATCTGCACCAGCGCAAATCTCTTCCTGAAGAGACCAGGTAGGGCGCAGATCGTCCTGAGGGAGCTGATCGAGATGGCCCTGGAGTTCCTGGATAATCTTGCGTGCGGTGGCTGATTTCTCAATTAACTCGGCACCCATGCGAGCGTATTGAGATCCCTGGCCGGTGAAGATGGCCAGGATCTTGGGCCGTTTCCCGTTGGACGGTGTGGAGAATCTTGTGCCCAACTTCTCAAGCTCGGTTCCCTCGAGTTCCTTTCTGATCTTGGCCGCTAGGTCGTCTGCCGAGGTGGCAGAAATGGAGGTCCGGTATTGGAATGCAGATCGCCGCTTCTGCAGCGTGTAGGCCAGATCGCGCACGTTGATCGAAGGATCCTTTTCAAGAAAGTCGGCGTATGCAGACAGACTGGATTGCAGTGACTTGCGCGTGTGGGCCGAGAACACAAAGGGGCTATATTGCACCGCAGGGCTTCCTGATGAGACAGCTGACGAGGACGCGGGCTCGTAGCTCTCAAGAATGGCATGGGCGTTGGCACCGCCAAAGCCGAAACTGTTCACACTGGCTCGTCTTGGCTGGCCGGGCTGAGGTTGGGGCCACGCCTTGGGTGCCTTGACGATCTCCAGGTTTTTTGTAAAAGGTGCAACCCGTTCACTCAGGTTCTCCAGCAGCATGTTCGGCGGCACAACGGAATGCTGGAGTGCCAAAGATGCCTTCAAGACAGCTGCAACACCTGCCGTGCCCTCGGTGTGGCCAAGGATGGTTTTAATAGAACCAACGTACAAAGGCTCCCCGGCCTTGGGGGCAAAATCTTGGCCGAAAAAGGCACTGGAAATGGCCTCGGCCTCGATCGGATCTCCTGCTGGCGTACCTATATTCATTTTGGTTAGAAACATTGCAAAAATGGTTTTATTGAATGACCTAGAAATGAGGAAGCCTGAAAAGGATACTCACCAGTTCCGTGGGCCTCAAAAAACTGTGGACGGTCAGATTGCTTGGTGATATCGAGTCCCGCCCTGGAGTATGTCTTGCGGATCAAGGCCTGCTGGGAGGTGGCACTTGGCATGGTAATACCGGTAGTTGCTATATATCTCAAGGTCAGCGTTCAAACACACCCCATTTAGAATGGGAACGGGGGTTTCCAATTGCATTGGATTACTCACCTCCATCCTGGTTCAAGGCCGTCTCGCGAATAATGCACTCAATGTTGTCTCCGTCCGCAATGGCTTGGCTCAGCGTCTTGAGAACGCAAGCTGCTACACCGTCGCCACGTGCATATCCATTGGCATCTTTGTCCCACATTTTACTGCGACCTAACAAGAAGCAAAAAAACCACATGCAAATTAGTCGAAGTCCAGTAAATGAAATTGGCTTAAGACCTTGCGGAAGAAAAGTACGAACCGTCGGGGGACAGCATCTTGAGCTTGCTTTCCACAATGTAGTTTTCTGGACCAAGAAGAAGATTGGATCCACAGGCGAGCGCAACTCGGGACTCGCCTGATCTGAGTGACTGAACAGCCAGGTGTACTGCCACAAGGCTAGACGAGCAGGCCGTGTCTAGTGTAATAGAAGGGCCATGCCAGTCAAAGAAGTAAGAGATTCGATTTGAAAGAATACTGCGCCCAATGCCGGTAGCAGTATAAGTGGGAGCAGTGTTCACTGAAAAGCCTGGAGGTTAGTCGATGCCGTCTTCATAATATCACTGAAATGGTTGACAAGGTACTGACAGTCGCGTAACAGGTTGGCTTCGTAGTCGCTGCACATGACACCAACATAAACAGCAGTGTCGCTACCTCGCAACTCATCAATCGTCAACCCGGCTGATTCCAGACCCTCATAGACGGTTTCCATCAGTACGCGCTGCTGGGGGTCTATGGCCTTAGCCTCAATGGGCTTGATTCCGAAAAACTCCGTATCGAAGGCTGTCACGTCTTCTTCGAGCAGATATGAGTATCGAATATTGCTGTGTCCATGATACGCCGAGTCGGGGTGATAGTAGGCATCCGCATTGAAACGAGTCTTTGGGATTTCGCTGCGGACATCTCTGGGGTTGTTCAGAAGCTCCCAGAGCTTGGAGGGCGAGGACGCGCCACCGGCGAAGTGGCAAGCACTTCCCACCATCGCTATCGGCTCGTTCACTGTAGATTTCTGGGCCATTTTGATTCTGTTCCTCGTGATAATTATTGAAAATTCGGGGAGAGAAGATGCAAGTTGAGTTGACTTTGGCGAGGATTTCAGTGACTCTGAAGGTTTGTGATAGATGCGCTATGTCTAGGCGATGGGGACTAGGTCTATCTTTAAAAAGAGATGATGAGGATGTTGACGACCGAGATATCTTCGATGGGAAATACTGATGTTGAACAGATTTTGACGAGTTCTCATCCCATACCCTTCCATACAAAAAGCTGTCTGTTATTCCAGGCGCACTGCAGACATCTAATACAATTTGTTCTATGGCTCCATCTACACCATTTCGAACACGTCGCCACACTCAGATCTGCGGCATCCGAGCTCAGCTTCCATTGCCATGCCACTATCTCCAGCTGTTTGGCCCCGATATCAAGGCCGGGAATTTTCCACCCAGCATTTTGTTCCTCGAAATAGGATTGCAGGATTAAGCCGATAGGGGGGAAATCATTGACTGCCTAGCCGTACCGTTACTGGGACCCGGTAATATGAAGTAAAAGAAACGGGGCCGGTCGCTGAAGGATTTGGCAACGTGGCGCACCCGACTGGGCAGAAAGAAGGATTTCTCATATCTCCCGAACTACGAACAGGGGTTTTCTTTGCACGACATGAGAATACCAAATCAAGTACGGAAAGATTGTGTCAGTCTATCTAGCTACAGTCTATATGCGTGTCTACAGGCTCCACGTGCAAGTCTCTGTCGATGCATGTGGAAGCACTGATCAGAGGACGGTTTCTCCGGTCCGCCGATCTCCTGCCTACGAGGACTGGTAGATCCTTATCAGTGCAATAATCCTTCGGTTTTGGCAATAAGATTCGCCTTGTCTTGCGTTGTGTTGTTGCTGCCTTCGGTGATTGTACGTACCTGTATTGGGTGTAGGGGATGTCTCTCTTTTCGTGTGTAATTTCGGAATTGCACATGCATGGCTGAATAGATTCCTGCGCATCTGGGAAAGATGTGAGCATCCAGGCTTGGTCCATTGAGTTTCTATACTTCTCTAAACGGCGTAAGTGTCGACCACTTTAAGAATCAGTATCGAGGCAAAACAGGATAGTTCTTTTTTAACCCAATGGGAATGGGTACCATTTGAGACTGACATCTTCGTTGGGTATAATTGTATTTAGTTTGAGTTGTCATTTGTCATTAATACGGAGTAGAAGATAGCATTTCATTCGAGTACAGTCACTGGGTCTGATGCGTGTGGTGAAGGTATCAACAATCCCTATGAGGGGCAACGGCCAATTTGGTCAACAGGTATCTACAAAACAATTATCTCTCCATGTTGGAATATCTATCAGTTCTGTGGGATCCGTATAACCAATTTTTGTCCATGGACCTCGCCCTTTCTTAGCATGGTCAAACCCTCAATGATACTGTCCCATCCGTTTTCCAGCTCACGGAGGGGATGTGTCTTGATGCGCCCCGACTCCATCAGCAGGTGCATTTCACGAACCCACTGCATCCCTATCTCCATGAGCTTCATATCAGCGGGTCGCGTGTACACCGAGTTGCCCATGGGCAACTCCATGTCGATGCCGAGGACCTGGAATCCCATCACCTCCTTGACCTTCACTGCACGACGTGTGCGCCATGCCTCGGGGCACTCCTCAAGACAGGCGTAGCGTCCACCGGTGCGAGCCAAGGCATTGTAGCAAATCTCCACCGATTCGGCGTCCGTTATGCAGTCCAGAACACGACGTATAGGTTTCTTTGCAAGCGCTTGGACCTCCTTTACACAATCCTTGGACGTGTACGATGCCGTGCCAACAGCTCCATATTCCATGGCCAATGCCGCTGACTTGGCTGAAGCAATTGCAATCGGGGTGTAACCCATCCTGTAGAATTTGTCAAGAATCAGCCTCAAGCCCACTTTTCCACGAGAAATACTGGTCTACAAACAGGGTCAATAGCTGGCAGGCTAACGTCCCGGAGGCCGTGCCGCCGCCGTAAACAAGAATGGGTTCCCCGGCTTGATGCGTGGGCTTAGTTGGCAGACCCTCGAGTCCCAGGGCTTCAGGGTCTGACAAGGCCAAACATAACGTCGACCACCCAACGCCAAGAGACGCAGCCTCCACATCTCTCCATGTCTTGGGAACCTCAACCAACAGGCGGGAGTCGACGACACACCACTGTGCGAAAGCACCGTTGTCGAGGTCTTTGGGGTTATACGGGAACAGTGCGCCGCACACCCTCGTACCAGCCGGGAACCGAGCTTGTTCCGACGCTTCCTCGACGATGCCGCAAAAGTCGCAGCCAGCGATGCTGCCCGGCGTGTTCAGGTGTGTGACCATCTTGTGGTCGTTCGGGTTCAATGCCACCGCTAGAACCCTCACGAGCACATGATGCTCTGTGGGGGGCTTGGGAACTGGCGCTGTTCTACTGACTTCTAGTGGGAGGTCTGGCGATGGCCCTTTTTTGGTCTGCACGATGGCGGTTTGGGTTGTCGGTACAGGCATCGTGAATAGAGACTTGATGATTGGTTGCTTGAGATCTTGGTCCGACGATGGTTATTTGATGACTATGATGCAACTCGAATCAATATTGTCAGGATATCTCGACATTGTTGTACATGTACTCGACATTTCAATAATTCATCACTTCATTCAATAGGCAACGAAGAATTTCTGACATCATGTCAAGGCGACCCCCCTGGGAATATTCGCTACGCATGCTGTGAAGCCGGAGAAGTTCAATACAGAACCAGTGTCGAATTCCTGAATGGGGAAAACTATGGAAAATCCAATCGGAACCGCACCGGGAATTACTTATGCACCGGTGACCGGATCTTACTTGCATAAGAATAAAAGGTTCTCGCACCGCACGCCACTTTTGACCCGCCGCGCCTTCATCTCGGCTATGTAAGCAATCCTACCGGCATTTGCAAGTGGGATTTGACAATTGCCTTCAGCCTCAGGATCATCTATGGCGCCAGTCAGGCCGGTTCAGGGGCAACTGGTAGCGAGAGGAAGGCATCAGCTTGTTGGATGGGGCAGAGTAGAACTCTGCTAGTCATTCTGCATCCTGCGTGCAAACTTGCTCGATTTTACAGTGTGGTGTTCTTCTCCTTTCTCGTACAGTGCTTGTAAACCAGCCCCTGCTTGTCATAGGGCGGGGAACCCGTTGTGACAGCTAGCCAAGCAGGAAATTCTTTACGGAGCGGGAAATGAGGAAATGAATACACCCAGATGAATCTAAATTTTATTGGCTGGGCACAAAGCGATTCATCATTTCTCAACGGTGCACTAGATACAAAGCATTCGAAAACATGGAGAACCCCTGGAAAACATATTTTGTGGGCAATTGTACCATTAAGGTTTCTTATCGCAGTAATTGATTTTACCACATCATGTTCGTCGTAAGATATGCAATTGCGATATTATATAAACATATATACGCAAGTTGAACTAGAACTGACAAGGCATGCCACTTCCTGGGATTTTATAGTCGTTTTAGGTTTGTAGGTATCTACAGACAGTGGCAATGAACGACTCATTCAATCAGGGCCCTTGACTTATTTCTTGTCAATAGGGGTAAGATCCTTCACCGCTTCCAGGTTGTCAAGGCGCGCCTGCGACTTCATCTTTATCAACTGAGCCGCCGTGGTAGTCAGGGGTAGCCACAGAGGAACTTTATCGTTTCGGCTGGCGACGAGGTACAGCACACCGGCCACGGCAGAAGGCGGTGTGCCGCCACCGGAAGCCGCGGCCTTCTTGACCCAAGCAGCCAGCTGACGTGCAGGCATGTCGGCCCCGTCGTAGGCCTCGTGAACCTTGATATGCTTCTTGCTTCCGTGCTCGAACTCTGTCTTTACGCCGCCAGGCTCGACGACGCAGATGTTGACTAAGCGGAGCGAGGGAAGGAAAGAAAGAAAAGAAGTCAGCTCATGGTGGCAACTCGTGTTTGTTCCCAGGAAACTTAATGGACTTACTGTTCCAGTCGGGGTGCAGTTCCCGCGCGAAAGACTCTGACCAGCCCTCCACAGCAAACTTGCTCGCGTGGTAAAAGGCCTGGCCGGGAAAAGCGGCAACGCCAGCGAGCGAGGATATATTGAAAATGATGCCACCGCGGTGCTCCTTGGACTGTCTCATCACTCGGGTGGCGTTCGTTGCCACGCGTACGGTACCGAAGAAATTGGTCTCGAGCTGGTCGTGCATTTCTTCCTCAGTCGCCGCCTCTGTGTCGCCTGCCAGCTCGTATCCGGCATTGTTGACGAGAATGTCAATGTGGAACTTGTCTCCAAAGTGGTCCGCAGCAGCCTTAAACGCCTTCCCCACCGAGACGGGAGATGCAACGTCCAGAGTTAACTTCAGAATGGAGTCGTTGTCGGGAAGATATGACAGGCTGGAGGGGTTTCGGGCTGTTGCGATGAGGCGCTGGCCGGCCTTGCTGGCGACGAGCTCTGCGATGGCACGACCAATGCCGCTGGAGCACCCGGTGACTAGAATGCCAAGATTAATTAGCCTTACTGATTAATACCAAAAAAAACAATAGGCGGTTTCGTACTGAACCAGGTAGCATCAGCTGGCAGCTGATATGGCTTAGTGTTGACTGGGTTCATTCTGCTTCACTGTTCAAGAAATGCAGACGCAATCAGAGACCATTGTCGTCGACAGCTGAGATGTATGAAGAAGACTCCCCTCACGGTAATTTAAACCTCAACAACACGTATTATACCCCGCCGCTCCGCCGGACAGGTCATACAAGCGGGCTCTAGGAGGATGGCAACAATCCCTGGCAGCAAAGCATAAGCTGCATTAGTGGTTCTGCAGGTTGCAGCCCCCTTGGAGCTGACTCAAGCATGGGCTCAGATCGACCGTTTGGGACCAACGGCAGAAACGGATTCATTTGGAAGCGGGATGGATTTCTCCCTTGAAAGCCAAGCTCTGGTTGAGACGGTCCAGCTGAGCATTAGATTAGCGGTACAGGACAAAATTCCCGAATGCCTGTGACACACGGTAACACCGAAGTAGTGGACAAGTTACCACGGTATCAGCGCCTGAGCGGGGTGGGTCGACGGAAGACCGCCGCTGTTAGCGAAGTGGCATGTTTCCAATACACGAAGACTACTGACGGAGACGCTGTCCCACGACCGGGTATCGAGTCCAACGACATCGTATTGATCGACGTTTGGCTTTGAAGAAGGAGTATGGTCGGATTGTGACGCAAATGAGGTAATCGTGGGCATTCCTTCCATAGAAAAGGGCCAATGGAAAGAATTCACATAGGTGTTGATTGATTTGGAGTAAAAACAAAGGGAAACAGTGGAATTGATTATATTGCGATTTCCCTTTTTCCCCCTTCCCAAACGGTACTAAATATAAATGATATCCGCATTCTTTCCATAAGCAGTCGAGACTGGTAAAACCGTTACAGGTTTCCCAATTTTCCAATAAGTCATATTTTGAGTTCTGGAAGAAAAGAAATATACATGGAACAATAGCTCCATTGTAGTGCCGATTGTACGATCACACCCCCGTTTTTCAAAGTTCCCCAGGTTACAACACCTTCCCATTTTGCCTAGTTCTATCCTCATTAGTGTGTTGCAATTGAGTTGGAAGCTCGTTCCCAACAGGTCCGCGTGTGCTGGAACCACAAAGGCCTCCGAAGTCTTTCACGTAAACACTACTGCAAGATATGCAGCCTGCGCCGCAAGCGAACTGACCAATGATCGTGGCTTGCGGTGACAATGAGCTGTTGGCAATCGATGGTGGATCGAGACTTTGTGGCGCGATAGCATCAAATCCTACAGAAATCCTGCACAGCACGGGCGTGCCGATCAGAGCCCCAGGGCGTGGAACTGGAACAGGCTGACGATTACGCTCGAGAAACGTGTCAGATACATTTATGATTCAGTTGCGTCTTGAATTGAAGTGCCGAACGAATACATACTCTTGCAAACGGACCTTTTTTTTGATAGGTGCCCACTCGATGACTTGTCTCTCCCGCCGATATACCAAGTGAGGTCCGCAGGGATGCTAGTAGCTGTTTAGCCAGCACTGCTTATTCGCTATCATCACCAGTATCGTCGTCCCTGGGAATGAACGTCCCAATGTCCGATGCGCAGCGACCCCGAAAGCGGTCAGCCTGCGACCGCTGCCGTGCACAGAAGCTCAGATGCCACCGTGACGACACGCATCCAGACGACTTTTGTACCCGGTGTATTCGCTCGCAAGTGGAATGCATAACTAGCTCATCAAAGCGTCCTGGCCGTCCCACGAAGCACTCGGCCAGTTCATCGCGGGGCCAGAACGACGCGGACTCAATCATATGTCGCGAGGTTGCTGCCCCAAAGGACGTGGGGAGTATCCCACATGTAGCCCACGTCGACGAATGGTTCAACTTTACGCCATTAGACATCGACTACGAGATGCCCTCAGCATACTGGGGCTCGACGGACTCACACGAGATGTTCTCGGGCCAGTTTCACACCTCAGGCGATGCCGGCAACGTTTTCACCATGTCGTCTCTGTCGTCCACCGCCACAACTACAGACACGACATCACTTAATGGGTTGACGGAAACGATGTTGCATGGGTCCTCCTCCGGCCCTGGCTCGCAGTCCGACCAAGACTTTGATCACACCAGCATGCTTCCCCCCACCATGCCGATCGACGAGCCTGGGCTTCGCATCTCGAGTTTATACCGCGATCTTTCCCAGCAAATCTCCACGCTGCGATCAGTACCGTGGGACACAAACAAGGTTCTGAGGTTAACCTCTATCCACGACACCAGCGATGAGCTCTCGAGGGGCTGTGAGGACAACTCTGCGACGAACCCCTTGGCCACCATTTCCAGAACCTCTGCCGAGTTTGCCGAGCTTCTACGCGCTTTTCGGGTCTCTGATAGTGAGACAGGCAGCACTGCAGGAGAATTAAAGTCTCGCTTGTCCACCGACCCACGCCTGAGTATGTCGGATCTTCTCACGACTATCTCATGTTACATCCTGATTGTGTCCATCTACGACTCAATCTTCAGCCACTGCATTGCGCAGTCCCTCCAGAATCCTGCCCAAGCCGGCCCGAAACTTTTCTTGGGAGGCATTGAAGTTCCCACGAGACCGAACATGCTGGGACACCTTCTCTTCCGTGTGCTAGACAGTCAGCTGCGGCCGATTGAGGAGTTATTGGGTCTCCCATCCGAATTCTGTGTTTCGTGGAAGAGAGAGCCATCAAACTCAGAAAACCAGACGGGGCTGTTCAGTGGCCGCAGTGGTCAGTCACTCTTCATGGCTCTGGTTCAGATGGAAACGGAGAGGACGACGGATGACAGAGGTGGTTTGGGGGTTGTAGAGTCTTTGAAAGAAAACGCTAGACGGGTGCAGAGCCTTGACAATATAGAATAAATAGAAGAACACGAATAGAATATTGGGCCTTGGTTCAAAGTCTGTGGATCCTGGCTTTCGGAGATTTAGTCCGAGTCTGTGTCCCAAGTTTGTCAGCCCGAGCAGTGCGCCTCTGACTCCAGCATGTGCAATGATATTGACTAAGTGATGACTGGCTTGGATGGTGAGTAAGCATCAAAAAGGATTGAAATAAACAAAATAACCCGACCTTAGTGAGAAGCTTCTTGAAACCATCATCCGCGAGCAGGTCGCGTATTGGCCAAGCAAGTGGCGGCTGTCAGCTATCTGTCGCTAGCCAGGCCAGGATGCAGTGGTTCGTACGGTCCAGGGCTGTGCCACATCTTATATTCAACCCTGAATCACTTTACTTGCTGGTTTCCCTGCTCAAGCACCCCTTCATACCAATTCTCAGATCTCAACCTTCTGCTGGATTATCCTTGGCTTCGGGAGAATCCCAGTCAATTTTCAAATCGGCGTCAGACCTACAAACGCATTGGGCTCCATTCTGAGCCATGATCTGCGGGCAATCATTTTGTTGGGGCCGAATCGGATATTTCCCCAGCCCGAGCGTTCAAGTAGAATTCGCCGATTGTAGTTTCAAGGTCCTTCCCGTGGAGCTGGGGCCAAGTATAGTACGTGGTACTCGCATCAGCAGAAGGAAGAAAACACCTTCGAGATGGCTTGTGTAAAGGACATAAGTTACGTGTGGTTATAGTCTAGGGTCGCAGGTTTCCGTGCCCGAGACCATCTTCCAAAGCTTCAACAACTTGCAAGATGTCTGATGCAACTTATGTAGAGCAGAGGGTTGGTGGAAATACTCTTACTCCTGCACCAGACCATCTCAAGATGAAAGTCCCTAGTATTTGCTTCACCCTCGATTGGGACGTCGACGTGGATTTACTGGAGCCAGAAGAATTCGACGAAGTGTTTCCTGATTCAGCATGCAAAGCCAACACGTCTACGCCCATCGAGAAATTGGAAGAGGTGTCCTTCTATTACGTCGAGGCCGCCCTTGCCGAGCTCACGGAAGACAATGTCGCGGCAATGGATCCACTCCACAAGCTTTTCCTCGCTTGGATGCAACAACAGGTAGATCGTGCCCATGCCGGCACGCTCAGGTACTGCAAGCCCTCGTGGTTATCGGCGACACCTGAGCAGAAAGATGCGGCCATTGCGTTTTGCAAAGACAGTGGCACCGACGGGCAGATACTATGCCACATGGGCGCCAATTTGACGCGTGTGATGCGAAAAGAGGTCGATCCACTCGATCTACTATCCCAGGACGGCCTGCAGCTGTCACTGAGCTACGACCTCATTTCCGATTATGTGCACAAGCTCTCACATAAGCACCCCGATCTGGAAATTCTGGAAATCAACTCAGGTACCGGTGGGGTCTCACGCTCTGTCCTGAAGAAGTTGGGCGGGCACCATGGAGTGACGCCGCGCTTCGCCCACTACACTCGCACCGATGTGTCGAGCAGGTTGCTAGAGAAGGCGCAAGAGACCCTGGAAGATTATGGCAGTCTGATCAGTTTCAAGAAGTTGGATCTTGGCCAAGATGCAGCCACCCAGGGTTTCGAAACCGGCTCCTATGACTTGGTCGTGGTAACCATTCGAGCTTGTGAGGATATTGATACAACACTACGGCATATACGGAAGCTACTCAAGCGTGATGGAAAGTTGGCGGTTGTGGACATCACAAACAATTTGATGAGGCCCACTATCATCTTCGGCACATTGCCGAGTTGGTGGTTGGGTACTTCTGGACACCGCAGTCAAGATGAGTGGGACGAGTTGCTCAAAGAGACCGGGTTTTCTGGCATCCAAACCTGCAGGAGCAACTATGCCAATGTTGAGGACCGATCGTGCACAATCATCATCAGTGCAGCAGTCGAGGTGAACAAAACCTCACACACCAACGCCGCCATTCTCCCCACACTTCTGGTCGTCCCCAAGGAAAACTCAACCACTGCAAATTTGATCCTGCAGAAGATCACAGAAAATACGAAAGGACCGGTACAGAGTGTTGGTCTCGGTTCAATTCCAGATACAACCGGCAAGGTCTGCGTCTTTTTGACCGAGATAGAACGACCAATGATGGACACTGTCGACGAGGAAGAATTTCAGGCGGTTAAGCAGGCTATAATCAAGAGCAATGGCGTGCTCTGGATTGGAAGAGGTGGTGCTATCGAGAGCCCGATACCAGAGAGCAATTTGATAACCGGCCTGGGGCGTACTATCCGGAGAGAAAATGCAGGGATCAAGTTCGTGACACTGAATCTGGACCTCAACAGCCCCCCAGAGAAAGCTGCAGATATTGCCCAGAGACTTTTCTCGCGCACAATGACCCATATCGAAGAAACCCGGAGCCAGGATTTTGAATACGCCTCACGCAACGGCCAAGTCCTCATCCCGCGCATTATGGAAGACACTCAGACCAACAGCTTCATCGCGAAGGACAGTGTGGTAGACAGTCTCATGGAACTCAACAAGGATGCTTCTTACCTTCTCGTTGGAGGTCTGGGTGGCTTAGGTCGATCTTTAGGCGCCTGGATGGCTTCCCATGGAGCCAGGCATCTCATCTTTCTATCACGAAGCGGAGCCGAACGTCCAGACGCTCAGGAGGCGGTCAATGCGCTGAATGCCATGGGTGTTCATGTTGCCGTTTACAAGTGTGATGTGAGCAATCAGGCCAGTCTTGAGAAAACGATCCAACAGTGCAGAGACGAGATGCCACCGATCAAGGGCGTCATTCATGGTGGTATGGTGTTACGGGTAAGAATACTGATGATTCCCCATGAATGATCTTATCCCAGACCCCGCCTCTTCATTATTCACCAAATTTGATCTAACGCCTTATTTTGCAGAACTCAACCTTTCACAAAATGGGATACAGCAACTGGGAACAGACACTGCAACCCAAAGTGTCTGGCACAAACAATCTCTGCCGGGCTTTCTCGGGTCATGAGACGACGACCCTGGATTTCTTCATCATCCTATCCTCCTCTGTTGGCGTGATTGGAAACTATGGCCAGGGTAACTACGCAGCCTCGTCTACCTTTCAGGACGCCATCGCCCACCATTACGCCTCCAGCCCCAATGGCCTTCCCATCGTCACCATCGACCTCGGCATGATCCTCGGGGCCGGCTACGTGGCTGAAAACTCCAATGCTGCCGCCATATTGAAGAAATTGGGCATTATGGGCATCAGCCAAGCGCAGTTCCTCTCCATCATCAAAGCGACCATCATGGAGCCCCGACGTGCTCGGCCCCGCTGCCAAATTATGACTGGGCTAGGCACCAAAGCGATGGTCAGCGAGGATGGTAGCTGGGATGATGGGGAAGAGTACAAAGTGCCGTTCTACTTCCAAGACACCAAGTTCTCTCATCTGCTCCAGGTCGACCGGCGGATGACGACTATTATTAGGCACATTAATAGTACATGAAGGCCACTGAAGCCGCTTTGCATGAGAAGTTTAGTATATCAACGATTAGAACACAAAAGCTTCAGGCCTGTCTACCAACATATGATTCGATGACTATACAAATACATATTTTCATTGCAAAATGAAAAGTCCTACTGAAATTTACATCATCTACATACCAACATGTGTCTCCAATCACCCAAATCAATATGCCAGGAACCATTTGACGACTTCTATCGTAGAACGTGTGACCAGAAACCGAATATAGTATCTGATAAGAGCCAATAGAGTTTGCATGCCCAGAAAGAAGAAGTTGGAATAGACAAAGGAATAGTGGAGAACAGGGACTAAATTCCGAAATTCCCGAATGTAGCATGTCAGCCGCAGCCTTCTTGTGATGTTTACACTGACACTCGGTAGTATTTCATAGCATGAGCAATCGTAGGACGTATATCGGGTTTTTACTGTAACATTCAGCTCAGAATCTGCAAGCACAGTGATCCAGCTTTCAGCTTGAATAGTTGGCAATATGATGCCTCCTGGATTATGAGGTTGTGTTTGATGTATCACCCGACAACTCCCCTCCCCTAGACCCCCTGGCCACGCAGTAAAAGGCAACAACTGGATTCCAAGACATCCTGCCGGAAACGATTCAATATTTCATCGAGGGATTTAGAGCTTGCTGTTCCAGTCTCATTCGCGAAATCAAATGTGATATAGTGAACAACAATCCAGATCAGAAAGAGTCAGCGCTATCTTGCAAGTGCAGTATGTCTATATATGAGCCCGGAAATCAATCCATCAACGTAACTTGAGGGCTCTGCCCATCATCCATTATGCGTGGCGTTGATGGCCTAAATTTCTCTGTTGTCGCCTCCGCTGACCTTTGCTTTAGCAACCCATCTGTCACCATGGCCGCCACACTTCAGTGGGAGCCAAAACTGGATGGAGTTCCGGCTTCTGAGCTCATGAAACCCAGTCGAGACTCAACTGCCGAGCAGCAGATGATGGAGAGAATGTACATCATGTGCGCTGTTGAAATGCTAGGAAAGTTAAAGGCTGCACAGTGCACCAAGCCGCATTTCGAGCGATACCGGACGTGGCTGGTCGAAGAGTATGAGCGTTACAAGCAGCCGGGAGGTGTGCCTGTGGTGGCTGACTCAGCCGCCATCGTCGCCATGAGCAGCGACACACGTCGGAAGAGTATCGAGGAATGCTATGAGAAGTCCAAGGGCACGCACATGTGGCCCGTTATGGAGGCTGCTTGGCGAGTGTACGTCAACATGATCGACATTGTGGAGGGCCGTATCAAGCTGCTCCGAGTGCTCATGACGGACAATCTGCTGCCGCAATTCTACGATTGGACAAACGAGCTGAGCGACCTCCGACTACTTTGGCGTGCCTTTGGCATCAGCAAACCCCAGCTACGCGTCCTGGAGATAGGAGCTGGTACAGGAGGCACTACAGCTCGAGTCCTAGAGGGATTCAAGTCTGAGAGCGGGGAGCAGCTGTACGGTAGCTACACCTTCACTGATGTGTCGGCCACCTTCTTTGACGCGGCTCGGAAGCGCTTTGGCAACCATGACAACATCGAATACCGTGCACTCGATATCTCGCGAGATCCGCTGCAACAAGGCTTTGAGGCGGGTGCGTATGACCTTGTTATTGCCTCCAACGTAAGTATCACATCCCATATCGTCAGTCTATATACAGCTAATCATACGAATCTAAAAGGTTTTGCATGCGACACCATGCTTGGTGGAAACGCTTCAAAACTGCCGCGCAATGCTACAACCTGAAGGCTATCTTTTCTTGCAAGAAATGTCTCCGCGTGAGTCACAACATCCATTTGTCCTTAAAGAATGCAGAGTGCTGACCAAAACACAGCGGGAAGATATCCCGATTTTGTCGTGGTACGTACACATCGCTCAAGCGTCGCTGGTTTATGCTTACCTTTTATTTCTCAGGGCATGTTTCCAGGCTGGTGGGCAGGCGACCCGGATGGGCGCCCAGACGGACCGACTGTAAAGCCCAAGGAATGGGAGAATCGTTTGCAGCAAGCAGGATTCGAAGGCCTCTATGCCGTAGCCTACGACAACGACCCACCGTTGTATTACAACGCTAATATGCTTGCTCGTCCCGCCGCCAGTATCGAGTAGAGTGACCATGGGGTGGCACGGAATCAGATCTCGAGACAAGGCATTCAAAAAGGCAAGATAGTGGGGGGTCATTGTCGTTGGATAAAGATCAAAAAATGGTTGATTGTGTTAAGTTGCGTCTTAAAAACAGACCACTCAGACAAGATGGTTGCCATAATGACACGAGTTGACTCACTGATGAAAAGCTATTACGAATTCATCGTTCCCGGTATGAGAACAAATGAAGACAGCGCTTTCGAGTCTTAAATGTTGACTTCCACCAACTGAAGGCTGTAGAGGAGATTGCATGAGCTCTTCAGGCCCGAAGAAGCAGTCAACATATGGACTGGGGCTTCGAAAAGACCTCGTGAGCCTGTGGCCTCTCACAGCCCGTTCGACTCCAAAACGGCTATGAACTCCTAAAGCAAAAGAAGAAAATAGTTTTATTCCGAGATCTTGCATCTAGACTAGCTTTCACAAATCATGGAACTGTCATAGTGGAAAGATTTTCAGATTTGCGCACTACCTAGGCGTGTATCACCATCATCTCGAACGATATACCACGAATACACCCCCGGGCCCTTCCCCCGTAACTGCACGTCGCCTCTACCACTACATAAACATACTGAGTCATCCCCTCATACAATTATGACATCCATTCAGAATTGGCACTAGGGAATATGACGTTGACTTGACACATAAGACGGTGTGCTTTCAGAATCCTAGAAAGGATTCGGCAGACTAACTCTTCTGCCAATCGTCTCTGAGGTCCATGCAAATACGTGGCCGTCACACAATAAGCGACATGCAGCTAACTTCAGACCCCAAAGTACAGAGCGGTAAACTAAACGTGAAGGATCCTGAAAAATTCAGGCAAAATTGCCGACACACTCGGCAATTTTGACACTCGGTAATATTCTGCTCTTGAGACTGTCATAACTTTCATAACCTTCACACATGCAAAGTTAAGAATCAATGTGCCTAGGCCAGTTTTTGAATGTACTTTTTAGATATACGCGACACGAAAGACGGCTGTCTGGCAACTACTATGGTACATTCTTTAGCTGGGGGTGACTCCGGATTTTCCTGTGGCTGGTTGCAAACGTGTTCGCTGGCGGATCAAGGTCACAGCCTCCTTCTGTCAATCCATGCCCCAATTTAAACAAAGCGCTGAGAGGTGGAGACTCTTTGGAAATGTGGGAAAAATTGACAAAAGACTAGCCGTCTTGAAATCTGCCTGGATTTTCAGGGCGGGAACGAATTGAAGCAAGATTGGCACGATGATGAAGGACAGTGAACAGGCCGTAAATCTTCCGTCTATCTGAGTTTCCATGTAGCTAGTGGTCTCGTAGCCAAAAGATCATTCCTGTCAAGCAGCTCATCAGAAGTCTCGGCGCCTGGAGCCTCGTGCGGACAGTGCCTGAGGCGCAAATGGTTTGGCAATCGTTGGAAGGTTCCGCTGTGTCTGCTGCAGCATTCGGCAGCTGTTATTCCCGTTTGCCTCCGGCAAGGAGGCATGTTTTTTCTTCTTTTTCTCGTTTCTTTCTAATCTGTTAGTGTTTGAAATGCTACCAATTACCCCGCGAGTTTCTCCATCCATTCCCCTCTCTTTTCTTTTCTTCTTCTGAGGTCGTGCGCTCGACACACCCGCTTGGCTCTTGCTTGATCCCCTCCTCTTTTGTGTTTGTGCAATAAATTCTGAACGCAACGCAAAAGACAATGCCTGAACAGACCCAGCCTCTCGGGTCCGGGGACGTGATGGCGACTGAGGAGCCCGACAAGGTTCTGGACGGCGATGGCGACAGTCAAACGATGACAGCCGGGAATAGTTCTCTCCCGCCGGGCAAGACAGAGGAGAACAAAGAATACGCCGAGGGGTTCCAGCTCTATGCCATCGTGGGAACTATGACCCTGATGATGTTTACAGTCCTTTTGGACGTCTCGATATTAGGCACAGTAAGGCTTCTCTCGTCGCTGCCTCCTTAATCATAGCATGGAGATTCCCAGGCATCATGCTGAACAGACTCCTCCAGGCAATTCCGAAGATCACAACTCAATTCCACTCCGTCGCCGCCACAGGATGGTATGCTGGATGCTATCAGTTGGCCAGGTAAAACTCCTCTTGACGAATGTCCTCCCTGGCGACCATTGTGCTGACAATCCATGGACAAACTCTAGCTCGTCCCTCCAACCATTGACAGGGAAGATATATTCCAACTTCAACTCGAAAGTACATCGCCCCGTATGCCGACAAGTCTATCCGAGCTGACGATATGTTGATTCAGTGGACACTCCTCATCTTTTTCTTCGTGTTCGAGGTTGGGTCGCTGCTGAGTGGTGCGGCCAACTCATCTGCCATGCTGATTGCAGGCCGAGCCATCGCTGGACTGGGGTCATCGGGTCTGAATAATGGGTCCATGACCATAATTGCAGGCTCGGTGCCATTGAAAAAACGGCCTGGTAAGCCCACCACTTTGAGTTGCATGGAACAATGCTGGCGACAAGACACTGATGTTCTGATTGATAGTCTATATGGGTGTGATACTCGGAGGTATGGAAACAGGACACGCATGCAAGGGTAATCCGGGAAGAACGAAATTTGCTGAACTCAGACTATGCAGTTGGCCAAATTGGTGTCATTTCTGGGCCTCTGATTGGAGGTATGTCCAATGTCGAGACAAGAAAGGCAATGATTCCATGCTTCGAGAGAAGCTGTGGCTGATCTCGTATAGGTGCCTTGACTCAATACACTACCTGGAGATGGTGTAAGTCGGATACGTACCCCAGCGATTTATCCTCAGTGATTACACGATAGTGACGAGTCCTGACTGATCATGGTACTTCAGGCTTCTACATGAACTTGCCCATCGGCGCAGTCATTGCTGCCTTCCTGGTCTTTCTGGACGTTCCTGACCTGACAGTCAAACCGCCCTTTACATGGAAACTCTTCCGCGACACGGTCACACATGAGCTGGATCTCCTCGGGTTTGCGCTCTTTGCCCCCGCCGCCGTCATGTTCCTCTTAGCCCTCGAATTCGGTGGGAACTCATATGCTTGGAACAGTTCTGTTATCATCGGTCTCTTCTGCGGCGCCGGCGTGACGGTCATCGTTTTCTTTTTGTGGGAGTCCCGCATCGGCGAAAAAGCGATGTTGCCTCTGCAAATCATCCGCGATCGCATTATATGGACAAGTGCTGCCAATATGGCCTGCTTGATGGTATCCATGGTCGTTGCATCAGCGTATCTGCCCACATACTTCCAGGCTGTTCGAGGGGACGAGCCGACCATGAGCGGAGTCTCGATGCTTCCAAGCATTCTCTCGCAGTTGATCATGTCCATTGTGGCAGGAGTAGCAAGTCAGTATCCCAGGTACCTTGGCCTTGATTAGCATGTTTGCTGATGTCTCACGTGCTGCAGCTCCTAAGATGGGGTATTACCTTCCTTGGGTTATCTTTGGCAATGTCCTGATGGCCATTGGTAATGGATTTCTCTCGACACTCACACCAACCACTCCTACCGCACATTGGGTCGGCTATCAAATTCTGCTGGGTGCTGGTCGTGGCTGTGGACTACAGATGGTATGTGACATTGCCCATCTACCGGCCCAAACGAAAGAAGAGATACAGTCGACTCAACTTTGCATTCACAGGGTGTCATCGCCGTTCAAAACGCCGTCAAGCCTTACCAGATTCCAGTGGCCATGGCATTCTTGATTTTCTGCCAGAACTTCTCCGGATCTGTCTTTGTAAGTGTGGAATTCGAGCAGTATTACCAACGGCTAGCCCACGAAACAAGAACCATTAGACTGACTGCTAGATATCTGCACGCTAGACCGTCGTCGCTACCACCATTTTTACACAAGGCCTCGCCAAACAAATTCCCATTTACGCACCGTCCGTGTCTCCTGAAGCAGCCGAAGCCGCGGGCAGCAGCGCAAGCGGTGTGAGATCATTACTCCCCGCTGGGAGCCCCGAGCTGCCGGGCTTGTTGATGGCATACGCAAAGAGCATTGACGGTATCTTCTACATGCTGATCGCATGTGCGTGTCTTGCGTTTTTCGTGGGGATGGGAATGGGTTGGAAGGATACCCGCCAAGAGAAGACGCCGCAAGATGAGAAGCAGGAGGCTTGATCGTTGCAGCATCTGTGGCTTAGTTGTGTGTTTACAAAACCTTGGACGGCTCGGGCTCATGACAGATCCTGGACGGCGTGTGTATGGAAATGGAAGCACGAGCACATGTCTTGACTTGTATCCTGAGATAACATAGAACCAGATGGGCGTTCTTCGGTGGTCTTGGCGTTTAACATATCTGAGCAGTGTGCAATCTGAATTTCGCCGATTTCTTGCTCGTATGATAGGCTTTATTAAGATCACACAAGGAAATCCAGAACATCACCTCTAAGCACCTGGTTTCCCCGCCACAGACAGCTATTCAAATGTTGGAAAGCCCCAGCACGCAAGGAGTCAAGCGGATTATGACGGACAAAATACTCATACAAGTCCAAAGCGAAACAGTTGCAAGATCAGGATCTACATTGAGGCCATGTACTTAGGTTGCGGCGTACTATCTCGATTGTTGTGTTCGGATCGCTTCTTTCACGACCAAGGAAATATTGAACAAAAAGCCACCAGCGGCCTGCCAAAGATAGCCATATTCCTGACGAGCCTATTATATAAAGCAATATACTCAGACTCTCCTGAAGAGGAGTTCTTTGGTCACGTCCGGAACTGACTGAAAATCATAGATTTGTTAGCGTTTATCACATTTTATCTTAACCCCTCTCGTTCTTATGACAAGTAAAAGAAAGGAAGAGGAAAAAAGAATGAAAGGAAACAACACGTAAAAAAACTTACACTCGAACCGTGGACGACATTAGCATAGCGCTCATTTGACCCATCGATGTTCTTGATATCGTAGTTAAGCAGGAAGGTACCAATGATCATCTTGATCTCATTGATGGCAAAGAACCGCCCTGGACATGCATGGCGACCGTAGCCAAACGTGAGGTGGTTCGGCGTGACACTGACCATCTGATGACGAGCAGCACCATCCATTCCGTCTTCCTTCTCTTGCTCCTGTAACTTGGAAAAGCGCCAAGGGTCAAAGCGGGAAGCGTCGGGGAAGACCTCGTCGTCTTGGTTGTGGGCCGTTGAGCATTCCAGAATGACCCCCGCTGGAATGACCTGTCCGTTGGACAGGGTGAAAGTCCGCATAACTTTGCGTTCGAAGCTATCTGTATAAAGGCTTTTATCAGTGTTTACTCTGGAGGGGTCCTGGGGATTATTTCAGGCTGTGTCTTCGTGATGACTTACGATTAGCGAAGGGGTAGTATCGCATCGTCTCCTTGATAAAGCTGTCGACTTTCTTCATTGACTGCAGTGCAGAGCTCGTAAAGTTTCCGTTATTTTCTCCAAGCACAGAGCGAATCTCGTCGCGCAGTTCCAGGATGACTTCGTTGGGCATAACTGCCAGGGTATAGAACCTGAAGGGGTTTGTCAGTTTGTCTCCTCAGACATCAAGGATCATCAATGTTGCCTGGGTCAAACTCACACATTGGTTGATACGACAGTGGAAGTATCTGAATAATTCGAAAGTTAGAAATCAGTGCGCTGAAATAACTGTAGCGAGGAATCAAGAAGCTTGAGCTACATAACACATGTCTGGACTCTCACTGACTGGGAACAACAGAGAAGGAGGAGGACGGTAGCGCTTTGTCACTTACGAATGGCCGCGAAACTCAGCGCAAGTTGCGTCCTGGCGAGCTTCCAAGTGCTCATGTCTCCAAGGTTTCCTTCGTTGTCAATCAGCCACTGCAACAGGTCGTCCGGCTTCTGATCCAAATCCTTGCGGGATTCCACTACGGGCTGCATGAATTTGATAGCGTGTTTTCTCCTTTCATGGAGTCTTTGAACTTCGGGCAGTTTAGAGGCTTTGAAGGACCGCAGCCATGGCGGAACGTTCGAAACAGCGTTGGCAGCTCCGATGACTTCAACCGTGTATCTGATGGCGGCCTCGAGGTACTCTTCTGAGTGACAGAGCTCGGGGCCGACAAAAATGCGCCCGGAAGCCTTGGCGACAATTCTCAGCAGAACTGAGTTGATTTTGACGGCCGTCCAATCCTCACAAGTTGGCATCTCTTCCCGAAAAGCAGACTGAACCTCGTCGGCAAGATTCAAGTTGACACGATCTGTGTGTACAAGGTCAATTCAATCATTTATGAATGTTATATCTGCTCTCTTCCCAGGAAGTTGCCGATACGTACTCAGAGCCGGAGTCAAGCGTGCTTTGAGCACCCAAGACATGGCCATTTCCCCAGGGCTAATACCGGTATATTTTGAATGGAGTGTCTTTGATACCGTCAGTCAACTCTGTCATCCAGTTTTGCATAACTTCTCGACATAACTTGCCTCTACAATAGCTGCATCACGACTCAAAATGCTATCGGGAAGTTTTCGTAGCTCGGGGAGGAAACGGGTCGACACGACGATAACCTTTGAGCCTTCGATTTTTTGGTGTGTCAGCCGCCAGCGATGAAGAAACCTTGGAAGATGAGGGTAACATACTTGTCGGGGTGACAATGCGGTATACGCCATTTTTGAACTGCAAAGAAGGCGGGGCACGTGTCAATTCCTACGCTTCTTGGACATGATTCGAAGTAAGGCCTTACACGTTTGTACCCTTCTGTGTATACTCTCTTGGCCCCTTTGAGATACAGTTCTCTTCTCTTCTCATCACTGCCCAATTCAGCACCAATCAGGGGAATCTTGGTCCAGGTGCTGCGCGACACCACCGCGGTTTGCAGAAACATGGCCACAAGAGACACCGCAATGAATGTTGCGATAACGGGCCATTTCTCCTGGGCGACTTGGACGAAATACTCTATGCTGTCCATATTTTCGGGCCCGTCAAGCACTGAGCATGCAGAATAGTGTAATTATTGCTGGAAACCGTGTCATTCGTCGAACCTTTGTGCCAAAGGGCTGGCCTAGTAAGAGACTAAAGCCATCTATCTTATAGGATCACTCGGTTCATGTGAGATCCTACGGCCTGAGTCCCGAATTGTGGGTCAACTGTTAGGCAAAAATTCCGAAGACAGCAAATGAGTGCAGTGAAATTGCCGAGCAAAGGGTGACTGATTACATACTTGTCGGCTTCCTTCAAGATGAATTGCACGATTATCCTACCACCAGCAACTTAGCTGTGAGAGTACACGCCGATGAGTATACGCTTAACCGCGAGTACGAATCATACTTGGTTCTTGTGAATTTACAATATCTTACTGAGGATGTTTGGACTGCCTGGCTGTAACCCCTAACCCTGCCTTTCCTCCACGCCCTACTGTGCCGGTCATAACGTGGGCTACTGTATGTATATATATATCTCCTCGAGTAGAATAAAACCCTCCTCTGCTAGGGACATGTTTTCGGTCCCCAAAGCTTACTGTGCAGCTATAACACCCACTTGTAAAAATTACCGAACGTCCATGCCATTGCAAGTGTGCGGTATTAACGCATCAAGTCGAATACAACATTTTCAACCTCAAAAATGTTTGAAAAGCCATGTGTTAATGACTACTGGCACATCAGGGGCTCTGAGCCCGCCCTAGGACACAGGTGTTGTCTTGAGGGAGCGGATTGTCTGGGAACTCTGCTGACAAACAACGATATGGCACGTTCAGATCTAGGAATGACAGACCCAGGACGAAGCTATAGAACAGTGAAGGCAAAGAAGAAGGGAGTCAATTTCAGCAGATATCTTTTCTTGGACAGTAATTACTGAAGATGCGATGCTTCAGAGCGGCTTAAATTAAACTTTTCACCTCACTTATATACCCAAGATGTGACCGTGGGTCTTTTTGGTTTGAAGAACTCATCAAGGAAACAGTTGGGTTCTTGAGACATTATTTGATTAATTATAGGTTGAGATCAGAAAGAGTAACCTAGTCCAATGATCATTCAAACACAATGTAACTCAAGACCAACGTAAATCACAGTGAAAAGGTGGGAGGGGGAGCTTTGCTGAATCTTTGCAGCCATGATGAACAACAACATTGGAACAGGTCATTCATGCCTTTGCATCCAATGGTATGAATGCCCTTTCCTGCGCTCTAATATATCTCCGTGCCGCCATGTTCAGTTCAGGTACGACTTCTAGTTTCAGACCAGAACGGCAAAAGATACCAAAAGGAGACCGATGATTTTACAAGAAAAGGCAAATGTAACTCTCTGTGATGAACAATGAGTGGCACGTCGGTATTTGACAGTTAGTAAGACCTTTCAGTATTGATCACCGAGCATTTAGTATCAAGGTGGTCCTGGAAGATGCGTGTCACGCAGGCAAAGCATATTGGTAGGCCTACGTACAATACGAGCACGGTATTTTCAGGGTCTGCATGGCGAGAAAAAGAACGTGGATTGACTTCTTAGCTACTGGTCAGCTTTGAATGTATCTGTACCTGTCCAAGTACTTGCATCCATGATACAGCGCACCTGCGTGTGGCTCAATAAGATACCTAATCTAGTCCTGATCGATGCATTGAAACTACACCTTATCTCCTCGATAAGGCTTGATGGGGCAAATGCACAGAGTCATCCGGAGCTAAGGCGGTCCTTTAGAGCCTGCTGTGTCAACTACAAAGATGCGTTTTTCCTGTCTTCCAATCGAAGAGTCCCTTCCTGCGATCACTCGCGTCCAACTCAAATTGACATAATCTATTAATATCCAACGGGCGGGTGAACCCGACATTATATCCGACATGGTCCCCTGACCGGAAACAGGACCTAATCCCAGTAAATAACCCATTGAATAATATGTTGGCAAAATTGACAAGAGTGAACACGACGCGTGAGAATGCCCAATACCCAACTGATACGAAGCATGACTGACTTGAACGTACTTGATATCTCGCATGAATGATCCCGTATGCTTTAGAGTTTCCTGGCTCGATGGTCGTGATGTTGATGTCCAGTTTTGAGCTTCACGCCATCCAACGAGCTGAAATCCCTACATACGCCCTGCCATGATTACAAAGGGTTACTGCTCCCATCTTTTCTCAGTGAATAATCGAGTAGTATTACAAACCGTTGGCTAACATTGTCATCCATGGCTTCGCTTCACATAGCGAACAATCGGTGAGACCGGATGGAGCGTATTTCCATTGAGCAAGGACGAGGGAGGTTTCAGCCCTGAACGATATCTCGGTAAATCAGTCGTGGCAACTCCAAGAAACCGGGAGAGCTATCCTATGGACGAGAACAAGTCATTGCACCAATAGTGACCAGCACACACTAAGCTCTGAATGTCCACTAGTACAGGAGGTCTGCAACCTGGAGGGTAGTAAGAAATGTTCAGGGGGTCAACCGAGGCCACAGACTGGCCTTTGCACGCGGTCTGATCAGTCCTCACCCCCTGAGAAGCGACCCGTTAAAATTGAAGAATTGTGTGTGGCGCAGCATTACGCAACCGCATCCAGCCCATAGAAGGTCCCCCAGTGAAACCCGTCACGCAAGCATTTGGCTTATGTGATCAGTGCAGATTTTGCAGTCTTCGGCACCCCAAGGCCGGGAAGGACTCGACCCTCTGCGAGGCGGTTCGGATGAAGGTGGCCGGCTGGCTTTTTCAAGTGTTTTCGTCGCCAAGCTGACGGGCCGCACCCCCTAAAAGTTTTGACGTCGGCTTGCGCGTCGCACGGTTGGCCAGCGAAGGGGCCTTGACCGTTGTTGGAAGCCAGTCTTCGAGAAGCCCCAGATTTAGCGACCATGTACCCACATCCAATCAAATGAACCCCAGTGTTCTGCCAGGTACAGACGAACTTGCCCCTTTGTCCGGTCCACTTACAGCCAGTCATTCCGCTTCCAGTTGCATGGTACTGTAGCAATCAGGGCAATACGAGATCGAGCGCTTCGGGAGATCAACAACTCTCCGTCGTCATGGGTGGACCGCGGCCAGACCTTGGTCGATGTTTGATGGCGCAAAACAAAATGGCCTTTATAAGTGGTCTTGGGAACGGTCTCTTCTATCAGCCAGAAAGAGAGACCTCCTCTCACGCCCGCATCTTCGTCACTCTTTGGGAAGAAATATTTCCTGGGTACACACTCTTTTTTGTTGTTGCTTGATATTATATAGAAAAATTTGCTTCTTAATACCAACTTTCGACACTCGTTCAGTCGCAATCCTTTTTTTCCTTCCTTCGACCATCGCCAATTTTCCTCAACATATCCCCTTTACCGTCACAATGGTCTGCGTCAAGAAGAGCGCCTCAGCAGTTGCTGCTGTGGCCACTGCAGGATCCTCCGTCTACCAGGCCTCCACCGGCGTCCCAACAGCCACATCCTCCACCTCGGTGCCTACGACAGCCTCTCTCATCGGCTCCAACTCGACATCAGTCGCCAACACAACATCTGCTGTGGCGACGACGGGGAGCGTGACCGCGGCGAACTCTGGTATCAAGGGTTTCAACTACGCCGCCTTCTTCCTGGACTACACCGCAAAGCAGCAGTCTGATTTCGAGTATGAGTTCAAGCGTGCGCAGGAGCTTACCAACACGTCGGGCTGGACCAGTGCCCGTCTGTACACCATGAGTACGTACTTTTATAATTTTTACTTTGCTAGTCATGTGCTTTTTTGGCATTTCTTTTGTTACTATTTTTTTTTTTTTTTTTTTTGGTTTCTTTTCCCCTGCTGTAGCGATGCCGCTGGGGATCCATTGATCGTCCCTCTGTTGTGCAGCAAGGATCTGACCTGATCTACAGTCCAGTACGACACCACCAGCGATCCGATCGAGGCCATCCCGGCGGCGATCGCCACAAACACCAGCCTGCTTCTGGGTCTGTGGGTTTCTGGCAGCGACTCGGCCATCACCAACGAGATTGCAGCTCTGCAGGCGGCCATCACCACGTATGGTACCGACTTCACCAACCTTGTCCAGGGTATCTCTGTGGGAAGCGAGGACCTGTACCGTGACGCCGAGGGCGACGCCAGCGACCCTGGCAACACTGTCGACAACCTCATCGACTACATTTCCCAGGTGCGCACCGCCATCTCCGGCACTGGCCTGGCCGACGTGCCCGTTGGCCATGTGGATACCTATGACTCCTTCGAGAACGCCACCAACACCAAGATCATCGAGTACATCGACTGGATTGGCTTTGATGGCTACCCTTACTGGGAGAGCTCCAACGGCAACGCCATCGAGAATGCCCACGACCTGTTCTACACCGGCCTGAACAAGACCACCAACATCGCCCAGGGCAAGCCTGTCTGGGTCAGCGAGACCGGCTGGCCTGCGACCGGTGAGAACTACGGCGAGGCTGTGGCCAGCGCCGAGAACGCCCGGACCTACTGGAAGGAGATTGCCTGCGAGCTTATTGCTGCCAACATCAACCTGTGGTGGTACGACCTGCAGGAGTCCCAGGAGGCCCAGGCGAACCCTGACTTCGGTATCTTCCCTGCCGGCGACCTGATGACTGTTGAGCAGAGATACGATCTCTCTTGCGTAAGCTTTCCACCATGATATCTCTTTGACACGATAAAAGCTTGCTGACTCCAAGAATAGTAAATGCCGATGGAACCAGAACCAATTTTTACTTCATTGAGAAGATGGATTTCCGGACTGCTAGACTTGGGCCATTTCTAGGTCTCATTAATGGAAGTTTAAAACTGCTCGCGAAGCAACCAGTCCCTGCTCCAAGCCCGCATTGGTGACCTTGATTTGTATGAAGTAGCCCCAGTATCCACCCACGATTTATGATGTCTCGGTTCCCTCCCAACTTTTCGAGCTGGGAACTCTTGAGAATTTACCAGAGGTATCATTGTTCACGCACGCATCTAGGCACGTTTGTCCTGTTTCGTTAAATGTCGTTCTTGAGCTAAGATGCACTTATAGCTGAGGGCCCAGATGTCAATTAGTGTCAATGGATCAACGCCTACTGTTACTGGTAGTATCAGTGTAGATTAGTAGAACAAAAGCTGAGAGAGAGAGGGAGGAAGAAAGCTGTACAAATACTCGTCAACTATGCCGGCGGTGCTGAGCCAGCCAACCCTAACCCTTGCCCGTTCTCTATACTTAGCCGACGACATTCAACATTCACGCACACAGGTGCATTCGGAATTCTACACAGCATTTCAAGACTTGCCTCAGGGCAGATTTAGCTCACTTACGATAAGAACTATAGGTGGATGTATATATATATATGACAAGTCCCACACGCAAATTGTATGCGATCAAGTTTGGCAAGAGGGTCTGTTGACTTCATTTGATCCGTGATCACAGTGTCTTCTTTTCATGTTATGCTCTCGAGTATCCCGACCCAGGCACTTTGACTGTTAATTAATTCCAGGATCTCGCTCCCTCCACGCGGCCACTCCCAGTACTATCTACAGGGTACTGATCCAGCTGGACAGAGCAATCCCTCCACGGGCCTGGCCGTCCAATGTTCGTGCCGTGGCAAGATCTGTCACATGCCACATGTTGTGCAGTCTACCTCAAAAATTTTTCACTTGCCTTATCCTTGACAGATATTAGCAGAAACATGTGTCCAAAGCGATTTCAATTACATACTATGTAGTGATACCCTATTACACATGGCGTGGTTCTTACACGGTTCGGTGGGGGGGGTAACGGAAAAGTAATCGACCGAAGGATCGTCCAGGTACCATCAGTGCACTTGGCGTGCATCACTGCGGGGCTCTCTCTCTTTCTTTCTTTCTCTCTCTATCGACGTACGGCGCCGATGCGCAACACAGCTGTAAGTCGGGAAGGCTCATGGAAGCCCACAGTTGCATGCCAAAGGTCCCAGTCAAGTCGATAATTACACTCTCTCGTTGGAGGACAACACTTCTCAGCACTTCTAGTCCATAGGTTGAGAAAGTAGATTCATACCCCATCAGGAGGATTCCCCCGCACGAAATCTTCATGGAGGATTAAGAATGACCAACAGCAGCGGCAGGGCTTGCCACCAGGTAATATATGGCTAGCGGGACAAGGAGCGGCAACCCTTCACTGCTTGCCCAGCGTGCCCAGCGTAGCCCAGCCAGCCAGCAATGCCCAGGTGCCCTCCACTGCCAAGCAACATGCTGCCAGCCGACCAGCCGGGGGGCACAGCCCGGTGTGTATAAGCGAATCAGCACACTCGACATGCTGATCGTCTTATCGACACTAACCAGGTCCATGCATGCCACACGCTGAACAGGTACAAAGATTGACGAAAGCGGAGCTGCTGTATATTGTGTTTGTGTACCGTTGCATTCCCAAGCTCAGCCAAAATCCCATGGTCTCGTGCGCCTTTTCTTTTTCTTTGCCCATCTCTTACCTTTTCTCCCATCTTCTTTTTCCGAATCGGCTTCGATTCTACCATCTTTCCCCCCTTCGGTCGATCCTCGCGCGACCAAGACAATAGATGTTCCTGAACCCGACTGCACTCTCTTCCGCCAAACGATATTGTGGGTCCATGTCGCCGCCACCATGAGCGACCTCAACGAGAAACCCAAGTATGGCGACAGCGATGTCGAGGCCATACGTGCTGACGATGTGACCACTGGAGCAATCACCGAGAATGCTGATGGCCTACAGCGCCGCCTCGCCAACCGGCAGATTCAGCTTCTGGCCATTGGCGGATCAATTGGCACTGCCCTCTTTGTCAGCATCGGAAATGGGCTCTACGCAGGTGGCCCAGGCAGCCTGTTTCTGGCTTACCTAATCTACAGCTGCGTCCTCGGTCTCGTGAACAATTGCATGGCAGAGATGGGCACCCTTCACCCCGTCTCTGGCGGCTTCATCCGAATGGCCGGAAAGTGGTGTGACGATGCTCTCGGATTCACGGCCGGCTGGAATTTCTTCCTCTACGAAGCACTGCTGATCCCTTTCGAGATCACTGCCCTGAATGAGGTCTTGCGTTACTGGAGCGGCAACATTCCCGCAGGAGCCATCTGTGCAGCGTGTATTGTCCTCTATGCGTGAGATCCACCCTCTTTGGTTGAACTGTTGATTGCGGGTGACACAATTTGCAGGCGTGGCCCGGTTCCCTGTTGTTACTACTGTTGTTGTCGTCATCTTCCTCTCCCGACAACCCCTCCCTTTGCCGGACTCCTTCCCCTTCCTCTTTGTTCGATCTGGGAATCTTGACTAAATTCTGCTTGTGAACCTTAGTCTTCTGAATGGCCTGGCTGTAAGGGCCTATGGAGAGGCAGAATTCTGGCTCTCCGGCGGCAAGGTCATTCTCATCTTCATGCTGTTCTCGTTCACTCTGGTGACCATGTGTGGCGGCAATCCTCAACACGATGCGTATGGCTTTCGCTATTGGAGCAATCCAGGCGCTTTCGCCGAACACCACTCAACAGGTAGCCTGGGCCGGTTCGAGGGCTTCCTCGCTGCCCTGTGGTCTGCATCCTTCACCGTCGTCGGCCCGGAGTACATCGCAATGGCAGCGGCCGAGGCCAAGCGCCCTTCTGTATATGTCAGGACCGCTTTCAAGACAGTCTATTGGCGCTTTGGCATCTTCTTCATTCTGGGTGCCCTTTGTGTCGGCATTGTGATTCCATACAATGATCCAACCCTCGTTGGGATCGAGGAGGGCAAACTCGGTGGAAGCGGTACTGCTGCTGCCTCGCCTTATGTCATTGCCATGTACGTTGTTTCTCGGAAGGCTACGTCTCATTCAGGTCTCCATAATGTTTCATGGATGACTGATATGCGACCGTGATGATTCGTATCAGCCGAATCAACCCTTCAGTTCAGCCGCATAGCTAATTCCTCCCGTGATACAGGAAAAATCTTGGCATCGGGGTCTTGCCGGACGTCACCAATGCCCTCATGCTAACCAGCATCTTTTCCGCCGGCAATACCTATACGTACGCGGCGACGCGCAGTCTCTACGGCCTTGCCCTGGAGGGTCGTGCCCCCAGATTCCTCCGCAAGACGACGAGGAACGGTGTGCCGATCTATGCCTTCGCCATCGTTATGTGCTTCCCCTTCCTCTCGTTTCTCCAGCTGTCGAGCAGCTCGAACACGGTCCTCACGTGGCTCATCAATCTCATCACCGCCGGGGGCATCATCAACTATATCATCATGTCCGTCACCTACCTGTTTTTCTACCGAGCCTGCGTCGTGCAGAACGTCGATCGGACAGGGTTCCCCTACTGCGGAAGATTCCAGCCGTACAGCGCCTGGATTGCGTTGATTGCCGAGACGCTGGTCGTCATCTTCTACGGCTATTCCAGCTTCACCCCGTGGGACGTCTCAACTTTCTTCACGTACTACACCATGGTCATACTCGCGCCAATCTTATTTTTCGGGTGGAAGCTCATTCATAGGACAAAGAGGGTCAAGCCTGAGGATGCAGATATTGTCTGGGAGAGGCCAATTGTCGCAGCCTACGAAGCCAGTTTCATCAGCCCTCCGATTGGTTTTTGGACGGAAATGGTACAGTTGGTCGGCTTCAAGAGGCATGTCAAAGAAGAGCAGATGATGGAATGAGCTGTTTGTTCAGACCAGGTTACAGATGAATGCACAATATTCATAAAGTCTTCATTTGGCGAATCTTAGCTCCTACATCTGTTGAACTGCTACTGTGTCATCCTAGTGTAGGAAAAACCAAGGCATCATAAAAGTTGTGCACCAATAGTGGCCTGCACCTGAGCTCCATAGTACCAGAGTAATGAAAATATCACACGTAATTTATTGCCTTCTCTTTGAGTTGCATTCTAAGGGTTGGTAGTGGCTTAAATCCGCAAATAGTGAAAGCACATACGCCTTCAATACACCGTCTATTATAGTTACATCGAATATGTCGTTAAGTCATTCAGAATTTTGAGGACTCCAAGATATGCTAGAATCCATGATAGATGTAGACTACTGCCCGTGGTCAAACTGAACCCAATATACTTCCATGTTGATTATCTTTTCCTCGCCAATTTTTCCTCACTTATGCTCGAATCGCTTTTGCCCGTGAACCGATGTCCATCTCATCGATGTCCTCGATCCTGACCTCCAACCACGCCTTCTGATCAAGTTTATTCCGAATGCCACTCCAGTCTGCAAGACTATATGGAAGAGCATGGCCGGCCCTCCAGTGACTGGAGATTGGCGGGATATCCTGCGGCGTTCTGTCTGGCTCAGACCGTACTCTCGCCAGATCCGGCGAGTTCTGGGTCTGCTGTGATGCGGTCTCAAGACCCTCAAGCCTGGCCTTCAGGCTCTCAAAGTCCGGCAACTTTGTCAGACCTCTCCCGGCCGCTGTCACTTCCTCCTTCACCAGACCATAGCCCCAATGGCCTGAGCGGTTGTCCAGCGAGTCGTAGAACTCGTATGCTATTCCTCCCGAAAAGACGGCGGTCATCGCAGACGAGTAGATTGCCGAAGTTTCCTGAAAGATTCGCTTCCCACATGCACCAAGATTGCAGCCGTACTGGGAGAAGAAGATCGGGATTTTCGAGTTGTTGAACGTCTTCAGCTAATTCACCTTTTTTAGCCCCTGTGCAAGATTACTGGTTAGGAAGCAAGAAAAACACTTACTTCCGCATCATAGCCGGCCAATTGCATGGTGGACTCGCCGCACCAGTTGAAGTTCGCATACTGGCCAAACATTAACATTTTGCCAAGATCAAGTTGGATGAGACACAATGGTTTCATATGGTGGCCTGCTTACACAAAAGAAATCAACTGTCTCCTCCTGTTCGCCGGCCGTGAAATAGTCGAAGGTGGTCTTGAGTATTAGCCTGCCATTCGAGGCGCTATAACCGACTGAAAGTTATTGGCATTAGCATGGGATCACGAAGGCTATGTAGGAGTAAGTGAATGATAGTCCAGCGCAGTGGGGAACCTTCTGGACGAGGTCTAGCTCTGAGCTGGCTGCTGAGGTACTTACTCGGTAGCTGGCGTTGGTCCAAGGTCTTCGCGGCAGTAGACATGTACTTCTTGATGTCCCGTATCACTGTCTTGATCATTGGAGCAGCTGCCGTGGAATAGATAGTACTCAGGGCCCCGTTTGCAACGATGAGTCCCAGTGTGTTTGAGTACTGTGACATGCAGTCCACGGTTGCAAAGCAGTCCTCAAGCAATTGCTGGCTGTATGGGCGGAACGTTGTTGTGGTTCCAGCACTATCTGTTGTGCTTGCTGCGGTAGGCAGGCCCTGTTCAAAGGTTAATATGGTGGCGCCTGCGCTAGGGCTGCCCTTCAGAACTCACAACGACAACATAGATGCCGGCTTCTGCAAGAAGCTTCATGGCCTTGCCATGGTCTTGAGTACTGTCAACGAAATCTGACCATCGTATTAGCTATTGACTTGTCAATCCAGACAAGAAAGAAAAGGGTGACGATATGTACCAACGAAGAGCACATTGAGGCCTAACTCCTTGAACAGTGAGACATCTCGCTCGAGGTCGCCCAGCCTATCTTCAACAAGTGCATCGCGAGCGGTCCGACTATGAAGGCGGTACACGACTCCCTTGATGAGGAACTAAAGACGAGAAGTTTCTATTAGTATGGACCGTCATATTGTGTTGGATTGCCTTTGTTCGTACCCTCGCACCATCTTTGCAGAAGAACCTTCCCCGGACGGTGATCGAAGCGGTAGTATTGTTAACCGTCATAGCAACAGTCGGAAAAGACTTCTGGTGTTTAGAAGGAAAGACTCTGGGTGGAGCATGGTCAGAAAAGAAACAGAGACAAAGGGTGGAAGGTGGCTCATTTTATATGTCGGTATGCCCACGACTCTCTTCTCGCTTGAACTGTTTGAACATGGCCATGCATCACGTGAATACTTTCGTCAAAGGGTGTCAAATTCCGCAAGATCGTGATGGAGAGCGTGACCAGGAAACTTTACGTAAAAGGACGCACGTTGCATCGTTTGTCCCGAGCTTGCCAGTTTACGAGTCGTCTTTATTCGTTCTTGAGGCCTCTAGATGGTTCTCGGTAGTACACCTCAGCTGCCACAAGATCTGGCTCCCGAATCCCATTACGTACTAGGCAAGTTTGAGGATGTTTCTCTGGGGTAATTTTGGGGTAATTCTGGGGTAATGGGTGATGCCGCTGGCCGCGAATCCACTTCAGCGCTGTTCCGCCTCCCCAGGGGATTACTGCGGACAAATCTGGCCGTAATAGTGCCTCGCCTACAGAGTTGACGCCTTCACATCCCGTGCTTGATTCACCGCCCGAGGTACTTCCCTAGCCAGGGGCGGTCAGCATGTTGAATCATGAGACTATACACTATGCTTGTAATCATATCGTTGGTACTCTCTGAGGGTTAGCATTCCATTTTAGTCGCACGCTACGTACAGCCTTGACGTGAACGCCGTCGCTCGAGCCGGTCGTTGTGAGGGCTGGCTATGATGGCGCCGAAGGTGTTGGTAGCTGCAACGTCCACGCCTGTGGGCAAGACTTTGCTGGTGGTCAGTTGGTATGGGACATGTGGTAAAAGAGTGGGGCCATATTGCGAAAAGGAAGCGTAGCAACTCCATGGCACGCAATCTGTTCAAAATCTTGCCACGCCACTACAGCATAGATTCAATCTGGCACTAGCTGGTAATCTTTCTTTGATGGATGATTCGCAAAAAGATGTACTCATTACAGTCATTATATCATTCCTCTTCTCCTCCCTGTTCTCTTGCGCCTTGTCTCTATACGCTTGAGCGATCAAGATGATTGAAAAGGCAATTTCTTCGAATTTTCTACCTGATGAATCAATTCTCACAATCTATATCATATATATCTATGAGAGAGAAGAGGGATGGCCAATGCCTACTCGTTTGTCAGATAATTGGCCACAAAATCAGCGTTCAAACGCTATTACTTATCGTAGTTGTCGAGTAGACAGGCATTGGGTGTGGATCATCTACTGTCCAGAAAAGTTTCGCCCCTATGTCCTTGTTGCGGTCGACCTAAACTTTTCAGTGAAGCAGCCGCTCTCATTCATAGATGCTCAGAGAATGAAGGGTCGGCAGCTACGGTGTGGCGCACAAGGTTATGGTTCCCAGAGCACCTGAAAACATTATTGCTTTGGGTAGGTCATACATCTTCAAAGCATGCCTTCACCTCTGGTCTCATATTTGGCATAAAAGAAGCTAATACGAAAAACAAGCACAATGTGAATACGTATGACGCTGCGTTGAAAAGATTATGCAATACCCTCACGCCATCTACCGCAAACAGTCCAGGGCTGCCTAAGGGACGCACTCGCCGGCCAGGGGAGAAAGGATACGTCTATATATCATTTAGTCTATAGGTTGGTTCTATCATGCTTGAGTCCATGATTCGAGTTTCTCTATAGATTTGAGACATTAGAAGGCTTCAATCTCAAATGATTATTTGGCATGCCAGTGGACGCAAATGATACCCTTTTTCTAACGTGCGAGGACGAGCGGCAACCGCGTCCACTCCATTATGACAACGACCATGCACAAGCTCTCCACTTATCCCAAATGCAGGGGAAGCACTGTTCTGCGCGATAACCTGAAGTTGGTCGAGATTAAATGATGTTTGTCAACTTGAGTGACACGGCCACGAAATGGATCGACTGTACAAGTTGTTGACACTGATAATTATATCAGCTCATCTGAGAAACCCCACACCGAGCCAGATGTTTTCAAGAGTTTGGACGAGATCATCATAAGAATAATAGAATAAAGTAAAAAAGAAAGAGAAATAGGAGGAGGAAGGGGTAATCGCTCTTGGTTCGCAAAACAACCTCAAATGACGCCCCTCCGTTTCCGTCGCTCGAGGAAATGCCCAGGAACCGACGGATGAAGAACTAACTATCCCGTCTCTAGTTTAAATAGCTAGTTCGAGCCGGTATGGTTCCTCATCGATCATGTCCTTTTAAATCTGACATATGCTTCAGAAAGTCTCAACCTAAGAAGATGCCTCTAGAATGCGACTAACCCAGAAAGGCATGACTTCTCGAATCAACGAAACTCATGCATAACTACTAAGTAAATTTGACACGACGGCTACTGCATAATGTTTATCTTCCTAACCGATATACGCGGTATGTAAGTGTACAAGAAGGCTGAGAAAGAGATCTCAACTTTGTCCGCTACACTTTACTGACGCTTCCCAAGGGTACTAACACTAAGCTTATATCGAAGGGAAGTAGTAGGCCCTTGTCATGTTGCGGAGCATATGGAGCAGTTGCTCAGAGGGAATCACAAGGTCACAATAGACTGCAAGTGGACTTCCTACCCAAAAAGTAAAAGGAAACAGAGTCAAAGCAACCTCAAATCAGGCTGAAAGGCGTTTTCTCGCCCAGGCTCCAACCACACTTCCTTCAGAAAGGCGATGAGTCTGTATGGTATGTCTGTCTGATCAAAATCAGCTTGGCAACAAATGGGAACTCTCAGGGTACATCAAGTTCGCGCCGACCTTCATGAGAAACAGGACTGACAGTACATGTTTCCAGTCAACGAAGCCGCCTACTTTTGCGAGAAGTATCAAAGCCTTGTCTTTACAGCTTTTCTGTTTCATATCATTGACACGGGGCAAGAGCTAGATAATAACTGTGCAACTTTGTTTATTTTGCGACATGCGCTCGAATGTTGCATTGGGGTTGGTCTATATGGAGTACCCCAGCTCAAGTTTCTCAACATTCCATTAGGAGATATCAAGTGGCTTCCCCCAAGAACATCAGCCCATGGGACGATACAACAAACTAGGGGGGAAAGAGCCTGTTACATTGGAGTCCGGATTAGGAGCTTTGTGCTCGATGCTGTTCCCTAGGGCAATGGATATATTGTATTACGCGCTCACCCAATCCGGCTACATTGATGGGCCAGGTGAAGAAGCAAGAGAAGTTCCTCGAGATTCTAATATCCTGTGATATATTCATTTCTCTTTGCAGCTCAGAAAATGTCGGAACCAAGGGTAAGTACGTGTAGCGAATGATTGGGTCAGCTTCTCAGCTGAAAGATTGTTCAACCTGAAATCTGTGGGGCCACTGGTCCGACGTCATTGAAGATTTCAGAGACGTCTTCCTGAAACTGTTGTTGTTTTCCCCCTGCCAGATCAAGTTGCATAGCCTCTGGGAATGGATTTGATTACATTACAGCCCTATAAAGAGGACTATCATGGCAACGCAAACGAGCAGCAAGGCATTCGCGAAAGCGAGTAGACGTGGGAAATGGAATCGGAGTTCTTGAATCACGGTCTAGTTCGATTACAGTCGTACACCAGTGCTAATCATATGTAAAGTGGAGTTTATGTAGTTTAGGGTTTCAATAAGCCGGATGAACTGCGAGAAGTAGCAATTACTGATGTGATCTCTCATAACCTGGCTATCACTCCACGTCGGCTCTGAAATTCTCCATAGTAACATGGCAACTCAGTTGATTACACCCCACAAAACTAGATACTCCCTCCACGGAAAAGACGCCGATCTTTGTGCTAGGGCCGCTCGTGATCTGAATCCCGTTGCGGTCAGGTCACCGCGGGTCATCTAGTTCGCGTCTCGAGTCCTCCTACGCGGCAGGAAGTTGTAAGTCAAGCAGAGTGAAGAGAAAGTAGTCACAAAGTCATATTCCCATGTAATCAAGCGTGGATCTACATTGCCGCTCGAACTATCCTTGAGAATCGTAATCTGTGACTCCAGACGGCTGCTGGTAAAATCCTAGCAACAAAGGTATTGGAACAGGCCACACAGCCAAGCAGACCCTCTTCCGACCCATGCTTTCTCCTCTCGTATCCCCAGGTTCCAGAGATCCTGCGAGATGCATGTGCCCACCAACAGCACAGTCCAGTTGCTCAGCGGGCTTGATTGCCTGCCGTAAAATCCCGACCTATGCTGTGCGGTCAGGGCAATTGGGTGAAGAGACGCCCAAAGCACAAGCCATCTCCACAGTCAGCTAAGAGCACTGATCAGTGGATGACAGGTTCAACGTTCAGGGATTTTAAGGAGTTCATCCGAGACAAGAATGCTCCGAGAGACTGACCGACCAGCCGAGTACTGTGTATTGTGCTCTTCCCCCAGAAAGAGGATGAGTGTACCTTGCAATGGCTACATTTCTTTCCAACAACAAAAAGAAAGGACGAAGTTGGAGTGATTTGTGCCTTTGAAAGTAGCTATCAGTGCTCAGCACGTCGCCGTACTATACTACACAAGAAAAGGAGCGTCCTCGGAACAGTTTCTGCATGCCGAGATAATGCCGATGATAATCATGTCACGAGGACATCTGGGAAACGTTCATGCCTGAACTTCCAAGTTGTATTGTACTAATCTATACCATAGTCCTATGAGAATGACTGGACTATCGTTACAGAGTCACTGGGGCGGAAGACTGGTTTGTACTGTGATAGTGGAAGCGTGAGCTGATAATTCTTGTTCTGCTATGCTCTGCATTTTTCTTTCACCGTCCTGATCTACAAAATAAAAGTTTAGAAAAAACACAAGACGTTGGCACCGGTCCGGATTTCTGGAGGAGTTTCTCTTTCAGGAGGATCCTCGCTCGAAAGGATCGGTAGAAAGGCCCAAGGAGGATGAACTGCGAAAAAAGTGGTCCTGCAGAAGATCACGCAGGCAGCAAGGCCACATGGACGCTTTGAGCGGGTAGAAGACAAGAAGGCACAGAGGAATCGTCTGGCAAAGTGTGCTCGAGGAGTTTGGAAATACTGTGGTAGAGAGTGGATCGCAGGAAGCCAGGATGGGTGGAGCCTCTGCAGTGAAGAGCGGGTTACAGTGGGTTCAGTGGCACACATTTAACCCTGGCCTACGCAGGCCAAGGCGACCTGTGACGCAATTGCGGCTCCAGGACCCTGGAACGTCAGTCAAGTCTTTTTCAGCCTCTTGGGGAGGCCCTTTACTGGTTGTCCGTCTCACACACACCACTGTCTGTACATAAGCATGAATGTACACCTGATGCAGCACATGCATGCAGTACAACGCAACGGTACAGGGAACACCCACCGAGCATTTCCACGAAGATTGTCCTGCCCTATCAATCATTGCCCATGTACTTATTTATCTCGGCATAATGCAAAGGCAGAAAGAAGAAGAAATGAAAAAGCGAGAGAGAAAGTGAAGGGAAGAAAAAAGTCTAAATTGAGTGCAGCTCTAGTTCCCGCCCCTTATCCCGTCTCTCAAACTGGTTATGGCACATGTCCCGGGACGGCGTTCAAATTTTTAAATGTTCAAGAGTCAGAGTTGCGTCGACGTAAGCGGCTGCACTCATTTTACTGTGGACATGAAATTCTGAGCCTGGAGTGAGATCAGCCAAGTATCTCTTGACTCATGTGCCGCTCGTCACGTCTAGATTCTGCAATCGCAACATGGCAAATCATCGTCATTGCTGCTATGGTTGTATTTTGCACCTATTGTAAGGGTTGTTGGAGATGATCCTTTGTCGGTTTCCTGTCAGTTCCAACATCTTGTTGAGCCTGCTTGGTTAGGCTAGGCGCTGGCAGTCCCCATTCCCACCCCTCCTCTTTTCCCTTCCTTGCCTCTCTCCTGTATTATTCAGATCTCATTTGAGACCCTTCGGCATAATCACTACTAAGCCGTCTTCCATCAGCATTTAGATCAGCTACTATGCACATCAATAAAAAAAGATGGTGTAAAACAGCGCATCCTCAAGTAATCGGACCGAGCACAAAACCGGCAGGCCTTCAGTTGTCGCATACCTCGCTCATGCTCGACGTCGGGATGATCTGCGTTCCTGACCCACCCGGTCCGCAATTCTGAACCCACCCGGGTCCGCAGACGGGCACCGTCCGGATGTCTGGCGGCCGTGCTGCACACAGTTCCCCTGTGGGCGCCAGTGTGATAAACTAACTCCAGCAAAGTGTTGCCCCGGCCGTGCAAAGCCGTGTTTAAAAATGTTTCTTCTTACGGTGGCAATGGACCCATTGCCCTTTGTTCCCTTTTTGAACTGGTTCAGGACCCTAGCGGTCAACAACTTCTTTGCAAGCCTAGCATCCCACCTCATCTTATCACTCCGCGTTTGCCCCAGCGAGAACTCCAGTCTTCTCTCCACGACACCACACTCCTACTCCGCGATAGTGGACCAAAATGACGTCCTGGTTGAAATTTCTTCTCTTTTCGTCTACCCGATAGCGACCCACTCTCTGGGGTTGCGACGATATGATGCCATTTCTTAGGAATGCCAAAGTACTCGTCTCCTATGTGTGTATGTAGGTATGTAAGTATTTAAAGGACCACCTCCACGATTGAGACTCCTTCACCCCGACTCTGGGGTTTTCTCTAGATTATTTCACCTTGTCCTCTCCTTTTCCCCTCTGCTTTTGTTCTTAAAGAGGTTGTGCCTAGTTGTGAGAAGAAAAAAAACACCAACACAGACCAGGCACTATGGTTGTTCAGACGATAAGGAAACATGCCCCCTCCACGGGGCACAAGGATAACCACCATGGTGTCCCTACCTACTGGAGCAAATCTGGACACACGCTTCAGAAGTACATCACAGCCTTGGCCACCTGCGACTTTCTGCTTTTTGGTTTCGACGTGAGTGTTCTTCTCCCTCCCTCCCTTGCTTTTTGTCACATATTATGTACACGTTACTTCGTCAACGACGCAGCTGCTGACAGAGAATGCAGCAAGGTGTGATGGCTGGCATCATTTCTTCCACCGCGTTCATGGCCGACTTCCCCGAGGTTAACGGTAACGACACCTGGCAAGGTTTTGTAACTGCCATCTATGCAGTGGGCTGCTTTCTCGGCGCCTTATTCATTCTCACCTTCGGAGACAAACTTGGTCGGCGCAAATCCATCTTCCTCGGAGCTTCTATCATGATCATTGGCGTCATTATCCAGATCTCTAGCGCTCCCCCCAACAGCGGTGCCACAGCCCAGTTCATTATTGGTCGATGCATTACTGGCATTGGCAACGGTATCAACACGTCTACTGTGCCAACATACCAAGCCGAATGTTGCCCCGCTCACAACCGCGGCAAGCTGATCTGCATCGAAGGCGGCAACGTCGCCGTCGGCTCCATGTTGGCCTACTGGATTGATTACGGATGCACCTATGGCCCAGCCGCATTCTCCTGGCGGTTCCCTATCGCCTTCCAGTGTGTCTTCGCCATCATCATTCTTGTCATGATGCTCCGGCTTCCCGAGTCTCCCCGCTGGTTGCTTGCTCACGGCGCAACCGACGAAGCCGTGACGGTTTTAGCAGCGCTACACGACAAGACTCGCGATCATGATGATGTTCAGGGCCAGATGAACTTCATCCTCGACGCGATTCGTGCTTCAGGGCAAGACGGCGGCAATGTACCCATGCGGGAGATTTTCACCAACGGCAAGACGCAGCATCTGCGCCGGATGCTGCTGGGTGCTGGCAGTCAGTGCATGCAACAGCTGTCTGGCTGCAATGCTGTCATCTACTATTTCCCCATTCTCTTCAAGACGTCTATTGGCACCTCGGACAACCTAGCTTTACTGCTTGGCGGCGTGAACATGATCGTCTACGCCATCTTCGCCATGACCTCCTTCATGGTCGTTGAGAGAGTCGGGCGCCGGAACCTCTTCTTCATTGGAACCATTGGGCAGTGCCTTTCCATGATCCTCGTCTTCGCTTGCCTCATCCCTGGCTCTACCAATACTGCCAAGGGTGCCGGAGTGGGCCTGTTTACTTACATCGCTTTCTTTGGTGCAACCTGGCTCCCGCTGCCTTGGCTGTATCCCGCTGAGATCAACCCTTTGAAGACGCGCGCTCGTGCCAACGCCCTCTCCACCACCCAGAACTGGCTGTGGAACTTCTTCATCGTCATGATCACGCCTGTGCTCGTCGGCAGCATTGGATGGGGCACCTATCTGTAAGTACTCTTGCGCTCAGACCTTAAAGCTCTGCAGGTTTTCCTCTTTTAAAAGACAAAAAAAAAACCCCCCCCCGTTGCTGACACTCGACTCTACTACAGCTTCTTCGCTGTCCTGAATGCCATTTTCCTTCCCATCCTATACTTCCTGTACCCCGAGACCTCGGGCCGATCCCTCGAGGAGATTGATCTCATTTTCGCAAAGGGTCATGATGAGAAGATCAGCTACGTGCATGCTGCCCAGAAGATGCCCAAGCTCACCGATGCTGAGGTGCACGCCATGGCTCGGGAGTATGGCTTCTCGAGCTCCGACGATGAGGCTAGCAACAGAAAGGGCAAGCGTGGTCACAGCGAGCGTGAGGGCCGTGACAGCGAGAAGGAGTCGGAGATGGCGGCGGTGGACAACCAGAATGCCATGATGGCATGAAGAAAATGATGATACCCCTGAAGTTTGTGTTTTTTGCAATCGAACTGGCCTGCCAGTCAGGCTCGATCACAAAGTACAAATCGCAAAACGCGACGAACGTGACGATATACCCTAGATTAGAGTGTTTGAGAGAAGACATAGAGATCTTTTTGAAAAAGATCAAGAGTAGATCAGACATTCTAAATTTTTCCATGCATCATCTTCCAACTTGCAGTTTCATCTCCATTCTGCCCTATTGAATTGGCCGTGCTTCAAACAGCGAGTTTGTGAGGCAGTTCATGTGTTGTGGGAATGTCACACGAGAGTCTAAGTAGGGAGGAGTGCATTAACCCCCAAAGAGAATGATTTTTTGTACTTAGCGGGTGCCTCTTTGACGTCACTATGGGGACAATCTCAAGCCTGCCAGCCTTGAGCGACGAGACTTTACAAGGCAGTCCACGAAGGTTTCTCCTGAATGAAGCAACCGCTGGGATATGGTTTCCACCCAGAAAAAAAAAATAAAAGACTCTCCCTGCTTTGTTGAGTGCTTCCTCAGCGGCGCACTGAGATTATGCCCGCACATTTTCAAGACACTGCGGGTCGTACGCTGTTCCTCCGAGGCGTCAACCTCGCAGATGCCAAAATCCCAGCAGGTCAACCAACCCATCTTCTCTCCTCGCTCAGTACGGACCCCCAGAGTTGTTCACGGGTCTCATATGTCAATGTCCCGTTCGGTCTGCAAGACACACCAGCTCACTTGGCCCGACTCCGCTCGCTCGGGTTCAACGCGCTTCGTGTTCCCGTTGTCTGGGAGGCCCTCGAGCATGGAGGTCCAGGAGTCTATGATGATGAGTACATCACGTACATCAAGTCATTTGTACAGCTCTGCAACGACTATGGGTTTAGGGTGATTATCAACCCTCACCAGGATCTCTGGTCTCGCTTCACTGGTGGCAGTGGAGCACCGCTGTGGACGCTTCATGCATGCGGCCTCAATCCAGACCACTTCGCAGACACACATGCCTCTATCCGCTACGCAGAGTGGCCCAGGGATGGGGATCCCAGTGATTCTGGAGGAAGGGGAAAAGAAAAAGATCCCAAGTCGATGCCGCCCATGATGTGGACGAGTAACCATAACCGCCTCGCGCCGTCGACATTGTTCGCTCTGTTCTGGGCAGGGAGGAATCTCGCGCCCAAGTGCATAATTGATGGCGTCAATATCCAGGACTACTTACAAGATCATTACTTCGCCGCATATGGGCGTCTGGTGGCAGCTCTGGGTGATCTTGCCTACGCATTCGACAGCATGAACGAACCGGAGTCTGGCCTCCTTGAATGGCAGGATCTCGAGAAGAACGAAAGGGAAGCAAGTGCAATGATGGGTACTGCACCTACCCCGATCCAAGCAATGAGGTTGGGGATGGGGATGGACCAGACTGTGGATGTATACAGACTGGGAAAGACTGGTCCCCATAAGGAGGGCAGCACCACCGTCCGACCAGGTCGTGGATGCTGGTTGGAGAAAGAAGACGCTAGGTGGGGATGGAACAGATCAGAGAGCTGGCCTATGGGGACATGTGTCTGGGCTCTACACAATGTGTGGGATCTGAAGACAGGAGAGCTGAAGCAGCGTGATTATTTCGTGAGACAGGATCATGGTCCAAATACGGAAGCTCAAGGAACTGCGCCCGACTGCTCCAAAGACGCCTCTGATTGGAAATCGACCTCGTGGAAAGCTTTCTTTGATCACTGGGTCTCGACCATCCGCAAGCACTCCCAGAGATCCATCATATTCTTTCAGCCCCCTGCCTTCGAGATGCCGCCTGCTGCCTTGATGTCGCCCAGCACTGACTTCAGCCTGTTGGGCTACAGTCCTCATTTCTATGATGGTCTAACTATTATGAAAGGGCACTGGCACAAACACTGGAACGTCGACGTGCTCAGGCTGCTTCGAGGTCAACAGGACATCACTACCAAGCTGAAAGCATTCAAGGTTGGGCCCACGAACGTGCGCCAAGTCATCTCTGACCAGCTTGGTGCGATGGGAAAGGACATTATACCGAGAGGGACAAATGTTCCCTCAACAAGCCAGGAAAGACTCGTGCCAGTTCTGATAGGAGAGACTGGCATCCCGTTCAACCTGGATGATAGCAAGGCATACACAGATGGGGACCACACCAGTCATGTCGCAGCTCTAGACGCAATTCTCAGCGGCTGCGATGAGCATCTCCTCAACTATACGCTTTGGGACTACAGTGCAACCAACAACCACGAGTGGGGGGATCACTGGAATGGGGAGGACCTCTCCATTTACTGCAGCGAGACTGGATCTTTCCCCGATCATCAATATCTGTCCGGCTTCCGAGCCCCGGCTGCTTGGTGTCGTCCATTTGTTCAGTCTCTCAAGGGCACAGTCTTGAACATGTCATTTGATCTCAAGACAAGCAGGTTTGAGCTGCAGGTTGAGTCATGTACCGATGGCGATGCCATTATTTACGTCCCCTGGCTTCACTACAGGAAGGCGAACGGCGCGGATGAGCTGGACTTGAGGGTCACAACCACAGGAGGTGGCTGTCATCTCGAAGGCGGGATAGGACTCCTCCATTGGACGTATGAAAGCCTTGGAAGGATTACATTGAATGTGGAAAGAGGAGCTGGTCCTTTGCAGCCTAGAGACCTGGGGACGATTATTTCTGCTTAATATCAAGACACTGTCTGTCAGAGCCGTCAGGCTCGCTTGTCACACAGCATCGAGGTATTTATTGAGATGGGGCTTGTTGTAAATTTGCAGACAATTTCCTCGACATGACTAGCAGCATAAGCTCGCCGCCTGGACGGCCTGCTACCAGTCTGTTCCCGTCTCTATGCAGGGGATCTCAGGTTGCAAAAAGATTTGCTTGAGATCCAGAGAAAAGATTGTCGCAAAGATATAGGGTCTAGGAAAGCAAGCATCCCAAGATGTATCGTCCGAGCGCCAGAACCTCTCGAGAACATTCTTGGCCAGCAGCGGCGCGAATGAGCCAACAGATTGGCTCATGTTGTCCAGCTTTGTCGCAACGAAACTGCGCATCGCTGGGCCACAGCCAGTGCTCCCAGCCCCAAGTACCGTCAGTGGCCAGAGCATATTGTCCTTGATACATGCTGATGATAATGCCTTGTCGAGGAGTTGCTGCAGGGACTGCGTCTGGGTGGCCCAAAGGGCATCCAAGGAGGGGGATTGGTGGAGAATTGCCACGCTGCGTAACGAGGAAATGCCGTACAGCAACACAGCAGACCGGTATACATCTCCTGCAAGGGCCCAGTACTCCTGTGACGCTGGCTTGAGCCGTGCCCATTGGCTTGGAGAGAAACTCCTGATCCGATCTAGTATCTCGACCGCCTCCTGTGGGAGAGTCTGACTGCCAACACAGGTCGTGGCCTGCGCGCGGAGGCGGTTGATATTGGCAATCTCGACAAGCAAAGAAGGTGGCAGCAATTGGAAAGGGATCATGTTGCTGCTGCTCTTTGCCAGTATAAAGTCGACCTCTTCCATGGTCGGGATGGTCATATTTAAGTCGGACGCTGGGCACGTCGTGTTTCCAATGACGGAAAGACTAGAATAGAATGCATTGATTAGTTACTAAAGATCGCTGGCCTGCCTAATCTTATCAAAGCACCACGTACTAGACAAAGCAACGAAGTAGCTGCTCTAGGTTCTTTAATCTGGCCAGGGAAACCACTCCGCCACGCAGCACAACCAGTGTGTAGATCGCGTCAAGATGGCATCGCCAGTTCGAGGGTACACCTTGTTGGACCTATATTCAAACGTATTTCAGTATGACCACCGCCGTCGCGTTGCCAAATACAATAAACAGTTGACTCACATCGGCAATTAGAAATGATACAATGCCGGTGAGAAGCATATCACCGCCCCATTTGTTCTCGAGATTGGTGTCTTGGACCAAGGAACGAAGGATCAATCCCCGATACCGATGATACTCCCCAAGCAAAGTAGACCGTTGACTACGATCCTGGACTTGGTTGATACGGTGTGTGAGGACCATACACACCAAGGACATCCGTAAATGATCTGGATGAGAGATCCCCAGCTGAATTAGTTGTGGCGAGAGGCGGTAGAGCTGAGGACATGGGCCAAGTTCCTGTACCGGCGCGAGGCTGTGATATATGCAAGTATTAACTTTGTGTGTTAGCTCGACTGGACCTCAACCGTGCCCTGTGGTCCAGAAACTTGCAGTATTCAGCAGCCTCAACCAGTGCATCATGCTCAAGCCTGATATGGAAAGGAGAAACCCCAGGCTCAGCAGCAAGGGAAACCAACTCCCCGCCGACGTCTGACCGTGCACACTCCTCTTTATTCCCCAGATGTTCTTTTTGGGGGGGTGGAGGCCTGTTCCGCTTCCTAGTCTTGGACTTGACTTTCCCAGGGTCGAGCCAGCGTAATCTTAGAGGCTTGACACCACCGTAGCCTGGACAGTCGAGACCAGATGCGGAGCACCGTGTGCATGCGGGACGCTTGAAGTCACAGACCAAGCGGCGTCGTACGCACTCCCAGCAGTGGCGCTGCCGGGCACTTTCGACTACCGACGTTGTTTGCAGAGGGCCAACGATCTGATGTGAGATCATATTGGTACGATGGCGGCAGGTCTCTCTAGAAGTCTCAAGCAGAGAAATGGGGTATGAGACATCAGTGGGACAAGGCCGAGTGATTGGTCACCAGATATGAGTCAAGAGAGCTGTTTATCACGAAAATATAGGATTAGGGAAGGAAAAAATCAATGGAAATAATTATAGTGGTAGTGAAGGATGCCAGGGGAGTGGGGCTTTGACGGTGGGAGTGGCACCTAAACTCCAACATTATAGAGGGCCCTGAGAACAAATTAAAGGATCAGTAGCATACGCTTGCCCAGCGATCTGCAGATACAAGCCCAGAGGCCAATGGGATGATCAGCCTAGTAAAGGATCTTGTCAGCTCTGGCTGTGGACGTTGAACGGCACGACCGGCAGCGCATCAACGAGTCAAAAGACCCACTGCATCGCCGCCATGATTTTATCTTAAAGCAGTCAAGCGGTCATCCTCTACGACCAGGGGGACAAAGTCTTGGCAACTTTTTTCTCCTATTCGGGTTAAGCGTTATGATTTGTAGAACTGCTTTAAGGCTGGCGATATCGAAAGTATATGCGGTTTCGTTAAGTCAATTACGAGCTCACGGTATGCCAATGACGGAAAATCCTTCTTTGACAGCCAGCATCTGTCTGTCCTATTTAAGATACCAAATGCTTCGCCCATTTATTCTCATCGAAAACATAAGAGACACTATGACTCTCAACTTCCTGTCCAACTCCCCTTCACGAGCCCTCTGCCGTCCACAGGTCGTTACGGATATTCCTTTGTCCTGCCGCTTACTATAGATTCATTTCTGTCAAGCACTTCTTGGATTGCCGATTTTAAGATGGAGAATGGACAGCCAAGTAAGTCATGATACAGCAACACTGACAGTTCGCGGCGCCAGATGAAACTAACGAATTCTGCTGTAGTCTTGTGGAGCCTCTATGTTTATGCTCCCAACAAAGGAGCACCTATCTTCTTTACTATTGCCTATGCTTGCTCTGGAGCTGGTCACCTTTGGCAGTGCTAGTACGTGGTATACTCTCTATGATGCTTCATTTTCCTCAAAGAAAAGAATTGAAAAAGGAGGATTTACTCACAGCTCTGGATAGTCACCACAAAGCCTTCAGGCTTATGGGACTGCACCCACTCTGTGCTCTGATGTTTGCGCTCGGGTACGCCCTGCGAGAATGGGGAGCCTATAATTACCTCTATACCGGTACAGCAACTACCTTGATCCTATACATCCTCAGCCAAGTCTTCATATATGTGGCTCCGTAAGTGTCCTGTACTAGAGAGATTAGTCCGGACCAGGCAAGAACCCTACCTGCTAACATCAGTCGCCATGCAGGCCACTACTCGAGCTCGCCAACTATCATGTCCTTGGCCGCATGTTCAGCTACGCCCCTTCTTTCGCCCCCGTGCCCGCCGGTACAGCACGAACGGTTTTCAGCCTGCTGATGATAGTGGTCGAGACCGTCAATTCGTTGGGTGTGGCACTTGCTGCCAATGTGCATAGCACTGAGCAAAGCCTAGGCAGAGTCCTCACGCTGCTGGCACTCTCGTTGCAGCTTTGCATCTGCGTCTCATTTGTGGTGCTGACGGCCTGGTTCCAACGGCGGTGCAGAAAAGCGGACGCACACGCCACCATCTCAACACCTCTGAGGGTGCTTTACACAAGCACTTTGTTGATCACGATCCGCTGCATCTACCGCTTGGTAGAGCATGTAGGCAACTCGGTGGTACAGATCAACAATCTAGCCGCGCTCGAGGCTCTCACGCCAGTGCTGCGGCATGAATGGTTCTTCTACATCTTCGAGGCGACTCTCATGCTCATCAACTCCATCATCTGGAACATCTGGAGCCCAGTTCGGTATCTGCCTAACGACACCAGCCTGTACCTGTCGCAGGACGGCACCGAGCTGCTTCAGGCACCAGAAGTTGACGATTCGGACGATCGACCACTGATAATGAAGATTGCATGTGTGTTGACCTTTGGCTTGTTCTTTCGAGGAAAGAAGCATTACGTTCCCCGCCGCACGACCTCTGAATATCCGCTCACAACTCGTCAGAACTGATCGGAGATTGCGTCAGCTTTAAAATATAGAAAGTATAAGTCCACTATAGGCTATAGTGTTCTTTTTCTTTTTTTTTTTTATCTTTTTCTTTTCTCTAATAGTGGTCAAAAAATAGTAGGAAATTAGGTTAATCCGGTTTGTTAATGATTTTTGATCGAGAGGTAGAAATGGGGAGAGAAATATTTGAAAGAAAAGAAGCATGACAGTCTCAGTAGACATCCGCTAGCCTAATCATTCCAAGTCCTAAGGCCATGTGCTTGTCACTATCACTAGCGTGACAGGGAGTCCCGCTAATCTCAGGTCGACCCCGCCATGCCTCATTTGAACATCTTCTCGCTCCTCCATTTTCAGGCCTATGCTTCCAGACGATCGTGCCTCACCCTGCCCACGTCTCACTCTCCCTCCACACAGATCCCTCTGTGCTTCTCCCCAACATTTTCTTTCCCTTCGCGGCTGGACAACATGGCAGAGAACAAAGTGTATCGCGCGAGCACCACTGCTCCAGTCAACATTGCTGTTGTCAAGTAAGCGTCGCCCTTGAGCTTCACCGCCCTGGCCTCTCCGTCCTCATCCTCCCCTTCCTCCTTTTCCCGCCATGCTTTACTAATGTTATGTCTCAACACCCAATTTAGGTACTGGGGCAAGCGTGATGCCAAGCTTAACCTGCCAACCAACTCCTCCCTCTCCGTCACCCTGTCGCAGTCCGACCTCCGCACCCTGACCACCGCCTCCTGCAGCGCTTCTTACCCCGCTGGCGAAGACTCCCTCCTCCTCAACGGCTCGCCTTCTGATGTGACCGGTGCACGGACCCAGGCATGCTTCCGTGCCCTCCGTTCCCGCCGCGCCGCGATCGAGGCAGCTGACCCGTCCCTGCCGAAACTGTCTGCCATGCCCCTCCGTCTCGTCTCCGAGAACAACTTCCCCACCGCCGCCGGTCTCGCTTCCTCTGCCGCCGGCTTTGCTGCCTTCGTTCGCGCCGTTGCCGACCTGTATGAGCTCCCCGATTCACCAGCTGAGCTCAGCCTGATCGCCCGCCAGGGGTCCGGCTCCGCCTGCCGCAGCCTCTTCGGCGGGTATGTGGCATGGAGGATGGGCTCTCTGGAGGACGGTTCTGACTCTCTGGCCGATCTTGTTGCCGAGGCCTCACACTGGCCAGAGATGCGCGCTCTGATACTGGTCGTCTCGGCCGCCAAGAAGGGCGTCAGCTCGACCAGCGGCATGCAGCAGACCGTCGCCACCTCGGGCCTCTTCAAGCAGCGCGTTGCCGAAGTAGTGCCCAAGAACATGGATCTGATGGAGAAGGCCATCAAGGACAAGGACTTTGCGCTGTTTGCCGAGGTGACGATGCGTGACTCCAACTCGTTCCACGCGAGCTGCGCCGACACATATCCGCCCATCTTTTACATGAATGATGTGTCGAAGGCGGCTGTCAGGGCGGTCGAGAAGATCAACGAGGCTGCCGGGCGGACCGTGGCAGCATACACCTTTGATGCAGGTCCCAACTGCGTGGTGTACTACCTCGAGAAGGACGAGGCTGCCGTGGTCGGGTCATTCTACAAGGTGCTGGGAACGGAGGTGAGCGGCTGGAAGGCAAATGCCGCTGGTCACTCGACGGACATTGTCCTTGAAGAACCAGTCGCGGACACGCTCAAGACGGGCGTCTCGAGGGTCATCATGACTGGCGTCGGAGAGGGACCTCAGAAGACGGACGAATACCTGGTCACGGAGAATGGAGAGCTGGTCAAGCGGTGACCATGCTCAGACCAGATCATACTGCCCTAGGAGATTGTTGCTGTAGATGGTAAAGCACCATGATCAATCCCTTCTCCAGCTTTCTGCACAGCATAGCTGGTAATTGAATCTTTGTTTCATCTTTTGAATATAGGTACTTAATTAGAGAGGATTATTATAGAGAGAGACAATAAAAAGATGTGAAACGCCACAAGGTCACTCTTTGCATTTCAATGTGGTGGCAGAGGTTGTCTTAAAGTGCATGTGTGATATTCAGGGTCCAAAACTTCAGGGACCAGAGCTCTGTGGCTAGTGGTGGGCCCCCTGGAACAAAGTCTGCATGTGGCAGGTGTCTTGGAACTGGTTCCCCAGCACGCCTAGGATCTAGCAGTGCTGAGGTACTAACTGCAAGTAGCAGCTAGTAGCATGACCGTCACTTCAGTGCACAACAGTGCCCATCTTAAAGGGCAACGTCACTGGAGAACCCCAACCCACCTGAGCTGAACAGGTCAACAACAGAGAGCGAGAGAGAGACAGAAGAAAGTACCCAGGTACCTGTCACACCGGGTCATCATCATCCTCCTCTACTTGTCTTGTCTGACACTGTGAAAGCTTCAGTGACTTACAGCGACCACTCACAGACATCTCTCTTGCACTCTCTCTTTGCACCTTTGTTTGTTTATCTTCCCAGTCTTCCCCGCCCATCCCTGCATCTCTTTACTCTCTCTTCTGTGACATCACCCAAATGATGCAGGAACCCTGATTATCGTTTGCCTCGCCCGCTTTCTCATCTCCCAAGTCCTAGCCATTGGAGAGGTTGTTTGACGACGACGCTTTTGGGCCTTTACTTGCCTTGTGCTCACAGCTGGGGTGTGTCACATATCCTCACCTCTGTCTGGCAAGCCTCCCGACGAGGACAACTCCTTCTCTGTACCCATCGTCGTCGAGGGACAGACAAGAGATAACCCTCTGACCTCCTCCACTTTATTCTCAGTCTGTCGGGTCAAGATGAGTGTCATCTATGACATTGATGAGTCTGGTGATGTCCTCGTGACATACACCAACTCAGAGAAGAAGGGTGGCCTGAAAGCAGTATGTTCCCCTCTTTTCTGTGCTGTCTGCTCTTATCATCATCAACATGATGGAATGTCATTGACACCAGTCTGCAGGAGAAAACCAAGACCCCCCTGCCCAAGGCTATCCTGTATGCATTTCTCCCTGCGGGCTTCCCTCACACTGTCACCAATGACTACCTGGCCTACCAGACGTTCGACTCTCTGCAGGCCTTCTCGTCCTCCATCACCAACCTGTTGGCCAACCGTGCCATCCTGGAGGGGCTGGGCGTGGGCAACTCTTCGCAGACGCCAACGACCGCCCTCCTACTGCAGATCATCCAGGACACCTTCTCCCGCCTAGCCACCATCCTGTTCGCCCACCGCATGGGACAGGCCATCGAGCCCGAGTGCAAGTACTACCGCTTCCTCGCTGATATTTTCAACGACTGCAGTCAGTTCCTCGACCTCCTGCTCCCCGCCCTGCCCCTGCTGCCCAAGGTGTCGGTCATGGTGTCTGCCTCGGTGCTGCGCTCCCTGTGCGGTGTCGCGGCCAACGCCTCCAAGGCCACGCTGAGCGCCCACTTCGCCCGGTCCGGCAACCTCGCCGAGCTCAACGCCAAGGAGGCCAGCCAGGAGACCGTCGTCAGCCTTATGGGGATGCTGGCCGGGACCCTGCTGGTGAAGTTGGTCGAAGGCAAAGCCGCTGTCTGGTCCTGGATGGTTGTCCTGGTCGGCATCCACCTCTTGACCAACTACTGCGGCGTGCGTAGCGTCAAGATGCGCACCCTCAACCGCCAGCGCGCCACCATCGTCATCCGCGACTGGCTCGAGACCGGCACCATCCTAACCCCCGACGACGTCGCCCGCCGCGAGTCCATCCTGTTCAACAGCCGCGGTAACATGTCCTCCCGCACGGGCGAGTATCACGGTACCGCCGACTTTGGCGGTTACGGCGACGTCGTCAACTTCCGGTCCTGGGGCTCTCACAGCTACGTCTTCGACACTGACGACTACTACATGGGCATCTGGCAGTGGGGCCCGAGCTTCACCATCCGCATCGCCGTCAAGGCCGGCAGCCGCTCTGTCAACGACCCGCTGATGGCCTGGTTCGACGCCGTCGCCCACGCCTACCACTTCGACACTGCTGTCCTCAGGGACGGTCTGGGCGGGGCCGGTCACTACGAGAACGAGGTCCCCGACGACCACCGCGTGGGGTCTGGCATTGTCGACCGGGACACCAAGATGGCTGTCTTTGAGGCCCTCAGGGCCAAGGGCTGGGACATTGAGAACACGGCTCTGGAGACGCGCACCCCAGTGCGCGTGCGCGTCGGCGACGCCAAGACCTGCAAGGGCATGTAGTTATTTTGTTGTTCAGCTCGTTCTGGCTTTCTGTCCCATTTCTCTCTTTGAGGTCTTCGAGATTGGTTATCTAAGAAGGCCAAGCCAGATGCGCTTCCCCAATCTGAGTCCAAGCGCTGACCTATTTCTTTGTTTCCTGGTCTTCCTCTTCGAAATTTGTTCGGTTTTCCCTTACCCTATCTACATTATATGAAGGGATTCTTGATGTGCTGACACGCTCAAACACACCCAGTGCCACCACCGACAATTGAAAAGGACACAGGCTCTCTTTTACATCCACGACCACCTCCTCAACAGGACGCAAAGAAGGATTGACAGCATGGTTGAACTGTTTGGTTTTTCAATTTTGTTTTTCACCTCCGGCGTTACGGGAGCAAGTTATGGCGTTAGGAGAGAAAGGTCCGGACAATGATCCGGGGCGGGATCAGCGGGGGCGTTGGAGTCGTGATATGATGGCAATGGATCATCAACTCATGGTGATATTAAGAGGATCACAGGGCAGACATCTCATGGCAAGCAAATGCGCATTAGTGACTTGACAGTTTGATTGGGACAAGATCTGGGAGATGTCTTCCCTCTGTCATGGGTATCGTACACGGTGGAATAATGAGGAGCTGTGATTCTCGATACCAAACAAATGGAATGAAAACCTTCCACACTTGTCTTCCGACATATAGAGTGCTATTCCTTTTCCTTTCCCTTTTCTCTTTTTTTTTCTTCTTCTTCTTTTTTTCCCCCCCTCTCCTTTCTTTCTTTTGTCTTTCTGTCTCTCATTCTTTCCGGCGACCTGCAGTATTCAATCTTGAGAAATCGAACATTGAATGCTCACACCCCATCTCAGCTTATGCGCAAACTCCTACCTTCTCGTAGTCCAATTCCTTTTGTCATAGTCTGTCCGTCTCTTATTCAGCGCTCTTCCTCACCTCAGTGTCTCATGCCGACATCTTCTTCATGCCAGGCCGAGGGCCCTTGTCGCTCTCATCTTGACGGCCTCCCAGCTGTTGAGTTTGGGCCTGACATCGAGGTAGAAGCTAGGCCTGCCGGCCTTGTCATTCTTGCCGGCGTAGAAGTCAATTACGTACTCGACCTTGGTGCCGCAGCGGTCGATAATCCAGTCGTGCCTGTCGAAGGGAGCGGTATAGCCTAGGAGGGTGTTGAGCCTGGCCTTCGGTGACATCTTGCTGGACAGGCCCGTGAAGGAATAAAGCCTCGGGCCACCGGGGCAGCTATTATCACGAGGAGATTATCAGCGCATGACCGGTCTCTTCTTTTTTCTTGTCTTCTTGCTTTTCCTCTTCTTTCGCTACACATACTGTCTCCTCTGGGTCAAGGAGACGATCAGTAATTGGGGGAAAACGTACCTGGCAGCCTCGTAGGGCTTCTCCCACTCCTTGATCTCGACCCAAGCCCTCTCATTGACAGCATTATGAATAGGGACGACGGCCTTCATGTCTGCGGCGCGGGTATCGTGGCCCTTGCGCTTCATAGCGTCGAAGAACATCTTCTCAGAGGGATAGACCCAGTTGCCCGTCTTGGGGTCGGCGCCAGTTTCCGTCTCGTTGTTCACAGGACAGGCGGATGTGGTCGCACCGGACGAGGTGGAGCGAGGAATCGTGGAGATGACACGGTCGGTGCCGAGGCCTGTGTCGTGACGAGGAGGGTGGTTTTGTGGTAACGTCTGTTGCCGTGCGGCGTTCGAGTCTGCTGAGGAGGAGGAGGAGGAGGAAGGGGAGCTGAAGAAGGGGATCCGCCAGCCCCAGCCTGATGAGGAGGCAGAGGCTTGCTCCGGTGGTGTGGGTGAGGGTTGGCCCTGGTGTTGTTGTGAGGATGGGGCTTGTGCCTCTCGGGCTGCTTTTGCCTGTGCCAACCATGCTTCTCTGCTTGTGTGGTCAACAGGGCACTTTTCAGCACCTTCTGCGACCCCAGCGCCTGCTGCGTCCTTCATCATGGCCTGTGGGGTGGCGGTGGTGCTCGTTGTCGTCGTAGTCGTCGAATTCGCGGTCTGGTTCTGGCCCGTCTCAGTAGCCGTTCCTCCAACGTCCGCCAGGGCCTTCCTATTTAGAAAGAGCGTATCTAGTAGATCTTGCTGCAACATGTTGAAGGTGCCATTATCATAAATTGATTGTCCGGGTGTGTTTGGTTTGGTTCAGTTTCTGGAGGAAATATAGTCTTCGCGAAGTGGTGTGCAGTGGTCATGAAATAAGGTGATTTCCAGTCGCAAGGCAATTCATTCAAGTCATCATGCGCTAAAAATAATCGCCGGGGCGCTGCGGCCGGCAAGAAAGGAATCGCCTGGAAGTATTTTTTTATGGGGGGGCGGCCGTGGTCGGGGCAGGCTTGGCTTAGCTACTCACGTGCTACTGGATTTGGCTGGGCGCGCAGGGGTGCTTACAGTATCACAGTATTAGGTACTATGTACTGTAGGTGCTTCAGGTGCTGTACTAGCAATACTTTACAGCACCGGACCCGTTTCATCCAGGGTCGACCTGATCCTGACGGTGTCATCGATCTCATCCTCACGACACATACAGTCAATTGATATTGTCTTCGAGGCATGCAAGGTATAGTCTTGGGAAGTTCGGAAACATATGGACGAACTGAACCTGCGCAGCTCTCTTCTCATCTCGGTGGACTACTACACCAGGACTGGTCCAACTTGTCACCGACGGGAGATGACGAGGCAAATGAAGAAATGCACCTTCAGTCTCAAAAGTCATAATGTGATCCAGAGCCAGAGCTATGCCAGCAAGAAGAGGGAATCGCAGATCATATCACCCTGAAGCGGGAATTCAGTCGCCGCATGTTCCAACCAGGGCGCTGTCACACTGAAACGGATGAGGACGACAACTCTAGCATGAAAGCACAAGGAAACAATTTGGGTATACATAAACTGCTTAACATTCAGTGTCGGGTATAAATGGATTACTTAAAAAAGAGTTTCATACAGTCTCTCTCTCTCCCTCGGTCTCTCCGGCAATACGAAGCCACATCTCTGTCCGTGCTGTTCTTCTTGATTCTCCTTGTTTGTTCTTCTACTTTCCTTCTTTAGATCTTCTCCTCAGCTGCCGGGGAGGGGTGATCGACGTGCTCATTGCTGGGTCGGTCCAGCTTGGCCTCAGCATCTCCCTGCTCCAGCCTCACCACGTTGGCACGGTGGTTCTTGGTCTTCCAGGCGGGCTGTCCGATATACTTGACAGCACCAGGCTTGGTATCGTCAAAGATGTCCACAACCTCCTCAAGGGTCTTGTTGGCCGTCTCCGGGAACATGAACAAGACGTGGACGAACATGGCGAAACAGAAGACGGCGAATAGCACGTAGGTCTTCCAGGTGATGTTGGCAAAGGCAGGCGGAACAAAATAAGCCAGCGCAAAGTTGAAGGCCCAGTTCGCAGAGGTCGCTAGCGCCACAGCCTTGCCACGGGTACGCAGGGGGTACAGCTCTGGAGGGTAGGTCCAGGAGACGGGCCCCCAGGTGGGAGCGTACGAGGCGACGAAAAGGTAGGTCGAGGCGATGACAGCCTTGGCGGCGGGGCCCTTGATGGACATGGACTCTGCGTCCGAGTCAAACTCGTGGGGAGTAGCAGGGACGGAATAGACGGCGAAGAGACCAGCGTTGACAGACATCCAGAGACACATAAACAGGGCGCCGATTAGAAGCGTAGGACGGCGGCCCCAGTTGTCCAGCCAGATCAGGGCAGGGATGGTCATTATGACGTTGATTATGTAATCGATCCCGGAAGACAGTAGCGTGGCGCTACCGATACCCGCCATGTTGAAGATGTAGACGATGTAGTACACTGGGGTCCGTCAGCCTTGTGTCTGTATATAAAAAAGGATAAAACCAACAACAACGTACTCATCACATTCATTCCTGTTAATTGTGACCAAATCTGTGTAAAGACTCCAATCATCGTCCTATTGATCATGTGCGGCTTGAACAGCTCCAGATACGTGACATCGGCGTTCTGGCGCTCAAACTCGACCACGGCACGAATCTCCTCCATCTCCTGGTGGACAAATGGGGCGTTTGGGTCGCCATGACCATGCACGAGTACCAGGCACTCCAGGGCTTCTTCCCAGCGGTCCTGTTTGGCAAGCCAACGTGGCGACTCTGGGAGGAAGAACAGAGCAGCGCCGAGCAGGATAGCGGGGACCATTTGGACAGCCCAGGGAATACGAAAACTGGCCTCGCTGTTGATAAAGGAGCAACCGTAGCAAATAAAGAACATTATTAGTATTCCCCACGTGATCCTAATTCGAGATCTGTCAGCTTTCTGAGGCTCTCGTGGGGAAGAAGGGGGCGGATCTGAACTGGAGAGACAACATACGCCCATTGCTGCATACTCACGAGACGACCACGCTTGGAAGGAGGCGCGATCTCGGAGATGTACACAGGAACCTGAGCGGAGCAGATACCAACACAAAAACCGTTGATTATTCGGCCGACAATCAGCATTGGAATGTTCTGAGCGGCTGAGCAGAGAATCGAGCCGATTACCCTGGATTGAGAAGTTTAGTACCCTTGTGCCAGCACCTTGTGCAGAGAAGAAAAGTTTTGGGGCCAGCAAAGCAGTGAGGCCACCCACCAGATGACACAACCAATCTGAATCGAGGTCTTGCGGCCAAATCTGTCGGAGAGGAAACCTGAGACCAGAGAGCCCAACCACGAGCCACCGGGCATAGCGGCAGTGATACCACCCTGGACATTAGCAGATGGGCCCAAACAGGTCCCATTATCCATGCCCTGTGTGTTGAACTTGCATGCGTACGGCTGCTCGCCGATGAAGGCACTCATGGACGAGATATCGAAACCGAACAGCCCGCCGCCCACCACAGCGGTGGCTGCGATGAAATAGATATTGCCGACTTTGGGCGCCATCTTATGTTAACTTTGTGCCCCGAGAGGCTGGATGAGGTATGAAAAGTTTCAGGGAAGTGATGGAGGGTGGTCCTCAGCAGGAGCGGATGTTTTACTCTGTACACTCCAGAGGCGTCAGGGATCAAGGCAAAGGGAAGAAGTTGGAGAAACAAAAAGGAACCCCTCCGCAATAAAACAAAAGTGAGGGGAAGAAGGGGCTGCCTTCTATTTTATACTTGCCTGTACGGTTGCCTGCCACCTAGACAACACAACGCAACAGCCTTGTCCATGCCAAGAACAGAAAGCTCCAGGTCACCCCATGGGATACGTCCCCATGGGATAGACGCATGGTAAACAGGCTCGTCTTTCAGGCCCACACGGTGCAACGGCACGAGAGGGCGTTGGAAGGAATAGACGGATGCAATCTAGCTGCAACATAACGTTACGTGTGGGTTTACCGACCAGGAGTGGGCGATCACGAGAAGGGTGTGTCGTTGGAAGGATGCAGATCTCTTCTGCAGACCCGACAGGTACAACAGTACATCCAGTCGAGGTGGGCATCTCTTGACGAGTCAAAGGCCTTGTTGGATGGGGGCCGACTTGCAGATCGGGGGGGGAGGAGGACCAGTTAGGGGTCGTGGACCAGGGAACGCATAGCTAAAGCAGTGCTGGTCCAGTCCCATGTACTATGGTACTTTCTCAGTAGTATGTACTGTACTTTAGCATAGACCCGGGTTGATTGAGGCCGGGCGGCCCTTGGGTGTATTACCACGTTATTCTCGACAGGGTAGAAAGTACAAGGAGGAATAAAGGTGTCGTAAGAACTAATGACTAACTGAAGACCAGATGACCTACTGCCTGGACAAGGCCTTGACGGCTCGTTCTTGGATTGGCCGTCTGATGAAGAAGCAGTTGGCGAAGGATTCGAACAACAGCTGACCGCAAACAGGAGACATAGTACAAGAGGACTTCACAACCAACACTACGAACCTGGGATACATTTTTCCGGCACGATATGGCCAGGAGGGTTTTGGTGGGTCTCTGGGCCTTTGTGAGCCTCGGCAGCCTTGCCTTGAAGGGGCAAAAGGAGGGAAGAAAAAGAAAGAAGAGGTGAGAGTATGCCGGGCTTGTGGAGACGGAGAGCATGCCAGACGCGCGCACACGAGGTCGAGACTTCACGACGAACCCACCTAAGAAAAGTTCTGTGGAGGAAAGTTTTGTGACCCCAGATGATATCTCGCATGCAGTCACCGCAAAGAATGAAGTTGAGAATCGAGGGCTGTACTGAACTTCCTGCGCGTCAACGCAGTAATGTACCATTGAGAGCTCCCCCCTCGGGGTTGTTCGCCCGCAAGCCACACACCCTTAAAAAAAAAAAAAAAAAAAAAAGGCCTATCAGATCCATGCACTTATGGCAGCCCCATGGCTCCGGCAAGTCGTTCCCACAATCCTTCCCGAGGTCCTCCTCCACTGGGACATTCGTTTCCGTTCCTTGTCGTTGTAGTGACGTAGTGGCCTTTTTCTTCTTTCTGTGACTCCGAACCCTGAGAAAAATTAAGGTGCAGCGGCAATGTAGTATTCAGACAGGGAACAAACAAAACAGAGGGGGGAAGACGTGGTGGTGTTCGCCCACAGCGTTGGGTAGAGATCATGTGCCTGAAAAGTGGTGTACCAAGGGGCCGGATCTCGCCTTCTTTCTCCATGCCATCCACCCTCTCCAAGATTTGCACCCTCCAGCCCCGTGGAGAGACAAACTTTGGAGTCTGGAGAAAGAGGGTGACAGAGTCTGGAGATGGTGGGCCGGTGTGGCCAGGTCGGGCCAGTCGAGCTCCGTCGAGCCAGGTTCCCGCAGGTGGAGAAGGCCTAGTGGGCCGATGGGGTGGCAGGGTGGTATCACTTTCCTCGACTTGGTTTTTTGTTATTGTCTCACCCACACACTCTCCACAGAAACCCCCCAGAGACACCGAGCCAATTGCGACGTCTCTTTGACGACCTTTGACCGCTGATCACTACCGACTCCGCGTTTTGCCCGCTTCTTCAGAGTTCGCTGCGGGAAAGAGAAACGTTCTGGGAGTAGCTGATCATGGTCCCTCCTCAGCTGGTAACTTTGACCCCACCGTTCTCCATTCCAAACATTTTGACTTAAAAAGTTACTGATTTATATGAGAAACATGGCTCAAAGTTGCAAAACTTTTTTGGACTGAAAACCTTTGCAAACTTGTTGGCTGAAAACTTTTTGAGGCACCTACTACGGAGGAATGGAGGAGTAGTCAGGAAGGAACGACCAAGGTAGGTCCACGGGTAGTCCACTAGCTGGGCAAGGACGATAGATGTCGTAGGTGGCTTCGTGCGGCTTAATTTGAATTAGCTTGCCGCAACGTCAAAAAGCTTTTATCAGCAGCCGTTGTGGACCTCACCAGTGATCGACCAGGGGGTAGGATTATGGGCGCCTGAGAGGACAAACTGCTACGAGGTAGTAACGGACCGATTAAGAGGATTATGCCCGAGCCAGTGTAGACTGGCAGGAGCCCCTGGTCTGCTGCTTGCCAGGCAGCTGCCAGGCACGCCGCGGTGCCGTGCGATCCCGTAATAGCACCAAGTCGGGATTTGCCATGTTCAAAGGGCACTCGACTTCAAGCGCCATCTCCTTAGAATCAGGATAAAATAGTTCGTGCATAAGTTAAGTACATACTAGGGGCATATAGTGACGGTCAACTAATGATTCCAGCAGCACCCATTGTTCCCTTTTTATTAATTATGGGACAAATCACAATAAGCATACAAACAACAGTTGACCAGCAATCAATAGTGGACCAGCTTGAAGCTAATGAAATGCCTTGGCACGAGAATTGGCTGACTAAAAAATAATGTCTTCCAAACATTTTACATCAGCAATCCAGTTTATTTGGTTGCTATTTTCTTCTCTAATTTATCGAAAAGTTTTTGGGCTTCTTGGTAAAGTTTAGACTGCTAAAGTTTCAGCCAAATTTTTATAATGTTTCTTTCTTATTTAGAAGAAGTATTACTGAAAGGTGAGATGAGTGAGAAAGGAGCTAAAGCGCTCAGCTAACTATGCTCTCAGAACTGGTCAAATAATATATGCATACTAACTGTTAGCTGACTAATAATCAGTAAAAACGGAGCAATAGGTGAAGTATACCAATGGTTGACTCTATATTTCCCCGGTACAGTACCCAGGACCAGTTCAACAATGGAGTGTCACTATGAGTGAAATTAGAACAGCCTCGATGCCTAGGGAGGTTGACACCAGTCCATTCCTCTGTCTCCTCGACGACCTGAAGCACACGGGCCTTTTCATCTTTGGCCCAGGCTTCACCCTCCTCCCTAATGCTATAGCCGCGGTCAAACGTCGCCAGGCTATCTGGATGGAGTTGGCCGGAGACCCTTTCCTCCTTTGAGGTAGATCAGTTGGTTCGTCTCCATTTATGTTGAGCCCAGTGCGGCTCTTCCGTGTTCAGCTTGCCTTATATGGACCTCAGTAAGGCGGCGCCAGTCTTCGATGAATCTTTGCTCAAAGTAATACATGCGATTGTGGGTGATAGACATGCAGATCGATCGGGCTGTTGCAGCCCAGTTCACAAGGATCAGATGTATGTGCAAGATTTGAGATTTGGTGTGGCTGAATGCATCTAAGATCCAAATATCAAAGTGAGGCAACTGTGATACCCAAGCACATAGGGCCAGTAACCTGTTCATGTCGATGATACGAGGGCAGCTGTATTTATGCCATTGGAAACAGAACTGCGAGAGACTTGTCCTATTGCATTGAGCATATCTGTATAGATTTGTAATACTGTTATGTAGCGATGGCAGAAGAGGGTTTACAACCTACCAAGCTTGTCCAAAACTACTTCGCTGTCGATAGCTATGTCACCCAACTCCGCGCGCGCAATCCTCTGCCAACAACCTCACCTTGCCATCATCTAGCCCTATTGATTTGCAACCACAAATTGTTAAGCTCCCAACACAACACTATTTCAGGCCGATAGCAGGACTTTCAACCACAAACATTTCCTACCTGCTCTCATTCATCAAGTCGCTTCTCCTTCCTACACCTTTCCCCTTTCTTCTGTCTTGCACATTAGTAACGATCCTTCGCCTCTTATTTTGCTCAGCGCAAGGGGCTGCGCATCTATTTGCTTTCTTCACATTTGGAGCCGGCCCAGATACCGAAGAACACCACAATGGGTGACCGACAGAGCCCCGCCGCATCGTTGCATCACGGACGAGGCTGGCAACGGCGAAGAGATGCGCGCCTACTCAAATAGATACAAAAACACCACATCAACATCCCTGATTTTAAACGCCTATCCACTTGGAGGCGCGACAGCGCTCGTCAGGGAGCCGTTAGCAAGACCATAATTCGAAAGATATATCTTGTCGCGGATATAGCAAATGAGGAAGGGCTACCCCTGGACTTGATTTTCTCAAATGGAAAAAGTTTATGCGTACTTGCAACATCACATACGAAGAGCCTATCCATGTAGCATAAGGCCTGGCAACTTGAGCCAAGTAATACGTGCCCAGCCTGGCTAAACGTGGACCGGCGGGCCCTTCAGCGGTTCCTAGCTACCAGAAACTCAAGGGAACATCAACTTCCAGCACCATCTCCTTGAGTTTTAGGATAACATACCTCAGCAAAGTTATGCTTGAGGAAATTGCTGGTTCTTGTCTCGATGAGGATGTTGTTGTTCCCGTTGATACGATCTCGGAGACTGCAAGGTGTGGAGGCCCATCCAGGACGCATTTGTTTGCCGTGGTGTCTATGGGTTATGGTACTCAATACCCATTGGCAGGCTCAAGAATTCGGCATATTTGACTTGGAGCCTGGCCTTCTCTCTGGCGACGGGATCGGCTTCGTTGATGACCATCTGTCTGATGCAGGCCTAAAAGATGCACTCCAGGTAAACTGTGATAGTTGTATCCACGGTTTCCCAGCGTCGGTTGCACCAGCGTCTTATGCGTTCGAGTTGTTCGTGCATGAGCTGAGCATACCGTGTCCAGGACCAATCTGACGGGAGAGTATCGCTGTGGGCGAAGTAAGAACAGCCTTGATGCATAGGGAGATTAACCCCAGTCCATTCCTCTGTTTCCTCCACGACTTGAAGCACGCGAGCCTTTTCATCTTTGGACCAGACTCTGCCCTCCCTGCCGCTGTAGCCGCGGTCAAACGTTACCGAGCTGTCTGGATGGAGCTGACTGGAGACCCATTCCTCCTCAAAGTACGCCATCTCATCCTCACTTATATTGAGCCCCGTACAGCTCTTCCGTGGCCAGCCTGCCTTAATACGGGCGTCAGTTAGATGACGGCAGTCTTCGATCATCCTTTTCTCAAGCTTGGCAAGAACCCTTCTGGCTGAGCCATCACCAGACTTGATCCGTATCATATAGTCGGTCGCGTTCTTGTAATATCGAGCCAGGGTCTGCAAGAAGATAGGCAATTGAATGTGCTTGCAGTAATTGAGGGCGAGAGGAACGGTAGCAAGGTTGTTTGCGGCGTGAACTACTGTGGTGTTAGATGTAATCTCTCGTGCCATCGATAACCAGGTGTTGAACAAGTCGCTCGTGGCCAACCATGTCTCGTAACCACGCTGGATGACAGTGATTGACCATGCCATCTCGAGAGAAGGAATACTTACCGAGGGGGTCTTGTTACTCAGGTCTGCGACAACAACTTCGCTAGGGCGTATGAGCAGGTCCATATAACCGGGGCGCCTGGTAACGCTGAAAAGGGAACCGCCATCATAGATACGGAGCTGCGACTTTTTCCCGCTTTGGGAACCGTCCTACTTGGTGCTTGTAGAACTCGAATGCCGCGGGCTTGGTTGTGAAGGGACTCAGCCTAGCCAAAACACTTGAAAACCACCGCAGGAATTTTTCAGTCCGCAGGATGTTAGCTTTGGTAGTTTCATCCAGGACATAATCATAGGAATCGAGTGTGTTTGTGACCGTGAAGACAATAATCTCGGGATCCTTCCATCCCTCTTTCTTCCTTCTATCTCTCTTTCCTTCTTCCTTCCCTCTTCCCTCTTCCCTCTTTCCTTCCCCCTTTCCTCTTTCCTTCCATCTTCCCTCTTTCCTTCCCTCTTCCCCCTTCCCTCTTCCCTCTTCCCCATTCCCCCCTTTCATCCCCCTTCCCTCTCCCCCCCACCCTCCTTCCAACCCTCTTTCCCTCTTTCCCTCTTTCCCTCTTTCCCTCTTTCCCTCTTTCCCTCTTTCCCTCTTTCCCTCTTTCCCTCTTTCCCTCTTTCCCTCTTTCCCTCTTTCCTCTTTCCTCTTTCCTCGTCTCTTTCCTTACTGCAAGGCCTATAGATCTTCTTCATAATCTTTACTTCTACACTTCTTGCTTTTCTACTAGCCAGTCTTGGTTTCCTATCCAAACCAAATTTTTCTCATTTAAACTCTCTGCTATCTCTTTATATCACAGCTCCGTATTATCCTGAAGGCTCTTAGTTTCCAGCGCTTAAGCCTAAGCTAGGGTCTGGCTGACTACTACTGCTAGTCCCGAGGGACGATACTGCTTGAAATCCCTTATGATCTTTGCAAAACGCTAGAAGGCTCTCAAAGCTTGCAAAAGATTCTCGAGATAGAAGCGCGTCTCCCTTAAGGTAAGGTCTCAGGGAAGCAGCAAGGCCTTTCCCCAGGCCAAGGCCGTCTCGAGAATGAGCACCTAGCTAATAGACAGTGTGCTAGATGGCCCTGGATGCGTCCTCGTCCGCGCTTGCAGTATAGCTCAGCGCCCTCGCGGTGGAAGGCCTCGCAATGCCACTTAGAGTCTCTACGCCTGTGGCAAATCCCGACCTGGTGCTGTCTTCTCCCGACCCCCGGTTCGAGGCTAGTGGCAACGTTATCTGTTATGCAGATATTGAATCAGATGATGAGAGCGAGCAGGATTTGGAAGAATTTGATATGAGTAATGAGGACGGTTTAGAGGAGGTAATTCCGGATGAGGCTTGGGAAGGGGGCCAATCTTGACAACAGCAGCCCTCACCTTTGAAGCGAGGAAAGTCGTACGTGGTGGAGCCGGACGCAAGACCGTGTCACACACATTGATATGCCAGCATAGACTCACGACCGAGGCCGCTGTGAGAGAGTTGAGCTGAAGTGAAATGTACAATTTTAATGATGCTCTTAGAGCGTCTGCCTATGAAAATCCATACATGCCGTGAGGCGACGTCCTTTCTTGCAAACTGGAAGGGCTGCCGGTCGACCAATCGTCGAAACATACGCGCAGTCTCTCGGGAAACTTTTGTGCGTCTCTGTCGACCACCACTTTTTGACGCCACTGAAGCACCTAATGAAGAGAGGAAAAGAAGAAGGGCCGGAGGGGGGGGGGGGCGTTGGAACCGTGGCGACGCTTCGTTCCTCTTCGCGCATCAACCGGAGTCCCAAATCGTTTCATTCAGGTCCTGCTCGACATCCCAATGGCAAGCTCGTTGGTCATACCAACGCTCGTGCGCTCGCTCATGATCAAAGAGCCAAGGCTAGCCATCCCACCCTCTTTCATCCACTCTTCTGCCCCACCAATGCGGTCCAAATCTGACAATAGAAAACCAAGGGGAGCCGGGAGCCCTCATGCCGCAACAGAGGCGCCTCCGCTCTCGATAGCCTCGATCTCCTCGGCCGACCAGACACTCCGTCTAAAGCGGGCGGGCAACTCGTCGCGGTCGAAGAAAACGCCGTTAGCCGGGTTGATGGAGGGCAGGGCGGCTGCAGGGGCGGCTCCTATGCCGGTCTCTGCTGTGCGGGTCCATGTCTTGCGGAGGGGGCCGTACTGCTGGGAGCGCTGGCGATATTCGGAGAAGGAGGCATGGGAGGTCTTGCTAGAAAAGTCTTCTGGGAGCGAGCTCGAAGGTGAAGCAGGATGAGGTTGAGGTGTGTGGTCAACCGCCGCTGGGGAGAGAAATGCATCATTAGCATGGGTAATCTGGGTATAGGGTATTGGTTTGGGAGTTGACAACCTACAAGGAATCGTGCGCTTTCCGAGAAATTTGATAGAAGGGACACGCTCAGCGTGGGCAGCAGCCTGTCGCAGTGCTCTGGTTGCAAACATCTTGAGACCTTGGTACTGCTGAGAAAGAAAGGGCCTGTTCTGGCTGGGTTATGCTGTATTGTGCTGTTTCCTGAGCCTTATCTGAGGTGGGCTTTGTTGATGGTGGCTATGGGAAACTTTGGCGGGTGTGTAGGACAAAGTAAAATAGAGAGGCACGGGGCTGTCTGCAAGTGTTTTGATCACAGACAAGTACAATTTTCGAGCAAAGAGAGATGTGGTAAAGGTTTCGAGGGTTGGAATGATTTGGAGACGAGGAGGAGGAGGAGGACGACAACGAATATTCGGAGGTTTTGAGAGGTGGGAGGAAGACGTGGGAGGAGATAGATAATCGCCGAGGGTGCACTTTGGTGGAGGATTGAAAATCACAAGCTTGCAGGTGGGCCGTGCTTCAACCGACTGGGCATTTCCCCAAATTTGAAAACAGCCAATGCAAGGTTCTCCAGGCTGCTGGGAAGGAGGGGACCGGCCGGGGGGCGCTTCTAGGGCTGCTGAACCGGAGCCATCTAGGCACGGCTCAAGGGATGCCACGGCCAGGGGGTTGCGCTGAGCTTTGGCCCGGAGTTGGTGATAGTGAGAGTGAGAGATATAGGTAGGACAGCACCACACTGTTGCCCAAGCTCCGAACTCCGGAGCCGCCCAAGCCTCTAGAGGCACTACAAAAATGCAACCAGTGCCTCAAACACGCCATTTTCAGTCTCCATCGACCCACATTTAGCGGTCCTCCCCGCACTGCTGAATGTCGCAAGCAGTGTTTTTTTCTCTTCCTTACTTTCCTTCCCCTCTGATAAGGAAGCCTAACCCGAAGACGTCATTTCATGCTGTAATTTCTTGAAGAACTTAGTTGCTTTCAAATTGGCACAAGACCAAAAACCCTAACGTATATACTGAAGTAGGTTGCTTGTCTATACAGAATATAGATATGTCCCGAGGAATGGATAAAGGGGAGACAGATAGCTGTTGTTGAGTTCCGAGCCGCGCCAGACACACACGGCAGGTCTCCTCAAGTGTCTTACCCGTGCCATTAATCCCCCGATGTGGCGCAAATGCAGCCCTACCTCGGACACCTGTCACCCATCCATCAACATCTCAAGAGCTTTAGAAATTTTCTGATAAGTCATGACAAGCCATGCCTAGACAGACATCTATTATGGTAGAGTATGACCTGCAAAGTCGATCGGGTCAGACCATCTCAAGCCAGGCATGGCATAGCATACATGTGACAAACATCAATATCTGCAGAGTAATACAATGCAGCGTCTGCCTTATGGGGACTCCCACACTCATTGAAAACAACTTAGGCCCGTAGAGTCGGGATTCCTATGGGTATGACCATGAATACGGGCTGGCACAGCATGTCATGTAATACATGATAAGCACCATGGCTTGGAATATGGCTTGTAACATCAAGCCATTGGCCCTGACAGGCCTCCTGCTTGCACCATGAATCTGACTTCACAGTATCTCTTCCAGGTATGGCTGGTCTCTACATCTTTGCTTTCACACGAGCCTCCAGAGGCTAGGCATTATGACAGTTTTGGGAAAGAGAAACGCCCATTCTTTTTTGGGCAGGTCTTGCCGGGTCTGGCACATGATGTTTTCCCCTCTCTTTTCTGGTTATAAATTTTTTGAAACTTCCTTCCAGCCATATATGCTTCATCTTACTGACTACGAAGTATGTAGCATCGCCTGAGGACTCTTCCTTTTGCTGTCAATGCCTTCTGGAGTCTTGATGTGCTGATGCTTGGACCCGGGCTTGGAAAGAGCACCTGCAGGGCAGCTGGTCGCCAGCTGAACTGAGCTAGTGTAGGGACACCCATGCCTAGGCTGCTGGGGTAGAAAGTACCCTCCAACATGTGAAAGCAACCCGCGTCTCCAAACACGACTCCAACGCGATTGCCTTCCTGATGCATCCACTGAATCTTTCCTCGTGCTTGGCAATCTCTATACATTCAGGCACTCCCCTCTTGACGCTGACTTCTATTCATGTCATATATAGCATACGGAGTCGTTGTCGAATCGAGTTCCGACCCTGGCTGTCTCAAATTCGAACCTATTCCCAACAGACCATCAAAATGCCTGCAACCAAACGGCGCGCAGATGATGAGAACGACCCCACCATCTCGCCCCCGCTTGTCAAACGAAAGGCCCAGGCCCAGAGCAACGTTACAAGTCTGTCCAATATCTACTCTCCATAGCATTCTCGCTGCCATCTTTTTCCACCTCTCGATTGCCAGCTGGGCTGACCTGATTCCCAATTTCCAGAGAGTGCCGTCGCCAACTTCTTCACACCTACCTCCCAGAAGCCCAACATCGAAGCCCGAGTCTGTTGGCATGAGCTACATACGGACGGCAAGCCACCGTCCTTGCTCTGCGGTCAGTACAAGACGTCCAACAAGTACGGTGCCGAAGATCCTTCCGCAAAGAGACGCAAGATCGCAGCCTTCGACCTCGACGGCACCATCATCACCACTGCCTCCGGCAAGACCTTTGGCGACAATGCCGCCGACTGGAAATGGTGGGATCACTCCGTCCCTGCCAAGCTACGATCCCTCTACGAGGGTGGTTACAGGATCGTAATTTTCTCTAACCAGGGCGGCATCACCCTCGGGCCACCCGTCCGCGACCCCAAGGCCAAGGGCCCAAAGGGCCCCAAGAACCCCAAACGACTACCCGTGTGGAAGCAGAAGGTCACCGCTGTCCTCACAGAGCTCGACATCCCGATATCAATCTACGCAGCTACCATGAAAGACGTTTACCGAAAGCCAGGACTGGGCATGTGGCACACCATGTGCAAGGACTACAACGTGGCCCACGACGACATTGACAAGGAGGCGAGTATCTTCGTTGGAGATGCCGGTGGTCGAACAGCAAAACCTGCCTCTGGCGGGAAGAAGGCCATTGCCAAGGACTTCAGCTGCTCCGATCGTAATTTCGCCTACAACATCGGCATCCAGTACGCCACTCCGGAGGAGTTCTTTCTAAGCGAAGAGCCCAGGGACTTCCGCAGAGACTTCGAACCGTTATCATATGCATTCTCTGAGACCTCGGATGTTATCTTTGAGAAGAAGAAGGACCTCGAGATCATTATATTCAGCGGGCCTCCGGGGGCCGGCAAGTCCACCTTTTATTGGACCTACTTGAAATCCTTGGGCTATCAGAGGGTAAACCAGGACATCCTCAAGAGCAGGGACAACTGCGTAAAGGCTGCTAAGGAGCATCTTACGCGCGGGGAGTCCGTCGTGATTGACAACACCAACCCAGACCCAGAGACGCGCAATATATGGGTCAACCTGGCAGAGACTGTTCAAAAATTATCAAAGAAACGACCATCGGTCCGATGTATCTGGTTCCGGACACCATTGCTCGTCGCTGAGCACAACAACGTCGTCCGATCCATGAACGAGGGGCTCAATCCTGAATCGAGGGAGTTGGTCCCGAAGCTGGCTTTCAATAGTTTCTTCAGCAGATTCAGGGAGCCTGATGCCGACAAGGAGGCTTTGGATGAAGTCGTGCCGGTCGAATTTAAATTCCGTGGTACGAAAGATGACTATACTCGATGGAGTCGATACTGGGTTTGAGCGTCCTGAGGAGCACGGTCTCCATCACTCACGGACAATGCCAGAAGCCCCACAAGTGATGTCTCACTACCATAAACAGAGAAAACACGCCACGATACCGGCGGCGCCTCTTTCTCATACTGATTCTCTTCCCAGGATTGTTCTTTGACCCTTGTTGGTGGAACAGGTCGAACGGAAGGCTCTGGGTAATTCACCAGGAGTGACAACGCCAATGCTTGATGCTATGACGTTGATCCGCAACGGTTTCATGCAATGAAGCCCAGATTTCAAGAGATAGGAGCAATCCAATAGATGTGGATACTGGTACATGTGTAACCTTCGGATGCTGTCGCACTTGTGCCGCCTTATCCGAGCCATTATCATTCATTGCTCCTCATCCTGCTTCATCCTTACCAGTGGCAGAGTAGTGAACATGGACGGCGTGGTAATCAGCACCGAAAGCACATCAGAAACAAACAGTCGACCATGCACCGGCACACGGCCGTTCAGTTGCAAGGGGGAACAACTTCTGCGGCACTTACTACAGAGCTCCCTTGTACCAACCTACTTCTTCAGAACGAGCCAAGCCAAGTCTTTACAGCATTAAATTTGCTCATGGTTTTGAGTGCATTGCGCTGACATCACATTTAGGTAGCCTCGTGGGCAGACGCATTCGAATTCGGCTCAATTGTTTATCATGATCTATCAACAGCCATCTGCGATGATGCTCTTTAATACATCACAGTGATGTGGTGCCTGTATAATTTCCCGTCTGCGTGGTAAAGTCTCCCAGCTCAGTGAGACTGTCGATGCGGCCCAGCAGGAACTCGAGCTGCCTATACGCTGCCCCTGGCACGTACTGGGGAATCTCGTGCCCGGCAAGATCAACCGTGACGAACGTCAGACCACGCTCGGTATGAGTTGTTCCAAAGTAGCCACCACCCGCGACCAAGCCCACAGAGATGGCGGGGATCTCGGACTGGTAAAAGGTCTCGGCAATGGCAGCGCCAATAGTCGGGTTGTATGGCACGAAGAACTTGTCCGTGAAAGGCGAGGAGGAGAACCCTTGGGCCCCGTTCCAGGTCATATTGTTCAGGGTGGCCAAGGTGCCGTTGGTGATGAGGAGGAAGTCCAGGTTGCCGCTGCCGACGATGACATTGTTGGTGCGCTCGACGACACCGGCCAGGACCGTGAAGCTGGACGGCTGCGAGCTCTCCAGGCCCAATGTGTCGTCCCCGCAGATGGCGTAGTCCACGTGTGGCTGCACATTCAGTGCTTCCTGGACATCTGTCCGGTTGAAGTAGTTGTTGGGCCCGTCTCCAAGAGAGGGGAACCCAAGCTCATCCCAGAGGAACGGGCAGAAGTCGGTGATGTGGTAGAAGTTGAAGCACGGGTTGACATACAGTGCCGCGAGGTAGATGTCGTCCAGCACGTCACATTCGTAACCCGAGAAGTTGCCTGTGCCAAGGGAAGTGGGGGTTGGAAACTTGCCCGCGGGGGGGAATGTGAGGGCGAGGTCCATGAAGGCATTATACCCACAAGCCTCGGCGCGCTCGTTGATGGCTTCCACAAAGGAGTCGTTGAGGTTCAGGAGACCGTTCCACTTGTTGACGAAGGGCACCGCCGGCGCCTCCCCAAGCACACTGCTTGATCCGATGCTGGGGTCGTTGATCTGGATCCCCTTGACGTTGTAGTAAGTCGTGTCATTTTGGTCCAAGAAGTAACTGGAAATGTATGGCACATCTAGAAACCTCAAAAAAGATCAGTATACGTCCCCATCTCCTGGCGTGTGACCTCAAAGCGTTGACCATCCCCGCGGGCACACACAAGCTAGAATATCTGCCGATGTGCCGAAGTCCCGAGACCAATCCCTATCGGGGTTTGATAGTGTGGAATGTTGACTTACACATCCCCGCATACGACTCGCCCGTGAGATAGACATCATAGCCCTGCATGTCAAAGGTCTCGATGAAGTTCTTCCAGAAACCAGCAAAGTCGACCGCAACATCAGTCTCATTCTTGATCTTGGCCGGCACCCCAGGGGCTGCCAAAGACAGACCCGTTCCGACGGGCTGATCGATCCAGACCATGTTGGTCAGGTTGGTCCAGGAGAATGGGTTGGGCTGGGGCTCATAAGTTCCAGACTGCCACTGGAAAGGTCCATTCTCCTGGAAGAGGCCATCCATGGAGCTGCATCCTGGGCCTCCGTTCAGCCAGATGACGATCTCGTTGCTGGCGAGCGGGTTCTCGGACGGGAAGAACCAGAAGAACAGCTCGTTAGCCGTGGCGTTTGTCGCATTCAGACTGCTGATGGGCAAACGTCCAGCGTAGGACTCTCCCAGGTCGAAATTCACTTCTGGCACGCCAGTACCATTGACAGCAAACCCTGTTTGAATTTGGTGGGGCGTGTCAACAATTGAACCGAGCAAGCCCCCAAACGTTGGGGGGTGAGGTCTTTGACGACGGGTGGGTATCCTGCTAACCTTCTGTCTTGGCGGTCAAGAAGCTCGGGCTGTCGCTCGACGCGCGCTTCTGATGAGCTGCTGGCCTGGGAGCGCTCTTGGGAGCTCTGCTCTTCAGGGTGGCGGCGCGTTTATGGGGGTTCTCCGTGGCGAGCACGCCCGCAGCACCGAGCAGCGCCGGGAACACTAACAGCGCGGGGATATGCATCTCGACGTCAACACTAAAAGAAGACGAGGAGGAGGAAGAGGAGAAGGAGGAGAAGTGACGCTCACGAGCATTCAACAACGACAAGACGTAAGAAGCTACATAGTGAGAAACCGCAGTCTTTAAGATGTCCCAACTGCCATCGTATTTTTAAGTATCCCCCTGCTGACGATGATCGCACTCATTACCCAGAAAGGGCATACACATTCTATGGTCCACCACTTGACTCAGGCAGGCACTGCCACTGTGGGATTACTGTGGCCCCGACTTGCCCCCTGGGATCAGCAGATACGGAGGAAAATGGCTTGCAATGCCGCTCTAGTCTATGACGACATTCCAAATTAGGAAGGTAGATAAATTGTACAGTTGCAGCCTGGTAACGTTATACTGCAAAAAGTGGAGGGTAGGTAGAGTTATTTACTGTCTAAGTCTCCTTGGCGCCCTACTATCTGTAAGACGGAAGAACTGCGACATGTGAGATGTCCTCGGCGATGATGGCATAATCTATCATTAAATTTGTATGCAAGGATAGGAGAGATGCCTGCAAAGTGGCCCAAAACACACGTTCGCCTCTCCTGGCAGTTGGGGATGGAGGGGTGAAGGTCACTGCGTGATTTTTGCTGGGCTTGGTTTTCGTGATCAACCGCCTGGAGAGGGGGGGGGGGGGTCACACACAAGAATCCATTAAGAGTATGTGTGATTCGGATAATTGGGTTCTGTAGTGGTATTCAGTCACATCAACAGCCCACTCACAATTCATCGCTGCTACTGTATTATCAGTGAGCGTGACACATTGATCGGTTGATGGTGATGGGGAGAGGGAGCTAGAGAAAGAGAAAAACCGTTGCATCAAGCCAGGCCACCTGTATACACAAACGAGACGCTAATTAACTGACTACTTTTATACGAGAGCCATACTAAGTTCTTAGTATGAAGAGGTCGAGTTTTTTTACTTGGAGCATTAGACATGCATTAAACTTGAAACAAGACAATTTCCTTTATCTGTCAAATCTCACCCACCCACCGCCTTTTGCCTTTGCTCACCAGCATCCAGTACGATTATCTTCAGGTAGGTCAGTGCGCTTCGAATGATAGCAATACTACGTGATGGCTTTAGCTCATAAGGCCGTATAGGGTCCACTGCCACATCAATGCTCACAACAGACCTTACAGTGGTATGTAATCAATCAACGGTACCTCGAAAGCTACCTAGATGGGACCAGATCGTTCCGCAACCTTAATTGATTTGCATGTGGCTAGGATTAATAGCGGAGAATGGGAAAAGCATGATGCAGCAGCACAGCACAGTCATGTGAAAGTCGTCTAATAAGTTAATCTCAACCTCAGGATCCAGAAGAGACCCTGTATATACTGCAGAACTAGCAGGACGATGTCATCCTTCTTCTCTTTTACGGTCACATGACGGAACCGAGAAACCTTCTTCAGCACCCGGTCCACTAGGAGAAAAGTTTTCGTTTGGACGACTGCAGCAAACAGTACTTACCCAGTCACGCTTTTCTTTTCGTCAGCAACCCTTCTCACCAACCATTCTTTACATGATGAGAACACAGTACAAGACACATATTTCTGCGTAAATGGCATACGCTAATTGATCTATTCTTCCACGGATACTCCGTCTTCCTCACAGCAAATTGTTGCCGCCATGAGCCAGGTCCTTCCCGCAAGTTCTTTGACCACCTTCCACTGAGCCACAAAATTGACCGGACCTAGATCCTAACTCTCTGAAAAGGAGTGAGCTCCCAAATGAACAACGTGCTTGACAGGTTCCGTGATGTGCATCGTCATTCTTCATGCAAACTGTCTGGGGCAATACCAGAATATCAAAACGGTCATTGGTAACAATGTCCATTTTCCGAATTGCTGTTCCTCACATTCATGACAGTACCGAGTACACAATGGCAAGCATTGAAAAGCTTCCAAAAAGGAATTTCATCTACCGTTATGATTGTGCTTGTTTGGCCTTCTGTATCCCAGCGGCGTTGGATTGATGCTCCGGCATGCTTTCTTGGGAATCCCTGGACATTCTAAGTAGAAATATTTGCATGAAAAATCAAGCATGATCTGCTCAGAAAAGGTTTGAACGCAAGCAAATGCCAACATAGTTTCATGTGTATTTATTTGGCTTCAGATGCACCTGCGTATGCCAGGGGATTAATATTTTCCCCAAAGCTGCAATCGTGAACTCTCAACACCGGAAACAACATGGGAATATGTTAGATGCCTAGTGTATTGACGGGCATACATGGCCTCAGAATTATGCCCGGAGTAATCAGTTACACTGCTTGAGGTAATTGATGCTTTACAGATAAACACTTCACGTCTGAAAGAGTCTGACTGCCTGATGTCGTCATCTCGCGTCATCCTCGTTGGGGCATTCAGAAAATTTCCAATAATTACTAGACATCATGTTGACACTGAAGCGAAAATAAATCAAATGATTTCAATGTTGTCTATCACCTCTGTGGATCAGAAAACCATCAATTGATTTATAGCTACCCAGTTGGAAGTAGACTGACTATATGACAGGCAAATATGCTTGTTTCAAAAATAGCCATGCGTCGAACAAGTCATATTTCTGCCGAATGATGCAGAAACTGTGAACATTGTATGGCACATGCTGTCCCAAAGAAACGACAAGCGGATGCAGTCGCGAGATCGGATCTCGCATGGATTCTGCGACACGCACTTGATATCTTTTTGCGGGCCCTGCCTATGTTTTGGCGAAACAGGAGGAGAGCTTTATAATCTCATTAGCACGTCAACGTTACGCCATCTGCGATGCAATCACGCCAAATAGCCGCCTTGTCGACTAATAGGTCAAAATCCCCGACATCCGGGGCAAAGTGGGCATTGAAACGGACCCGGATCTTTGATGGTGTGGCCGGCTCGTGAGGGGTTACGAGGAGTTGGTTATCAGCTTGGTCATCGTTTGCTGCTCACTTTAAATATATAGCCCACTTGTCTCGACCAGAGAGACTTGCCGAGACGACAACGATTCCGGCACAGCTTGATTCTCTTCAAAGCCGTCAAGAATATTCACAAAATACCAACTGACAATTCATATCACAATGCCGCACTCTACAGAAATCTCCCAGTACTCGTATGTGCCCGAGACAAAGGAGGATCTTGATTGGGCCGATCGTCAGTCTATCCAATGAATTGTGTTGATCAGGGAGTCTCGAGTGCAACCTTTCTGATGCTATAGCAGTTCCCAACATTGATCTCTCCAAATATGGTACTCCCGAAGGCACGGCGGAGCTGGCTGAGCAGCTCATCGAGGCAATCCGCACCAAAGGTTTCTTCTATGTGACCAACTTTGGCATTCCTCAAGAGAAGGTCGACAGGCAGTTTGCCCTCGGCAACGCATTCTACAACCTGCCTCTTGAGGAGAAGAAGAAGTATCAGCCTGACCTCGACTCTGGTGATTACAATGGCTACAGGCCTGGCGGCCGACGCCTGCTGAGCGGTGGTATCTATGACAAGACGGAGGTGTGGAATATGGCCAGTGAGTAATTTCAACGATCTTATATCGAACCATGTCCGACGCAGTTTTACTAACGAGGATAATCCTTCGCCTAACCACAGCTAAGGATGGCCACATTACCCAGCCAATTCCTCAACTATTGAAGGACAACCTGGAGGAGATCGAAGCTTTCGCAAAGGTACGAAGGCCTTTCTCCAAATTTAACAAGGCGGGGTCTTATGAGAAGTTTTCGGTCTCTGATAATCAGTGTATGAAAATTACAGGAACTCCATGACAAGGTCCTGGACCCTCTCAACACCTTGATCGCACTGGCCCTTGAGCTTCCACCTGATTTCTTCACCAAAGTCCACCGGTGGGATGTGCACGACGAGTCTCACCTGCGGTACATGAAGTACAGCAAGTTCTCCGAGGACGAGATCTCCAAGCTCTCGGATGGCCTTTGGTCGCCGGGCCACACGGACCTGGGAACCATCACTCTGCTGTTCCGACAGCCCGTGGCAGCCCTTCAGATCAAGGACCACAAGACGGGCCAGTGGAAGTGGGCCAAGCCTCTCGACGGTAGCCTTACCGTGAACACGTGTGACGCACTGAGCTTCCTCACGGGCGGCTATATCAAATCGACCATCCACCGCGTGTCACTTCCCCCCAAGGACCAGCGCCACGTGGACCGTCTGGGCCTGCTCTACTTTGCCAGGCCCCAGAATGACCTGGTGCTCAGCACAATTGACTCACCGCGGTTGAAGAGGGAAGGTTTCACACAGAACGAGTTTGAGAAGGGCGGGCACAGAGTGCCCACCATGGGAGGTAAGGATTTCATATCCCCTTTTCTATTCGAAGAAGATAGAAGCATGGAAGAAGGAAAAAGGAAGAAAGAGAGAAGAGAAAAAATAGTTTCTGTTGTTGCGAGGAGAAATCATCAGCTAACTAACTGACTTTTGTACAGAATTCACGAATCTCAAACAAAAATGGCAGCAGGGCAAGGTTAAGAGCTATGCTGAAACTGACGGACAAGAGATTCTTCCTGGCTTTACAGGACGCCGTTACAACTAAGAAGCAAGAGAGACAAGAAAGTCCTCGGTGCTTTCCGATTTGAATCTTACATTTTGTCATATGCTTTGAGCATTTGCCGGGGAAGTGCGTTCAAGAAGAAGTTTCTGTTGTTGGCATGTGCTCGTGTTTGAGATAATCTCGAGATCCTTGGCTTCGATTCTATTATTGTCGCGATGCTTGGGGTCAGCTCCTTTATTGACAGCGCCCTTTCTCCTGTGGAAACTGCCAACACTAGTATGTCATCAATGTCGAAGATCCTCTTTTCGTCGATCCCATCATCGGGAATCCATCTCGTGGAGCTCGTGTTCCATACTTGAACATTTCGAACTGATTGCCACCTCCTGTGCCGCAGAGCGTGGTATAATTAAACACCACCTGGTTCCTTCGGGTTCTCCGTCGAGACTAGAGATGTCTCCTAACTTGCATCTGAGCGCTGGAAAATCAGTAGCAAGGGGGGCTTGTGTTTACTAGGTACCAGATGAACACGGATCATGCCGTCAGAGGTCTCCCCGTAATTCTTTGATGGCTCAATCTTTCGTCCAAACGGTAGACTTAGCAGTGTCGTGATGCTGTCCCGCTGAGCAGTAAGGTAAGAACTCAGTAGAAACCCAATGCACGTGTAGAACCAGACACGGGCATGTTTTAAGTTGGAGGTTTGCTTTGCAACATGTCCAAGGGTTTCCCTTGGGTTCCCCGGGTTGGGCGGTTTTCAAAGATGCACGCGCTGAGAGAAGGGCCTTACCAAGAGAGACAAGACCCACAAGCTACTTAAGTTATTTCAATACATCCTCATCCTTGACAATAGCCTGCAAAAGCCGAAGCCTAGATTCGCGCCACCGCTGTGTGAAAGCATTACGGTACCCGCAAGGAGGGTATCAGCGGGCCCCCAATGCAAGATAACACTCCTGGGACCTGCGGAACAAGCCGAATCACGAAACAGCCGGGCTTTGGGGGGCACACCCTACGCTGACGAGCACGGGTTAAGTGGGATATACCCCGGGAAGAAGGGTATATGAGCTTTGGTTGTCTTGCGAATACGTGCATAAAGACCTGCCCAGGTGGTGACTGGTTACTACTCTTTAAGGCAGGTGAACCCCCCTTGTTCGATTCATGCTTGACCTGAGCCAGCCAAAGGCCCTGACGAGCGACTGAACTGCCGTCAGACAGGCGTAGGACATGGGAAAGACACCAACCCTGATGATACCCACGAGCTTCCCTCTTCCTCCGATTCCCCTTGTATGTCCCCATGCGTGGATGGCCGTGGGGTGTTCCTTGGGTTGCCCGCGCTACGCCATCGATTTGTGCGCCACTATTTAGAGCGAGATTTCGCGGATCCACCTTTTCCTGCGAATCCTTCAAGGACTTTGGAACCCCCGCGCTCGACGACGACGACGAGTTGACGTCTCTTTTTTTCCCCTTGTTATGAAACCCGTCGTAGAGGTGGTTTTTTCTTTTCTACTCTTCCTCATGGGGTGATCTCTTCTTCATGCGATCAGTTCTCTTCGATTCTGGTCTCTGGTGAGGGTCGCAGTCGTCGCGGCACCGTCACAAGTGGCCGTGGTCGCCGGGCATGGCGCAACTGCCGGAGGGAGCAAGAGGCGCCGCCGTGGCCATCTTGGTCTACTCTTTCTTATGTCTCTTCTGCAACATTCTCATGCTATGGTTGCTCTGGACAAGTCGACAGACATTTAGTCGTGCGTAAAACAACCATTCCCCCCCCTCTTCACACACATTTTCTCCCTCACTTACCCTCCCGGAGAATTCCTATACACCCACCCACCTCTGATGCAACAGAGCGCAAAGGCTCCCCTGGTCAATTCCCAGATCTGGTCACCGACTCGCAGTTTGCTAATTACTTATTCATTATCAAAACAACAGACATTGGTCTGATATGTATTGCCACGCTCTTCTGTGTCTGTGCCAATATCGCACAACAGATTAATGATCATCTGTCAGTTGGCCACCAACAACAAGAAATTGATTTGCTTTTCCTTCCTCCATCGTCTACATGTTGATTACTAACTCAACGCAATGACGGCACAGATACTGGAGGGATGTGATGACCGCCAGGTTCTTGAACATCAAAGCGACTGAGGGCAATCCGATGCTTATCGCCAGCAATGGGTACACAGGGCTGGATCTTTACCTGTGGTCTATCAGTCAGTCTCTTCATCTTACTGTTCATGCTTCTGAACGTAGCCCTCGATGTTGTGGATGGATAATTAAAAGGGGGCAGCAAGGTCACACGTTTGCTCACCGCGTCTGTAGGATATTGCAGCGAGACTATTGCGGCTGGACTGGGTTGCTTCTGGTACGTTGCCATCTTTTAATCAAACCTTCGAGGTGAACACCTTTCTCTGACCATTCTCTTAGGGCTCTGTCTTTGACACAAGCAGTGTATGACTTGTCCAACAGGGCGAACTGGGTCATGGTCAATCGTTTTGGCAAAGTGATATCAAGTGAGTGAGCATCTCAATCTCTACTATGGGGCAGCGGTCTGTCCCAACGAAGGGTATCTGGTTGAATATGTTCACAAAGATCTCTATGCTATTATGATGCTGATGGATTCTTCCTCTTACCAGTCATTCTTCCTATCATCTTCATGATTCTGTGCCATCTTGATGCAGTACAGCAATCAGAGGCTTTATTCTTTTTCCTACTCGACGTTCTATGTAAGAGCTATTGATTACTTCTCATGTTGTGAATTCTGATGAAGAATCACACTTCTCCCCGCGCCCCCCCCCCCTCTCCTCTGGAACCTTATCTAATTTGGTGCATTGATTGTTCCAGTTTTCGGATTCGTCGCAGGCGGCGCCGCTGGTCTTTTAGCGATACTGGTAAAGTACATCAAAATACGGAGGGAACTCAAATCATGGGAGGTCGCAACGTATGTCGACGGGCGTACGACATGGCGGAGCTTCAGGCTCGATGACGACGTGCCAGTCGGAGCGATGCCTTCACCAACAAACACCAGAGGCATATATGACAACTGGCTCCTGACACGGTTCTCGGTAGCCTTTGTCTTCATGTGGTTGGTTTCCCTTTTCTTCTCTCTCTCTTCTTCTCAGAAGACTGCTGTCCCTTCCCTCATAATACTGACACAGCCATCACATAGCGTCTTTGAACTGGACACTGTAATTATCCAGATCACAGGTCAAAAGAGCATAGACGCAGAGGCTGCTCGCCTGCTCCCAGACCTGAGCACTTCACACGCTAAATCAATCTTTGCCCTCTTCATCCCAAGCGCCTTTGCGAGTCTGCTCGCCCTCTTCACATTCGGCACAACCAAACACTTCCGCGATACCATCTACCGAACATTTGTACCGAAGAGATGGCAGCGGAGACCAGTCGAACGAGAGTTGATGACATCGCCGCCACCACCACCGCCGCCGGCGCCGGCGTCGGCACAGGATTGGAACTTGAGCACGGGCGAGCTGGGACGGCGATTTGGCGACAGGGGAAGCTGGGCGGACGGGATCAGACATGTGAGCGGAGGGATCGCACTGCAGGAATTGAGACATCCTCGTGAGCATGGTACAGCCCGGAACAGAGGCAGCAGCCGCAATAGTGCCTTGCGTGACAACGGCATCCTCCAGGGACAGCTTGCTGATGGTGGTGGTGGTGCTCAAGCTGCTGCTTCTGAAAGAAAGGAGAGCCCCACGACCATATCGCAAGGGGCTCGCCATCCAACGACTCGAATGAACGAGACAACGTACCCCATATAGCTTTGACTCAAAATAACAGCAAAAAAATGAATCGTGTCTCGTCATCGACTATGTTATATTTCCTGCCTTCATAACGAAGAAGAGTATTCTTCGTTTCATGGTGTTCACTTAATATGCTTTATCTCTACGTTTTTAGGAGACAACATTGTACAGTAACTTTTCGGGTTCATGTTTTGTTGTTTTTGTTTCCCCTCTCAAGCCGCCCCCCAACTCCCTTCTCAAAAGACTTACTGGTATTGCAGCGATTTTCTGAATGATTAAACTAGACAATTCTGTCTCGAACAACACGGCATTGGGAGGGTAACGCCTATCTGCACCATTGGATTATATAGCCAATGCGGAAAAGTGACCATCATACCAACGGGGCTTCGTCTGTGTGACGCTTCTCTTGTTTGACAGCATTTTGAAGTTATCATGAACGCCTTATGTCGCCTAGTCCTGGTCCTCTCGCCATCGACCCTCAACAGCAGCACACCTCTGCACACAGGAAACACACATTACCGGTCGAGCAACTTCACAGAGTGGGAAATGCACACGCCCCAACCCAGAGGACAGACCATAGCGACTCGAAGTCACAATCTAAGGCTAGGGTGGGCATGCCTCGCCACTCATGACGAGAATGACAGCACGATCATCGTTAGGCACACCTCGGACATTATTGGAGGGTAGGTTCCCCGAGCGCCAACTTTGAATTCCCACATTCTACTATTCTACAGCAACCACTTGAGCCACGTAATTTCGCTACCTTGACGGGCGCTTGCACATTCGCAAACACAGGCCCGGATGTGGCAGCTCTCAAACCCAATCCTTTGGCTTGTACAATCGTTGCTGCCCAGAGGCTACCGCTGCGTCGATGAACATCAAGAAAAGGGTGCCTATTGGATGATATCGACATGGCTATGTTGGACTCTGGCGGTGGGAGACTAGAACTATGCAGGGCAGCACCTACACCGCTGCTCATTCACACGTCTCTGCATTTGTCATGCAGCCAGGCAGGGATCAATCGCAGATCCATGTTGAGGGGGGTGAGCCTGTCCTTTTTTGTTGAGCGCAACTGCAACTGAGTCTCCAAAAAGTCAAGGCACGACGAACATCCGGCCAAGAAATGTACAGAAACCACCCGATTCGATATCCAAAGAAACGAACCTCCCCCACGAAATACTAATCCAGTTGTCAGCAATTTCCCCCGTCGTTGGGAGCGGTCTCTGGACTGGGGCCACGATGATTAAGTGATATGCAGCTCTCAGGGACACCGACAACAGTTTTTTGAAATTCATGGCAGGCCCGGAAAGGCTATTGTCGTGCCGTGCATATGATGCTGGGCTGGCTTCATCATCAAGCACGCCAACGCGTTGCGGGAGTTGGGGCGTTGACAAGATGGTCGCGAGCGCGGTTGCAGTTACACACCCATTTACTCAGCCACCCACATTCATGTATGCATTCATATCATTACAAGACTTACCTATCCACACCGGTCATGTAGTGGTTGCTGCTAATACTCCATGCCATGGCACATATCAGACCCTCCAAGTAAGCCTACAACGAAGCAGGTTCCCGTGGAAAGAGGTGTGCGTGAGTGCGTGGGTGCGCGCGTGTTGGGGGGGGGGGGAGACATCTTTCCCCTGCGTGCTATTCCACATCCCGAGCTTCTTCCAAGCTTCTTTCTCTCTCTCTCTCTCTCTCTCTCTCTCTCTTTCTTCCAGTCTCCCTCCCTCTTTCAAGCTCAAGTACTTGCTCTCATTGAGTATGTGGTGACGAATCACATTGGGCCACAACCCTCCATCACACCAGGGGCCGGCCGGGGCTAATGCAAGGGACAACACAACCCAACTTAGTAGAAATCATCATTTTCTGCCTGTAGCAGGCTTGCTGCTTACTCTCGGAGTGGGGCAGGCCAGACGCTTCTTGGCCTATGTGCAGTTAAAAACTATCAAGCGCGAAGGAGGCGACGGAGCAAGGGAAGGAGAAAGAAAGAGAGGAGGCAAAGGAAGAGACGCCGCTGATGCGCAGGCACAACGCCTCAATGAGGTGGAGGGGTAGTATTTGATAGGTAAGCCAGTGGGCACCTCGGCTTGGAAAGCATCCACTGCTGGGGCAGAGCAGAGGGATTTCTTTCTGTTTTCTTTCGATGCTCCGTCCACGGTGCGTGTGTTGCTGGGTCTTACTGCAGCAGATATTTTTTGCTTGCATGTGGTGTGGGTGTATGGCCCAGAGGAGTAAGTTCAAAGCTCACCTCTGACCGGTCCACACGCTCTTCATAACCCGAGTGTGGACTATGTGAACGTAGGGGTTGGGGTTCTGCAGATCCGAGGATCCCGGGCCCAAATGGGCAATAGGCCATGGGAAATGATGAGTAGACATAGGGAAATAGACTATTTGGATTGTTGAGCCTTTATTCTTGGGGTATGACAACCCATCAATAGGTGTCCAATCTATTGAGAGGGATTTCCCAAATCTAGAACCTTGAGGGTTACAATTGGCAATGCCAAAAGGCTGTTGCCGTCTTTGCGTAGTTTACTCGGCCATCCATTGATAAAACAGGAATGCATTTTCTTCTTCCCTATCCAGAACTATCGTGGCAGTGTCTGATGAGAGAGGGGCCTAGACCACAGTTCGTTTCTGCGTGGCAAGGGAGGTTACCACATAGATTGTGGGCTAGTTCCATACCAGGGCAGGGAGGCAAGAAGACCTTTACGTCAAGGGAAAAGCCGTACGAGGTCGCTCAAGCTTCTCCTGTATAGCGAAATGGTAGGTGATGGGTGGATAGTCCTACCGATTGTTTACGAGACGAATATGGTATAACCACCATACCTCCGAGGGAGAGGATTCGCGTCGAGCTCAGTCACAGGCGAGACGGGCAAAAGGAGCATAGACTGGTACCTAGCAATGCTCTCTAGGACGAGAAGAAAATTGGTCAGACGGCCGGGGCGGGCCATCGGTACCGGAACGGGAGTGGGAACGGGATCAGCACAAGGGCAATGGAGCAAGATGATATCAGACTTTAGACAGTAAGACACACTACGGGACAACAATGTATTTGTTGTTTGTTTTGAACCACGGCAGAGATGATTGAGGTGGTGGCCTTGGCACACACCCAGAGAGAGAGAAAAAATATACAGAGAGAAAGAGAAGGTTTTTTTATACCAGAGTGGTTGTTTATGGAAGATAGCAGAGCACAACTGGAATGGATTGAGAAGAGAAAATTCTTTCCATGGCCTCTTTGCAGCCTGCAGCTAAGAGAGAACGAAGAGGGGGGGAGGAGCACATAAGACAGATCTGTATGCGTTCGAACAAGCTGGTAAAAGTGGCGACGGGGAGGTTTTCCGTTCAAAAGCATCATGTCATGGATTGCTATTTTCGGAGCGAGAGCTCTTGAAACGGTGCGAAAACAGCGAAAGAAATTTCTTCTTTTTTTTTCTTTCTTTCTTCCTTGTGACAGCAAAACTAGAGTGGCACCTTGCGTCCAGGTCCGGCAGTGTGTCCACCCACACAACAATACCCCCCTGGAGTTGGCCCACGCACATCAGCGGTCCCGCGATGCGATGACGACAGGCAAGCTGGACCCCCCAGGCCTTTGCCCTGACGATCCTAGGACACTATGTACCGTTGTAGTAAGGTAGCTTAGAGCCTCAGAACTTTGTTACTATCAGGCACAGTACCATAGTGATTTTTTCAACCCATGGCTGGCTCGACATGCATCTGTGCTGCTGTGGAAGGCGATATGCGATGGCATGGTTGGGCTGCGTAGCTGCAATGAAGAGAAAAGGTAGGGAGGGGAAGAATACCGAAGAGACGCTCAGACTGTTCACAGCGGGATCCTTCAATCACAGCTCGGCCATAAGGCGTGGTCGCTATGCTCACGGCCCCAGCAAGAAGAGAAGTGGGGGGGGGGGGCTGAACGCCTCTTTACTCATCATAATAGTAAAGAAACACCAAGGGACCTGCGTCAGCGCGTCTGACCGTCGTCAAGCAGTTATTGTTCCGGGATTCAAAGCCTGAGCGATGTGGCGAACAGACAACGAGAGTCTCTCTCTCTCTTTTGCTTTGGAAGGATCAGCACCTTGAGGCTCTCTCCTCCCGGGATGATGTTGGCTCTGGGAGATCATGGCGCTCGTCACACATCATAGCGCCCATGAGACAAGCAGCCAAGCCCGAGTAATGAGTACAGAGGAGGTCAGATCATGATCGATCTGGTAGAACTTTGTAGAAATCAAAACCGCCGGTCTCGAAGGACCATGCCAGATGGCAACACCAACAAGGGACCCCGTGGGGGTGAAGAGAAAGACGATGGACTGAAAAGAGTCAGAGAGAGAGACAGACAGACAAAGAACTTCGGGGCATGTGGGTCGACAAGGTACCAGGTCAAGAGAGGCCCGCAACCCGGAGCGCTGGTCGGAGTCCAGACCAAGAAGATCTTTACCCAGCGAGCCCACAGTTGACACAATTGATCCACCTCCCGCTGCCCTTTCTGGGCACCATGTCAGGGCAGCACCCATACGCTCGGGTACACAGGATCAGCAAGGCTTTGTGCCCGCGCTCTCTCTCTCTCTCTCTCTCTCTCTTTCTCTCTCTCTCTCTGTCGCCTTTCCAGGGCTGAAAGCCCGATACAGGCATCTTGACTGCGAGGGTCAGCTTTCAGCCCGAGCCCCAGCCACTTGGGTATCCCACCAAGCAACCGAGCATCCTTGAGCTGTGGATCGTGATCGCGCGTCAACTTTTTTTCCCCCCCTCTTCCCTTCCCTTTCTTTCATACGATAGCTGGATGCGAGGCTCAAAAGGGGGTTTGAGGTTGAATACGACAGCAAAAGATCGAGTCATTTCACAGTTTGACTAAGTGACAACTTGACACCTGCCTTGCGTTGCTTGTCTGTCTAAATGACTTGACTGACTGGGACTTCGTTGAGGCATTTTCATCCAGTCGCGGCCATTTGTTTTGCCATCAACGAGAGCATTTTGCAGCGCTAAAATGGCGCGAGTCGAAGCGCCCACATACACGTAGAGACTCAGGCACCCGCGGCCAAAACGTGGTCGCGGCCCGTCGGCGGCCGGTTGATGGATGGACAGACAAAGAGGAGCACGGCAGCATAGCAGGATAGGGCGAAACGCCGGTCCTTGGCTTCACCTCCTCCTGCTGTGGGAAACGGTCTCCGACTTAAGCCCGCGGGTGGCCCAGAGACGCTGCAGCAGTAGCGTCAAACGTCAACAGCCAGCATAGTTTGCAACGCGGTTAACAATAGTAGAGGGAGGAAGAATCAAAAGAAAAAAATTGTCCGCCGTGGACTTGTGTTCCAGAATCACCTTAGCCTTGTCGGTGGTGGACGAGCCTACGGGTCCTAGAGACTTTGGCCGGGTCTACTGGGCACTTGGGGAAATCTGGCTAGACGTCCTTGGTGCTAGCTCCGTTTTTGTCCTTCTCTCCTTCTCTCTCTCTCTCTCTCTCTCTTTTGTCGGGGGTTCCTGACGGGCATCAAGGAAAGAACGACCAACCCTGTCCAAGCACGACATTCCTCCCATCCCGAATAATTCATCCATCCAATTAGGAACTCCCCCCCCCTCCCCAACTCTCTGTGTGTATCTATTTGACTGTCTGTTTGACTGTGATGACTAACGTAAGCACACCTTCAACGATCACAAACACACGGTTGTCCTCCCGCTCTACGATAGTTCTGAACGCGAGACGGGATTCCATCTCTGTGGATGGGTAACATCCGCTGCCATGATTGCGACACGATATTGACCATAGTCTTGTGTTGATGGGTGGTCCAACAGCCAACTATCGCGTGCCACCTATTCCATCCACCCTGCACTTGCACATGCATGCAACTCAGAAAAGCCTTTATCGATGGCCAGTCGTGGACATCTTTGCCCCCATGTTGGGTTCCCATTCTGCTGTACGGATTCCCATTCGGGAGACTTCACGTGGCAGCGGTCGCAGCCGAGGTTGCAGGAGGTGGAGAATCAGGCATGGGGGGGGGGGGGAGGTCCTCTCGTGCACATACAGGCGCGCACCTGCTGCAGTGATGGTGGGTTGGCTGGTAGGGTAGCGCTGTGTTGTATACGTAGTATTGGCACGGGGCGCATTATCGTCCTCGTGCCTAATGGATCAATTGTCCAGGTCCAGTTGACAGAATTGACAACGACGTGTGTGTGCTGTCCATCTGTCAACCTGTCAGCGGTGCTCAACGTCAACCCGCCTGCCGTGTCTGGTCATCCGGGCCGCTATTACGACATCTCCATAGGCTGACAAGAGCTTCTGGGGGAGAAGAGGGGGTTGGCTGCCGGTGGTGAGGGGTCGCTAGCCTTGATCTGGAGGTTTCTCCCGTGTTCCGACTCATTTTTGTAGACTATGATAGAACAAACAACTTGTCTACTGTAGTGTGCACATAGTAGATGCGATGGATTATTGTAGTAGTATCAGCTGAAGACGGGGCGGGAGGGGGTGGGCGACCACAGCATTCGAACCTGACTCTAGCACCATAGAACCTCCTTTGAAAAAAAGGGAATGCAATTCTAATACATGATACGATGTAGCAGCAGTATATAGTAAAAGTCATAGTAAAGTAAGAGTACTCAAGTAGTTTATGAAAGAGCAGGAGAGAAAGACACGCGAGCGAGGGAGAGCGAGGGGAGAGATTGGCACCCGGCAGTGTGCTTGCCTTGCATCGACTTACTGTGGACTACTGTGTAGTAGCACTATGGCACATACTCAAGTACTTTACATAGAACGGGAGGAATCACTACTAAGCAGTGAGATTCTGTTCTATCCTATTCCGAGCTTTATCGTCATGGTCAGCGCAGCGCATGCATGCTGGTCCCGCCTCAACCCCCCCCCCCCCCAAGCTACTCCCAATCTCTCTCGCATCTGTTGTATTTTTCTAGAAATCACACGGCGGCGACGAGAAGAAGCAAGAGGTACGTACCGTCGTATTCTCACCTCGCGATATCGTCATCACGAATCAATCCTTGTCTTCCTGCACAAGCCCCGGAAAACAGAAAGGCCGCTGATCATAGCAGCGGCTTGCGGCCTTACACACAGTATGTGTGGACGGTACCCGCCTGGCTTCTCTTCACCCGACCTTACGGGGCTGCTACTCCTGCTCTCGTGCACTGTGAATGACTCCGGTTGATTTGCACTGTACACGGTAGCGCCCAATCTAGACTGACAGGCCCTGAAGCAGACAGGCTTTCTTTTTGCAGCACAGCACAGGCTCTTGCAGGGTTTAGAGGGGCCTCAGCGCGTCGCCCTTTTCCCCCAACCCCCCTTACAAACGACACTGCGATTTGACATAGTACGTTCTCTGCTACGTGTGGGAAATTTTTTCCTGTTTTTTTCCTTTTTTTTCTTTCAATTTTCCACCCACAGCGGCTGCAGGTCTGTACGCCCCGGACCTATCGCAGTTCTGCAGCTAGTGCACAGCACGACTACCTACGGTGCACTAACCCACCCTCCCCCCCTCGCTGCACCACCACACTGAGCCATGGCCTCTTTTCCCACTGGCCGTCTCTTGTATGATGTGCCGGCTCAGTGCACCAGCCATCGCATTGACCCCACCACCACCACCAACCCGAACAGACCAGCCCCAGAAAGCCAGTTACTCCAAACGGTTCTCGTCTTCTTCTCCTTCTGCCGCCCACTTCCCAGTTTCCAGCTCCCCCCCCCCCCCCCAAAAAAAACCTGGGACCCCTGGAACTTCACAAGGTCACTACGTCGCGCCCCAATCCCTGTCACCCCCACACCTCTTCCCAGCCAACCAGAAAGAGCCTACCTGGTCCCTGTTGAATTTTTGCCAGGACCGACACTTGTTGTCTCTCTCTGGGTCGGGCCATCAACTGGCTGCCCGTACACAGTACTCTTTCGAACCCCCCCCCTACCACCACCACGCCATCCATCCAACAGCAGCAACAAAACCCCAAAGCTGCCCACCACGCGACAGACACAACAACACCACTACTAGAGTCATCCAACACCCACCCCGTCACCTACTGCTACCTGCTACTACCACTGAGCACTGGCTTCTTCCAGCAACAACCAGAGACCACCACGACGGCGCCAGACCATACCTTATCACAGCCATACCACACCAGAACACAATCCCTTCTACATCCACGCTCAGCGACGATCGAACGGTGCCCTTCATCCCTGTCCAAGCTCTCCTCGCGGAGTGAGAGAGTGTGGCGCGCGCGAAAGGGGAAGACGAGGTTGTTGTGTGATCGAGGAACGGACAAAAGGCGGCACCATGTCTTCCACCGCAAGAATACGTCCCCAAGAAATATCGCTCTCGACAGCAGAGGCGGCGGCGGCAGCCGCAATAATACCTAAAGAAGGTGGACTATGGATTGGACAGCCGCACCAGCACCAGCACCACCAGCACCAGCACCACCAGCACCAGCACCAACCTCAGGGCCAAGACCATGATCAGCATGGCCAGCACCGTCCACAACATATGCCCACCAACAGCGCCGGTGACGCCTTCGTCTTCGTCGATCCCGTCCTAAACTCGTCGTCCTCCGACCTGGCTACCCCCCTCACGCCCACCTTCTCTCACCACGGTGGCTCCCACCTGCGATATGCCAGCTCCGCCTCCTCCCTCGACCTTCAGCAGTCCTTCTCAGCGTGTTCCGACAGCCCTGTCTCGCCTACCATCCAGCAGCAACCACAGAATGCTGTCACTGCAAGCCCCGCCACCACCGGCGGCAACAAGCGCCAGCTGCCCGATGTCCAGGAGGAGGAGCCCCTTGAGCGCGACGACGATGACGAGTCGGCAGTGTCCAGGTTGACAGACCGACAGCTCGAGAGTCTCTACGACTGTTTGTGTATGCTTCAAAACACCCTGCACCCCACTACACTACGCCCTCTCACCCCTCCTCCTTCTCTACTCTTGTGTTTGTGTAACTGACCTCGTCTCCGCGTAAACAGGCGACTCGCCATGTGTGCACCAGAGCGCAGACATGATGGTTCACAGCGCAGACTGGACGCGCTCGGCAGACAATGATTTGAATTTTCTAGACTACGACATGGGATTCTTGAGCGACGGCGACGCAGACGCCGGTCCATACCTGTCCAAGCAGCGCAGTGGTGTCGAGTCCCCACTGAACGGTCTCACCATGCGAATTGGCACGCGCTTCCCAACCTTGAGCCGGTGGAGATCCGTGAAGCGTAGGAATCGGGCATTCACTGCGGTCTCCGAGCCGTCCCTTGATCTACCTCCTGCCCTGTCTCGCGCCACCTCCACGAGCCGGTCTTCGTCCTTGTCGGCCCCCAGCCGCAAGTTATACGAACGTGCCAACGAGCCTCCGCTGCCGCCCACGCCAGCTCTATCCTTCTACGACTACGAGAGTACCGATAGCATCGCCAGCGCCGTGGCCATTGACATCGGCCGCTCTGACGTCCGTGAGAGCATTGAACGGGAGCGCGGCCTTGCCACCACGCCCCTTCTGCCTCCTCTCCTTACTGAGCCGCCCTCCACCTCCTCGGCCAACCACTCGCAACAGCCGTCTCCCCTCCAGTCTCCAACCGTCGCTCCGGCACAGCACAGCCCGGATCTCCAGCCCTCCCCTGTGTATGCGACGCCTCCGCTTAGCTCGAAGCCTTCCATATCGTCTTTCCGGCCCCCACTCATGACGAGCCTGTCCACACCCGTCGTGGCCACCAGCGAGATCGTGGTCACCATTCCCAACCTTCTGGAGCAGCACGATGCCTGGTCGGACCGTCTCGGACATGCCAACTACACCATTCTCCCCAGGCCCTATCAGCCGGATGCTACTGATCTGGATACCCTGCGCACTCTGCGCGCCGACTGGGACCTGGCTCGCGTCAATTACACCAAGCACATTGTCCGCACCGGCGAGCACTATGGAACCACATCCAAGACGTACGCTCTCACTGAGGCCAAATGGGCAGAGACGGAGCGGGACTGGAAAAGCGCCCATGATGCGCTGATTGCGCGCGTCGCAGCCCTGAACCTGGGCACTCTAGAACAGCTCAGGTGGGACAGGCTCCAGGATGACACCCCGGCTACTGTGACCATCCCCAGCATGCTCGACACCGAGGGCAAATTTCCCGACCTAGGGGATGAGGACATTGTAGGGCCCATGGTCCGTGACGCCGTCATGGCCAGAGACTCAGGCTCTGACAGTGAGACCAGCGCCAAGAAGTTCTGGAAGAACCTGGCTGGAAAGGTTGGGCTGAGGAAATGAGAAGACCTTCAATTCCAGCCTCAACAATAAAAGAAAGAAAAAAACACCGCGACTATCAACAACAACAACTTCACGACACGTAACGACGGACACGACTATGCATCCTTGGCGTTTCTCCCTGCTTGTGTACGCCTGATATCCAGTTTCTCGCTTCATTTTTACGCGAGTTGTCGACCGCCTCAATACGCGATTATACCCAACAAACTTCAAGACGCTCATTCATGATTTTATTTCATCCCGCACGGCATGCCGAGCGTTGTTTCTTCTCCTCTTTTTTTTTTTTTTTTTTTTTTTTTTTTTTCTTTTGCTTCTTCTTTGTTCCCAGGGGTTGTCCTGACCTGAATCTTTGTTGGTCACACAGCAAAGGCAGCAAAAATCAACCAGGGACGGCCATTCATTCAAGCTCCCCTACCACCCTTCTTCTCTTTCCTAAACATCTAATACATAACTGTCTATTTTTTAGACCTTACCTATCAATGTTTACGATCAAATATCCATGTATCTATTCGCTCGAGGGTAACATATGGACAGCATTTCTGCTCATCATCCTACGTTTTCTTTCCTTTTTTTTTTTTTTGGTCTTTGGTCATGCGAGGCGTTCACCAGGCACACTGGAGGGGGGAAAAGGATTGCGCTAGGACAGGATGGAAGATCCACACACACAGCATAGCATGGAGTACCAAGGAAGCAGCTGGGTGCGGGGAAAAAGTGAATCTGGGGGAAGCACGAGCAAGCGGGGTTGGAGGAGCCATTGGCTTGGAGTGGGCGGTATCAGGCTGGTAACTCAAGGGCCAAGGCGAGAGACATAGTTAACCCGCAGAGCCCGCCACGAGCGCCCCAGGAATAAGAAGAGAGAAAGACAGAAAGAGAAGAAAGAAAAAAAGAAGTAGTGCATCGTCCCATGATCGTTCTCCAATCATCCCACGTGCACTCAAATCACAGGACGAAACGGAGGATCATCGGCACAATCCGAGGTCTCACATTTTGTACCTATACTATCATTCCTTGTATATACTATGTCTTGTGTGTCAGAAGCCCCGCGCACACTTAGTAGTAGTGGTAGTAAGTAGTAGTAAGTGGCGCTGTGTCGAGGCTACACTGCAGATTCCAACCGGCTGGTGAGACATGGTTTGTATCCTCACGAACCACAGAACACTATGAGAGAACCAGCACAACAGGAGGGCAAGGATGAAGGAGGGAAAGGGGAGTTTGAAGCCCGGTAGAGGCAATATGCATGCTTTTCCCTCTCACACTCATTGGACCCTCCTCTCTGTCTCTGCCTGTCTTTCTCCCTCTCTTTTTCCTTCATTTCTGCTCTTACAGGAAGCCCGTTAGTGTGTGGGATGGGTGTACACACACACATACATTGTGCTACACCAGATGCGTGGATGCATGGTGCTGTGGGACCGGCGGACGATCCGGGACGATCCCACCTTAGTAGCTGCCTTTTTTTCTTCTCTTTCTCTTCCCGCCCTCTTTGCTACGAGCCACACCTTGTGTTCGGAGACTACACACAAGATTACTCTCGACTCGACCTCTCGTCACCAATGTCATCGTCAGTAGTCTACGTTATTTCCCTTCCTCAACTCTGGACGTCCAACCTCGTCCAAGCTAGAGCTACAGTATTGCCATTGCATTGACCGCCATTGTCATTCTTTGTCTCTCTCCCAGCCTCGCCTCTTCACTTTCCCCATGTTCTTTCCTTGTCCAGGCAGGGTTCGAGACCAAACTACCTGTAGTCACTTTTGACCTGATCAGGCAGTGGACGGGGAGATACTCGCTGATGGCCAATTGTTGACAGTCTACCTACCGTGGCAATTAGTGCGGCTGTTGAAACAGGTGGCGCTGAGAAACGTTGAGGGGGTTTTAGCATAAGAGCAGAGAAGAGAAGCGTGTATGTGTGCGAACTTTCGGGTAGCCACAAGAAGGAAGGATGGTCCTAAGCGAGTTGGCATGTCCTGGAGCGGTTGTCTTGGTCTCTTTCATTATGTCTGCCTGCATATAGTAGTCGGTCATGTGGTGTGTGTGCTGCAGGCAGTTGGTTGGCAGAGTAAGTATTTGTGAATCATGCAGACGACAGGACGAGGAGGGTGGTGCCATTCGCAAGGCTACTAGGCGAGCCACGCAAGCAAAAAATTGCTGTCTTGTAGGTATGTGTGTATGCGCGTGTGTGTGTGCGAGAGTGTGTGTATGTGCGCTGATGCAAGTATGGCATCATCACTCGTTCGACTCGAGACGTATATGCCCCCGGCACCCTCTTTTTTTTCTTCTTTTCCCTTTCTGATAATGGTCCGATAGAGGTGTAGTCATGACGAGGAGGAGGAGACCCTGTGAGAAGCGCCATGTCTCTCTGCACCTGGCCGTTATTTCATGATTCAAGACGACAGCGGCAGGTGTGGGGGGAAGGCAAAGGAGGATGATGGCGGCAAGCAGCCTGATAGGAAGTTCTCCTCCGCCGACGAATAACGCTTCTTCGTTTTGCAAATCACCTTATCTGCAAGCCAATGGAGGTTGCCCAGGATGCTTCTTTTCCGCGGGCCATGGGCTTGGAAGAGAGGGCACGTGTGCTCGTTGACCAACACACTTTTCCTTCGGACTGATGCACCGCGGGCGACGCTTTACTGGGCCTCTCGAGCAAGACTGATCCTAGAAGTTCGAGGAAGGCCGCAGGAGAAGAAGTATGCTGGGACGGGATCGGCATGAAGTCGTCCCACGTCCCATGACGGAAATGTATGCGTGAGAGAGAGGGGTTAGGAAGAAGAGGGGCAGAAAGGCTTGGGCTCCCTGGTTCCTGGCTTGTCTGGCTGCTTAGATGGCTGGTTGGCTGCAGCATGCCGCTGTGGCGGTCTCATCACGAGCCTTTTCCCCACCACCATTCCCAGGTGTTTTCTTTCCCCCTTCCCCCTGGCCTCGTCGCCATCAAGAATACGACCGCTGGCAGCCATAGCCCCTAGAGAAAGAGAGAGATGTAGATGAGATACAGTGTCTGCTACTTAGAGACTTCCACTATCGATCGACACTGTCAGTATCCGCTGGGTTATGGTTGATGGAATATCATGGAGATCCTTCGGTCTCGCTGCCGTGTCCCGTCAATGATTGGCGCTCAGAAAACCCCGTGGCCGGTAAGCGAGAGAAGATACGGACAAAGGAGTGGGATGTGAGTGTGTGTTTGACCAGGCAAGTAGTAAGTCACACTCACAGGCGGACGAGGTAATAAGGCTAAGGCCGGTATGCATGTATCCTCCCATTCCGCCCAAGGATGACAGCCTGTGGCTTGAGCACCAAGACCGGTATCCGCTTCTAGGACGGTGAGAGAAGAGGACAGACAAGGCGGCCAGATGGTCTGGAAGGGGGATACAAAGCGAAGGGCGGGGCAGTGCAGGGCAGAGGGATGGGAGGGACAAGAGAAAAGCAGAGAAAACGAACGACGTGCACTGTGTGTGTTGTCATTTGGTTCCCTGTTGCATTAAGTCGAGGCAAGGTGGCTTGGTGGCGCGGTAAAGGGCCGCACCTCCTCCTTTCCCCGTCCTCCTCGTCCAAGGCTACGAATAGGTGGATTTATGGCCTAACAGCGTCAAATCAACTGACATGTAGTGTGCACCACAAGCCCAAGTCCCGAGGCGCACACAAGTAAGAAAATGGCAGCTCACCATCACCCAATAACAGCTGCAGCACGCACCCACCCCTCCGGCCCCTTCTCTTCTGTTCCCCTGGCCTATCATTCTATATTTGGAATTATGGATGTGCGGAAAGCGCCCACCCATACATACATCGTAGACACGACATAACAAAACAGCCAATCCACCATTCGGGTCAGGCTGCCGGTACAAGTGCGTGCGTGCGTGTGCGTGTGTGTGGCTTGAGCACAAACCCTAGCATGCGCCTCCTTGTGTACATCTGGCGACAGCCTTCGGATTATATCGTTGCGGGATTATTCCTCACCTGTGTACTTGATGAGGGGGGGGGGGGAGTTCCGGCTGCTGACAAGATTGGAGGAAAGTAGCTTGTGGACAAGGCTCGGAATGGAGAGAGAAGAAAGAGGGGGGGGGGGTGGAAGGCGGAGGGAACTACGGCCGATCAACGATCGAGGGACGGTGTGACACTCTCCACAGACCAAGACGTACAATGAGAGGTAGTGGCTGTATCACCCTCTCTCAATTGGTCATACGCGAATCATGGCCTTACTGAGACATGCCACTCGACATCAGAAAATCTGGTCCCTTCTTGTGTCTTGTAAAACGCGAGGAGGAGAAGGAGGATGAAACAGTGAGCTTGGGATCATCAAGCCAAGAAGGTGACCGTCAACTCATCTATGTGCGTACGTACCTACTCTGGCCAAACTATGTGAGCCAGCCCGGACAATGACAGAATGTAAGGAAACCTCTTTGATAGCCCATGGAGACGATAGAAACAGGAAGAGTGAACGTGTGCGCATAGATAGATAGATAGAGAAGAGATGAATTAATTGATGGGTTCTACTCTTTGAGACTGTTAAACACTGCTACATAGTGGCCTTCTTTCCCAGAAGTAATTGTTTAGTATTCTATGTTGGTTTGACGTTGCTTCCGTTTGCATTCATAGAGTAAGAAAAATATGCATCCTCAAACCGTAGTCCAAGAAAACAACCACATTTTAAGGGACTTCTGGCTTTTTCACCTTCCCTTTGTAATTTATTTACTCATGATAAGGAATCTATATAACGCTTTCAGGACATCTCAGTCTATGTATCAATGGTTACCTTGCACAAGCAGACAAGGCTTAGTACTATATGCGCAATATCGCAAGTAGAAACGCTGTTGAGACCATATATCATGCAGCAGACACACTCAATTTTTAGGACAAACCCAGATAGCCTTTAAGGGCTTGGGATTATATCAAGATAGTGTTATGATTTTTCTTCTAATATTTTCATGTCTATTTTGATTTGGCTTGATTGGTATTAACATGGTATCATAACACCTCCTCTCCTTCTTCAACCCCCCCCCCCCTTCCTCTTCATGTCGTCTTCAACTTCCTCCAGTCAAGACGCACACAGTGATCTATATGAAATATGCATTGTTCAGATCTCACAAGATCTGTTTGAATTACTTTCCGCCAGACATGGCTTCAGCCAAGCGTGCGGCCTCGGCAGCAAACCTTGTCTTGCTGCGGATGATATGACCCCACTTGTAGAAAGCAAGCAGGGCGGGCACGAAGATGACTGACATGAAGCCAGGCACAGAGCTGGCCCAGTGGATGCCGAGTTGGTCGTACATCGTGCTTGTGAAAAGAGGGAAGGCGGCAGCGGCACCAGACCGGACGACAGTGGTGGCAGCCAGCGCAGAGGCAGCATAGCCCAGGTAGGCGTCGACAATGTAGTTGGTTAAGCTCATGTACAGCAGAACCATACCAAAACCAATAAAGACGCCCGCACTGACAGAGATGAGCCAGAAAGTGGAGGGGCTGTTGGTCCAGGCAAACCAGAAGAGGCCGACTGGCAGACAGATGGCGCCTAGCATGGCGGGAGGAAGACGAGCCTCGGGGGGAGCTCTGCCCTGGTTCTTGTCCACGACCTTGGCATAGCGCTTCTGGTCAAAGAGCGCAGAGTAGAAAAGAGCAATCACGATACCCAGGGCCACGGCCAAGAAGGGCAACGAGGCCACGCCCTGGTGCCAGCCGCGGGTTTGCTGGAAGACGATGGGATAAGCAGCGAACAAAAGGAACATGGTTCCCTGAACCACGGAAAGAAACAATGTAAGAAGAGCGACAATAGGCTCCAGGAAGAGGAGAAGGAATGGTCGGATGGCGCCGACCTTCAGTTGGCTTGCAACCGTCTTCTCCTCTCCCACTCCGTCGACCAGGTGGGGCTTGCCCAGTATGGCCTCCATCTTGGCCGCTCTCTGGCGGAGGAGGGCTGGAGCATACGTCTCCGGGAAAGTGCACATCATGGCGATCCAAGTCGGAGCCGCCAGGCAAGCAATGAAGACAGCAAGAGAGCGCCAACCAAAGGCAGCGTCGAGAAAGCCGCAGAAGATTGGGCCGAGCATCTGGCCCATGAGACCAGCCAGTGTGAAGAAGGCCAACACGAAACCTCGCTCGTTCGTCGCGAACATATCGGCAATAACGGCTGGCGCAACAGCTTGAGTAAAAGAGCCGGCGAGGCCACCAAGGAAACGAAGGAAGATGACCAACTCGATTGAGTGAACCAGGCCAATGACGCCTGAGAGTACCACAAACGCGGCGTATGTGTAGAGGTAAAGACTCTTTCGACCAAAGACCTCACTCATGGGTGACAAGACCAAGGCGCCGGCAGCGAAACCAAGAACAAAAGCCGACGTGACCATGAGAGCAATAGTGCCATCCACGTCAAATTCCGTCTCAATGTCCGTATTTCCTAGACCAGAAAGTTAGACATGATGATCTGTTCATGACTGGCTTTCAAATAGATGATGGGCTGAGGACTACTGACCTTGTGAGAATCCAGACGAGGCAATCGAGACGGTCCAGACAGCAATGGCTAGAATCATGGCGTTTAGCCACTTCCTGCCCTTGTCAAAGCAAAGCGGATTGGCCGGGTCGTTGTCCATCCACGAGACCATATAGGGTTCTTCTTCAGTTCCATCGCCAGGGAAAGGATAGGTCAACACATCCGTCGTGACCAGACCACCGGCAGGGTCAGCCTTTGCGAGCTGCTCCTCAGTAAGGGGATCTCTGATCTTGGGAACAGCAAACTTCTCATCATCCAAGCTGTCTTGATACCATGAGCGGTTCGAGGCACCAGACGCGCGTGAGACAAAGGACTGCCGCTTCTCGACATCAAAATTGCCCTCCCAGATGGGCACCGTGTCTTCATCGCCATCCCTTGCGATACCTCTCATCCATGTTGCCCGCGGCTGGTATCTCGACTTGCGGTTGTAGGCTCCGACCTGGCCAGCCCACTGGTCCGGCACGGCAGGTGGCTGAGGAAGGAGAGAGTTGCCGACGTAGAAGCTCATGCGAGAGGCTCGTGCTTCGGAGTCGAAGGTGCTGGTCCATCGCTTGGTGTTCCGCTGACCGGGCCAGGAGGGGACGGCTGCTTCTTGTTGTTCTTCTTGTCCGAAGGGAGATGGCCACATTGTGATGCGTTTGGAAGCCATCCTGGTCTGTCTTCGAGCAGCATAGGGGTGCTCGGCAGCTGAAGGATGGAGAGACATGTTGATCAAACAGATATCTTGGCCTGTGTGGAAGGGGGAGTCGGAAGTGTGTATCCAGCAGCGACTCCTGGGAAAGAACCACTAATGTATTGTAGTGAATCTCTGAAAAACAGTAAAAGGTGAATAATCAGGGCAGTTGCGAGCCCAGGGAAGATCTAAAATGTTTTGGCAAGCGTAGGTGGTGACTAAAAGGCGAGTATGTAGGAAATGGATATGCCAGCATACAGCAAGAACGAAAAGGGAAAGGCAAGTCGAAGAGAAGAAGAAGAAAAGAAATCAGCCCAGCTTAGGCATGCAGCATAAAAGTTGCAAGCCAAGAGGAAATGAAAAAGAAAACACAAAAACAAACCCGATGAAGAGAATGCAGAGGAAAAGAAAGAAGTAGAAGAATAAAAGATCTGCCGCTATGATGTCGACAGGCCACAGCAGATTGTCAGCGGATATATCCAAACCTTCTCTCGATACTCAGTACGCGGCAACCTCGCAGCGCGGTCCCTCTTGTGCGTGGCAGAGTGATCGGAGTGGATACAATTCCCACAAAATGACGGGCGCAGTGGATCAAGTCTGCTACCAAGCCATGCGCCCTCCTCCTGCCCCGACTGACCCACAGGGCTTTGAGGTTCTGTACCCTGAAAATAAGGAAGAGAGAGAGAGAAGAACAAGACAGGATGGCCCATGCCGCCCGCCCACTTACCGTGAGAAGTGGAGTCGATGAGGCTCTGACCACTGCAAATGTTCTCAGGCAGACCACAAGAGGTTCCACACACAAGAATCCATGTTGTGCCATTGGCCGGGGAAGGGGGACCTTATTCGGCCCTCGTCGTCACTGCGGCTCAACCTGGGTGGGAAACGTAGCAGTCTAGATTGTGAATCGTGTAGATCCCGCGGGCCAAACACTGACTCAAAACCTGGTTTGGTTCATGTTAATACCTCGGGGGATCTCGTCTGATATTGTTACTAAGAAAGGGATGATAGAATACGGAAAGTCTGGCCGTGCTTGCTGGCGTAACCGTTGAAACGAATCATCAGCCACTAGAGAGGAGGGAGAAAGGAAATTAGAAATTGTTGATAAGAGACCTTGGCTGATGGCCTCCGTGGAGGGGAGAGAAGAGAGGCCAGTATGAACACGTTGTTAGGGGAGGTTGAAGTTTCAAGTCCCACGCTCGTGTCTCGATGAAAAGTGGGAACCTGCAAAATGACAGCCACGGCAATCGAGCCTCTACTAGACTAATTGACAGCACTACCGACTTACGGTATCTAGTCAGCCTTGTACATAGTGCCATAGTAAGGTTATTTGCAGAAGTCTCCGGTGAAGCATAAGTGCTTAGTAGCAAAAGAGGCAAGGTCCGATGCGACAATGCCCATGGACAACCAAACCCCTTTGATGTGGACGACTTGGGGAGGGGGGCTTGGACCTTTGACAGTTGATCAAAGTGATACGCATGTGGATCCACGAAACGCTGAGGGTTGGTCTTGGAACTTAGTATAGTACCAAAGGCCCGATGCGTTGGTGCAAGGCTTAGAGGGCGTTTGTATTGAACAAATAATGCATGCCATTCGATCTGTGGGAGTGGGCCGCGGGAGACAATCTTTGATCCACTCAACCCACTCTATGCGGGTCTGACGTTTGGGATTAAAACCCCCCCCCGAGATGGAACTGTTTCCAAGCGAAGGGCCTGGACAGCAAGCCTGGCGGCACCGCATTGATAAACCCCCATCTCCCGCTCGTCTAAAAATTGTCTGTCTTTTGACTTGCTCGATGTTTCCGCATCTGTTTCTTCCAGGCTCATATTCGGCGGCACAGCTTGGGTGCTTCGAAACAGGAGCCAACATGGGACAAAGCCATGGAGAATTTTCTTCTCCTTTTTCAAAACAAACTGGCCCTCAAGGGACAGGAAAACCCTCTCCTTCACATGTTACGTATGGAGGAACCAGGCGGCAGGCACTCGATCCCCTGAACTCCTGTTTCCGACTGAACGAAGAGAGGGGCATTCATCTCGCCCGATACCGCCTGAGATGACGACGACGACAGATCCCTAGACGCCAAGACCGGCCTTGCACACACGAGGGAAAACCGCCAAGCTCGCTTCCCACTCCTTTATTTGGAACAACAGAAGAGCATGGTTGCTTCGGCGTCCCCTCTCTCTGTGGCGTCGCTGGTGGATTGCGAAGACGACTCTCGACCTCACGACATGGTCTTCTGGGAGAGCAAGCCAGGTAAAGCAAATCAGGTGCAGTATTTCTTACAGTCCACGCGTATTTGTCGTAAAGACAAAGGGAATCTCATGATGGTTCTCAAAATGTGCATATACCATGACAAGCCCGACTTGATAATATTCCCGTCGCCTTCACAATTTGATGGTATCATCTGACATCGCCGCGGAAAGACTGCTCTGGGTCAAGACCGTGGTAATTCTTTTCAGCCCACCAATTCTCGTGTAGTTATGAGGATCACTGACGGTATCGATGCATCAACATGCCCTTTCTCCTCTTTTTCTCTCTCTTTTCATCTCCTTTGCCTTCTTCGTTTTCCTTTTGTATGTGTACATCCACTGCTTGCTATTCAAACTCTCAGCACCTTGATGAGATGCTTTGTTACATTCTCTTCATGGAAGTCGTCTCCTCGACTTTCAGCTGCGTCACACCCTAACGACTTGATTGGTGTTTGGTGATCGTGACGAATAAATTACGCAAGTTTTGCAAAACGTGACATACTTTCAGCTTGGCCCACAGGTTTCAGTGACGCAGTGCACCAAAGCTCAGGCATATGTTAGGAAGTTATTGCGTGTTTCGCCGATGGTGTTTTCAAGGGAGACAGACCCGGTATACGTTTGTAAGGGGGAAAAACCCGCAGCACAGTTTACTTGAAGCAAGTGAATGTTTGAGGCACTTGCATTGTTTCAATCATTGTCGCCAGTTGTCAGAGGTGACTGACCCAATCTTATCCATGGCCGCGAATATTTCTCCTCGGGTTTTCCACTTGACACCCCAGCTGAGTGATCGAGATGCGTGGCCGATGTTATTGTATTGCAGCAATTGCTCATCGGCATCTATCCCAAGAAAGAGCTCTTGTTTCCTTTATGGCCCTATCGCGCACGCTGGCCCTAGCGGTTTCTGAGTATCTTCTCGCCAGGCTCATCTACTTTCCTGTGTGATAACAGGAGGGATTCTTTGAGAATCTCTCTACAATTTGGGGTGATCCTCATCTTGCGTGACCAACCTTCCCAATGGTCTCCTCAGAGCTCGCTTTGTATTGACTATAAAATTCAACCCGAAGATATGCTGATTCTCTGATGATTCGGTCTAGAAATCTTACGTGAATACGCAGACGAACATGGTCCACTTCGTGAACATGGCGCCTTTGTGCACGGTCATGTTGCTGGCTAGGCCACGTCGGTGTCTAGTGATATCATTAAGGATATTGACCCCCTTTTAGGCCGAATTGAGATGGTGTTGTCATTTCATGCCCTTCCAATAATCGTATTGCACTCATTTCCTCATGACACGGGCAACGTAGAAATTTGTAGAAATTGAAAAGGACAGCATTTACAATATAGAACGGCACCTCCCTCACAAAGAAGTCCCGGATTTCATTTTAGCCCCCGATGCTATTCGATCATAGCGTCACGCAGGTGACTTATCACTGCTGGTGTCTGATCTTAGGGATTCAAGTCGTCGTGGCTCGTATTAACTCCTACATAACAATCCGTGTGAAATGTAGAAGTCTGGGTAGTTTATTGCATTAGACATTCTCTGTCCCCTGCGTAGCGCTTTCTTAGGTATGTCCATGCCCATATACAGCCTTTTTGTTAAATTCGTCGCCGTTGGTTCTGTGCTTGACAGTAGTCCTGTCAATATAAACTCTCACAAATCCAATGTTTTCAACAAAAACCCTTGATAGCTCAGTTGGAAGAGTGATGGACTGTAATTGTATTTAGTGTCATCCACAGGTCACCGGTTCGATCCCGGTTCGAGGGACTTCCCTTTTTTTGGAAGTTGTTTTATTTTATGATGACTTTTTGAAGATTTACTTTGTTCCATTTCCAAAATTTTACTCATATTTAAATGCGTCGCTGGATACATTCTTGACGAAACCTTGGTTTTGTCCAAACACGCTCGCTCAACCGCAGCCCTAACCCTGGCGTGTCTCATCAATTCTTTACCTTTGGAGAGTTAGCCTCGGGACAGTATTCTTCTTGACCATCCCAGGACCTTGGATTATTGTTTTTCTTTGTGGCTATCAGCTGAATTGATGCCTGATACATGAACTCACATGTAGTCAGGTGTGCCACTCATTCCTTTCCCTTCCATCCTCTTTTGCTTGCCGTCCTGAACAGCACTGCCCCGTGACGTCGTGCCTCGATTGCACCGCCGACTTGCGGCTAACCCGACAAATAAGGCTGTGGCCTCAACTTGTATTTACTCAGAAACGTGCTTCCAAGGTCCCTCAGTCGACCAAGAACTTAATTCGATAGTTTCGGGATTCGCCGACGATCATACGGAGAGTCTACAGTGGAGCTTCATCTCCCTGATAGGCGACGGGCCTAAACCCACAACGAGCTGGATGAATGTGATGCGTCGAGGCGAGCACGTGTGAGCAGCCTCTGTAAATTGTAATACGATCCCTTATTGTAGAAAAACCCACCACGCCTGCCAGTAGGTGAACGTCACGAGGCCGATCAATGGGACTGTTTTACCCGTAAGGCTTCTTCGTTCAGGCCCAGCAGATAGCATGACGACAGGGCCTTACAACTCAAGGTTGCTTCAAAACAATGAGGCTTACGATGTACTGTGTTGCCGCCTCGGACGGGAGCTCCGCTCCATATTGCCATTGTCTTTGTCTTGTTGTCGTTGTTGGGTTCACAGCGAATCATTGCTACACCTCAGGCCACACAGCCTCTAAACTCGAACTTCCCCGGGTATGAAACAACTCACCAGGCACCACACAGCCTGGGCATCTCTGCAGCTTGTTGTGGCGCAATCAAGTCGCGCTCTTTCTCTGTCTTTCGCCCTGCCTCATTTGATGTCAGCGGCATTTTTTTTCTTTTCTTTTTTTCTACCACTGGTCAGTCACGAAAGCACACACGGACATCCCCTCCATAGTAGGCGCGAACCAGGTCATGGGGAGGCAAAGAGGGGCGGGGTGGTTGGGTTCGGTGCGCGCCCCCCCTACACCCGTCAGAAATGGTTAGGGTGGATGTCGTTTGTGTCTCCCCACTGCCGATGCAGGTTGGTTCAGCTCTGTGCCGGGGGTAGTGCTACTGCAGCAGTGCAGGTGGACTTGGGAATCCTAATGCATCTATTGGATTGAGGTTTCGAACAGCCACCACAGGCAGATCTCTCTTTCTAGGCTAGCGAGAGCGTATCACCCCGGGCTTTCATAGTGCGCCTGCCAAGAGATCATCTTTTGAATTCTAGGGGGCCCTCTGACGGCGCCATCATCAATCTTTCTGAAAGGTGCTGATTTTCGGTGAACATATCTCAGTATGAGCAACAATGATGACTTTACTGTAGGAGAAGAAAAGAAGAAGAAAGCGTGGTTGGGCTATAAGATGTGAAAAAGTCCTACAACTCTTAATTATACCAGGCTATCTCCTTCTTTCCCTCCTTGAGAGCAAGAAGGGAAAGAAAGGGGGGGGGGATAGAGAGAAAAATCAGGAAAGGCGATTTCGTCTAGGCCCCCAGGGTCCAAGATAGCAGGTGCAGATGCAGTATAGAGAATTGAGGCTCAGCTGAAAAACAACCCCTGCAGCTGCACCTTACTGCAGTGCCCACAAGCCTCAACCACTGCTGGCTCTAGTGCTGACAACAGCGTGGAGCTGGCATTCCAGTCCTACGGACAAGTCCTCCTCCCACCCTCACGACGTTGTTCAAAATCCATCTTCACGTCATGGCCGATTCTTCTCTTTTCTTCCTTTTTCCTCTTCATCCCCTCCAACCTCTTTCTCAGTCCTGGGCACCCTTCAACCTCGTGGCGATACCGTGTACCTCAGCACAAAAAGTGAACCTTCTCGAGATACATCTGCTCCCAGCCTTATTAGACCAAGAGTGCAATCAGAGAAAACTCCATAGCACAGGGGCGGAGGCAACCCGCTGAGACGTCCCGGTCTCACAAGCGCAGCAACCAGCCAGCGACAAGGCGGGCGTGCGTGCGCATCGATCGATTGCTCATCTTCATTCCAGCTTACCATCCAGCACAAGAGCCTCCTACTTCCTGGCAAAAACAAGATGCCACCATGCATGGACCGCCGACGCCGACACCGGCACATACGCCACCATCGCATGCCCACATTCGGAGTCCAGAGAAGCCGCCTGGCCGGCTCGCCGCTGTACGCGACCATCACACGCTTCGGCACCTCGCACGTTCTGCGGCGGGGCCACACCCTGGACAAGTGCATGTCGCCGGCAGGTCTCCACCCGCTGGCAGAGAGCGTGACGGGCCACCTGCGCCGGCTGTACGAGGAGCTCAAGGGGCCCGGCGAGAAGGACTTGTCGCGAGAGAGGTTTCTGAGATTTATCCGGGAGACACAGCAGGACACAAAGCTGCCGTCGTGGGCTTTCTCGGAGAAATGTGATCCTTTTACATTTGAGCAGTTCGAGCACCTATGGTGGAGAGAGTACAGCGCCGCCAAGCGGCCCATTCATACCGAGGACAAGGATCTGAGCCAGCCCATCTCGAATTATTTTATCAGCAGCAGCCACAATACATATATCGAGGATGGCAACCAGATCACTGGGGAGGCCAAGGCCCTGCAGTATAAAAAGGTGCGTTGGGGGTGAAGAGGGTTCCTTTCCTCCTTCCCTTCTTCTTTTAGTTACGAAAAAGTTCGACTGGGTTGCTGACGATCACATCTCAAAAAAGGTTCTCGAGAGTGGTTGCAGATGTGTCGAGATCGATGTGTGGAACGGACTCGAGGCAGACGACGACGTGGACAGCCTGGCACCAACCAAGACCAGGTCGACCCACAGCCGAGAGAAGAAGAGAAAGCAGCAGCAACAGCAGCAACAGCAGCAGACTAACAAGCATTGGTCCTTCTCATCCATGGTATCCTGGATGAGAGACACGTGCCAGGCGACGACGCGCAGCATGACCTTTCCTCGAAATCTCCAGAGCAAGAAGAGCGAGGCATCGTTCAAGGCCAGGCCCCCAGTGAGAGCCATGGAGCTGGCCAGGATGATGGACGACTCCGAGTCGACTATCGACCTGATGCTGAAGCGGGAGCCCAGGGTCTGCCATGCCTACGAGACTTACGCCGGCGACGTCACCCTGCACCAGTCCATCCCCTTCAGGACCGTGTGCCGGACCATCAAGGACTCGGCCTTTACCAACGGCAACGACCTGCCCGTCATTATCAGCCTCGAAGTCCACGCCAACGTCTCACAGCAGGAGAAGATGGTGGACATCATGAGGGAAGAATGGGGCGACCTCCTGCTGGACAAGGTTCTGCCTCACTGCCACCCGGAAGAGAAACAACCCACGCTGGGGGACCTGAGGAACAAGATTCTCATCAAGGTCAAGACGGGCTCACAGGCTGCCGGCTATCTCCAGCAGCAGCAGCAGCAGCAGCAGCAACAACAACAACAACAACAACAACGGATCGGCGACCACTCTGATGACTCCGGAAGAAGCACTCTCAAGGGCAGCGACAAATCCGACTGCGGTGCCTTCTCGCCGCAGATCTACAGCAAGACAACGCATGAAGAGGCGCAGCAGGGCTGCCGGCAGCAGCAGAAAGAGACGGTCCCCAAAAAGTTCATCTGCCATGCCCTCAAGCAGCTCGCCATCTATACCTATAGCCCGGGCCACTTCACTTCCTTCGACCTCGAGGACGCCAAGAAACCCGCGCACATCTACTCGTTCGGGGAGGAGAAGCTCAAGACCCTCCACCGCACCGAGCACAACGACCTGTTCAAGCACAACCGGGGCTTCCTTGTGCGAACCTTTCCCGAGAGCTTGTCGTCCTTCCTGTCGTCCAACCCAAACTACCCAACCTTGTTCTGGCGCAAAGGGGTGCAGATGGTGGCGCTGAACTGGCAGGTTTGGGACACAGCCATGGAGCTGAACGACGCCATGTTCGACCATGAGAATGGCTGGGTGCTCAAGCCCACTGGCTACCGGAGCAACGAGACCAAGGCTAACTGCCAGGCCGACGTCATGGGAAAGAAGATGGACCTAACCATCACCGTCCTGGCTGGGCAGCACATACCATCAGACGACCATTCCGAATCCAGCAGGGGCACCACGAGAATCAATCCGGCCGCCGTGAATGCAGATCGTTTTCGCCCGAGGGTCACCTGCTTCCTGCATGTCGAGAGTGCGGCCGAGAGAAACCCCAAGAAGAGCATCTCCAAGGATGACACATCTCGAAAGACGAGGACGGCGAGGACGGAACAGCCTGACTGGGGCTCTAGCGGCTCGAAGCTTCACTTCCCCACGGTGCGCCACGTGGTGGAGGAGTTGAGCTTCGTCAGGTAAGCGCATCCATGTTCTTTGTCAATGTTCTCTTCTTCTCTCTCTTATGAACAGTTGCTGACGTTACATGTTTTCTTTTTCATATAGATTCTATGTGGAACACTGTGGCCGTAGTTGGCCCGAACGAACCGCCTGGGCCTGTGTCAGGCTGGACAGGCTACAAGAAGGATACAGGCTGATCAAGCTGAAGACGGACGATGGCTACAAGAGCGACGGTCTCCTCCTAGTCAAGATCGAGAAGAAGCTCTCTGACGAGACCCCACGGTCCCTGTCGCTGCGGCGTAAGACTTGGAACACCTGCAAGGACGAAGTCTCGCAGCTGAAGTCGAGATGGACATGCATGGGATGACAAGGACGATGATGATATCGTCTGTGATGCCTAACACGAAAGAGAGGGAGATGTATAGGGACAGGGAGAGAAGGGGTCTTTTTCCTTATACGGCGTAATCACAGTGGCACTTCATCGGGTTTGAATTCTGTCCAGGCGTTGGATGATTCCTTGAATGTTCGAGAGCTGTCCGGGCTATAGCAGTAGCAGCAGTAATAGTCTTCTTCAGTCACAACAACAAGCTATCTTGCACTCAAGCAAGTCCCCACAATTGAAGACGAGGTCAAACAAAACCCCATCCTTTGCGTCCCTATTTCAATAGTCGTTGGACCTGTGGAAATCCTTCATCCTTCTGGCTGTCAAGGAGATGACACCCGGTGTTTAGCAGGCAGGAAGACGTTCCGGTACTGGTTCCCACCAATATAGAGTGAAATATGGCGGCCAGATTTACTTGACGTTGATCATCTGTCATGAGCACTCACTGCTTTGCTTACCACACACAAAGCAGGGACGGAGGGATTCCCCCCTAAACCCGACCATGTCGATGCGGGCGCTTGCGGGCGATGCGGCCGCACCCGCCGCACCACCCGCATAGGCGGGAGAGAGTATACTATTATTCTCACGTCCTTTGTACGGAGAAAGGGCAGATCCCGTCCGTCCCCACGTCTCGTTTAGGATATATAAATGGCTAACGTTCTCCTCAACTTGATGGAGAATGCGTCGGAAGATGTCCTCTGGTCTGTTCAAGACATTCAATACTTTACTTTAAGTCTTGACTCACCTTCAGTGTTTGGGGCGAAAGAAAATCCACCTTCAATCATCCTATTTTGACCATCAGTTTCCATTGATTCCTTCTTCAACCATCATGGCGCCTCCTGTCTCCCTCCCTACAAGAAAGCTGGGTCGCAATGGTCCCGAAGTGACCGCACTGGGCCTGGGCCTGATGGGTCTCAGTAACGCTTATGGTGATGCAGGGTATGTACTAAAGTATTTTAAAGAAACGGGAGAAGATCCAGCTGTGTTTTGGTCCTTTTCTCTTCTTTTTCTTTTCTTTCCTCCTCCTCCTATCAGAGTCCTTGGTATTCTTATTATTAACATCTCTCTTTTAATAACCACAGCACGGATGAGGAGCGCTTCAAATTCCTCGACCGCGCCTGGGAGCTCGGCTGCACATTCTGGGACTCGTCCGATCTGTACGGCGACAGCGAGGACCTCCTGGGCAAGTGGTTCAAGCTGCACCCGGAGCGGCGGGCCGACATTTTCCTGGCCACCAAGTTCGGCATTGTCCGGACCGCGAACGGGTACGGCATGGACACCTCGCCCGAGTACTGCCGCGCGGCGTGCGAGAAGAGCCTGCAGAGGCTGGGCATTGACTCCATTGACCTCTATTACATCCACCGGCTCGACGAGAAGACGCCCATCGAGAAGACTGTCGAGGTCCTGGCCGAGCTGAAAAGGTAACGTGGTCCCCATCAACAAGACAGAGAGAGAGAGAGAGAGAAAGGGAGGGAGAACAAATGACTAACCCATCAATTATTTTTTTATTTTTTTTAGGGAGGGCAAGATCAAGTACCTGGGCATCTCCGAGTGCAGCTCGACGTCCCTCCGCCGCGCCCACGCTGTGCACCCCATCGCAGCCGTGCAGGTTGAGTACAACCCCTGGGACCTCGACATCGAGAACGAGACGGGCACCCACCTCCTTCCCACCTGCAGGGAGCTCGGCGTGGCCACCATCGCCTACTCGCCGCTGGGCCGCGGCATCCTGACGGGCCAAATCCGGTCCCGGGACGACCTTGGCAAGGACGACTTCCGCTTGTTGATGAGCCGGTGGAGCGAAGAGAATTTCCCCAAGAACCTGGCCGTCGTCGACAAGATCGCCTCTATTGCGGCGCGCAAGGGCGTTACCACCAGCCAGCTCGGCCTGGCCTGGGTCTTGAAGCAAGGAGACGATTTGATTCCTATCCCCGGCACCAAGAAGATCAAGTATCTGGAGGAGAACCTGGGTGCCCTCAAGGTTGACTTGTCCGATGAGGAAGAGAAAGAGATCCGGAAGCTCGTAGACGAAGCCACCGTCATCGGGAAGAGAAATATCCCTGGTTTGCTCAACGTCTTTGCCGACACACCTCCTCTGCAGTGAGCACATGCAGCATCTCAAAAGCTGTTCTTACCTCCGATGATGAAGAGCGCTTTGTGGCCAAGATAGCAACACCACAGCTGAAATAAAAGGAAGCGCATATCCTCTGACATGTCTCAAGATATATACCAAATGTAGGGAGCTTTAAGTTCGAGCTGGTAGAAGGTCCCTGCGGCCTCATGTCCTGATAGTAGAAGATTGAGGAGATCATTATCATCATAGATGCTCTTCTTCGAGCCGTCAAGAGGGTATGTATGGAAAGTTTGCGGCACATCACTCGTGATCCTCTGCATAGCCCTCTTCCTCAACGCCATCCTCGTCGTAGCCTTCAGCCTCGTCGCTCTCGTCGCCCTCCTCACCCTCCTCGCCGTCGTCGTCCTCCTCCTCACTTGTCGAGACCTCGCCTTCACTCTCGCCCTCGCTGCCAGGATCATAGTCCTCCTCTTCCTCATCCTCTTCATCCTCCTCGATGATCTGCTCCGCCCGCTCCAGTTCTGCCATATCCTCATCCTCGCCACCGTCATGTTGAACCGCACCATTTGTTGCGCCTCCTGCTGCAGCTGCAGAGGCGCCCTTGGCATTCTCCCTCAGCTGCATCTTGGCTCTCCTGCCGGCAGCCATACTCCTGTTGTGCAAACCATGTCTCCGCACATATGTTTCGTCGATGACCTGATAATCGTCCTGGTCGATCATGCCAAACTCGATCTCCTCCGACTTGGACCCGCTTTCTTCGCCAGGTGGCGTGTTCTTCTGCTGTTGGCCATCCTGCGCTGATGCGTGTGACACATCCACCTCGACTAGAATATTGAAAGTCCTCTGCAGCACGTTCGTATACGACACGGCGACGATCCTATCGAGCGGGATGAAGAGGAGTGGCTTTTTGTAGCCCCACAGGATTCCGTTCGGGAGGAAAAACAGGTACCCATCCTTGCTACCCCGGAAGGCCTTGACATGTACCGCCTTCTCGTTGAGCCGGTAGGGCTGCTTGGCATTACTGTGGAAGATGCGGGGATCGGTGCCCACGACCGACACGGCCGTGTTCCCCACGGACTGAAGCTGAGACTTGATGGCCCAGTCCATAAGGTTGGTATATGAGTCGGAGACTTGGGCGGCGGTCTCTGCTGCGTAGCCAGCAACGACGCCTGCCTTTGGAGCGCTGCTGGGTACAGTAAAGAGGAGGGGTTCGAAGTCGACAGGACCCCAAGCTTTTGTGGAGGCGAGAGCGGTGTTGGGCGGGAAGAGAATGTAGTTGTACATCAGCTGCTGTTTGTCGGGGACTGGCGCGCAGAAGACGTATGCTGTCAAGAAAATTAGCCATCTCTTGTCAAAGTTGACCACCACCGTCATCATCATCATCATCATCATCATCATCATCATCATCATCCCCAGGTCATCAGAAATGAGGTGGCTAGCTAGCTAGCTAGCTGGAAGGGAGGATCGCGCGCACCAATTTTGCTCCACTCGTACACCATGCCCTGTACCGGCGCATCCGTGCCGACTTGCTTCGTATACAGATAATTCTTTGTGAAAACGAGGTCATACTTCTTCCTCTGTGGTATGGACACGCTGATCTCCTTGACCTCGAGCAACACCACCTCCTTGGCGGCAGCGTTTGCCAGGTTTATAAGCAGTGAGTCGTTGGCGGGCACTGGCGAGGCGGACTGTCCGACTTTGAAAGTTGGCCCAGCTCGTACAGGTGGCGCTATCATGCCATGATCGACGGTGGTGTTCGAGCCGTCCTGGCCTTGTACTTCAATCCGTCGTCTTTTCGCGCTGGGTTCATTGGAGAGGAACTCGTCGAACACGAAATTGGTGATTGAGTTGAAGAGGATAACGCGCTCAGGAGTATCTGGGAGGAAGACGGAGTTTAAGGTCAGCCTTCATTGTGGTACCGCAAGGCTTATTTTCACGCTTCGGGGACAGTCCAGAGAGAACTTGAGCGGCTGTTTGGGTTGTCACCGCACCGGCAGCTTGTTTGATCCCTTCGATGAGATCAGGGCGGCCTGCGAAGACCTGGCTCACTTTCTCGTGCCCGAGACTGGTCATTGTAAGAGTCCTCGAACACACCCAACCGTGACTAGAAGTATGAAGGGACAAGTACAGTCAGGCCACTTGAGGCCCAAGTTCGAGATGTGCTATTCACGGCTGAAGATCGTGTCAAGGTGGTGTATTGGTGTGTGTTAAGGGTACAAGGAAGGCGTGTTTCCGGGTAGGCGAAAACTTTCGACGTCACCTTGGAGCTGTAAGTGCTAAAGTGAGTGGGCCCAAACGCCCCAGGCGCGTGCGTGTGCTAGGCGATGGCCAGCTGCTAGAATTTCTTACGTAACATAGATTTCGAGGCGTGGAAAAGGGCTTTGTTCCCTTTGGTCAATAATATGCTACAGACCATGTTATCAATAGGAAAAGCAAACAGTATAAATTCACATCAAGGTCTTCTTAACTGTCTCTCCCTGGGATCTGCTTCCTTTTTGTTTTGCCGTCTACTCATCTCCTTGGACTATTGACCCAGATCGGGCCAGAGCTTTGCCCTAGGCATTCTTCCCCTTGCACCTGGAAAGTCATCACTATGGAACTGATGCCCCAGCTTCACTTTATACTACCGTATCTGATAGAGACTAAGAACTTATGCAATCATACCGTTGAGTACCTTGACTTGCTCCAACACGCACGCCTTGCTGGTGCCTCCCTTGGCTGACCGCATCTCCACGCTCTTCTCGTAGTCAAATGTCTCCTTGATGTCCTCATCAAACCTCTCGTCCACGCCTTTCATTTGCTCGTAGGTCAACTCGTTCATGGGCGTACCAGTCTTCTCAGACAGGGCGACCACCCGCCCGGAGATGTGATGTGTCTCTCGGAATGGCACACCCTTGCGCACCAGATAGTCTGCTACATCGGTTGCGAGCATGAAGGGGTCAAGCGCCGCCTTCATCTTCTCGGGCTGTGTATCCAGTGTAGACAGCACCCCCTCGGCGATTTGGATGCTGTCGCCCACCGTCTTGACGTGGTCCAGCATGGGCTCTACCGACTCCTGCAGATCCTTGTTGTAGGTGCTGGGCAGACCCTTCAGGGTCATCATGAAGCCTGCCATGTGGCCAAACGCACGGCCGCTCTTGCCGCGCAGCAGCTCGAGGCTGTCCGGGTTCTTCTTCTGCGGCATGAGCGAGCTGCCTGTCGAGTAGGCATCTGCCAGCCGCACAAAGCCAAACTCGGCGCTGGAGTAGATGATCAGGTCCTCGGCCCACCGACTAATGTGCTGCATAAGAAAGCTACCCCACTGCAGGGTCTCGAGGACAAAGTCGCGGTCGGCGACAGCGCCCATCGAGTTCCACAGGAGCTGATCGAAGCCCAGCTCTTTCGACATCATCTCCCTGTCGATGCCAAAGGGGTTGCCTGCCAGCGCGCCACAGCCCAGCGGACTCCTGTTGACGCGCTTCCGGATCTCGCGCAGCCTCTCGAGGTCGTTGGCAAACGCGAAGCCATAGCTCAGCATCCAGTGGCTCCAGCGGATCGGCTGGGCGCGCTGCAGATGCGTGTATCCTGGCATGACGTAGTCCACTTCCATCTCCGCCCTCCTCGCGACAACCTTGAGGAAGCTGACTAGGTAGTCCTCCAGCTTGTCCAGCTCGTCCCGCAGCCACAGGCGCATGTCGGTAGCAATCTGCTCGTTACGACTCCGGCCGGTATGCAGCTTGCCCGCGATATCCTTGCCGATAATCTCGCCTAGCCGGCGCTCGTTGGCGGTGTGAATGTCCTCGTCTGCGCCGGGGATGCTCTTGAAGGTGCCATTCTCCCACTCCTGCTCGACCTGCAGCAAGCCGGCCTCGATCTTCTCAAACTCGGCCTGGGTGAGGCGGCCAGCTTTCGTGTTGGCGCGGGCAAAAGCTATAGAACCCAGGATATCCTGCTTATGGAGGACATTGTCGAAGGATAGAGACTCGTTGTACTGCTCCATAAGAGGGTCGAGGCCGCCTAGACAGGGGGAAAAAAGGATATACGGGTCAGCGTTGGAGCTGCGAGGAGCCTGGATTGTTTGGAGCAAGACGTGGTTCGAAAGGGTCAATTGGGCGTCCATGAGTGCCCATAGTGCTCATTATCCTCCTTAATCGTCTGAGGAGTGGAAGAGAATGAACTAACCAGTGAAGCGGCCTCCCCAGAGCATATTGTCCTTCTTGCCGGTCGAAGCCATCGTGTCGTCACTCTTCCTGTCTTCTCACGCTGTACAGGGCTCCGTCAGAAGCAATTGGTGGAGGTTTCGTTTGGGGAAGTAAAAATGGCGGACAGGTTGTTGGCCCCTGGTGGAATAGCAATCGATTGATGCGTAGAAATTGGTCAGAAGATCACTTCTGACTGTCCAGTTACTGCGAAGATGAAAGCTTGACTCATAGTCTAAGTCCTGTGAGGGCGGAAAAAACGAAGAACTTCTGAGCATCCCTGTTCACTGACAGAACGATAAGACGATAAGGATCCCTGCATGGAGCTACCCCTGCACTGCACTGTACTAGGCGTCTACCATAGGACCACAGCACCTAGCACACTAAAGTCGTTGGATGGGCGCTGTGAATGTTTACATTACAACACCTGTTGTGGAATCACTAAGTACCATAGTAGCTGGTACGTCCGGCCTCCGGAGCTTGGGTCCTAACTCATCACTTGTATTTTATGTACACTGGGCCAAGGAATAATCCTATGGATATATGCTGCACCTCAATCTTGGAGTCGAGACACACGTTTAAGTTGAAATGGTTGAGCAATAAACTCATGTCAGCGCGAGGGATTGGTTTGTCTCTCCAAAGGCCTGGCGCACTCCTCATATTTTCCTGGCTCGGACCTGGCTAATGCTGGAAATAAGTATCGCATTTACAGTTCCGTCGAACAACAACATGTCATCTGAAATCCGAGGTGCTCTTTAAGTATTTGAAATGTCCTCGAAAGGCTGCTTTGCTAACGAAGATACACGATATACGCCCACCGCTCCGCAATTAATTCGATACGACGATATTGATTCGTCCTACACCCGTACCATTCCTCACAATCTGTCTCCTGTGCAGCAGACCCCGTTCCTTTCGTCCGTACTCGTTATTGCGGCACGAGTTGCGCCGTTGGTCGAGGCACCGAGCGGGGGCCTATTCGAGTGGTATTCACTATTACTTGGAGATCTTACTCTCTTCCTCTGCTAAACGAATACGAGAGCTCTTGTCCCTGTCTCCTCAACAGCCTGTCATGCCGCACAACTGGTCGTTTCGATGCAGACTGTTACACGTAATATAAGCCAGTTTAGGCTGTTGGCGGCGTATTTACAATAAGCCCGAACACCACCCTCCATGAGAACATAGCTTAAGATGTAATAGTATAAGAAGGTTGCCAAGACAGAACTGTAAAGCGCAACACATACCATGTTGATGTTGTGATCTGCATCCTCTATTACTTTGTCCATTAAAAATAACATCTCAAAATGTTTTGCAAGGCTCTGGTGTTAGCCGTTAGCTTAGGGAGGGCAGTTGTGGCTCAAGGAGGATCACTCAAAATCAGTACGCCGACGATGAAGATGCGTAAAGGAGAAGACAGAAAGGTTCCGGCTGACAAGATCTGTAGTGCCCCTAGGCGACAGCATCACCGAGATCACCTGCTGGCGCGCCAAATTGTGGGATCTCCTCGCCGACGCGAACGTCACCTCTGACATCCAGTTCGTCGGCTCCATGACCGACAATCCACAGAACTGCACCGCCGTCCACACAGACTGGGATCACCACCACGAGGGCCACTCCGGCTACCTGGCCATTGATATTGCCAACTCAGACCTCACGGGCTGGCTCGCCGCCGCGGAGCCGGATGTGGTCATGTTCATGCTGGGCACGAATGATGTCTTCCAGGGCCATGCTACGACGGATATCATCGCGGCGTATACGAAGATGGTTGGCGAGATGCGGGCGAGCAACCCTAATATGAAAATCATTGTGAGTCTCCTGTTCAGGGTGAAGTGAAAGTTTAGTCACAATTTCTTCCTTCTGACAAAATGTTTTCTCCTCATAGGTCGATACGGTCATCTCATCCCCCTATGAGCAGTCTGGGATTACTGCCCTTAACAATGCAATTCCAGCTTGGGCTCAGGGGGCAAATACGACGGCTTCTCCCATTTACATTGCCGACATTGCTGCTGTCTTCCCAGCCGGTAACACAGACCTGAGAGATGGTGTCCATCCTAACGACGCAGGCGACACTGTGATTGCCAACGTACTGGCGCCTCTGTTGACTTGGGTCATACAGTCAAGCACTGCGAGTTGATTTGGTTTTGCGTCGGATAGGCAGCATGCTGGGCTCAGGGTCGAGGAGGTGACTGAAGTTTGATGAAGCATGATGAACGAAGGAAAGAGAGGATAATCTTTTCCAGAATCTATTAAAGGAAAAGAAGTAGACGGCAAACCTCGAGATCTTTCTCAGACTGCGATGATGACTCCCTTAGTTTGCAAAAGTCAGATACTCGGGGCTTCTGAGATGGCGCAATGGGTACCTCTTTTGCATCTCAAGGGAAAGAAGAGAGCAAATCAAGAAGCAGGACATCACAACTCATCTCCTCCATGCTTCTGGCCAAGACTTCGGACTATCAGTCAACCGTGATTTCGAGACATACACTGCCACCCAGAAGGCTCCAACATGGTTATCCCACTAGCATTGTCTTGACACCGATCTTTGATATGATTTGAGACCAAGTAAATTGGGATCGACGATCTCTGTGATAACAACGTAGCACTGCAAAGCCTTGGTGATATGCCAAGACTCCATGTGTGCAAGTAGTTATCATCAAAGCCTCTTCGAGCCCTTCGTTGTCCCTTCTCTTGGTCCATTGGTGTGTCTATTGTGCTAAAAAGAATGTCAAGAGCACACGGTGTATCTGTTTATAATCAGAACCCACTGATGAAAATAAAATTTATTAGCAAACATGCGACTCTATATATAACCCAACTAATTCATTCCGTTCTCCTTGTCTTTTCAACTCATCTCACAACATGGGCAGCTTGCGCGCATCGAGAATGTTGACAACATCCTGATAATGGGACTTGGCAGACCTTGGCCGATCGCGGGTTTTCAACCAGGAGACACGGCTGTGACAATCCCGAGAATGTCGTGACACAGGTGGGCCCCCGTCCGCTGATCTCATGGCCTTCAAATCACTCAGCACACACTTTGAAGTTCCCACATTATCTCAGATAAGGAAAATGGCTCGGCCAGTCTTCTCTGGGGCCATGACAGCTCGGGTTCAGTATGATACAGTTTAAGCAGGATCGGCTCCTAGGAAAGCTGGAGCAGAACGCGTCGGTGAAGTTGAAAGCGCGACAGTTATCACATTGTAAACTGCGAGGTCGGATTTGCAGACCCGCAAAATTGACTTGGACGATCTCCCTATCTCTATCTCTTGCAAATGTTCCAGCCACCTGGAGAGTGGGACAGCTCATAGGGGAAATGGTGAGAGCAGACTTGGGACGAATATCTAGCGGTTAAATAGCAGCAATTCCAGTACCAGTGATATTCTCTGCGAAGCACATCAAGGACCTTCGACCACCTCAGTGAAAACCATACACATCAACCAGCTTGGACCAATTCGATCATTACCGCCATACATTCTTTCTATCCATATTGCACTGCGAGCAGCTGCAAAACACGTGTTTATCAGGATGCGTTTCTCCTACGCCATCGTTGCCCTCGTTAGCTTGGCCACTGCCTTGGTGAGATATTCTATACAGATCCTTTCCCGTCTAAGATTGTGTGCCGGTGGAGATTACATGCGACTGACTTTCTCCCTCTCATACCTCAGCCTACACAAGGTCCCATCGAGGACAGAAGCCCTTGCTCACCGGATGAATGTTACCAAAACGTCCGCACAGTAGTCTTCGAGGAGCGCACGAACAAGCGCAATCAGACCGTGAGAGCAGTGGCCACAAGTGGTCCTAGGCGGTCGCTTAACTTGGTCGAAGTCGACACTCGGGATGTTGAGGACAAGGACGTCCAGAAGCGGGTTGACCCGTACCCCCAAATCGATGTCCAGGTTCGCGGACAGGCTCGCGGATTGGGATACGAGCAGCGCAGAAACACAAGCGCAAGGGCCGTAGACACGATGGATCACGCCTCGAAGCAGTCCAGAAACTTGTTCAGGACCGAACGTCTCCAGGAGCGTGGCGATGGTCTCCAGGTCGAGGAGAGCGCTTGAGAGGGAAAAAACCAGACCACAGGCGCAAGAGCGGCCATACGACGTCGAGGAGCGCGGTCTCCAAGATAAAATGTCTCACTGCTGAGCAACCGCTCTCGGGAGGGAGGCTCTGTATGATCGATTTAGCAACGACACAATGTGCTCATATAAGTTCACGGGAAATGCAGGCCTAGCTGGCCACCATCTCAAGGTGTTGAGCACTTTCGAAAAGGACTCTGGTCCTGGGGCCAATCAGTGAGGAAGGTTGTTCAACAAAGGCCGTCAAATTGATCCAAAAAGTGAACTGATTATGATCAAAATCATGCATATGGTTACATACTATGGTAGTCCCAAAGAGTGGCTTGATGGTGATGATATCCAGAGCGATTAAGATATCGTATCATACCCTCCAAACGCGTTGTTGACCGGCCGCTATGTCACTATGCATGACCGACAGGGATCCAGGCCTGAGGCTGACGAGTGAGACAGGACCAAAGGATAGAGTTAGCGCTAGGCAGATTCAAATTCCCCTACAGGCTGCTTTTGTACAGTTGGCAACCACACTCGGCACCACTAACCACGGGTTGTTGCTCCGGGACGACGACGTCATCGCTTGGCCCAGATATGATGTCGTCCGTCAGCAGGTCAGGTTGTCCATAGGAAACACTCAACCCGGTGGTTGATTTTTTGGGGGGGTTTTTCAAAAGTTTTCTTCCTCAAGCAAAAGGCAAACAAATGATCAAAAGAAGACGCAAGCACACAAAGTCACAAATTCATCTCTTGTACCTTGTGCACGCCGATCCACTAGTTCCATATTGTTTCCGCCTTGTCCATCAAAAATCGAGCTAGTGATGCCGTGACAAGTTCACTGTCCAACACTATTCGATTCCACTATTCCCCATTATGAAGCCTGCCCGAAGCGACCGCGGTGATGGTGAGGGTAGCCGCTCAAGGAGGAAGTCTCGGCACCACAGGGATGACTCTATTCGTGATGACTCGTCTGTTGATAGCGGCTACTATGGCTCTTCAGCATCACCAGTCTCGCCACGAGCTCCGCAGAAACACGTCTCGAGAGATCACCAGCATCTAACATCTCCGAAGCACGACCGTCACCGAGGCTGGTCTAAACATGATGCCAGTAGGGAGAGGAGTGACGACGACTGGGATGACGCCGGCAGTGAATCGGACTACGACCCAAAAGCAAAATACTATGATCCCGTCGACGATGACGTCTATCGAGAGATCTCTTTCCGGGCCCGAGAGACGCCAGATCAAACACTACTAGGCGAGAGCATCGAGAAGAGACGGGAGGGCGAAGGTGAAAGGGAACATCATGCCAGACGGCGACGTCGAAGTGGCCACGAACGGCGAGACTCCACATCCCATCGCCGCCGCTCAGTATCCTCCAACGAGAGTGACATATCCCGCGACCTGCACAGACATTCGGATCGCTCTCCACGGCAATCTTCTCATCGATCCTCCGACCTGTCTCGGCCTCGACCAGACTCTCATCGTCGTCCACTCTCCCCAATACCGTCCGAACAGTCTGAGGGCTGGCTGACTTCCTCGAAACGGGCGGTGGGACCTCGGAACCGAAGTCGCTCCCTTATTGACCGCCACAAGAGGGATTCGAGCAACGACTCATTCTCAGATATATCAAACCTTGGATCCACAGACCCGCAAGAGAAGGACCTCAACCCAAAATCACGAACATCTCCAGAAAGGCCCCCAAGGTCACGCACTCGAGACGGACACGGTCGCGAGAGGAGCCTACAGGACAACAAATCCGGGTCGTCTTCATACAAGGGGGCTGCAGACATGGATGATGCGTGGTACAAGACTTTCAAGGACAGAATCACGAAAGGCGTGGATATGAACCAGGTGAAGAAAGTCGGGCTTGACGCTGCCGCCGTCGCCGCGGTCAAGGTGGCGGTCGGTACGCAGCTGCCCTGGAAGCAGCGCATACCCAAGACCATCGCTGTCGGCCTTGCTGCAGCAGTGACGGACTTTCTGATCTCCAAGACATCCTTCAAACCTAAAGGAATGGTCGGCACAATGTATGCCAGACAGCTTGTGGAGATTGCCTTGGCCAACTTGGTCATAAATCCGGTTAGCAGCAAGGTCACCGGTGTGGCACAGAAGGCCAATGGCAAGGCAGGTGCTGGGAGGAGAAGATGAATACGGTGCCGAAGTCAAGACTTGCGATGATTTGACATTAAGCCACTCCTTTTGTGTGTACCTAAAGTTTGAGCCGGGTTTTGACATAGTTACTCGAATGCGCCAGACTGCAAGCGTTATGATATTGAAAAATACAATTCCTATGAGCTTGGCAACCTGAGCCCAGACCTTGGGCACAACTGCATGGTTAAGACCTGTGACTATAGCCCTACGATGAACCTGACATGATTTTTTTGAGGACCAATTTGCTTTCTTTTCATCAAGGTCGTGTTGCTGATTTCATCGAGTCATTAACACAGGATGATATCAAGAAGTAGCTCTCATATGAGGTCGTCTTCCACTTGACATGGCCACAGTCTACTTACTGGAAGTTTAAAATACAAAAGTGCCCGAATAAACATATCTGTCTTCAAACCTGCATAATCTAATGATAAGAAGAGAAATGGATACCGGTTACGAGAAACTGGACTCTATTTGCTCACTATTGATCACAATTCCGCGGAAAATTTGAAGCTTCCATCGCATGATTACTTGACACATTAAGACGAATTACGACGATATTATATACATATCCTCTGTTCCTAGACCATGATATTGACAAAACATGATCTCAATCATGTTTCACTGTGCTTAGCCTTCTCTTTCAAACGCAGCCATCAAGGCCTGGCAGCCGTGATCAGGTACTCGTTCGCATTGTTTGGAGTGCAACAATCAAGAAACACCCTCTCCCCATCTTCAGCCTCCTTCCTTGCTATTCACTGCAGCATGTTCTCTTTTTGTGACTGTTGTTGAAGCAAAGCTTGGATGGTCTTCAAGACTGATGTTTTCCGTGATAAATTGTCGCAGATACCTCGCTGCAGACAATGTGGAAAGGGTGTCTCTGATGATCTCAAAATCATCTCACTTCAATTGTGTCTTAGTCCGTTTCTTCTTCTGTAAGCATATGAAGACAGGAGCTTAGTTTATAGTATCTGTCTATCCTCCCCCTCATTACACTATAGACTAACCAACGCACAATTTCACTTTGACAGCTTCCTTTTGCTGTTGCTCCAGGAGGAAACCGAAGAGGTGTCAGGCATATTACTCTTACTCTGGCTGAGTATGTCAATTTGGGCCTGATCGAAGGCAATACGACATCAAGTGAATGACAACTAGGCCAATTTCGGTATCTGCAACTCTGTATGGACGAGGCAGTAGATATTCAAACCTGTTATGGTCTCTCAACATCTATTCAGACGCTAGATTCAGGAGGAGACAGAATGAAACGCGTCTAATTCTTCCGTGGTTTCTCTCTCTCTCCCTTTTCCCTGTGTTTCTGTTGCAAATATGAATCAAGGCAACAGCAAAGCTCGATTCTGTTGTGTTGAAATACCCGCAGAGTCTTCCGGATGACACGGCCGAGTGTCCAAATCTACTCGGCTGGCCACTCTACTGCCAGATATCCATGGCATCGAAGTAGAGCGCTCTAAATTATATGCATACATAGAGCAGTGTCCTTTAGGATGCTTGTGAGGTGGCTTCTATGCCAACTCTCTCCTTTCCTCCTGAACTACAGTCTATGTGCTACTTAGATGAGCAAACGGAATATTTGACAAGAACTTGACTTCTCAGCCATGCCTCTTCTTGTTTCCACTGACCTCTCCTCCAAGCCCAACATACGGGCAAAATACGCACTAGGTAAGAAGTCCCAGCAGCCTGCTACCCCATCCACACATAGGAATGATGCATGCATGATCTCTGCCAACTGGCGATCCTAAACATAATTACATCTGCAGATGCATCAGACAACACTTTCTCCCCCGACCACATCACACGCATGATGATATCGGCCGAGTTGATCCTTGTCAGCGCCATAGCACCAACAGCTGCAGGCAAGGACGTGGACATTCACCAAGCCTCAGGACTGCACCATTGCAGCCGGGGGAACATCCCTCCTCCTCCCTTGGCCACCGCGGGGCGGGGGAAAAGAGGGTTGTACAAGACACAACGGCTCGTCGCATGATGAGGCCCCCAATCCGGCAGATTCTGATTTCAAATACTTTACTCATCTCCCTATTTCTCCCCCCTCTCCCCCTCCATGACATGCACTTGCTGGGATACAGCAAGCATATGCATATGTTGGTCATACAGCAGATGCGTTGTCGGGCACATCCGGTGTACAAAAGCCCTAGCAGGGGGAGAGAGAGGGAGGGGGGGGTAAGGTACGGGTGTACACAAGACAAGTGACACGCATGTGAGCCAACGGCAGCTGGATCACTGGCCTAAATCGTGCAAAGACAGGGGCCTAATTGTCTTGCTTGCTTGCTTGCTTGCTTGCTGGGAGGAGGGCCCCAACTTGATGCACACTGACCCTTTCACATCACACAAGCAACAAGCCTAAAAGGGCTACAAAAAGTCTCAGAAAGACGTCCGAGGGATTTTCTTACTCAGACGGCGTTAATGCGTCTCGTACACACAACCAGTCGGAGGCCTTCCCCAAGACTCGACTTTCTTTTTCCACACCTTGTTGCCCCTTTCCATCTTTTGCTTCTCGTTTTCGCAGTTCCAAATCCTTCGCTAGAAGTGGTGAAAGGAGGATTGTCATAGACCATCTGATGTCACTTATGAGGCCCAAGCGTTCTTTTTCTGGATTGAAACCTCGCCTCCCTTTCTCTGTCTTCCTTCAGGCCTTAGGGCTTAGGATCGGGCTTTGAAAAAGAACGAGAGGGAGTGGGGAGGGAGGTTCTTGGAAATCTGGAGGAATTACCCGAGCCCTTGTTCGATCCTCGGGAGGGATGAATAAGGAATTCCAAAGTACCTGTACCTGTCCTCCTTGTACTCATCCCCCAGAGGGGCGGGCCGAGCTCTGAGAACTGGGGGCCGAAGGATGAGCGGGCAGATCGATCCACGCAAGATAACCCCCCGATGGTTTACCAGGGCGACGTGAGATTGCAAGGTCGCTAGGTATCTAATCCACACTCTCCTCCCTCTTTCTCCCCCTCCATCACATCCCGGGTCCGAGCAGAAGCGAGGCGGGAAGCGCGAAACACTGGCCCACGCTGGGGTCTCGCCCTCGGGAGGAGAGCCCTCTCAAATCAAAGACAAGGCTGTCGCCGTCTACAGCCCCCATAGCTCATGGCTCATGGCTCAAAAGCAGACGCAGATCTGTGACACGCTGTATGTACACACTGGTGACCACATGGATGGCGCCATTGCTACAGCTGCTGACCGCCTGACCGCCTCGTCTTTCTCCTCGCATATGTCGGTTCTGTGGACAGATACCCCAAAGGATTCGTGGGGGGAGGGGGGGGGGGGAGACCGGTACATAGCAACTCGACCAGCTCCCCCGCCCCGGTCACGCTGCATGCATACATGATAAGCAATGAAATCAAGAGTACATGCACCCCTCTCTCCCACAAGGCCTGGGTGGACTAAGCGAGCATCAGTCGGCCCACGAAAGTACGACAAGAAAAGGAAAGTGGGAAAAGAAAGAAAGAAAAAAACGGTTCGCGATCTCTGTAGGAAGACTGCCCCATACAATTCAGGAATCCCAGATCTCAGAGTCTTACTTTGTGAAGTGTATAATCTCGACAGGGTGCAGACGCAGGTGGTCGGCACATAAGTTCCCTGTCCAAGAGAAGCTCGGAAAAGAGCCAGTAAGAAGACGAAGATCAGAGTGGAGCTCGTGACTACTTACCTTATGAAAGCGTCTCTGTCCCTATTATACCTCATGGGTGGAGTCGGTATTCCCTACCGAACTCAGTATAACTACTTACGAAATACAAGATAGACGCCTTTTTGGACCTTGTATCGAACTAAGTAAGGGAAAACGGACCTGATTGTGGATCCATCATCATGGCGAGAGGGGTTCACCAGCAAGGGCCGAAGGATCTGTCCCTACAGTGCGAGAAGCCGCTTGGCCAACAGCCAGCGACAAAGAGTTGAGAAACATGCAGCGTGCGGCGCAGGTGGCGTGGTCATGAACTGATGGTTTTATCATAGTAGTAGGTGTTGTATAAATTAGGTAGGCAGCAGCTGGGACGAGAGGGGCTGTCAAGGCTGTATATTAGCAACAGCTCATTAATTTAGCCCAGGTCCAGTACGGACGGTCCAGGGCTTCACATACATACTGTCGTATTGAACGGCAAGGAGACGACCTCAAGTGTCACCGAAGAGGCTCCGCCGAGTTCCTGTAAAGGCAGTGGCTATGTCGCGAAAACCCAGCGCTGGTGACTTGCCTCCCCTTGCCGGTTATATGCAACTCACCTGAGCTTCTGTCTATCACTTCCAGTGTACGCCTCATGCTTCGAAGCTGCCTCTAATGAAGAGCCTGCGATTTTTACCTCACAAAGTCAACCTCCCCCACATTTCGAGGAATACAGGGAACATTTGTACGATGATGACTGCCAAAAGGCCCGTGGTTCCCCATCGGTGCGTTGTTAAAAGTGGCATGCAGGAGTGCGGCACAGAATTTTTCACCGGGCTTGTTTTGAAAGGGCCGATAATTGTCGTCCTTTGGAAAATCTGCCGAGACAACGGAGGTAAGATCGAATCACAGCAAGAGAGTCGCTCTATCGCAGAAAGAAGAAAGGGTTGCTTGTACGGACTCATAGTCGTGAGACACGACGAGGTGGTAGTGGTGGTAGTGGTGGTGACCCGTCGGCGGTTGTGGGTACAATTTTTCCTTGTTCTCTTCTTGGTTATAGGTTCTGCTTCCCAGGCGGCATCCTGATGCCCATCGCCGCCGCTCTGGAAGCAGCAGTTTCACCTCCGCCTAGATTGGATCCTTGACTTCTGACGATAACCTCATCCACCTTACTGGCACCCAAGGAGAAGGCAGGGCACACCCATTCGCCGCAGCTACACTTGAACCCTTGCCAGGCGTACCGACCTATACTGGACCCACACTTGGGATTCGGACATACAAGCCGCCCGTCCAGGGCTCCCTCCTCGAGGACGGGTCTCATCCAGGACAGGGCTTCGATGAAGTGGTGCGGACATGGGCTTTGACCGGCTGCTGCCTTCTGATGAGGGACGATGAACTGATGCGTCGCAAGGACCCTCCTGCACTTCTTACAACGGAGGTCCTTTGCCAGTCCCCCGCCTTCAGCCTGGCCCTTGTCCTTCGGGGCCTCGGTTTCGTCCTCAAATATAATCCAGTCAGGCTTCTTGCCGATCTTGGCGCTCTCCTCGACCTCACGCTCCCATAGCCACCGCTGGTACGTGCCATGGCGCTCCACGGCGTCGTCGCTGCCCGCGGGCATGCCCATCTGTACCCACAATTCCAGCTGCTTCATGAAACCCGGGTTGGGCTCTGCGATCTCGCGCGTCTTGCGGACCCAGTCCAGTGCTGCCTGCACTGCCGTACGCGCCGTCTCCTCGTCGGGACGCTTGCTGTTGCCTGGGGTGAGGCCGTACCGGTGAGGGTATTTCCAGAGCAGGTAGGCCACGACGGCAGTGACGGATCGGGACTTGCCCATAGCGCAATGGACGAACACGGCTCCAGGCTGGGCTGGGTCGGTCTTGCTCGCCTCATCTTTTAGCGAGAGGTTCTTCATATCGGGCCCCAGAAGTGAAGGAGCCCCCTTCTTCTCCTCATCTTCTTCACCAGCGACAGCGCCCCCTTCGCCCTTGTCTGCCCCTGATGTTGACCTTGCGCCTGGCAGGATCGTGCCCCGCGGCCATGCCCCTGGTCCTCCGCTCAGACCCCTCTGGATGAACCTGACGGCACGAGGCAGGTGCACCAGGATATCCTCGTCGTCGACATCATCGACGTCCACGCTCAGGTGCACGTAGCGGTCCTCGAAGCCCTGCCAGTCCACAAAGCTGTACTTGATCATGCTGAGGACATGGGCGATCCCCTTGTCCTCCATCGATCCTGGCCGTCGCAGGGCGAAGACGCCGCCGACATACAGCTCGTCCGGGCCGTCGACGCGGTTGAGCGCCATGGCCTTCTGTTCGGTGAGCTGGAGCTGTTCGTGGTCTGGGCCCCCTTCGAATGCCGAGCGCCCGTGGCAACGGTCCGTCAGAGGGCTCGGAGGCGATGACGTCTGAGGAACGATGCCTTCGTGATCAGATGTAGCAGTCTTGGCTGCTTTCAGCTCGCGGCTGATGTCCTGAACGTTGAGCCCGGTGAGGGCCTCAAATCTTGAGCAGCACGCTGGGGACAGGCAGGTAACGTTGTCGCTGTGGTTCTCGTTGTCTCTGTCTCTGTGGGTACTGCTACTGTCGTGCGTCTCCTGGTCGCTGTCACTTGCTGTGGCGTTATCTTCTATGTCTATGCTCGTGTCTGACAGGGGCTCTGATGTTGATGTTGATATGGACAAGGAGGCTCCGTGGGCGAAGATGCGACGGCCTGACTCATCCGGAGAGGGCATAGTCTTGTTCTGGCCAGGGCCTGAGGATGGATAACGCTTTAGCCTGAGCAGATAAAGAACAGAAAATCTGTTTTATCAGAGATGAGAGATCTGATTCGTCAGCTTCCTCTGCTGGACCAGTTGCTGTCCACAATAGAAGGGCCCATAGAGGTGGAGGAGGGTCCTTGGTGCATGCGAAATGGGTCCAAGGAGGAGTTAGTTGGGTGGAGAGTGACGCTAATTTTTTTTTTTTCCTTCTCTGTATGTGATGAAGCCAGGCAGAAGGAGGGTTTTTTTTCTCTTTTCTTTTTTTGTGTTTTTTCTTTCTCTTTCGGTGATCGGTAAAAGCACCTTGTCACGTTCTTTGTGTGTGCTCAGGCCCCTAACCCTTCCACCTTCCCAAGGTTGCCAGGTAATTACTAATGGAAGGTGCTATGATTGGGTACCAAGATACTTAGTACACCAGATAAGGGTTTGTTTCACATTCCACCGGCCAAAAGATGCTAGAACAGGGAAAAGAAGGCGGGAGAGAGAGAGAGAGAACGAAGATGGAAAGTTCGAAATTGCTTGCACAAAGGCATGCCCCGCACTTTTGGCCCCCACAAACGGACCCACTGCGGGGTAGGTCTGTAGGGCTATTTTTTGCTTATGACATGGCCATTTCATAGCTTCTTAGTGTCTGCAGCATCTTAACTTGTACATACAGTGTGGTGTGTGTCATACTAGGGAACCGCTCTTGAAGTGCAGTGGGGTTCCTGTCAAACGTCACGGCAAGGCCAGGCATGATTGGGGGCCAAAGCGAATGTGCATCTTGTCCAGCCCAGCCCCAGCCCAGCCCAGCCCACAGCCCTACCAGGCCTGACCAGACAAGGCAGATGGATGAATCAGGCCTAGGATGGATAGATGGATGGATGGTAGCCCAGGTAGTGTGATGGGGCAGGGAGCGGCTAAGGCAAGCCCACGGTAGCCAAACTTGTTGGCCAGGGCTGAAGAGGAGCCAGCGAGAGGAGATGTGACTGAAGTGGATACATGTAATTAATCCATTCCCCCGAGTTGTGCACAACTTTGACAAGAAAATTATGGGATGATCATCTAGCCTAAGTAATCTGTGCATTGCCGTTGGATGACAACTCAAGGTTGGTCAGATCCAACTCCAAGTGTAACCAAGCCCCCACTCCTATTGTAATACCACTGAGTAAATATGCAAGGGCTTACTTTTCATTGTCTACTAAGTACTCAAGGCTGTGTGATGACTGTTGAGCCCAACTTTATACACCTCTGGAACTCAAAATGGCCCCCCACTACAATGCATGGAACCATCTGAGCTCTACTTCAAAGGACAAGACATAGAAAAAGGCATCATGGTACACATGCAGAAGCCCTCGATAATTATGGTGGGGGAAAAAGCAACAAAAGTATCACACATACCACTCAAGCACTCCCTTAGACACTTACTATCAAAAAGTGTACAGGTAACAATATGTCAGATGCTACCTTACCTCAAGACTAGTATTGTAACATCCTCTCTCACTTAGATCCACCTTGCTAGGAACACCATCACACACACATACTTTTACACATAAACACATCATACATATTTATTGTGCATAAATCTTGTATTTATGTTTCTTGTCTCAATTTTTGATCGCTAAGAGTGTGAAGCCCACTACTACTGTAGCTTTTCCACTTGTCAATGCCTCAATGGCTGCTCTCAGCTGTTGAGGTGACTCAATCAAGCCTAGCCAGCTGAAGGATTCCTCACGACTGAGAGGGTCTGCCCCACCTGGAGTTTGATCTATCTATGGATTACGACAGATAAAGAACGTTGGAATACTTGGATGTACCATGGTATGATTTGAGCAGTCCCCAGTTCAAGGATTTTGGAAGACTTCAGGACAGAAGGCTCGCCGTCGAGGGCAGAATGTGATGAAAACCTGGTTGCGCAACAGACATGAAAAAGCTGCCCAGATCTTTCTGCAATGCAAAAACATAAATAGCCAATCAAGCCGCTAATGCACTGTGATAATAAAAGACACTGAAGGAAGAACCCTTGGCACCGGAAAACCTTCAAATGATACTGTAGCGGGTCCACGAGGAAGACCTCAGGCACGAGAATGAACAACCAAAGCCGAGTCCACGTACACCTGGCCTCCAATGCGCTCCCCCCCCCCCCCCTTTTCAACATCGTGGCTCTTGTTTTTCCCAATCTGCTAAAAAGATTCCATGCGCCGGGACCAAGGACCCAGCCAATCGGTCTGAGATGGAGTGAATCCTTCATCTCCACGATGAGAATCCTCCCGTCTGTCTGGGCCAATCCGCTGGAAAGCCAGTCCTGGATTCCCCTCCTCCCCTCTTCTTCCACCGCCAGATAGACATAATCTCACAAGTTGGTCGAAGCCCTTTGGTCGCAGGCAGCGTCCATCACCGACAGCTTTCGAGAGTTGGTCTGAAGAGTACCAAGAACAGTGAAGGCATGGCCATGACCGTAAGGGAATGCAGTGACCAGAGCTTGTCTTATCTGCCACCTCACCGCCAGGCTAGAAAATCAGAGCAAATGGCATGATGAGAAGAGCGTACAGAGAGAATTAATCAGTGTGCTCCTCTGCTGCGCATAGCGTTGGAGGCATGAATGCACCAGCCAGTCCTGACCAGACTAGAAAATGGATGCACATCGCTGCTTGACTTCCCGGGGGCCATCTGCGAACAGGGCAAATCGGAGTCACCGAGCTACGTGCATGAAGCATTAAAGTCTGCACCGGCAATCGTCGCAACGCAAGTCGCTAGAGCTATAAGGTGATATTTTGACCCCGGTCGAGACTTGCTGTTCCATCCTCGAGCACCAGTACCGTCTACACAGGTACAAATGAGCCAGACAGCTGTACCATGGTTGGTACAAGCCGTCCCTCCCATACGTAATCTCGTTGTGAAGGATTTACTGGGTACCAGCCCTATGGGAGGATGGTGCCATCCACAAAACTGCAAGAGTTTGCGAGGCACCTTTTGGCTCTCATCACCGGCCTGGCTAGTCCAGAAGAGGCCAATGCCTATTTTGAGTGACCGACCAGACAATAGTTGCACAAGCCATATACAACCACTGTCGGCAGCCAGTGCTTTCCAGACAATCCCGTTAGGTTCCTCTCAGTCTCGAGTGGTGAGGCAGCCCTGGGATTGTTTCGCTTGGCACCAGAGAACAGATTGTAAAAACACCACTCCGTAACATTGTTTGAGCCTCTTCTCTTCTGTTTCCACGAAGTAGATATCTGGTCCGGCATCTGGAAACAAATACCGGTCAGGATGCCACATTGTTGGGACAGACAGATAAGTGCCCATCAAGAAAAGCGTCTCCACACTCCAGGCCGGACACTAGCTCCCTCTCGGTGTTGTATTCGCGCGGTGCAGCACTCTGTCTGTCTCTCCGGCCTCTTCAAGAGTCCGTCATGATTGAGTTGGCGGTAAGCGGAGCTTAATTTCCCCCCTGCTGTAGAGACATTGGCGCCGAAGAAGATCCTACGGCATAGGCCAAACGGCAAACTGCACAACAAGCTGAGAGCGCATTGTGGAGATTGGGGCAGGCTGAGGGAATTTCAACGGCACAACGTTGCACTGATGACAGCAGACCAAAGTCAAAGCAGTGCCCTCCACTTGCGTCTTGACCCCACCTCAGCGAATCGTACTATGTACACAAAGAGGGAGGAGAGGCCCACCACATCGAGCCGCAGCAAGGCGATTCGGCGCAGAGGATCAAGAGTCGTGCTGCTTGTGGTTTGGTTTGGTTTGCTTGACATGATGCGCTCGACTCGGTGAGCCTAGCCCCAAATACAACCACGTGTGAGCGACCCAAAGTGGGGGTCGCGAAAGCAAACCATAGTACCATTAGGCCGTACGGTATGTACATAGTATTATGGTGACTCAAAGGGCTGAGTGGAGGAACACAGGCCTGCTTCATTATCCTCCAAGTCTCTCCACGCGGGGTTCTCAGCTCGCGAACCTTGAACGACAGGAAGCCAGGCAAGACACAGCGGGCGGATCTTCCAGCCAGCATCATGATTTGTCGAATGGCAGGAGCTTGTACACAGTATGTAGGTGGTAGGGCTACTGGCCCACCCATCGGCAGATGGGTAGGATTGATGTCAGGTGGGTACCGCGTCTCTGTAGCATCATCACCTTGGATCTTCAGGGTTGCGACGTTAACAAGAAGATCCATCCCATGTTTCTGGACTGCTTCTGAGCGACGGCTCAGCCTTCAACGCCTCGCCTGATGATACCGATCGTGGAACTTGATCCGCAAGCGAAATCGCTAAGCGTCGACGGCTGAAGTCTTGCCGAGTTGCAGCCTTCCATAGGCGGGAGGGATTTACTATGAATGAACTTAGTTTGCTCAAGGAGAAGCTGTGACGTCTGCTAACGGGCCACCACCAGTGCGTGACTCCGCCATGTGTTGTCGAACTGGAGCTCTGGATTTTCTCTCCTGGTTGGAGCGGTCCTGCAGGGAACTGTCCATCTTGAACGTTTTGTGCGGGCCCTCGAATCCTTCAAGTTGGCAAGTTCTTCAAGGGTATTTTTGTCGGTGCGGGTCATTTCCAAGATTTTTTCATTTTTCATTTTCTGTTTTCCCCTCCTCTTTGGAGGGTGATGGGCGAGACAGGGCTGTCCATCGTCGGCAATATGAGCCTCGGCCAAATTTGTAGGCTCCAAAATATTACCCCCTTAGTATCGGCTTTGCGCTGAAGACTTTTCGGGCCTACGGCACATTACATCCTTGAGCATCATGTCGAGGCCGCTCGTTGTGATGGCATCGCCTTCCACGCCTAGAGTATCGTGCTGTCAGCGGCCAGCAGGGATTCTGAATCATTTGGTCTGCACATCGCAGCGCGAATGAGCTCCTTGACCAGAGGCCGTCCGTGGTCTCTGTAGTGGCATGGGCATAAACGTATTTGGCCGAGTTTATCTCTCTCTTTTTCTGTTTGTGTGTGTGGGGGGGCGGGGAATGAGCCCTTGATCCTCTCTCCCGACGTCGCCCGCGAGCTTTCACTTTCTTTGACTGACAGGCCCTGAGCCTAGGTCTTGCGGATCATTGTATTCGCCAGGCCATCGACAGCCCCGGCGCGGCTCATCTGCACCAGAGCAGGCTCGCTGACCTGAGCCCTATATCCCCACTTCCACTCCTTCGGATGTATTCGGACAGGTACATCTTCCTCCGGTGATTATCAACTGTTGAATGTTGCATATGTGACACTGTGGTGTCAAACTACAACCCCAGAGCAGACCAGTTTCCTTGTCTGTGCCGCGAAGTGACATCTTTCAGCTTGAGAATGAAGCCTTTTTTTGCTTTCTTTTTTCTCTCTTTCTCTCTTCTTTCTCCTTCCCATGATGACGATGATGACAATTATGTAAGGATCCCTTTCCTATAGCCTCGGCTCACCTACCCAGGAGCGGTTGTGGCAGCTCCTCCTCCATCATACACGCATTCTCCAACATGTTGGTCCATTTCCCACTGGTGCCGGCGTGGCTGTGCTTGAGATGTTGACGGAAATGGTCTGCCCTGAAGAATTTCTTGGAACTGTTGCACTCCCTGAACTTGTGGTGTTCCTGAAGATGCCGAATGCGGTCATCCCAGTCCGGGTCCGTCACAATCCGACCAAGGCCCGCAGGATTTGGGCCTGTCCGTATGAACTCTTCGCCACAGTAACCACAAGTGTCAGCCTCTCCTGGCCTCGACGTAGACTCGTGGAATGCCCTGTCGTAGCTGCTCAGCGCTGAGCACGACCACGAGTGCCGTCTCACGTGTAACGAGTTCTGATGCCGTTCTGCCTCGTTCTTGTTCTTGAAGCGGTTGCCGCAATAAGTACACTCATACTGCTTTTCTGCTTCGTGTGCACTAGAAGGGAAGGAAGGTATGGTCAGTATAGTATACGAGTATAAGAAAGAGAAAGAAAAAAGGAGAAGAAGAAAAAACAATTAAAAAGAACGTCCACCCCTGCTAGAGAATGTGGCAGTGTGACTCACGCCAATTCCTCGTAGGTGTCGAACTTCTTGGGCTTTTTGGGGCAGCAATCGCACATGTGGAAGCCTTGCATCTTGCTTATTGCAACACCCGTCCGCATCGCTGGTTCCGGCACCTTTCTTGGGCTGGCTATTATATTTCTGATATCGCTTGGTCCTCGTTGGTGAACTCCAGTCCGGGGGATGGTCGTGGACCTTGGGCTTAGATTGACAGTGTTCAATGGTGGCGGTGCAGCGAAAGGCGAGCCAGCAACTTCTGTCGGTGAGAGACCTGAGGGCGATAGGCCGATAGGCGACCTCCTGTCAAAGGACAAAGAGGATGTCATGCTCGTTGCGGTGCTCAGACAGCCAAAACTGCCACTGCGGTCTCCTGAAGAGACAGAAGATATGCTGCCGTGGGGTGGATGTACGGACAGCCGGGGCCCTGGACTACTCTTGGAGGCGTTGTCGCGGCGCCGTCGAAGGTCGCCTTGACTTGGCATCTGACGTACAACAGAGTCATCGCTGAGGAGGCTGGAGGCCCGTCGCTTGAGACTGGGCTGCTGATTCTCGTAGCTCAAACTGTTCATACGTGAGTGGCGACCATCATCGATGTGCATGTGGCGCAAACGATTCTCCTCCTCCATAGAGAAATCCATATCGTGATCGTAACTATCAGCTGGGGGAAAATCTTCAGGAAAGGCTCCCGAGTTTTGCCTCTTGCTCCTGGCATAGGGACTTCGATCAAAATCTACAGCCGACATGGGCTCGATCGGCGACCTATACTCATGAGGTCGAGTGATCTGTGCAAAGTTGGTGTTCCGCGGAGAGACGGCAGTGTTTAGAGGGGTGTCAGTGAGCCTGGACGAGTCCAAGAACAAGTTCGACTTCGATCTTGCGGGGAGCGAAAGCTCGAGCTGTGGTAAACGAGGCAACTGTTGTGTAGGGCCTTCTTGCATAGATCGCATCGAGGTGCTCAGGGCGGATCCACGAGGGGGCGATCTGTTATCCAAGGTCCGTTTTGCGTCGAGCTTCTTCAGCTGCTGGCTGTCGTAGGAATCACTCGAGCCTAGCTGATAGTGTTCGTGTACACGGCCAAATCCCCGACTGTTGTGCCTATCCCGAGCCCTACCATCTCAAGTCAGCAACACAACTCTTCATTGCTTCCTCTATATCAACGGACGAAGCATACCCAGAGGAGGCATAGCTCGACATGCTCGAGTAGCCCTCGTCTCTTAACGTCGGAGTCGCGGCATTGTCCCTACGCATATAATCAGGTATGTCCTCCTGCGCACCTCTTGACCTCCAGCTCTGGTCCAGACTGCCGTAGTTGCTCTCACTCCTCCCACCGAAGAATTTCAGGCTCTCGGTGTGGCTTTCTTTCTTGACGCGGTCATAAAAGTCGGAAAAATCTGCTTCAGGGCCGGGGACGGGGACAATTCTTGGCGGAGGGAGTGCAGGAGGAGGGCCGTCAAAAGACGGCGCATTTGGGATGCCCATAGGGCCCGACATAGATCGGTCGAAGGCAGAAGTGAAAGGGCCATGGGCACCAAAGGGCCTGTGGCCGCCGTCTTCATGTATAGATATTCTAGGAGGCCCAGCATCCCGCGGCACTGGTCGAGCACCGCGGATATCCATGGCGAATGGGCGGACGGGAGGCGGCGGCGGAGGCGGCGGCGAGGAGGAGGAGCAGAGTCTGGTTAGGTCGTCGTATCCTGGAGGCTGTCGAAACTGATTGTCACAAGTCAGGTCAGCACCGGGCAAGCAATGTTCGACCTGGCCAGGCCAGGCAGGATACGCTGAACTGAGCCCATGGCGCTGGGCCGGAGCAAGGCGACCCACAGCATCAGATGTCGAGATATCCTCCAAATTTAAGAAAGAGCAAAAGACCAGGCGGGCCCGTCTTCTCTTCCAACCCTTCTCGATAAATTAACAATCAGGACGAGGCGATTGAGACCTATGTGCTGCAATGCATTTGGTGTCTTGGCCTTACTCCGTAAAACTAGGACCGAGACTCATTTATTTGTACATCCAGTATGGTCCCGAAAGGTGCACTACCGTTGTTCCTCGATACAAACAATAACGCTGATGCTGGATGCGCCGTGGGTCGAGCAAGCTGGCCGACTTGACGTTGGGGCGAAGGGGATATGAAACAATGCAGTTATATAAGGGGAGAGGTCAGAGTTATGAGAAATAGAGGCTCAAATGGACATCCAAGGGTGGCCTAGGCGCAGAGAGGGACAAGAAATGAGAGAATTGAAGGTCATAATAATCATGTCGAGGTGAGGAGGCAGGAGACTGTTTATGTCGAATCGAGTCTTTTTCTGTCCGAGTCCCAGGTTAAGTTGCAGCGCGCTCCCAGTGCAGGTGCGGTACGGTCTAGTGACAGACAGGGCCAGTCTACTTACTGAGGGGACAGGTACACTGGTCAGTGCGCTGGGCCATGGTAGTACGGTGCGCTTAGTATAGTGGGTAGGTCTGGAGGCAGGCACCCCCTCTCCCACCCCCCCCCAGACACCGATATCCCATAAGGCGTAGATACTGCTACATTGGGCTAGCTGTCTTTATTTATCTATTTATTTCACTTTCTTTTTTCTTATATCACTCGGCATCTTTACCAGGAAGAAACATGGGGTCTGTAGGCCATGTAGGCCATGTGGGCCTTGTCAAGGCTAGACTGGAGCCCTGAAGCCTGTCATTTTTAGCGGTGCGGTTCAGACTGTACTATGTATGCGCGGGAGCAGGGATATAAGTAGTTTTTTGGACGGACCGGGAGGTATGAGGTAGGGGTAGGGAGGGGCCAATGACCCTGGTCATAACCGACTGTTCTTCCACAGCCTGGCAGTACCCGAGTACCTCTGACGATGGTATCGGTACCAGGCACCGTGGGACACTTGGGCTGAACCAGACTTTGGGCAAGAGGGGACTTACTGTGCCCCACTTACCTTGTCCACTGCGTGACTACGTACATCAATTACTATGGTACCTTGTATCGTTCATCTCTGTCTGGCTGCCTGCCTGCCTGTCATCCTCACCACCACCACCGTCTTCTCCTTCATCTCTCTGCCCACTCTTGCTAGAATTGAGGTACTGCATGAGACTCATTCATCACATGTGCTTCCTGTCGAGCTGACAGTCTCAGCATCTAGTACATGGTGAAGTGACACATCCAAACGTGCCAGGAAATCCAAGGGGAGGTTGGCTGTCTTCATTTGCGAGAGTTCGGTTCCACGGATCTTGTCCTGGTCTCTTAGTAGCCAGCCTTCGAAAAAGAAAAACTGGTGGTCTCCTCCTCTCCCCTCCGTCTTCATTCTCACCTGTTTCATGACATCTCATCTCGGCCCAGGGTGGGATATCTCCGTATGTCCGGGCCCCGACGCGCAGCTGATGACATGCAGAACCGCGTGGTCGAGGCTTTAGTACTGGTAAGAAGCACTTGGGCAGACAGATTAGATTTTGGGGGGAGTCGAAGCAACCAGATTGTCTGGCTGTCTGTGTATCTGTCAAGGTTTTTAGGTGTTTCATTCTCCTGCCCCTTCGCACGCCACTTTGCCACAGATGAATGCTTTTGACGCATGCCTTACTAAAGACCGCGGAAGCATACGTGCATTCCTTTCCGTTGTGATGTCCCTTCTGTCGAAACCTTCTTTGGGAGAGGTTTAGCTTTGACTAAAAGGAGGAGAAGCAGACCTGCAAAGAAGAGGGAGGGAAGAGGGAAGGGGAACGACCGCGGGTGACAGATCTGGTTGTGCGTGTACGGAAGGCTTTTCATCCACGATACCGGGGCGCGGATCAGCCGAACCCAAAGAAAGGTACATGGAAATAGAGAGTACGATACAACACAAAGTCGAGATACTTTGGCTACCACAGTACATGGTACAGACTGCCTGTCTTACCTAAGACATGAAAGCCTGTAGCCCTCCAGGGCTGATCTTCTCTGTCTACCCCTGTAATAACCTATAGGGCAGAAACGGTTCAAATCGACCAGTGCTACGCCTTGGGAGGAGAGAAAGAGGGGTCTCTTTCCGCCCTGTACAGGCCCTTGGGGTGGAGTGGGGATGGGGTACGTACCGCGCTGCTAACAGTACACAGTATCGCGCGCCCTAGGGTATCCCCCCCTGTAAGTACCATGCAACCTACTATGGCAATGGTACGGGGGGTGCTACACTACTACATCCTGTAGTATGCTGTGGCACTATGGGCGACTGGGCAGCGTTACGCCGCAGTAGGACATCTGAATCCTCATGTTCAATGTCAAGCCCTCTCTGCATTCTCCCCCTCCCACCAACCCCCTCTTTCCCTCGTCTCTCTTTTTCTGCTCTCCTCTACTCTTCCTCTTTCCTTGGACGAGTCATCAGACAATACTCTACGTATCCACAACGACCACAACTCTCCTTTTGTCTCTGTCTGTTGTCGTACGAACACCGCCTGAAAGCAACACGCCACTCTTGATTACCATTACTATGTACAGTACCACTCCTCGCGACTCTGCCCATTAAGTTAGTGGCCTTTTTCTTTTTTTCTTCCTTCTTCTTGTTTAGGACGTCACACATGTGGGCGATGCAGCCTGCTGCACACTTGTTCTGGTCCTCTGCGAATGTGTTGCTTTACATTAGCCTATCCAACCGTCCCCCCCCACCCCCACCTTCTCATATTTTTTTTTCCTTCTTGTCTCTCATCTTCTTCCCTCTCTTCGCGCTCCCCAACAACCAACAGTCCCAACTATTGATCATTCCATGTACTAAGTATGGCAGGTGCAGAATAGCAAAAGCACACTAAGCCGTTCTGACCTTTGCCTTTTGCTTGTTTTCTTTTCTTCTCTCGCCCTATCTCCCACTTTCAATAGACGCTGGCCATTTGTTAGCCCCCACCGTTCGCGCTAGGTTCGATTCCAAGGTGGTTGGTAGCCCTACAGGAGAAGGAAGAAGAAGGAAAAGAACCAGCAGTAGAGATTTCTGATCTGTAGTGCCGTCTGTCTCAACAATCATCACAGCGGCAAACTTGGCCCCAGAATTTATAGTACTCTTATATATGATAAGCCCTGGCGGTAGGGGATTGAAAGAGGGGGAAAACATCAAGAGACCTCATCCTGGATCCGCACGTTGGCTGTACTTGCTGACTTTGACCTTTGGGGCTTCCAGGGTGTTATTATCCAACTAAAACCTTGATGCTGGTGACTTGAAACTGTGGCATGTCTCCAAAAAATAATCAAGCAAGCAATCAATCAATGAAACTGGCTCATC